GCAAATGTGCTGTCATTAAGACCTCAACGAGACAGGTACGAGCGATGGGTCTTATTTGTGCGCTGTCGCTTTGTTCAAGTTGGGGTGACTGGTTACTAATAGGTTTCGTAAATCCCTTATGAATACTGTAGACTATCTTTTTGCCCTTGATCGGATTGGTGGACCCAGCAACCTTGAAACCCGGCGATCTCATTGGAGTTAACAAGGACAGTTTCTTGGTCCTTGATACCCTTCCCACAGAGTATGTCTCCTTGCTATGCCAGCCCAGGATATCAGGATATTGCTACGGCTTTAACAAATCAACCCAACAACGATTTACTCACACTCCTTGGTTCGTTTTCTTCTTTAATCTAGATACGATTCTCGCGTCAAGGCTATGGAGGTGGACGAGAAGCCGACAGAACACTACAGCGATGTCGGAGGTCTGGAGAAGCAGATCGAGGAACTAGTTGAAGCCATTGTACTGCCCATGACCCACGGCGAGCGCTTCAAGAACTTGGGAATCAAGCCGCCCAAGGGAGTGCTGATGTACGGACCCCCTGGTACTGGAAAGACACTGTTGGCCCGTGCTTGTGCAGCCCAGACAAACGCTACATATCTCAAGCTTGCGGCAACATCACTTGTGCAGATGTTCATCGGAGATGGAGCCAAAATGGTTCGCGACGCATTTGAGCTGGCCAAGGCCAAGAAGCCGACCATTATTTTTATCGACGAGCTGGATGCGATCGGAACAAAGCGTTTTGATAGTGATAAGACTGGAGATCGTGAGGTGCAGAGAACCATGTTGGAGCTCCTCAATCAATTGGATGGTTTCAGCAGTGACGATGGCATCAAGGTGAGGAATTGACTGCGTTATTGCTGTGGGGATGATTATTTGCTAGGATGTTGACTCGAAGCATTACTAATATGCTGTTTATATATCATATAGGTCATTGCAGCAACAAATCGTATTGATATTCTGGATCCAGCCTTGCTTCGTTCTGGACGTCTGGATCGCAAGATTGAGTTCCCAGCTCCTAACGAGGAAGCCCGTGCCCAGATCTTGCAGATCCATAGTCGAAAGATGAATGTCTCTGAGGATGTGAACTGGGCTGAACTGGCGCGTAGTTGTGACGAGTTCAATGGAGCGCAATGCAAGGCTATCTGTGTCGAGGCTGGTATGCTGGCGTTGCGTCGTGGTGCAAATCAATTGACCCACGATGATTTCTTGATGGGTATCGCAGAAGTCCAGGCCAAGAAGAAGACTAGTTTGCAGTACTACGCATAAGCATCAGGAATGGGGAAGGACGGACTCGAGCAACCGGGCTGGCACTACTTCGTTTTGCCATTGTAATAAAAAAAAAAAAAAAAAAAAAGAGGTTGTATTAGGAAACCTTGATCTCAAATGCATTGGTCGCACAGTCACACTTGAAGACATTGCTTTTTATTTGGCTCTGAACCCACCCTTGTTCCCATTCTCTGTACTCACACCCACTCATACATAATGTCGAATCCAGGGGCCTCAGGAGGAGCAGGAGCACTTGGATCAGGATTTCAACCTGGCCTTTACCCTCAGCCCATCGGAACGTTCTCATCCACAGGAAGCGCGCCAACGTCGACATTGAATCCTAACTCCATCACAACCGCAGCCGCAGGCATGTCAATAGCGTCCAATAACCCATCAATACCCGGGGCCCACGCACCTTTCACCTCAACACCTGCAGGGACTGCACCTCGGAAACAACTCGCCGCTGCTGCGGCTGCTGGAGCTGCTGCTGGAGCAAATAAGTCTGGGCGAACCAAGGCGCCCTACAAGAAGGGTGGAGGCGGTGCTGGAGCGTCTGGGAAGCGAGGTGGTCGAGGTGGCGGTGGCGGTGGCGGTGGTCGGGGAGGAGGAGGGGGAGGAAGATTTGGCGGCGGAGGGGATACGGGTGATGATGATGGGGCAGACGCGGCGGGCAAGGACTCGGATGATGATAATGAGGATGAGCCAGAGGTCAGTATTGAGGAACAGTTTATTTTGAGGCTGCCGCCAGGAGAGATGTGTGATCGGTTCAGGGAGAAGGTGATTGCACGCGAGGTGGATGAGTCTGTCAAGCTGAAATTCGCAGGTAAGGAAGTGTATTCAAAAGCGTGCTAGGAGTCAACCAGTGCGCGCGTTAATGCCCCAAATCTCCTGTTTCATGGTCTCATGGTCTCACGGTTCATTACTTTTTTTTTTTTTATCGACATAGATGCACGGCGAGGAACATTTACGTTCGAGGGCCTCGAGTTCCCGACAAAACTGGTGGATTTACCGACGATTATCGAAGCACAAAAGACACTCAATGGGAAGCAGATGTACAAGATCGCGGATATTTCACAGATGCTTGTGGTGGACCCAACACCGGTGGAAAAGCCGACGGTCATCAAGACAGAGCCTTCAACAGCAACAGGACCATCATCAGGCGGCGCTAATTCACAGGTGGATGCAACAACCACATCCATGCCAGCACCAACTCTCCCACCTCTCAAACATAGCGACTATGTCTGGCCCGATGGGTTGACGAACCCGTTAAAGAATGTTCGGAAACGTCGATTCCGAAAACGCGTTTCCAAAGTGGTGAGCGAGTGTTTGCTGTCGCTTTATGAGTGTTTTTTTTTTTTTTTTTGTCGATGGTTTTGTTCCGTCATGCTGACATACCCTGGGATTGTTCTTTGGAATTTGCTTTATAGGCTGTTGAGGGCGTAGAGAACGAAATAGAGCGCTTACTTCAGGAAGACGCCCTTGCAGAGGAAGTTGTATATGAAATTCGAGAGCAGATCGATGGCATGGACCGTTTCGACTCTGACGAAGGGGCTACACCAGCTCCTGAGGGCGTACACAGCGACATGGACATGGACGGCGAGATGATGGATATGGATGAAGAAGAAGAGGAAGAAGACGAGGACGAGGACGATCTGCTGGCAGAGCTCGAGAGAAAGATCGAAGGTGGTGACGGGAACTCTACGGACGATGAAGGCGAGGGCGATGAAGATGGGGGAACGCCACAACCGCAGATCAAGGCCAATACTTCTGCACAGGGAGTCGGCGCTAATTTCGCCGGCAGCGGCTTAAACGTCAGCAATGTCAAGACAGGACCAGCAAATGCAAATGCAGGGATTGGATTGGGAGCTACAGGAGTATCTGGCGGTCATCTTGGTAGCACATCAGGAGCATTATCGGGTGCTGCAGGCAGAGCATCTTCAGCGATCAAACAGGGTAGCAAGGGCAAGGGTCAGACCGGAGATGAGGATGAAGATGAGGATGAAGACGATGAAGAGGAGGATGAAGAGGAGGAAGAGGACGATGATGACGATGATAGTGGATCAGAGGAGGATGAAGACGAAGACGAAGACGATAAAGATGACAAGGAGAGTGCACAGATGGAGAAGCTGCTCAAGGACGAGATCAAGGAATTGAACGGCAAGGTCAAGGATAATGAAGAGAAACTTCAGTCGGCGCCGAACGATATCCTTAAGGTACGAATCGATGGTGTGCATACAATGGATTGGATTTGCATTTGCATGTAGTTTTTAATCTTTTTTATCATTTGTTTATGCTCTTCTTGTCCACAGAGACGTTTCGGATCGATCTTGGACAACCTCCGCAAAGAACTGGAGCTTAAGACGATGCAACTAGAAGAAGTCAAGGAGCGGGCCAAGTCCAAAGCTAAGGCGAAATAAAGCAGATAGTTCTGGTGATCATCCTCTTTTGCGCTTGCATTCATTCAATGCTGATTATTGTTTATGAATGTACTTTCTTCATTTTTCTAACAATAAGCAAAAAAAAAAAAAAAAAAAAAAAAAGAACAAACTGATCAAATATGCAGAAGACATCCTCCTCCTTCGTCCCGATAACATGCAACCACCACCCATACTACTATGCCAATGAAAAACAGCCATCATTCCTTTTCCTTCCTTTCCAAAAAAAATCGTCCGCATTCTTAGACAATGATCTGCGTGTCGCCGATCTTTCCTGACCGATAAACACTTCCTCCGATCTCGACATCCGACGGCAACGAAAAGTCCTTGACCTCCTCCATGTAATACTTTTTCAAAGCATCACTGTTTGCCCTGAATTCAGCCATGGCGATCGACGATCCATAGCCCTCTCCAATCTTTTCCGTGCCCGAATAGACGCCGACAATGAAGACGGGAGCCTTCGACTGACGACCAGTCTCGGCCAACATGCGAGCGATGGGTGCCTCACGTCCGAGACGCTTCATCAAGAAGGACAGATATCGCTTGGGCTCCTCGATCTTGAGCAAGGAGGCGAGATCGAATTCACGCGACAGGAAGTGGGCGTGGATAAAGTCGCGAGCTTTGATGGGACCCTGATCGACGTAGAGAGCGCCAATCATCGCACGGACCACGGACGCCTTGACAGTCTTTGGTGACAACTGGTGGGATGCATCAGGCTATTATCGAATGTTTTTATGAATTACAAAAGAGCTTGTTAGATACGTGCTGCAAATGAGAATTAGTCCGAGTAAGTTGGTTGTAATGGCACAGGGTCGATGCATTACCTTGGAGTGGACCCAACGAGCGACATCCTCGACACCAAACTCCTTGGCCATAAGTTCCAGAGTGCTTGTCCTGGTATAGACCTCAACTGCCTCCTGCAGGACATCTGCGGGCATCTTTGGGTATTTGGTGTGAAGGTACTCCAAAACATACATGTTCAATGCCTTATCACCTACAGTCAAAAGGTTCCAAAAACAAAACAAAAAAAACGCGTGGATCAGTTTGTCAGTCCTACGAGTCTTTACGACTTCCAAAACAAAAAATCTAAATGCCATTGAAAAAGCGTTCCCGCCGAGTCCTTACCAAGAGTATCAAGTCCCTCGTTCGACTGGATACCGACGCGCTCATAGCTAGGGTGGGTGATAATACGCATCCAGAGGGTCTTATCATTCAAGTCGCCCAATCCCAAACGGTTCGCGAACGCGACGACCGCTGATGACGGTTTCTCTATCCTGTATTTTGAGTCTGTTGTTGATGTTGCTGCTGATGCTGATGCTGTTGATGGATCAGTGGTGCTGTTGATCTTCACGCTATCGTCCTGCTGCTGTCTTGACTTCTTAGGGGGCTTCACATTGATAAGGAAGGTGCGCGTGAGCGTGGGGGGGCAGACTATAGGTGATCAGGTATGAGAAAGGTAGATCCGGGCGTTAGCAATGAGCGTTTACAGCAGTTTCTCGAAGTCCAAATTACAGAGTTCAGTCTGAATGGACGGCTCTAGTGGTAGTTGTGTTTGCTGTGGACGAGAGAGAGAAAGGTCCTGACGCACCTCGGACGGCGGAAGCACGAATGGTGCTGCTCCTGGCGAGGACGAGTGGCGAGCGAAGGAGTCCGGCCATTTGTGTTGTTGAGAGCAGTACGCTTTATAGAACAAAGACTTGTGGGGTTGCGAAAGCGGAATAAAGACGTTCTCCTGTTTTGTGGGACGAGAACCGAAAGGGCAGGAAGGCGAGAGAAGGGATGGAGACAGTGGGCGAATGGGGGGGAGTAAGTCCGTTCCTGCCTTCCCTTCCAAAGGACCGAGGAAGGAAGGAAGGGAGGCTAGGACGTGTAAACAACGCAAGCCACATGCAGTCCAGGGCAGACAGACAGACAGACAGACAGACAGCCGTTTTTGCACCCAATACCGGTTTGTGCTCAGATCGGATGGATTTCCCCCTTTCCAAAAATATGAACAAAACGTGTGAGTGCTCTTCAACCTTGTTTCCCGCTCTCGTGGGTACACACATGTATCCCTCGGTGGACCATGCCCACCCTCTCTTCCCTCTTGTCTTCTTCATTTCACTTTGTTTTCTCATCCATCCCCATATCCATCCCTCACTTCACAAGCCACTTTCATGAAACTTAACCCTCTCCACAACCAGGTCGGCGGTCACGACGGCGTTCTCTCCATGGGCGAAGAAAACGAGATCATCGTCAAACCGGCCCTCCTCCAGGAACTCAAGTTCTACGAGGAGGCCTTTCTCCATCCAGAACTCCAAGCCTGGATGCCTGCCTACTACGGCACCCTCACCTTGAACCGCCAGTTGCCAGAGAATGGACTAGCAGGTGAAGTGGCCCTTGTACCGACCATCAAAGCCCTCAGCGGATTCGCTATCCAGGACCTTTTGTCCTCCGATCAGATCCCTTCCGCCGCTGCGTTTTCGGGCGAAGGGCAGGAGCAGGAGCAGACTGTAATCAAGGAGGATGGTAACGATGAATGTATCTGTCTCGAGAACATATCTCATGGTTTCAAGAAGCCCTGCGTCCTTGATTTAAAAATGGGAACGCAGCTGTACGATGACGACGCAACGGACGAGAAGAAGGCTCGTCTTGGCGCCGTTGCTAACAACACCACCACTAGCACCCTTGGCCTTCGCTTGACTGGATTCACTGTATGTCCTCGCTCTCTCTTACTGTCAACTGCTTGTTAAAAATATCCCGGGCTCATATGATCTTCCCTTCCCGGTACCCTTCCTGACATTGATTGTTATCTTTTTTTTTTTCTTTATCGATGTGATTGTAGGTCTACGATAACGAAAAGGAAGATTTTACAAAGTATTCCCGACACTACGGCAAGGGCCTTACGAACGAGACTGTTCTCGATGGATTCCGCTGCTTCTTCGCTGCGAATCTTGGTCCTAAACGCATGCGGTTGGTCCTCGAGCGATTTGTGAACGACCTTGCGGATTTCTTGGAGATGATCGAGACCCAGGAACTAAGGATGCGATCAAGCTCACTGCTGTTGGTGTACGAGGGAGACGCTGAAGCTTTTGATGAAGGGCTCATGATGGAACAGCGCAGGATCGTTGAGGTCGTCTCAAGAGCAAAGGCGCATCTGGAGAGCAACATAGAGAAGGAGACTGGAGACGAAGATAATGAAGACGTGGACGATGACGACGAGGATGAGGAGGATGATGAGGATGATGAGGATGATGAGGATGAGGAGATTTCGCAAAAGGTTACGGATATGAGGTTGATTGACTTTGGACACTCGACTTGGACCCCTGGTATGGGACCGGATGAGGGCGTTGTGCTCGGTGTCAAGAGCGCGCTCTCTCTCTTTGAGAGGCTAATCGAGGAGGACTATCCTGCCCAGGATGAAGAGGACCATTAGAGATGGCTCCCATGTATTCAACTAATTCACAACTCACTTTTGAACTCCAACACATACAGCGCCCATTAGACGAATAAAACCATAATACAAGCTGAACAACTGCACATCTGCACATGTAAAAATGTTTGTCTATGTGGGCGGATATCAATCTAAATGCTGTATATACCGTTCCTCCGCCTTCAATTGCTCCTGCTCCTGCTTCTACTCCTGCAAACACTTCTAAAATACTCTCTCACTCAATCGCATCGTCCATCGGCCGGTCCATCCCTCCATCGCTCATCCAGCTTATTACAATCAAAGCTATCCTTTCCCAGCATTTCATTGACCTTGTTATGCATCCCACACATCCACCAGGCTAATTCCTTCCGACTTTCGACCTTGGGCGGATCGACCTTCATCTCCTGCTGCAAATGTTCTGCACAATGTCCGCATGGATAGAACTGAGAGAATGAACTCAACAGCGACTTCATAGTCGATTGCTCCTGCGTGTTCGGTTTCTCAGGGTAATAGGCCGCCATCGTGTGCAGGAATGTCCAAGTCGCCCGGCCAAGGATCTCCCTGTCGGGAGGGCATTCCGCCTCGTAGTTAAAGGTTGATGATCCCGATCCGTTAGTTCCCGCTGCTGCTGTTGCTGCTGCTGTTGCTGCTGCTGTGGCTCCGGTGGCGGCATTTAATCCTTGACTCGCAGAAGAAGAAGAAGAAGAATCCTTGGATTCCTTCTTGGCCTTGGATTTTCCTATTTTGGACCAACTCTTCCAATCCGTACAAGTACGACAGGGCTTTCCGTCAGGTCCGAGAACCATGCCCGGAGGCAAGGGTGTGCCGTCGACGCTGGTGGTGCTCCCTTTCGTCGCGGAGGTGTCGTGGTCGGGCGCAGGCATCACTGTTGTGAAATCGTTGTTGTAGGCAGTCGGCTTGTTGGGGAGGATGGCTGATTCAGTTTCTTTGTGAATGAATGACAAATGGAAGAATAAAAAAAAGTGCGAAGCAAGGCACACTCGCCTTTTTTGTACCGCATTTGGGAAGACGATCTCACGTGTATTATTGCCACCAACTTGGAGGGGAAACAACCGTTAGGGGAAAGAAAAAGGTTTATTGTTCAACGGAGTCAAGTACCTAGGTTTCGCAGGAAGAAACACAAGTGGGATGGCCAACAAAAGTCACGTCAATAAAACGCTGACATGGGCGGATGCAAAGAGGGCGAAAGAGATAGCTGATAAGGGGGGGAACAAGTGTCAGGATCAATTGGCGCAGCAGAAAGAGAGGAGGAGACTCTTGGTCAGGATAATATGTACAGATGATAGATGATAAGCTGCTTAAGCCCATAGCCTCGGGTATACTGGTGACATGAGCAAACAAAAGAAAAAAAAAGGGGGTCTTAAAAGAGCCACGACTCAGAAATGAGGCGCTGGACAGGGCTGGCCTCGTCCTCATCAAGGAGTGCGCTCCGGATCGATCCCTGGTCCCGCAGACGGCGCGTACCCATCACTTTGAAGGACTCGGGCTTCTTGGTCGGTTCTTGCTCAAAGATATCCTTCTGCGGGCTGTGCAAAACGACACCATCGTCTTCGGCCCAGTCCATCAGGACATCCATATCTCCCTCCAGCTCCTCCTCCCACTCATCCACCATCCAAATTTGATCGTGACGCTCCTCTTCTTCTTCATCATCACTAGAGCGTCGACGGTCAATGGTGGGATTCTCAACCCGCTCGACCTCATTGTCAGCGTTGGGTTCTCGCAGGATGCCGTCTTCGCCGAACTCGAGCAGCTCCTCGACTTCTTCATCAAACAAATCGATAGATGGATAGCGCGGCTTAATCAAGGTTCGTTCATTCTTCTCCTGGACCCAAAACTTTAAATCCTTAGCGGCACCCTCTTCAGTGTCCGCAACCGGTTTTGATTTCAGTGCTGGCGCCGGTGCCGGTGCCGGTGCTGCTGGAGGACTGTGCTGGTTCTTACGGATAGAATGTACCGTTTGCTGGATTACAGCATTGACATGCGAATAAAGACTCCGCTTACGGATAGGTCCGGAACCACCCAAGGAAGGCGGTGTGTCGTGGCTGGTGTAAGGCGAGTGAGGGCGGTGTTGTTCTTCGGACTGAGGGCTGCGTTTCCAGAGAGGCAAATTGTTGTTCTCGACGTCGAGGCTGTTATAGGTGGCGATGACACGAGCATGGCCCAGGGAAGAAGGTTGGTGCGCGAGAAGGGCGAGGGTCAGGAGTGCAGAGCCCAGCAATGCCCTCGAGAACAAACAACCGAGTGTGTGCTGTCGCATAATTTTTTTGTTGTTTTTTGTGCGATTGGGCTGATAGAAGGAGAAGAGGAGAAGCGGAGAAGAAGGCGGGTTCAGGATGAAGGGAGTTCGTGTAAGGAGCAACGACGGGGAGTATTATGACGGTTGTGTTGTCCAGTGAATGTGCGGGGGGGAGGGGAGGGAGAGTGGAAACGTTAATAGGGAGGAGGAGGTGGAGGAGGAGGTGGAGGAGGAGGTGGAGGAGGAGGTGGAGGAGGAGGTGGAGAAGGAGGAGCGAGTTACAATTGGCTCGGTTCAAACGAGAGAGGGATGAATCTGGGTCTGCTATCGAATGGAAAACGAACAGGGAAATGCGTGCGGAGAAGGTGAAGTAATATGCGGAGGAGACTGTAGAGGGGAACCGACAAGGGAGTCGCAGGGCGCCAGGTTGGTTACTGGGGGAAGGGGTGGGGGAATGAGGATGTGGGGATGGAGCGAGAGAGAGGGAGTGGAGGGAAGGGGCTCAAGGAACACAGAGAACACAAAAACGCAAAAGAAAAAGAGAAAGAAAAGAAAACAGAGTGCTGGAGCTGGAGGCTCTTATACTTCCGGGTCCAAGGCACACACAGAACAAAAAAAAAATAGCTTCATTACCCACGCTCTCCTTCGGGTTATTTCAAGAAGGCTGGACTGGATGAGCAATAGGAACGCGAAGTCAAAAAGGAAGTTCACGACAAGAGCGGACAGCTATTCGCCTTATAGAAAGAGAGAGAGAGAGAGAGAGAGCAGACAGAAATAGAACAGGAAGCAGGAAAATAGAAAAAACGAAAGGCCTCTTTCCTGCAAATCCCTCCCCTCGGTACTCCTGTTCATCCTATTCTACTCGCTCTTCTTCGTTATCGATGTCCATCGATTGCGCAGGGAAATAGCTATTCAGCAGCTGCTTCAGTTTGTCTTTGCGAACTGGCAGTAAGGAGGTCAAGTCGCGGGGAGGAGCAAGGAGCGCAAGGGCACGGAGTGATATTTCAAACGCGCACGAAGGAATGCAATAAACGGCCAGCTTCTCCCCTCTCCTTCTCCCTCCCAGCGAGCTACACTCTGCTGCGATAAAGACAATTAGATTATCGCCACAACCGGGTATAACCCAGAGGAGACGATACAGTGAACATTTGTGCTATGCCATCCGCGGTTCGCCTTGAATGAAAATCAATCTCACCTAGGAAACAACAATGCCGGCTTGCCCTGGCTCTCATTTACAATTGGCTCTCAACTATTGTTTTTGTTTGCTTTTTTTATTTTTTGGCCATGACTCCACCCTCTTCAGCACGAGCTTCCTGGCGACCGAGAGGCGGAGACGAGAATGGGTCGGATGATACATATAATATACATGTCGCGCCTTACAATTGTCCGAGAGGTTGCAGTCTTGCCCCTCGATGCTTTCGCGTTAAAGTTGAACGTGAAAGAAATGACAATTGGATTTGTAATATTTCTGGACAGTCGTGCAGAAGGTTTTAGTCGCACCATTTCTCCGGGTCCAGAGACCAGGATAAAGAATCATAGTTTATGAAAGACGCATTGCAATTATGCATCCGTGAATCCATGTGTGTTCGGATGAATTCTGCGGATAAAAGAACGGGGGGGGGGGAGTGCATGAGCAATAGGCGCCCAAACAAGAGAGACAGGAGAAGAGGAAAGAGACTAGCGATATAATGGATAATAGAGCCAGCGTGGCCTCCCTGCAGATGCAAAAGCAGGACGTACAGCCACAGCGAGGCCCCTTTGCCCCAATGCACCGCTTCTGACGCACCTTTCCGCCCTCCGCCCAATGAGGGCTGATCCCCTCCTTTTGGATTACTTTGCCACCAAAAAAGAGAAAAAAATATCGCCAAGACTTTCCACACCTTCCGAATGCGGCATGACTTGTCACACATTTTTTCTTCGAACACCTTCGTCGACTCTTGGGTTGCCAAGACTTGGACCAGGAGCCGTATTTAAACACTTGACACTTCCCGCTCCCTCCTCATTCCGCACTTCCTTCCCACAACCCATCCCACAACTCAACCCACACAGCTCCCCCACATCGACACACAGCACAGCACAGCACAGCACAAACCATGTCTGACAAGAAGGGCCACTACTCTCAACTCCCTACATCGGACGAGCACGAGCAGGACCAACCGCACCAGCAGCAACAGCCAAGCGTCCTCAGTCAGGCCTATCAACCACCTCCATACACCCCCTCCACTGCCCCCTCTTCGCCCTACATCGAGCCAAACCAGGCTACAGGCGCATCTGGACCTTCCTCTGGTCTCTACCCGCAAATCTACAGCCCCTCTGTCCCTCAGCAACCCTACCAGCCCACTTACCAGCACCCCAAGTTTAATGACACCTCCAAACCACCACCACTCCTCGCTCCACCTCATCAGCTACAACAGCAGCAGGCCAGCTGCACGGCCGCGCCTCTGGTCCTGATGAAGCCTCCTTGTAGAGTCGAGGATCTGAAAGCCCGGCCAGGTGTTGTTGTCTGTCAGCACTGTCATCACTTGGTCTTGACCGAGATCACTCCTGAGAATGGTAAGAGCACAGCAACATTGTATCTCCCCACGGCGTGCACACGGCTCTGAGCGCTTGAAACTAACCCTGACCATGGATTTTGAACAAATTTTTTATCATGAATAGGATCATGCACGTATCTCGGTATTCTCGGACTTTTGATTGCTGGAATCACAACATGTGGATGCTGCCTTTTGCCGCTGTGTATAACATCGTGCAAGGATATGATGCACTCATGTCCAAACTGCCATGAGGACATTGGATTGTATTCCAGGATCAAGGAGAGGACCTTCCCGGCCCGTCACAGCTAAGACAAGCTACCCCTCCCCCTTCCCCAATTCTCAACTGCCTGCTCGAACTTGTTTCTATACATAATTAGTCCATATCCAGTCCACTCGCCTGTACAATAAAAGTAATGATACGTTGACATGAAACAGCTGATTGCAGCTCAAAAGACTGTGTGGGGGACCGATGGAGGAGATGAATGAAAGAAGTAACTGAATGAGATGCAGTTTGTTTTAATCTGCAATTTAGAAAGGATACTAAAAAAGAGTTTTTATCTCAAAAAGATCTAAATCTGGGAGGGGGGAGGGAATCGGGCCTCCCCACGCAAACGTATTGCCAACGACCGTACACATTCGATGGAACTGATCGGCTGGTAGGGAAAGAACTTGAGGATCGGAATTGATCGTCCGCGACCAACAAAACTCCTCACTGCCCAGTTTTTTCACTTTTGCAACATGGGTATTTACTGGGCGGCAACGTCTTTTTTTTTCTTTTTTTTTTCTTTTTTTTTTTTTCGTCCGCAATCTTTCGCCATCCTACCATCACCTCTCGATAACTGCTCTATGCCTGGAAGAGTTTTTGGACCAAGCCCGGACGGAGAACCGCAAGTCGAGCAACATGTTTCAGGCGAGATCTTGAAGGAAGCAGAGCACATTATCAAAACTGACTTGCTCTCCGCTTGGGATATACCATATCAAGGACAGGAACAAACCCTTGTTGATCTCTCCGCACGCGGGACCCTATTTTTCAAGGCGAAGATCCCCCCCCCCCCCCCCCCCCCCAATGATATCCGGATTGACGACAACGATTAGAAACGCAGACGAGGATCGTCTTGGGTTCTTTTTTTTTTTTTTTTTGACTGAACAGACAGTCTACTTGTGAAAATCGTCTGCGCCGCCGCGTAGTCTGAACAACGAACGGACTAGGGGGGGGGGGGGGGGGGGGCATGGACCTGTTCAATCTTCAGGCTGGCTGTTACCCGCGTATCGCCTTGGGGCTTTTTCAAAAAAAAAAAAAAAAAAGCATTCTAAAACCTATGCTCGTCCCAATGATGCTTCAATACATGAGATAGTCGCAAGAAGAAGAAGGAAATCTTCAAACACTTGTGTGCATTGCAATGAAAACATAAGAACAGTCAACAGTACAAAAGATGTATATCGTCGATATAGAAAGTCGTATATTTTGTATTAGTAGTGACTATACAACCTTTTCCATATTGTTTTCTCCAGAATCAACATCTTCCACCATGTTTATGCTGCCTGGTCCCGAATCCGCACCCATAGGCTCGCTCGCTACGCTGACCTCCATAAACGTATCCTCGTCCTCGCCGTCCTCCTGCATCGATTCCACCTCACTCTTGCCCTGATCCTCGTCGTCACTTGCTTCCTGCCGCCTCCTCTCGAAATAACCGTCGTCTAGCTCTTCTGATATCATATCGTTATCCAATCCATCATCAGACCCAGGTCCAGACTCATATTCATCCAGATCGTGCAGGGTTCCACTCCAGTCGTTCATGTATCGAATCCTAGAGGAGCTGTCCTGAGCGCCAAGTGCAAAATCGTCTAGTTCTAGTACACTATTGTGTTGAGCTTGTTGTTGCTGCTGTTGTTTGGTCTTGTTGCTGGTTGATTGTGTGGTCGACGAGGACGCCGTCGCCCCTACCCCTGCTGCTCCTACTTCAGATGTCACTGGATCTGTGGGTATGCTTGGCGTAGCGTCTTCAAAGGCCTCATTGTCCTCGTCCTCATCATGGTTATCGTCCTCGTCCTCGTCCTCATCGGATTCGTAGCGTACTTTGGTGTGTACCATATCTCGTTGGTTCTCAAAGATCTCGTCCGCAGACTGACAGAGCGCGTCGTGCATCATCACCTTGAGCTATGGATTCCAAACCGCACAAATGAAATGTCGCGTGTTGGGTTAACGATGATATCTCGCAGAGATATTCAGGTTCAATTGTCCTGACAAAAAAAAAAAAAAAAAAAAAAAGGACTCCAATTGCTGATTACCTTCAGTGCCTGTAGAATCTTTCGGTCCTCAGCTGGTCCACCCTGGTTGGTAACTAGGCCTGGTACGGATCCATCCTTGATGCGGTCTTCGGTCTCCTGTTCCAATTCCGGGAACAATTTCGTCCGCAACAAGACGCTTAGGTTCTGTACATGTTGGTCATTCGCTGGTGCCTCATGTGGGAAGACGGTGTAAGACTGAAGGAGGGTGCTGTGCGGATCGTTGACGAGGTTGGTGAGATGGAGATATTTGGCGATTAACACGTTGAACTTTGAGTGCAACTCGGTCCTAATATAGACAAGCACAGGCTGTTAATTATCCAGATGCGAAATGACCTTTTCCAGAGGGGATTTTCTTGATGAGCGAGAGTGATGTACCATGAAACTGTGCCCGGAGTAGTTTCGGGGTTGATGGACCTCAAGAAGAAGAGGATCGACTCTTGAAGTTGGAATAGTCGCGTCTTGACATTCTCCAGTGCTTCGATGTTGGTCTCTGTTTGCGGGAAGGTGGGATTCATGGGCGATGGTGAAATGAAAGGCGGCTGAAAAGACTATGTGTGTATCCTTGGTTCCTTTGTCCTGATGAGAATCCTAGTTGGTTGCTGCTGTGGGAATGGTTTGATTCGAACGACAAGAGGTGGACGATCCAGGTTCAGTTAAAGGTACTTATCACGTGCCGATCCTCCATATTGGTGGCAACGGAGAAAACGCGTTCAGGTGGGTGTTGGATGGGCGCATCTGTTCAGCAAATGGTATGTAGCGCAAACAATTCCGTGTGTCTCTTACTCTATATTTTTTTATTTGGGTTGCGGTTCCTGATTTCGGGGGTTGAACCACCGAACTACCAATGACGGCACCGGGTCTATGGGGTGACTCACAACTAAAGAGATAAATGGTTTGCACACATACCTATTCGGCGCTTTTATTTCAGGGTTTGGTCTCCGGGTCACCCTTTTGATTGTGCAAACGGCGTTCCAGCCGGTGCTCCATGCGTGCAAATTCCATTCATCCCGCCGCACCATTTTCTAGAGCCCTGTAAGGGGTTGGGGTAGAAGAATCCTCTTGGCTGTCAGACCGAGCCGCATACGCGGGGTTTCTCCGCACGCTCTCGCAAAGGCATTTGAGCAGTAAGTGTGACGGATATCTCTGATCTTGCTGCAGATTACAGCTGGCGCGAAGGTACTAGCTTTTAGGGAAAAAAGAAAAAAGAGAAGCCTTGCCCGCTTAGCGCCTCCGGAACAGGGGAGTGCTCCCCGTTCTGAGTGAGTCATAATCGTACATTGGCACATACCTTTTGGGCTTTCTGTGCTTGATGAGTGAATTTAGTATAGGAGTTCTTATGGAAGAAAAGCGATAGTTGGGGGGATGAAGGAAAAAAGAAGGAAGCAGGCGAGAAGAGAGAGTCGACAAAAAGTCTATCGCGTACGCGTGAACAAGGAGGGGGGGCTAAAGACGCCCTCTGCGTCGATCGCAAGCTCAACGGCGTGCTTTCACTCCTTTGCAGATCTGTAGTATACAGTTGGGATAATCTATCAAGCGCGCTCATGCCATGTATACACACAGCTCCGAATCAGGAGCGATCGCCGACAAGAAATTTATCCTGTAGACGCGGGTGTTCATCGCACTGAATCTATCAAAATATAGGCTCAACAAGTGATCTTTATTTTTCTGACGCTCAGTCCTCCCTCCATCGCATTCGTCTCGCTAATTTCCTCTTTTACACAGCTGAAATCGTCTAAAGTCCGATCTGCAGGTTTTTGGCTAGAGAAGAAGAGCGAAATTATTACGCTGCGTCAATGGAAAAAGGACCCCAGACGCCGCTTTATGTTATGCAATGGACAGTAGCTAGAATCAGAACGAGTCAGACGGTCGAGCCAAGGGCACAATGGCGGCGTGTCCTCCTGTAGGTACAGCGAACCCCAACCTGACCACAGGATAAAACAGGTTCGACCGCCTCATGACCTGTCCAGTATGTGTCGCGCATGCGAAAAAAAGAAAAAAAAAAGGTCCTGACAATCGATTAACAATCTCGGTAACTGTTCAACCGATGGTTTGGGCGTATGAAATGTTATTTAGATATAATAATAATAATAACAATAAAAAGCTGTGCAGGATTTGTAACGAGTATTGATTTGTCAGTGTCAAATAGCTTCCTCGCTGTACGCGCGCGGGGTAAAAACAGATACCGCATACGCGCTATAACGTGTTTGCAAACAAAAGGTTATTTGGTTTGGTTTGGTTTACTGCGTTATGTTCATGTAGATACAGCAGTGAGGAGGCGATTAGCTGAGGAAGGGGAATATGCACTATCTGGTCCACTCATATTACTACTAGTCGTGGTGATCCTCAGGTCCGAATGCATACGGCAATAGATCCTCCAGAATCGCGCGCTTGTATGTCCGGTCATCGTTGACAAAGAAGATCTCGAGACTCTTGCCGAATTCATTCATGAACTGCCGACAAATACCACAGGGTGTGATAAAGTTATTATAGTCGCACGATACCGCAATGGCTACAAACCGACGATGACCATCCGATATAGCCTTGACGAAGGCGGTCCGCTCAGCACAAACGGCTCCACCATAGGCCGCATTCTCGACATTGCATCCCTGATAGACCCTGCCGTCGACGGTTTGCAGTGCGGCTCCGACACGGAACTTGGAATAGGGCGAATATGAATTTTGGCGGGCGGTCAATGACTCGGTGATGAGATCCTCGATTTGTTTGTGGGATAGTGCTGACGCTTCAGTCATTGGTAAGACCATTGTGTAGGGTTATGTAGAATAGACAGGATTGTAAAAGCGAAGGGAAGGATGAAGAGATGTTGGGACGTTGGAACGTTGGGACGTTGGAACGTTGGAACGTTGGGATAGTAGACAAGACGAACGCGTTTTTCTTTTTCCTCTTTTTTTTTTTTCTTCTCCTCTTTATTGTGCTTATATGCACGATTAAGCGGTGAGGCCAGGGCGCCGTATTGATGGTTCGGAAGTAGGAATAAGAGGAGAGATGATATGCAACATCGAATTCAGGTGTTCTTTCTCCCTCTCTCAGCCTATCCCATACTCTTCTCTCCTAGTTTTCTATCGGCGACGGCGCAAACATGGATCACGCCCTTCGATGTAGGACCAGAGACGCCGCACTTTTGACGACATACCGGAAATGAAAAATACTAGTAAATAATGTGCTGCTGTACGAACCCCCTGAATTGCTTTGCTCAGTTGCAGAACAGGGCCAAGCGAAGCCGAGAAAAAAATGAGCACTTGTTGTTTACTAGTTGGCTGGTTTGCTAGTTAGGAAGGTAAAGGCGCAAGCGATGGGCGGCAATCAACAAAGAGTCCCATGCTTATGAACGTCCTCACCCCTGTTTGTAGTTTCGTGCTTTCAATGGGTGGATAGTGCGCAAAGTGCAAGTGAACACGCATGCCGTGATGGCTCTCGAACTCTCATTGGTCGCCACTAATACGCGCATGTTACAGAGCCGAGGCTGATCAAGGACGCGTCGGCAGATTTATGCAGCAAGGTTGGGCACGGTTGCTCTTCTTGGCACACGGTTCATGGGCAATTACGCGCATGAAACTACGTGAATTATGCTCGTGTGGGTATTCGTAGCCTGTGTTCAAATGCCTGGCGGTCTGCTTGAAATTGAATGCGTGAAAAATAACCTCCTTCATTGCATTCTCACGTGGCAAGCGCTTCGGCATATGCCAGCGAATCCGCGAACCCATCCAACGACCGAAGAGGCCCTTCTTAGACCTCACACTCCACCTTTTCCACCTCCCTTCTCTCGACTCCATCCTGATCTGTCTCCCACACAACCGGAATCGCCAACACCGCAGCTCATCAAGACAGCAGGACAGGCAGACTCTTCCCATTCTTACGTCAACGAAAAGCCATTTTCTTTTTTCTTCTCATCCTAAAAAAAGAAAACGACAACGACAACGACGACGATAACTTTCACACTCAGAATAACGGAGCTGTATGTCGAGCTTTGATTACCACTCCGTATTCTTGACCAACCTCCCAACCGAGCCCTCACCGGCCAGCACAACCAAAACCGCACGCGCCCTTCCTGCTCGCGCAATGACTACCGTCTCGACCACGGGCGCCGGGGCGTCTCCACGACGCAACGTCCTTATCGCACCACCAGGAAAGCAGCAGAGCTCAGCATCCTTCACCGACTTTTTCTCCGCATCAACCCCAGTCCCAGCCTCAGTAACATTACTACTGAGCTATTCTGCCCCGAGCATCCATGCCTGCCATCGACTCTTACAGCTCTTGACCTGGACCTCGGATCGGTCCGTCAAGAGCTTTCTGCTGCTCTTTGCCTGGTGGGCCATCTGTCTTGGCACAGAGACCTTTCTCATCTTTGGGCTCCATAGCACGCTGATTCTCTATATTGGACACTTGTGGATCAAATCCCGAAAGGCGACCAAGGTTGCGGCAGACATTCCCTTGCCTCAGAGCCCAGGCACTCCTCACAGCGGCAAGTTTTCATTCTCAAGCAGTGTCATTTCCAACAGGAGCAACAGTCTGCTCTCATCGACCTCGGCTCGCCACCCAACAACCACTCAGCTGGAGCAGGCAGTGACACTACGGGAGATCCAGGAGATTCTTGACCACTGGGCAGCGTGGAATCGTAATCTGGACAGGATCGAGACGTACTTGGATTGGTCAGACAGGAGTCGGACGCAGCTGGTCCTTTTCCTTGTGGCGTTTACATATGTACCATGGCTCATCCTGAACTACTTTGTGCCCATGCGGTTCATCCTTGTGGTTTTGGGCAGCATTGCCATCTGCTGGCGCGCGCCTTGGTTCACGGTTTTGTGGGCGGTCGCGGTGAAACTGCAGGCATTTTCACCACTGCTGCAACTGATCCCCTACTGGCCCTATCGTCCCGAGGTCTCTGCAAGCTATCGTAAAAAGAAGCGGTTCTCAGTCAAGGACATCATTTCCAGGGCGATCGGACAGCGCAAGAAGAGCGACTCGGACGTAGATACGAGCTACAAGACCAGCACAGGTTACGACATTGAGGAGGATCATGCGACCATGTACTACAAGTTTGTGCTCTACGAAAATCAGCGATGGTGGCTGGGCCTCGAGTGGACGCCTATGATGCTCCCCAATGATCGCGCCCCATGGTATGTATAGACACAGATCGACAACGAGTCTACTGCTGGGGGATTGCTTGTGTGCAGGATACTGACGAGTTTGTATTGAATATGAATAGGACGGACGATCACCTGGAGCCAACACAGAGCAAGTCCTCTTTCCAACTACCCCCGCCACACGTTGCTCATGAGGCCATTCCTGGCCAGCCCAACAAGGTTCTCCGCAAATCACAGGAATGGCGATGGCTCGATCCTCACTGGCGTCTGAAGCTCGGCGCGGACTCTGATGTGGACGGATGGGAGTATGCAAACAACCACTGGCAAAAGTGGTCCGGCAAAAACCGTCGTGGCGCCTATACGAGGAGGAGAGCCTGGGAGAGGACAGCCAAGTTGGTTGATCAGCGCGAGATTGTGTTGCTGGACGATATTCAGGGTGAATTGGTGAGCGAACATGAGCATGAAGATGAAGAGGCTGAGGAGACTGAGGAGGAGGTCGAAGTGGAAGAAGTGGAAGAAGTGGAGGAGGAAGATGAGGAAAAGTAGGACATCTCACCTGCATGAACATACACACACAAACACATACTATGACATTGCAACAGCTATTGACCAGAATCAACTTTTTGAATGAAAACAAATATCATGACAGCCGATCCAGCTTCTGAATATATTGTTAAGGATGAATTCGTATTAATTATATGCTTGATAATGCGAGTGCTTGATGAAAAAAAAAAAATAGTCTACATGGGTTTGGCGCACTTTCGAGGTTCAATTGCTTTCGTCTTTGTGCACTGCATTTCCTGCCATGAAATAGGCACCAGCGATCCACCTGCCACGCTTGTGCCAAAGATTACGCCCAGTTCATTTGCTGCCGTTGACAGATAGTAACTCCTTGCATCTCCTAGTGAGATCTATTCGGCCATGGAATAAAGTAGATTGTACGTTGTATCAATGAATAGTTCACTGAATCCAATTCGGCATAGATACTCTCTTTCTTTCTTGGAAAAAAAAAAAAAAAAAAAAAAAAAAAAAATACAAACAAAAAAAGACTTACCACTTGTGCGCGGACAATGTCGCCTGGCCGGAAGGAATTGTAGATCTTGACCTTATCCTTCTCGGTTGCCCTCACGTCCTGGACGCGGATGATGCCTTGAAAGTCGTCTGTGCAGGGCTTGCCATCGACCACCATAATGCTGACGGCTGCAAACCGCGGATTCACACGGACAACTTTGCATGTGACAATGGTATCGATATCTGGCATGGCCGACTGTGTGTTTTCACGCTGCACGCTCATGGTTGGCAACTATATTTCAGGGTGAATATCAATTGCAGGGTTCCTGGTCAGCATATGCCTGTTGATACCACCAGCAAATCATATACGCCATTGTCCTCTTTTTTTAATTATCCAGAGGCAACCTCCTACAGCCCAAATAAGGCACTGATGGAGCGTAAAGCCGTGATCGCGATGAGGAACTCCTTGTTCTTTACCTCATGGTCGCTTGTCCTTGTGATCTGTTTAAGGCCAACAACACTGGCGTATAAAAAGTCTTGGTGCGAGTATGTTCCTGCTCCGGCTGCGTATTCCTGAACATGCCCCAGTCTCTGTCCGGGCACGACTGCGTCTGCGACTGATGCCATCCTGTGTTATTGATGAAGGTACGGCTGTTCTGCTGTGGGGTTGAAAAAAGGAATGGGCGGTATGCGGTGCAGTGTTGTCTTTAAGAGAGAGAGAGAAGAAAAAAAAAAGAGAGCGCCCTTGAAGTGACGTAGTGTGAAGGAAAAAGAGCCAGTTCAACTCTTGCCCTTGTTCTTTCCAACCCTCAACTCCACCACGCCAAGACCATAGCCATCGTAACTGCCATCACCATCACCGTTGCAACCTGCTCGCCTTAAACAATCGTTCGGACACACAGAAAGAAAACACTATACCAAGTCAACCTCAGTACAATATGATGGTACAGACGCCCTGTCTTCAGCATGACATGAAAGCGACGAGCCTGTCTGTCAAGGTTCATGGCGCGAGAGGATGCAGTGGATTGGTATACTAACCATAGAGACCATCGATACATCTTTCAACTCTGACCTCAACCTCTAGAACTTTTTGTTTGGACGTAGGTCTCCTGCAGAGGCCCTCAGAGCTCACCAGCGGGCCCTCACTAAGGCACAGCGGGAACTGGATCGCGAGAGAATGAAGCTGGAACAGCAGGAAAAGAAGATCATTCAAGATATTAAAAAGAGCGCCAAGGCCGGTCAGATGGTACAATTGAACGCATCTCTTTCCTTCCGTCTTTTTTGCTTTTTGCATTTTGCCCTCGTTTTTTTTTTTTTTTTTTTTCGGGGGAGGGGATGTTATCGGACCCTAGGAGCTGCTCATCCTACTGACTCGTTTCGTTCTGATTTTGTATGATGGCGAGTAGAACGCAGCCAAGGTTATGGCCAAGGATCTTGTACGAACTCGGCGATACATCCAAAAGTTTTACCAGATGAAGACTCAGCTGCAGGCTGTCGGCCTTCGTATCCAGGTACGCAAAAGTGATACAGCGCAACGATCGAGGAGTGTCGTGACCTTGTCTACGTGTCATCGTAAATAGAATTCAACCTTGCTCTTGTATCACCATGGCTGACAATCTTCTGTTTCTGTTTCTGTAGGGTCTTCGTTCCAACCAGCAAATGGCTGAAGCGATGAAGGGCGCAACGAAGGTAACTCTTGCTTCAGCAAGCGTTTAGGCTGTGTCGCCTGTTTTCTGCGTGACCAGATTAACTAATCCTATGGCTTTGTTTGACATCTAGGCTATGGGTGCTATGAACCGCAACATGAACTTGCCCCAGATCCAGCACATTATGATGGAGTTTGAGAAGGAGAGCGAGATCATGGATATGAAAGAGGAGATGATGTCAGATACAATTGATGAGGCTATGGAGGAAGAAGAAGACGAGGAAGAGGAGGAAGCCATCGTAAATCAGGTTCTCGATGAGATCGGGATCCATTGGGATCAATCGGTGAGAGCTAACAGGGTCTTTGCGCCAATTGTCGTAGTTCAGGGTTATTTATCTAATATCCGGCCCTGTTCTCATGTTTTTATAATGGCTATTACATCTCTAGTTAGTATCCGTTCCAGGAACATCGATCAAAACACCAGGAAACGCTGGCAAGGAGCGTGTTGCACAAGCAGAGGGCATGTCGGCCGATGATGCCGAACTGCAGGCCCGTCTGGACAACCTTCGTCGCGAATGAGTTCGCATACACACACCAGTCAATCGAGGGCGGACACCTTTTGTAATACTACTTTAATCTTTGCTGCCAATCAGTTCGTAATAAAGTGATTTATTGCTGAAAAGGATGACTCTCAGGAAAGTGCCAAAGGACGACGGCGCAGGATCATCATGACTCGACACAATAGCAAGCGCGGGCGAAGCACATAGTCAAGAACAGGGCCGACTCATTTTTCTCTGAACCAATTGCACTGACTACGCTGAGTCACCATGGATCGTATTGCACAGTACAGGAAAGAGGGGCTCTTCTGGGATCTCGCTGCTGTGCCCTCCTTTGAAGCGATAAAAAGACCCCCTTAAGCTGCTGTTCTTTCTCCACAAACTTATTTTGTTTTTTAGCCCTCGTCTTCTACACTCTTCACTCCTTTCCATCCCAGCACGACGATCAACCATGGCCTCTTTAACACCAGCTCAAAAGTACAATGTCATCTCCAGGAATCTGCAGGAGGTCCTGGGCAAGGACCAGATCGAGTCCATCCTTGCCGAGCGCGATCTTAACATCTACTGGGGAACTGGTAAGGGACTCTCTCTTTCTCTTAAGAACCTTTATCAATCGTTTTTCCCCTGTGGCAGTGACTCATCATATTTCTATCAATAAAGCCCATACGCCTTCTCCAACACAACTTCATCACACATCAACACGATCAATAAAACATTGCCACGTCTTTATATCATTTGATGCACATATCCTCACTGACACAATACTGACAACGGTCTATTACACCCTTGGGGTTATGTAGCTCCCACCGGAAAGCCCCACTTGGGTTACTTTGTCCCCATGACCAAGATTGCCGACTTCCTCGAGGCTGGCTGCCACATCACTGTGCTCATCGCTGATATCCATGCCTTCCTCGACAACATGAAGGCCCCCATGGAGCTTGTTGGCAAGCGCGCCGAGTACTATACCCAGCTGATCAAGGCCACCTTGACCTCCATCGGCGTCCCCACCGAGAGGCTGAAGTTCGTCCAGGGATCATCCTACCAATTGACCGCAGAATACTCTCTCGCCAACATGAAGATCTGCTCCAAGACCACTGAGCACGACGCCAAGAAGGCTGGAGCTGAAGTCGTCAAGCAGGTCGAGGCCCCCCTCTTGTCAGGATTGATGTACCCTGGAATGCAAGCATTGGACGAGGAGTTCTTGGGTGTCGACGCTCAGTTCGGAGGCGTGGATCAGCGCAAGATTTTTGTGTTTGCAGAAAAGATGTTGCCGAGGCTTGGATACAAGAAGCGTGCGCACTTGATGAACACTATGGTCCCTGGTTTGGCCGGCCCCAAGATGTCGGCGTCGGATTCCAATTCCAAGATCGATCTGTTGGAGGCACCTGAGGATGTTAAGCGCAAGTTGGACAAGGCTTTCTGCGAAGAGGGCAATATCACTGAGAATGGAATCCTGGCCTTTGTCAAGACCGTGCTTTTCCCTCTGCGATCCATGAACGGCAAGTCGCCCAGTTTTAGCATTCTCAGGCCTGAGAAGTTTGGTGGCGATGTTGTCTACACCAACTACGAGGATTTGGAGAACGATTTCAAGGACAAGAAGGTCCATCCCAGCGATTTGAAGAAGGCTGTTACGGAGGCAATCAATAACTTGTTGGCACCCATCCGCAAGTGGTTCGACACTGAAGAGCTTCGCAAGTTGACCGAGGAGGCCTACCCTACTCCCAAGCCAGAGGTCACGGCCAAGCCTGTCAAGTCGAACAAGGTACTGTATCTGGGTTGTTGATTGAATAGAGTTAATGGAACTAATATGCCATCTATCATCGCTAACCTATTGTTGATTTGTGGTCGATTGTCTGTAGCCCGCTGCCAATGCGAACTTGCCAGTGGACATTTCTCGTATTGACATCCGTGTTGCCCGTATCGTTGAGGCTAAGGTCCACGAAGCCAACCCCAATTCGTACATTTCGACTGTTGATTGTGGTAATGGCGATGTTCGCACGGTTGTATCTGGATTGGCCAAATACATCCCTCTGGAGGAGATGCAGAACCGCCTTGTATGTGCGGTCTGCAATTTAAAGCCTGGAAAGTTTCAAGGGGTGCAGTCGAGTGCCATGTTGCTTGCAGGATCATCAGCTGACGACTCTGTGGTTGAGTTGTTGCAGCCCCCTGCTGGATTGGAGGCTGGTGATGTGATTGAGTTTGAGGGATATGGACAGCTGGATCGCTCTTTGCCCGAGAAGCTGAACCCCAAGCATTTGATCTTTGAGAAGGTCTCTGAGGACTTTAAGATCAGCCCCGAGGGATTGGCCTTGTACAAGGATCTGCAGTTCAAGACAAAGGCTGGTCCTGTCACCCTGAAGTCCTTGAAGGAGGGTCGTATTAGGTAGAGGGCTCGATATCAGTTGAATAAACGAGCTTGAATAAGTTTGGACTGCCTTTTATGATTGTAAACACCGAATTTCCTTTTCTAGCTCATTGTTGACAATGAAAACTATTCCCCTACTGGTCCCTCCCTCTTCCCACTTCTCTTCTTCGCCCTCCCTCCCTCCTTCCTCCTTCCTCCTTCCTCCTTTCTCCTTCCCTCTTCTCGCCTAATCCTTGCTCCCTTTTTCGAGAAGCACCATGTCTATCCGTTTTTTCTCCACTATACGCCCAGCCTTGCGCTTGGCTTCTACTCATCCTTTGGTCTTTTCTCGTCTCGTCCCCCGCACGGCTGCACCAGGTACACCACTCTTCCACCCCTGAAAGAAGACCCACCTCACCCTGTAGATTCCCTGGCAAAGGAAATCGACTTCCATGCCAGGAAACTACCAATCTAGCAACCCATCAAGTCAGCGACTTTTGCTTATCTCGGTGAATTTGAAGATACTATGGTTACTTACAACGTATCGTTTTTCTTCTAATAGTTGTCTCACAAGCAAAGACCTTCCCTGCCTTAACCTCATATCTTCAGAGATCTGCCGGTTTCCATTCCAATTCGGCTATCCTCCAAGCTTCCAATCAGGAGGCATTGAGCGAGCAGGAGGAAGATGAGCTTCCTACTCGTTTCGATGAAATCACATCAATGCACCCTAACACTGCCAAAGCCATCAAGACCATCTTCAAGTACGAGAGCATGTCCAAGGTCCAGTCTGAGGTTCTTTCGATGCTTCCCACCGATTCTGACATGTTTGTCAAGGCCAAGACCGGAACTGGAAAGACTTTGGCCTTCTTGATCCCCGCGCTTGAGACTGTGGTGGCGAAGACCGATAGCAAGCTCCTGAAGCGAGGAGACATGGCAACCTGCCTGATTGTCTCTCCCACTCGCGAGTTGGCACAGCAGATTGCAGAGGAGGCCAGGAAGCTCGTCACTCCTCATAGGTTCAACGTACATTGCCTTGTCGGCGGTGAGAATAAGGGCAAGCAGATTCGCCAATTGAACACTAAGCGTGTGGACATTGTCGTCGGAACCCCTGGCCGTCTGAACGATTTGATTGAATCCGTCTCCGAGTTCCGCTCTCAGTTGGAGGGTGTCAAAACTGTAAGGATAACCCTGGTATATTTTTTGACTTTAAGGCCAGCTTATGTTCTATGTTCTAACAAGTGTTATATCTGCTACTTCAAACCACTAGTTGATCCTTGACGAGGCCGATCAGTTGTTGGATATGGGATTCAAGGACAGCATTGAGAGTATTGTTGGAGCAATCCCTAAGGATCGCCAGACATTGCTCTTCTCCGCCACAGTGTCTCGCCAGATCAAATCTATTGCCAGAACTTCTCTTAAGCCCGACTTTACTTTTATCGACACCGTTGATCCCAACGAAGCCAACACTAACCTGCAGGTCAACCAGTCCTACTGCGTCACAACCTATGAACAGCAGTTGCCACTTTTGGCCCGCATTATTGAGGATCATAAGAAGTCGAATCCCCACGGCAAAGTCATGGTTTTCTTGCCAACAACCCGCGGAACTCAGCTCTACGCCTCGCTCTTTGAAGAGTTGACCAGCTACCGCCTCTTCTCACTGCACTCCAAAAAGTCGCAGGAGCAGCGCACCAGGACTTCTGACCGCTTCAGAAAGAGCAAAGGATCCATTATGTTTACATCAGATGTTTCGGCTCGCGGCGTTGATTATCCCGATGTGTCGCTTGTTATCCAGGTCGGTATCCCATCCTCCAAGGAGCAGTACATTCACCGTGTCGGTCGTACAGGACGCGCTGGAAAGACAGGAGAGGGTATTTTGATGATCACACCTGTTGAGAAGTCGTTCTTGGATGTAATGGCAGACCTGCCTCTGACTCTTAATGAGACCTCCAAGGGAATCAATGAGATTATGGAGGACGAGGGATTGTTGGCGAAATTGAAGGCCGCCAAGGAAGCGCAAGACCCCGAGATGATTCACGACGCCTTCACCGCATACCTTGGATACTGTAAGTCCAGAAATTGATTGCTGTTTTAGGGTGTGTTCGATATTTGAAAAGCATATGCTCCATTGATACTGACGATCACCCTTGTTATCTTATCATCATAGACACTGGGCGCCTGGATGTTCTTACTTGTCCTAAGCGTGACATCCTGGATTCTGCCAAGCAGTACATCCTGAACCTCGGTGCGGACGAGCCACCCCATCTGAGCGAATCCTTCCTTTCCAAATTGGGATTCAGCTCCAGGGCTGGTCCATCTCGCGGTGGATTTGGACGCGGAAACTTTGGCGGCGGACGTCGCGACAGCTTCAGCCGTGACCGCTCGCCTTCGCGATTCGGGGACCGTGATGAGAAACGTGGCAAGGATGTTGGCCGCAGCAGCTATGGACGAGACAACAGCCGTCAATCAAGTTATATGAAGAACGATCGCACCGATCGTCGGACTAACAAGGACAGTAGAGACTTTTCAGACCGCTTCTTCTCCAGGGATTGAGGCTGAATGACCCTGCTCAGTTGCTGCTGGATGTTTATAAGTAGCCGTGTTTAATATTCATTTTGCCCTTCGACCGTGTATTACCTTTCCATCCATCCATGCCTTTGTTACACCACCTCATATCATCATTCTTGCAATCATTATCATCATTAAACATATAAACATATCTTTTTTTGTATCCATTGCTTTGACGCTCACACTTTATGCCCTTGTGGGTCAGAATGCTTGCAGAATGGCTCCATGAGATCAAAAGGGCTGTTCGGATTTAAGGGGTCAATGATATTCATTTACCCCTGGACCATTCTTTTTTCGTCCTTTTACCGTGCGAAAGTCACCCACACCTTGCGTTACTGCATCAACGGAAGACATCCCCCTCCCACAACATGGCACAGGACTTCAGCGATCCCCTCACGTCGGCCGCATATGCCTCCTCTAAGACTGCATCGGGACACGATCCCCTGCTTGCACCAGTTCCAGTACCAGTGACAGCTGCGAACGAACGGCCCATTCCATCCGTGAACACCAGGACAACCAAAATCACCCAGAGCACTTCTGATCCCTTGTCGTCGCCGACTATAAAGAAATCGCTTGCGCAGAATCGTCCTACACCGTCTGCATCCGTCCATCAAAGGGCCTCATCACCAGCCCCTTCAAAAACGACGTCGATAGGGACTAAACCTAATCGCTTCTCCGACATCTCTTCGTCCTCCTCCCCTTCTTCACCCCTATCGCACCCCTTCTCTGATCCTCTCAGCAGTGACAGTATCAACGGCGGTCATGAGCCATACAGGCACGAAAACGGCTTCTTTGACAGAAGTAATAGCAACCTGAACCACCGTTCGACAATCGCTTCCTTCCCGCCGAACCCCCGCGTCAGTACCTCAGCCAGCGGTAGCAGCAGCAGCGTACCCAACAGCACAATTCACTCTCCAGTGCCTCCTGCAAAGACCGTCAGCAGTCCAAAAACAGTCTCATCGCCGCCAAGAACTAGCCGGCGTGAGTCTTCGTATGAGCAGCAACGCGTCAAGGCACCTCAATACCTCCATATCACCATCCCGGACACGGATCGAAGAGGCAGAGATGGCCTCTTTACGCTTTCTGTTCAAGTAAAGAATAGCGCGCGAAATATGTAAAACAAATGTTATCAAACATTCGGCAGGCTATTGACGCTCTCTATGAATAATTTTGTAGACGAACATGCCTCGATACAAACGCCAGTCGTATCGTAATGTTACGCGCTCCTATCTCGAATTTGTCAGGCTGAGGGAACATCTTGTCGCAGAGCATCCAGAGGTCATTGTTCCTGTGCTGCCCCCAGAACGATCGTTTGTGAGTGCGTCGGACATTCAATCAATGCGCCTTTTCGTGGAGAGGATAAGTCGCCATCCGGTTCTCTCACAGGATTATGAGCTGCAGATGTTTATTGAGTCTGAGTTCGGCGTAAGTCCAGAACCAGAGCTGTTCAATTGGATGAGTTGTTGCTGGTGTTTTTGCGTTTTATTTTATTGTGCTCATGCTTTCGAGAATTTCTTTTATTTGCCCGCGGGATCTACAGTTTCTTCCGCCAGCCAAGCCCAAAAAGATTTTGGGCAAATTACTCAACATCGGCGTGAAGAGATTCAGCTCTGGAGGAGGGGCCAGTTTATCAATGGGCGATACTGACGACGAATTCGAAGAGGAGAGGGCCGTTGCATCTAAGGTCGAGACCAAACTGCAGACCGTAATCAAATGTCTGGACAGGGAGATCAAAGCCAGGAGAGGTGAGTGTCTTTGCCGCCAAATGTCATGCCTCTCCGCGGGATATATCACAATTAGGTACTGAGTCTGGAACATCTATCTTGCAGATCTTAGTTCAAAGGAATCTGAGCTGGCAACGCTGAGTAATGCATCGGCGACTACTGAGAGTTCACAGGAGTTGGCAAGGTAAACAGATGCCGGCCTGCAGAACAAGCAAGGGTAGATGAGTGATAGGAATAGTGGATGCTAACACGGATGATCACAGAACATTCAAACTGCTAGCAAAACCACTGGATGGTATGGCAAAAGCCAGTAAAGCACAGGTAAGCACACCAGCTCTGTCAATTCTCAATTGACACATTCGAATGCTAACTCACCATCCTTTTGTCCGCTTGCATAGGTCGGAGGTGATGCCACAGTGCTGGGAAGCTTTTTAGAGTATAAATTACAGCATGTGCAGACACTTTCTGGTGCACTGCACTATCGGTTGTCTGTCCTGGGCGAGTACGATGCAGCGATCAAGAGCACAGAGAGTAAGCGTAAAATCATGGAGAGGCTGAGATCGTCGACAAACATCAACCCCGAGAAGGTGACGGACAGCATTGACGACCTAGAGGATGTAAGTGTTCATCTCAATTTTGTACTCCGTGCAACGCAAACCTTACAGGAACGTGGAAACCCCGATTACTCCGTTGTCATTAACCGATTACCCGCCTTTCTTGCCTCTTAAACCTTTGGACTGCTCTTGATTTACATCCTCGATGGCGTGAAACCTCATACAAGGCGGTACTGTTCGAGGGCAATATGAAAAAGAGGATGGAGCAAGTCTCGACAGCCCTGACGAAAGATCTGGAAGGATATAAACATCAAAGTCAGGAGGATCTCTTGCGCGCTCTACAGCAGTACAGTCAACGACAGGTTGGATTCGAAAGGGCGAAATTAGAAGAGTTGCTGTCTGTCAGTGCAGGGCTCGGGACGGATCAGGGCCAGGAGGGGCCAGAAAACGATCATCCGCAGCGGAGTGGGCGTCTATCTGCAGGCAGCCCTTCGCCCAGCAGGAATTCGCGAGGATCATCACCCGAGTGAGCCTGATCCTCCTGCAACGCAGCTGGGTAAAATAAAGCGAACACCAATCGGGCCCCACTCGTATTTCATTGGCTTGTTGACCTCTGTTGGCCCCCTGTTGACCAGCTCGAAGCGACTGAGCCGTAGCGTTGGGATCTTCCGGGATTTGCCACCAATCGTTGCCAGTGACTGGTTGAAGCGGAGAAAAAAAAGAAAGCGGCAGAAAACGCATCATTGTCTCCGCACTTCCATGGGGTTCTTTTCGCTTCAATTGCCTTTTATGGAGTGGGTGGCTTGCTGCGCATCATCAACAATCTTGTTTCCCCCAGCTCAGAAGGACTCATATTTAACGGCCTTTCGGGTACGTCCATCCCCTTCCCCCAACTTGATTCCCCCTCCTTCCTTCCCTCACCTCCTCATACCGCAACCATGTTGAATCTCGCTCGCCTGTCCCGCTCCGCGGCCAACATCCATGCTAAGAGGGTAAGTAAGCTTTGTCTTTCGTTCACCACCCTTGTTCTGCTTTGCCACCCCTGATCAGTGTGCAGTATTTTATTTATGTCTCAGGAACGAGATCTGATTCAGGAACTCAGGAGATCAACCGTCCAAAAAAAAAAAAAAACGAAAGTCTGAACAGCAAACTAACACGCACGATTGTTTTTACCTTGTTGCTTTGAATGAATGATAGGTTGCTGCCCGTTCGTACAGTGCCATCAATGGACCCGTTATCGGTATCGATCTCGGAACCACCAACTCTTGCGTCGGTATCATGGAAGGAAAGATTCCCCGCGTCATTGAGAACGCCGAGGGTGCCCGCACCACCCCCTCGACCGTTGCCTTCACCAAGGAGGGCGAGCTCGTCGTCGGTCAGGCTGCCAAGCGTCAGGCCGTTGTCAACCCCGAGAACACCCTCTATGCCACCAAGCGTCTGATCGGTCGTCTGTACTCTGACAAGGCTGTCCAGCACGATATCAAGACCGTCTCCTACAAGATCGTCAAGCACCAGAACGGAGATGCCTGGGTCGAAGCCCGCGACAAGCAGTACTCTCCCTCCCAGATCGGTGCCTTCGTTCTCGGAAAGATGAAGGAAACGGCTGAGGGCTATCTCGGAAAGAAGGTCGGTCACGCCGTCGTCACCGTCCCCGCCTACTTCAACGATGCCCAGCGTCAGGCCACCAAAGATGCCGGAAAGATTGCTGGTTTGGACGTTCTCCGTGTCATCAACGAGCCCACCGCTGCTGCCCTTGCCTACGGTTTGGACAAGGCCGGTGACCGTGTTGTCGCTGTCTACGATCTGGGTGGTGGTACGTTCGACATTTCCATTTTGGAGATCCAGAACGGTGTCTTTGAGGTCAAGTCGACCAACGGAGACACTGCTCTTGGTGGTGAGGATTTTGATGCTATGCTCGTCAAGCACGTCGTCGAGGAGTTCAAGAAGGAGCAGGGCTTGGATCTTTCGAACGACCGCATGGCCATTCAGCGCATTCGTGAGGGTGTCGAGAAGGCCAAGATCGAGTTGTCTTCAACCCTCCAGACCGATATCAACCTTCCCTACATTACTGCCGACAGCACTGGCCCCAAGCACATCAACATCAAGATGACCCGTACCAAGTTCGAGGCCCTCGCCAAGGACCTCATTAATCGTACCATCGAGCCCTGCCAGAAGGCCATCAAGGATGCTGGCGTCCAGTTGAACGAGATTAACGAGGTCGTACTCGTCGGAGGCATGTCTCGTGTTCCCAAGGTCATCGAGACTGTCAAGCAGGTCTTTGGCCGTGAGCCCGGCAAGTCCGTCAACCCCGATGAGGCCGTCGCTATCGGTGCCGCCATCCAGGGAGGTGTCTTGGCCGGCTCCGTCACCGATATTCTCTTGTTGGATGTCACCCCTCTTTCCCTCGGAATCGAGACCCTCGGAGGTGTCTTCACCCGCTTGATCAACCGCAACACCACCATCCCCACTAAGAAGTCTCAGGTCTTCTCGACTGCTGCCGATGGCCAGACCCAGGTCCAGGTTCGTGTCTTCCAGGGTGAGCGTGAGTTGGTCCGTGATAACAAGTTGTTGGGCGACTTCAACTTGCACGGCATTGCCCCCGCCCCCAAGGGTGTTCCCCAGGTTGAGGTCTCCTTCGACATCGATGCCGATGGTATTGTCAACGTCGGAGCCAAGGACAAGGCCACTGGCCGCGACCAGTCGATGTCGATTGTTGCCTCCTCGGGCTTGTCTTCGGATGAGATTGAGAAGATGATCAAGGATTCCGAGCTCTTTGCCGACTCTGACCGCAAGAAGAAGGAGCAGATCGAGGCCACCAACCAGGCCGAGTCTATCATCACTGAGACTGAGAAACACATGAACGACTTCAAGGATCAGTTGGACTCGACCGAGGCCCAGAAGATCAAGGACCAGATCGTCAAGCTGCGTGATGTTCTTGCCAAGGGCGAGGTTGTCGAGGCCGAGGAGATCAAGAAGGAGTACACTGACCTTCAGCAGGGATCGCTCAAGCTGTTCGAGATGGTTTACAAGCAGAACGCTGCCAAGTCCGCTTCGTCTTCGTCCCAGGACACCACCGTCGAGAACGAGGAGCCCAAGAAGAACTAAGCGCTCGTGGTAGCAGTCTTGCATCTTTTTCTTTTGTTTCTTATATTGCCATTCCTTTCAACACATGTAACATCAGTCAGTCTTTCTCTCACACCCATCCCTGCCATATAATGTCGCTTTTCTGGTTATCTTTTTCATCCTTTTAGACTTTGTTCTCTAGACAGATAAAAGAATAGAATCTCGCTGTAATTATCTCTCACATGCCATAATAAATAGACATTCAGAAAAACATATCGCAATCGATGAGATGAGTTGCTTCGGAAGAAGTTGGGAGGTGCTTGAGGTGCTTTGGATCAAGGTTTGCTCTGGATTCAAGGTGAGCTGGATGAGCAGTCAAGATTACTCCGCTGTAAACAGCAAGCCACGTATTCTTCACCCTCTGGGAACGGGCATAGCAGGACAGGGGCAAGAGATCACTCCGTCCTTCTGCCTCGATTGCTCATTCGCGAACCTTTGACCCCAAGGAAGCACCTTGTTCAGACAGGATATATAATGTTCCGCGCACTCTCAAAAGGAAGCACCGTTGCAGCCGCGCTGGCTCAACGCCAGGTTCTCGCCACACAAACCCGGGTTCATGCCGCTGCGACCGTAGCCTCATTCCATAGCTCATCTTTCTGGAACAACAACAATAGCAGCAGCAACAAGACTAGTGGCGACACTGAACTTTCGGACATCTTTGCCACGATTCGTTCGAACAGCAGCAACAGCGGCGACAACATCAACACAGGCAAAACCAGCAAGTTGCTGAACAGCTCTCGCAGCAGCGCCGGAACGACTGGTGCTGCACGCTCAGGGACCTCTTTCTTTGGCCTGGGGGCTCCAAAGGCGAACACGACATCGAACCCGATTCATCTGGACACGAACCATGCGACGGAGGGACGTTCGTTCAAAGTGAACTCCCCGGCGATGATCGATCAGACATACAGACGGTTGCGTACGGCCCTGAACCAGTCGAACGTGAAGCGGGAATTGCGTCTGAGGAGGACTTATGAGACAGGTCATGTGCGGATGAGACGCGAGAAGCAGGAACGGAACAAGAAGTTGTTTGGAGCCATGGTCAGGAAGAAGATTGAATTGATCAAGTTGATGAAAATTCGGTACGTCCGTCGTTCTCTCCTCTCTCTCCTCAACCTTGCAGCCTTGCAGTTGCGACTTTGATTGTGGAGATCGTCTTGTTTTTTTTGTTTTTGTTTTTTTTACGAGCGCGCTTATTTTCAGATGAATGTATCGCTTATGTTGTCTAGTGTGCTACTATATTAATCAATGGTCTTTTGTTCTCTTCTTCCTATCTCTTTTAGCGGTATGTAAAGGGGCGGGCATAGTGCAAAGCAATTGCGGACAGGATAAACAGCGCACTGAAGGGATATTATTGCAGGAGTCAATAGACTTTTCTTTTTTTTTTAGAAAAGGAATAAAAAAAAAAAACGGCACAAAATATCTTGCAGGAATCTGTAATGATGCGTTAGACTAGCACTGGCTAGCATGCATGGGAGCGTTGCAACCAGGGAAAAAAAAAAAAAAAAATCGCTGCCCTTTGGGCGCACGCGACCTTTTCGTCCCATCGCGGCACAAAATTTGGTTATGTCATTTTTCTGCCCCCAAAGAGACCAACCAAGCCCTGCTGTACACCTTTTCCAGACAAAGAACAAGCCTATGGTTTCTATATCCCTGCTTCAAGTAGACTATGCCGTTAGTTACACATATGTTTGAAGCTAAGCGCGTCGCTAGTTTTATTCTAATGTTCTGGGATTCTGGGAATATGTTACAAGGTGCTATGTACAAGTGTGCATGTATCTGGCTATGTATGTACAGAGAGAATGGAATGGAGAATTCGCCCGTCCCCCGCCCCCCAAGCCGACCGCCCATCTTTTCAGCTGAGACGCAATGAAAAAACGTCCCGCAGAGATATATAAAAAAAAAGTACGCGGAACTAAACCATACTCGTGCGCTAAGCGATTTGAAAGCGCGCGCGAACAACGTCAAGTATCGGTCATCCTTGACTGTGCACTACTAGACTCGCCACGATCTTCGTCATTGGCTTTGTGCAACGCCCGATCTTCCCAAGGCCTCCCCCTTGCGAGCCCATGCGTGCAAACCAGAGACGATTTCTGGACCCATCGCCCGTCTAGGCTTCGGCTGTCTCCGGCCCCTCGTCCATGGCCCCGTCGTCTTCTTCTTCATCTTCTTCGAGAAGCTCGCCCTCGATGGTGCCATCGACCTCCTCGTCAGCGTCGGGTCTAAACATGTTATCGGCCTCTGTGTCAAGTAGCTCGTTTCCAGCATCATCATCGTCATCGTCCAAGACGGCGTGGCCTTCAAGTGTACGATCGGACCATTGCTCTGGAAGCACTGCTCTGGTATGAATCGGAGATGATGACTCCTGCTGCTGCTGTTGTGGATACTGCTGCTGCTGCGGCTGTGATTGCTGTGGTGACTGGTGAAGAATGTACGATGTCTTATCTGGATCACCGCCTGTCTGATCTGGAGACTCAACAGGAAGAGCTCTTCGTTGATGCGCAACAAGTCTCTGGGTTGGCACTCGACGAATCCGGGCTCTCCCGTGTGATGGCTGTGCAAACGGCGAAGTGTGACGCAAGGGCTGTGCGTTCAAGGGTTGTGGCAAAGGTATTGATGCTGGGGAGGAGGAGTATGGGGGTATGATGGATAGGAGCCTAGAGATGGGTGCGGCGTTGACGTGGATAAGAGCGGGATCCTGGGATAGAGCGATCAAGGCCAGGAGGAAGGATGATAGCAAGAACGTGCTTGAGTGTGCTTGAACCATGGCTTGTCTGATAGTTGGTTGGAGAACACGGAAGATTGGATCGAAGGAGGATTGCACGGTTTGATTGTGAAAGGTCAAAGGGGCGATGGTGGGGGAAGAGTTGAAAAGAAAGCAGAAGTAGTAGAACTTGAGAGTGAGAGGAGAGAAAGGCGGGGATGTGGACTTTAAATAAGTATGGTACGATATGACTTGGGGCGCCCACTGAATGGGCTTTTATACTACGGGAAATGGTACATGTGGTGGTGCTATGGTGTAAAAGGTCAGGAAGTACCACAAAGGAAAAAAGAAGAAGCAGCCCATTCCAAGAAAACACACCCAGCTCTTTACTCCATTGATGTTTGTAAATAGGAGCTGCAATGCATGGGGACCATAGAACTGACATCTATATAACAAATGTATCCACCATGTATGCCTGTCAATGCTGGGTACTGCTGACATCCTGGACCCATCCCAGCGGCGTTTTCTCCAGAGACGGTGTCTCTAAACCATACTATACGCTCGTGGAGGGGGACCAAATCAGGAGAGCACGAAATAAGAACCGGCGAGGGATACACGCCAGGAGGGAATGGCAACAACATCAGCTGTGCCGAGTGTCGCATCTCCTTGCTTTTCTTTTCCTTATCCCTGCCGATAATCCTCCTTACAGCAGGGGCGTTATCCCAAGCCTTGTCCCTTTTGTGGCAAAAATAAACTCGGATATGGAAAAGGGCTAAGAGGGCGGCGGCATTTTTTTTGTACTTGTACAGCCGAGATTTTTACTGCCTGTACTTGTCATCTGGCCTGGTCATCGTCGCATAAGATGGCGCTAGGCCGAGAGAGTTAACAGTATTGGTAGCAGACCATGAGTCTTTTACTCTTTGCGCCAGATGTCATCCCTTGTATGTAAAGAACATTCCCCCCCATCCACGATTAGAAACCCATGAGCTCCCTATTTTTATTGCGCCTCATCATGATTGAGAATTTAAAAGCAGTAAAATATTCCCGGTAACAACTCTGTTACCAGAGCCCCAGGGTCAGAGGAGGAGGGCCTTGAATGTATATTTTATTGTAACAGCATGTTTCGCCCTGTTGCCTTGTTACTTTTGTATACCTTCTCGCACTACCCATTGACCAGTTTATCTGATCATTATGGTGCACCTTCAGGGCCCCTATTGTCTAAGCAAAGGCGCGTTAGCGAAGAGACTATGGTCATATGTTTTCGATGGTAGGATCCTTAGCACCTGTAACCAGAGCCGCTATAGCCCAGGGTTGGACAATAGCGCTTTTTCTTCATGGAGAATCATGAACAGCCTCATGATTTCTTTTATCCAAGTGCGGTCTGTATTGCTTTTTACACACGCCAGCTTCAAAAAAAAAAAAAAAAAAAAAAATGCTCAAAGCTCAAACGAAATTGGCATGTATTCAGAATGACTCTGTCGGTTGCCAAAGTCCTGAGCGAAAGGGAAGTGTCTTTTTCGACCATCTCAAGTCCTAGCCTTTACCTAGGAATGCGCTGGGCGTTCAGATGAAAATGATGTACGCTCGAAGCAACGCTCTTTGTCGCTAACGCGCTACACAAACGAACAGACGCATACACAAACAAACAAACACGGAAACAGCAGAAAGGATTCGGCGTGTGACACAAATTTCCTTTCCTGTCGCGCTGGCAAACACTGGTAATATTTCATAAACAAACACTCAGCATAGAGAACAAGCACTGTCAGTGGCAGTTTCTTATGTGTATAAAAGAGAATGACGACAGATGTACTCAAAAGGCCATCCGCTTATCAGCAAGACGCATGGTCAGACTCAGCAACTCCGAGACAGGACGTACATACAGTAGACTATCTACGCGGGTCAGCGATAGATAAACCTGCTGTGAAGAAGGATTTTTGAGTAATAATAGAAAACAACAAGAAGAAAAAAAAAGGGTGCTGAATAGCCACCACAGCTCTTTTGTTTGCGACCCCACTCCAACATCAGGTCAAATTTCCGATATCTCGATTCAAAGTCCGTGTAGCGGTGTTACAGGTGGACGTCAAAAAAACTGCCGAGTCGGTGCTTGTTGTTATCTCTCTCTCTCTTCTCAGCCAGCCAATCCGCGGCAGTACCTGGCCCACCTCTTCCAAGACCAGGGTGTTATCAGCGGATGCGGCCGTTGAAATAGCCATGCTGACTAGTTGCTGCTGCCCAGATCAGTATTGTAAAAAACGATCTACAATTGAATTATTTGGAGATATCTGGCTGCGGGCTTGTCAATCTGGTCGGTTCTTGGGTGGCAATAATCGGCAATCAAGAGATACGGAGCAGGGTCCATGCGCATCGGTACCTGACTCGCATTGACATGTTCGAGAACAGATAAAAAAAAAGGTATAAAAAGGCACTTTTCCTCACGCACTTCTCTTTTCTTTCCATTGTCAGCACCGTTCTTCGCATACACACACACACTTTCCACCCACTTTCCAAACAGCCAAACACACAAAATGGATACCAACGTCTCTTCCATGGCCTTCTTCAGGAACATGAAGTGCAACAATGCGGCCCCATCCACCTCGGCCCCTTCCTCGGCTTCCCGCTCCCACTCCGGTCGCCTGTTCTCGTTCAAGCGCAACAAGGCATCGCGTGCCTCCGAGATCGGTCCCCTGAACCCTGGTTCTGAGAAGATCATGAACTCGACCAACAGTTCCTCAAGCTCGCTCTCGCGGGGTTAAACCAAGCCAGTCGAACGCCGCGTTGCTCGATCAAGACAACCAAGTCTAGCCGAATACTGCGATAAGACGCCTAAGCGTTAACGCATACCCCACTCCAAGAGATATGGGATTCTTTCCATCACCACAAGTGATCTGTGAATTACTTTAGCATCGTTATTACTCTCTCATCCTTCATTGTGTGTACTATACCCCCGATAATAATAAACCTACCGAGCATTCCGAGTTCAACATCTGCAAGTCATGCTAGTCCAGCTTGACAGTATCGTGAGGTTACTCTTTAAACAGCAAGTGCAAATGGCCAATTAAATAGCCATGTTCGTTTATTCACTTGCTTGTGCTAAAGTCTATGTGTGAGGCTCGGTCAATTGCGAATAAAGACAGGGTTAATGCACAGCCGCTGTTTGCACACTGAGGCCAATGTCAAGAGTCGATCTCTAGTTGGTTTTGCTACTTGTTGCTGTGCAATGAAATGTGAGGCTCTTTAATGCCAGGTCTTTCAATGCGCAAGCATTGTCGCATCACGGTACCAAAGTGCCAGTGCTAGTAGTTCTTTCTGGTAAACCTTAAATGTCCCACCCCAGATTGAGCGCGTTTCAGAATAACTTGGAGGTGACATGAAGGTGATCAGTATGCCCCAATACCACCGCAGAGAGTGAAAGAGGAGGTAAAGCAGCTCCTTAGGGACATTGCCGTTCAGAGATATAGGCATACGCAGCAGAAGTAATGTGCTTGCCAGTTCAGGCTTAGTTTGCCCCCCGCCAATCTTCCGCAGAGTCGAAGTATTCGGATCACAAGGTTGCTATGCCTCATTACCAACTGGTCAAAAAGGCGCTGTGCCGTCTTTATGGTGCCGTCCGTCCCTATTTTTCTTGAGTGCCTATCTTCTTCAAAGACCTCTTCGTTTCTCGCTCTCCCACTTGTCTCTCTTCCTGGTTTCGTTCTGTTCGTTTCGTGGTCTGGTCAATCTATGTTCCATAAGTCCGACTTCAAAGAGTGCCCCTGTCTGTGTTTGAAGTCTTCCAATCCACTAATCCACTATCCATTGCCGTTGTCGAGTTGCCTCTTTGGGATGCCTATGAATCGGCTGCGAGGAAGTAATTGGCGGAAGTGACAAGAAAGAAGCGGAGGCTGAAGAAGTGCAGTTTGTACGTGTTTTTTTTTTCTTTTTTTTCTGCTCCCCTTTTCCCATTCTCATCTCTTCTTTTTTTCCTTGTCCTTTCATCCGCTTCCATCATCCCCCATCCTCATCCCCTCACCTTCCATCATCCTCACTGCCCCCTTCGCCGTTATTTGTTCTATTTCTTGTTCCTTTTATTGCTGATTCTCCCTTGTCGTCCTCTCAGTCCTTATTTTCACCCACGCTCTCATCTTACGATTTATACCACCGTACATTTGTCATCATCTGTCTTCATCAAGTCAGGACATCAAAAAGAAGAAAAAAAAACCCCCCCATTTCCCCTAAAAAAAGATCTTGACCTTGATCATCCTTTACAAAAAAAAAACCCTCAAAAAAAGACCACTCTTCAGAACCCCTGCATTGTCGCTTTGTTTCGCACTGTTCTTTTGCGCTGTATATATTCTCAATCCTGTACATAAACCTGCTTATCCGCCCTTAGACGAGATCAGCAACTGAAGGCTACCTTTCCGCCTTATTTGCACTCTCACACCGTTCACTTCCCACCCGTTGTTTGTACGCTTCGCTTTAACGTTCATATCATCTCAATCATCCCTACAACCGCATCGCGCAACTTCCCCTCATATCTCTTCTATTGCTGATCCTCAGCAACAGTCATGACCACCAAGCGACTCGACCTCTCCTTTGACGCCATGTCCCTCAAGGATAATGGCCTTCCCTCCCCAATCAACCGCCCGTACTCACAGTATGGTTCCGAGCGAGCTCCCTCGAGTCCCATCACCCGCAAGCCCACCATTGGCACTGGTTCCCAGCGCAACAGCGTACGAGTTGACGGCAAGGATGTGCGCCGTCAGTCTAGCCGCCTGTCCCTTGCGAATGTGGTAAGTGGACATGATAATGACATGCAGTTGGTGTGATATCCAGACTCCTGTACAGTGCGCATTAAGTTGGCTGTGTAGCAGGGTGCTCATCTATTGATTTTGTGTCACTCACTCTCCACATTCCTTCCCTTCGTTCCAGAACTGGAATCCCGCGCAGGCCTCTCCAATCCAATCACCCATGCTCCAGCAAGATCCTCGACAGCAGCAGCAGGGTATATACGGCTACCAGCAGGCACCCATGATACAGCAAAGCACCTATACTCACCAGATGCAGCAGCAGCAACAGCAGCAGCAGGCAACAGAAGAGCCTGCCGACACCATCCCTACTGCCATCGTTATCAAAAACATACCTTTCTCTGTCAAGCGGGATGCTCTTCTTGCGATTCTCGACAACCTCGACATCCCCAAACCCTACGCCTTCAACTACCATTTTGACAACGGAGTGTTCCGTGGTCTGGCCTTTGCCAATTATCGTACTGCGGAAGAAACTGAAATTGTCGTCAATGCCGTGAACGGCCTGGATGTCTCTGGACGAAAGCTTCGTGTCGAGTTCAAGAAGGTCATGCCCGCGGCTGAGCAGGAGAAGCGCGAGCAGGAAAAAGCTGCCGCCTTGGCAGCAGAGGCGCTTCATCGTCGCGAAATGGAACTTATGGAAGCTCACTTGTTAGATCAAGAGAGACGTGAACAGGAACGCCGTGAACTCGAGCTTCAGAACCGGGAATTCGAGCGCGATCGTCGCAACCGATCCTCCGTCATGCTTGAACGACACAACTCTGGCCGCAGCATCGACCGCGATGATACTGATTCGCGCTATTCGTCTTCTGGTATGTCAAATCTCTGTCTTTGCTCTATAATCTGCATGGGACATTGGCCAGCTGACTGACTTCTTTCTTCGTTTTAATAGCTTCTTTGAATCAGTTAGATCTAAATGATGGCGAGACGTTGGCCTTTTACGATCGCCTGTTGATGTTCCGAGGCGACTCCACCAAGGACGACATGATTTTCCCCGAGAACCTTAGCGCCCGTCAGCGAAAGATCCTGCATCTCATTGCCGATAAGCTGTCCTTGTACCACTTTAGCGAGGGCGAGGGTAATTTGCGTCGGCTCATTATCATGAAGACCCCTCCACCTAACATGGCGATGGAAACCCCCGCCTCAAGGTCTCCCAAGGTATGTATTTTATGATAGGGAACCGGTGGCACTATTGCTGCTTATGGTGATAGGTTGCAATCTAACCCCGTCTTTCCCCTCCTCCATTTCAACAGCAACGTCCCATGTCATTTGCTGGCAGAGGTAACCTGCGATCAGAAAGCCCAGTTTTGAAGACAAAGAGCCCTTTCGTGGATGTCACTTCTGGATCAGCTTCGCCAACTCGTTCACTGTACAGAAAGTCGATGATGTAAGTTCTTCTGGATGGCCTCTTGATTGTGAACTGCTCATTTGTGCATGCGTAGACATCGGTACTCATAATACTCCTCTGTTTTTATTTGAATATGATATGCTAGCTTGAACCCCGACACCGTCAGCAATGTCATCTACCCCATTCGCCAGCCCAAGGGACCCGAGCCTGGCAAGGTGTTCACCATCAGAGAACAAAAGCAACTGCGCGATGCTACCATGATCGCGCCTGCTTTTGACCTGCGCCCACAGCCCGTCCGATCAATGTCGGGTCGATCTACACTTGATGTCAAGGCTCCCAGCTTCAAGCCCGCAAACGTCTAAGCGATTCCTAGATGTTATTTTGGATTGCCCAATCACAGCGGGTTGGAGGCGCTGTTATTGACGATTTTGGCATGGGTTCCGGGCTAGAACAATGAATACAGTGGTAATAAAAACGTTTTTTCAAGATTACAGAATCGTGCTGTTGGCTATGGTAGATCGAGAGTGTCAAAATAAGGTTGACCCGCAGTCCGCAGCAACTTCATATCTCTAAAATTATATTTGTCAACACTTCTCTTGCCTAACACACCAAACCCATTCGCACGCAAAGAATGTCTAATTCAGATCACTCCCAGGACTCTCATTCGCAAGGCGATGACCATGACCATGGCTCGCTGTCGGGATCTGGACTCACTGGGCAGGAGGAATCCCTTGAAGATGGTCTTGAAGTGGAGCTGAGCGACCAGGACTATTATGACCCACACGATGACCATGCATACTATCATGATCAAAATCGCCGTATCGAGGAATCATGGCTCGAGTGGGAGCGGCAGACGTCGATCAGCAACCCACAGAATGGTAGCTTCCACAACCAGAACATCTTTCAGAAACCAGGGTCAACAAAACGAAGAGAACGGAGACAGCGGTTGGCATTGGCGCAATGGAACGCTCAGTCCAACCGATCAGGCTCAGCATCAAGTTCAGCCTCAGGATCAGGATCGGCATCAGGGTTAGGATCGGCATATATGCCAGGGTTGGCATCAGGGTTGGGGCTCGACGATGCCAATTCTGCGGCGGTAGAAAAACTGAGGCGGTTGGGAACCTATCGTCCAGCTTTGGCATCATCGATGGTTCATTCATTTTCTGATTCGTCTTGGGAGGCGACCCAGACTGCGCGGGAAAAGCGGCTTGCAACCAAAGCGGGGCCCAATGGCACAGGGTACTTTATTATGGGTTGATGTTAATGCACTGCACCAACCGCTGAATGACATGGAAAAAGTACGAACGATGATCAAGCTGACCGAGATCTGCACTGGTCTGACCAACTCTTAGCGTGAACATTATCTGCGCTCTACCAATCGAACTTCTTTCTCACATTGTGTCGCACCTGGAGCCGAACGAGCTTGTAAGTCAACAGGCACCGAAGCACGAGTCTGTTCACAAACGAGTTCCGTATGTCTACTTATACATAATTTTTATCCATGCAGTTCAACGCCTCGCTAGTCTGCCAACTATTCTACCACGTTGTCAATGCGGACTCTTGCTGGAAGGAAGCATTCATAAAGTTCTTTGGGGCATCAGTACCGTTCAAGAGACTGGACCCCAAGAGCTGGCGAGGTGAATATATCAAGCGGACGAGATTGTTGAGACGCTGGGAAAAGGGTCGCGGATCAAATGTCTTGATCGACCCCAAGATCGGCGAGATTACAAAGCTCTGGATAGGAGACGCTCGCAGGTCGGACGAGAGATGGTTCTTAGCTGGAGGTCTTGCAGAAGGCGTGGTAGCGAAATGCAATCCGCTACTTGGCAAGGTGCAAAAGGATGCTGTTCTGCGAATGGCTCATGTTGCCCACGTTGAAGTCGCTGTCATGGCCATGGATCAGTAAGTACAGAAACATGATCCTCATGATGTATAGACTTCTATAAGCCTTGAATCCTGACCTGCCTCGGAATTTTGTGATCTCGTTGATAGACACCGAGTAGTATGGGGTTTGACCACGGGAGAAGTTTCATTAACAACATTGGCGTACGGTACGGCAGGGCAGATGTTTCAAGCATTCGTGGGATTTCATAACGGACCGGTAACGTGTATCAAACTGGTTCCGAACCACCTGGGCTTTTTCTTGACGGGAGGTGTTGACGGCGTCATCAAGCTATGGGATGTCTTTAGGGCGCGATGTGTCCGCGAATTCACGACAGGGACGAGCGCGACTCAGCATAATCGGCCAAAGATCGATCATATCTGCTGTGAACCTGGGTCTCGTATTGTTGCAGGAACCTCCACCGGCGAAATATATGTGTGGGAGGCGGATATCAAGGCGATCATGGCGCCACCACCTTCATCGACCTCGGAAGTTTCTGCTCCAATCCGCTCAGGCTCGTCAGACAATATCAGTACGACCATGTCTGCCCTGCCTGCTGCAGCATCGACAGACCCAAGCACGTCAGTTCCTTCTATGATGCCAAAGGTCGTCAAGCTGCCAGAAGAGCCCAAGGGAGTGAAATACTTGGAAGTTGAATTCATGGCGGACCGCTCTGGGCTGATCCTGACACACGCCGCAGATGCTCGGGTCATGCATCTGTACAGCTTGCATACCCTGGAGCATTTAGCGACCTTGAAAAGTCCTGCGCACTTTACGCCCATCACTGCAGTTCACTGGGACTCTCTCAAGCACGAGCAGCCCATGATCTCTTTGTCGAACAGCGTGCGCCCAGCTATGTCCTCTATCCCTCATGTACGGCAAGGAATGCCTAGTCTTTTAGCCACAGGTGATCAGTCTGGCAATATCTGCTTGTGGTACTTGGCTGATATCATGAAACGTCAGGACAAGAACCGGAATCTACATCCAAGCCAGGCCCGACAAGATGCTTTGGAGCTGGAACCAACCTGCGTATTAAAAGCGCACGATTCGAAAGTGAGCAGTTTGTTTGTGGACAAGCTGATCATCGTCTCAGGAAGGTACGTTTAGGTAATTGAAACAGGAAGATGCGTTTTATTTCTTATTTACTGTAACTAGACTGACTAACCGTGTCATGTCAAAAAACGATACCATAGTGCGGATGGATCGGCCAAGGCATGGAATCCTGTCAACGGCAAACTGATCTCTGTCCTCAGCACTGGGTGAGTATTTTTAAAATTTGAAAAATCATTATTGGTATATATGTCCTAGCATTTTGCTAATGCCGTGAATTTGTCAATCATATTAGGTATATTCGCGGCCATGACATAAACGATACGAACAGCTCTGCGGTCAAATGCCTCGCCGTGAACAGTATGCAGTGCCGCGGCATTCTATCAATCGGCAGGCTGGTCAGGAGCTGGGACTTTTCACCAGACGCAGGCCTTGCCAAAGGTACCGTTCCTACGCGTACGCAGGTGTTCTTTTTTTCAAACATTCGGTATGCATGAATGTCCTTTAACTGATGCTATCTTCGCCTTATGGACAATAGAAAAGCACCGCAGGAACATGGCCAAGAAGCAGGTTCAATATAGTGGCGGACCCAAGAACAGGATTCAGAACTACATCCGCCACAGTCTTGAGGAGTCCGTGTCTCTGAAGCAGCTGGAGGAAGACGCAAAGGATCGTCGCGAGCAGCTTCATCGACGATACAACAATTTGGAGGGGTTGAACATGGTTGATATGACAGATGAAGAAGTTGTCGAGTATGTGATGATGCTCTCCAAAGAACATGACGATCAGGAAGCGGCTCAGCTTGCTCTTGAGATGCAACAGATACATGAAATGGAGGAAGAGCTCGCGTTGAAGCGGCAGATCCAATCTCAGATTGGAATTCGCAACGGAGGCGAGGGCCCATCGAAATCTGCTGCTGCATGGAACAGACAGAGCTTTGAAGCAGTCAGCTCGAATTCAGCAGGCATCCAAGACGACTTTGTAACAGAGCAGGAAATGGAGGAAGAGGAAGAACTGGTACGGAGGGCGATTGCAATGAGTATGCTGGATATGGAGTCCTCCTCCAGCAGTTCTCACCAAGATCACTTTCATCAAGAACACTCACCGGTGGACAGTAAAGGCGCGCACATCCCTGACAGCTACGAGTATAAACCTATCAATTGGGGACCCAGCGACCTTGTAGATGTGGATACCATTGGAAGCGACGAACTCGAGAGACAAGAGGATCATCAGATTGTGCAGTCAATCCTGAGAGAATTGGAAGAAGAGGACGCCAAAGAACACAATAGCGCAGAAGCACGGCCGTCTATCAGCCAGTCAGCTTCAGCACCCATTGCCTCTTCAAGAACAACATCTCTTCCGTCCCCATCATCACAACCATTGAACAGCGGTCCGACAAGTGACGATCAGAAGCAGAACGAACCCCAGGTCAAGAAGATGACCTGGTCGATGGTAGCACGGACCAACCCTGGATCGTCTGCCACTGCAGCGTTGAGCCCACAGAGGAGCGAGCCAAGTCCACAACAGCCTCAACCAAGCAGCAGGCCACTTGCGATTATCAAACAGTACCCTCGAAGCGCGTCTCAGGAGGAGATTGAGGACGAGGATACACAGCTCGCACGGATCTTGTCGCTGTCGATGGTCGAGAAATAGAGAAAAACATAAAGACATGCTACGTCTATGGACATATACAGCATTCAGATTTAATTGGAGATCAAAAAAGGTGAATAGAGTAATCAAGACTCTCTCGTCGTCTTCGTGGCCATTGTGGGTCTGTAAACGGCCCTTGTTCTGTTTTTATCGCGTGTTTATTTGGTTTCTGAGCCGGAAATCCATACTTGGGTCGTTATTGTCGCACAGGTGTTTGAGAACCACAGTCGTCAGCCACCATGGCAGGAATTCCCACCTAAACAAAATACACTTCCAAGATGCCGAACGCGGAGCGCGGGGACCTTAATCCAGGCACTCGTCCTTGCTCTCCCCTCATCACCTTTTGCTACTTTTTTCTCTTCACTTCACTGTCGACCTCCTCTCCGTGAAGACTTTTTACTTTCCCTCCTTTACCCGTTCACTCTCTTTCTATTCCTTCCTACTCCGCCGTCGATTCTGATCTCTCGAATTCAGTCTGGTCACCAAATCTGTAAGAAGCCGATCTGACTTTTTCTCAACGCGCCACTGGACGTGCCTATGAGTTGATCACAAGATCATTAACAACCACTTGAACTGAACTGTTCTTTATGTTGGAACCCAGCTTTGAAGACGTCTGCTGAGGATGCACAAGACAACTCGGCAGATCTGGACCACTTCGGCCACTCCTTCGTGGTGTCTCTTTTGCGACTTTCGGCTTTCATTTTTGCAGATTAACACCAACAGAACATATCCAGCAAGGATCAATGGGGCCAGGACTCAGCATACGAGGAGCAAAAGCGCCACCGCGAGCCATGTTATCACAGCAACACGGATACAACAGCAGCGTCATCTAGATCAGCAACGAAGGCTGGCATCATGTCTCCGGATCTTTAGAATCAACACGCACCAGCAGCCGCTTCCGCAACCTCGCGTACTTCGGCCGTATAGATCAGCTTCATGTACATATACCACAGGCGCAACACCTACGCGGTCAAGGAGTACCCTGTCCTTGTACGATGTGGAACTCTTAAGCTCTTCAATGATGGAGCTTAAGATATTTGTCAGGCCAAGGCTATCACCCAAGGGTCCGCGTTTCCTCTCGACGTTAACTTCGCCCTCAATTGCATCTGATCTGGAAACTGATCTATCATCATCCTCACTCGCGCCAGCGGACTCAGTATCATCATCAACATCTTCAGCAACCAAATTACCGTCAACAGTACAACCATCAACAATTCTGGACATTGCAAGCGCCATCAAGGAGTCATCCGCCAAGTCCGATTTTCAGTCTTTATTTCCAGAGATTCCTGCGTCGTTTGCAGATGTCTCCTCTCAGAATTCGCCCGCAGTCGCCAGACCGGACATGCCTTACAGGAACAGCTCTATGAGGAAAGGATCGGAACTTGAGGAATCTCTCAGGAGATCAGTTTACCAGCGAGATCCGATCAGCACTTGGTGGCCCCTGTACGAAAAAGTCGCCAGTCAATGGCGCTACAGACCTAGACCCCTTTTATCGGCAGTGCACGACACTGTCTTGACTCGAACGGATTTTACAAGATTCATCGGTGCACTCAAGGTCTCGTCCCCTTCATCTCGCGTATCGGACCAACTGACAAAACTGGAGCGGATCTTTGAGGACTTTCATATGGTGATTATGACTCCGAAATCGAACGTGAAGGTTTACAGTGCGTTTTTGGATACTCTTCATTTCTGGAAGTTGGACGATCTGATTCCGGGCTGGATCCAGCGGATCAAATCCAAGGCGATGCTTCCGCAGACACTAAGCTCAACTGATCTGTCATTGGCTCCACAAAGTTTTCAGGAACAGTACCATGATTTGATGCGAGTACTGGCGAACACGGACCAGGCCGAGGCTCTACTTAGCTGTCTTGAGGACCTCAAGGCGGGCCATTTAGATCAATTGCAACCCACAACGGAAGCCTACGACATGCTATTGGAGGTATACATGAAGCACAAGGACACCACGGCGGCTATGCGAATCTTTCAAGAGATGCAAGAACTGGGGCTTTCACCGCAATTGACGACATTCAACATCTTGCTTCGAGGGCATCTCAGCAACAAGGACGCTCAGGCTGCACAGCGCGTACTGGAGATGTTGCTACTCACGGATATTCGACCTGATATTTACACGTTCAACACTCTTATGTCCGGCTATCTGAACATGGGAGAGATTGAGGTCGTCAATGGATTCTACAAAGGTCTAGGCGAATATGGACTGGTACCCAACGCAAAAACCTATCGCATTTTGATGAAAGCACATCTTCGGCAGGGCCATGTTGATCGGACCATAGACCTGTTCAGCAGGATGAAAGAGAGCTCTAGGATAGAGTTGCAGCCCGGACCTGAGGAATATCACATTCTAGTCCAAGCATTGGCTAGCCATGGCAGAATGCCAGATGCGCTCAAGGTGTTACGGGAGATAACCGAATCAGTCAAGATGCCTGTGACAACTCCAATCTACAACGTGTTCGTGAACCAGTATGCGCGTGAAGGTCAGGTTGAGAAGGCTCGCAGGATCTTGGACAGGATTATTTCTGAGAAACTGCCGCTAGTCGATGGGAGCATCAATCCATTAATCCGAGCATATCTGGCAAGGAGTGACTTTGACAAGGTCGAAGAGATGATACAGCTCATGAAACGATACGGAATTCATCCAACCAGGGCAACCTTCAACATCATGATCAATTCGACAAAGGGCTCGGGGAATCTAAGCGGGGCGATGAAAATGTACGAGAGGATGGTGGCCGATGGTGTGAAGCCAGATGTGTGGACATTCAACTCTCTGCTGGATATTCTTGTCGGGAAGCTCACGTTTTCGCAAGACAATAACAAGCGCAGGAGAGACTCGACTGTGATGATTGACCAACAGATCAAGAAATATTTACCACAGATCGAGGCGCTGCTGCAGGATATGAAGATCGCAGGGATCAAGCCTGACATCGTTACGTATAGCAACTTGATCCGCCAGTACGTTGCTCTGCAAGACATTGAGCAGGCCGAGATGTTGTTCCACGAAATGCTCAAGTCCGGAATCTCACCCAATGGATACGTCTTCAACACACTCATGAACGGCTTTACGCTGATCGAGCAGATGGACAAGGCCCTAGAGCTGTTCCGGAGGATGCCGAAGTACGGGGTGGAGCCTGATGTGGTGACGTTCACGACTCTGATCAAGGGATACGCCAACACAAAGCAAATGACGCTTGCGCAGGATTTCGCCAACTCGTTGCAGCAACAGAGTTCCAAAATTATAATGGATCAATACTGTCTTCACACGTTGATGCAACTCGCGCAAAAGTCTCATCAACCAGGGATGGCACTCGACTTTTTTGAGATGATGCGCGGCCGTGGAATCGAGCCTGACAAGGTCACTTTCACCATCCTTATCAACTCTCTGAGCCGAGGATTTGCACAGATTTGGTCACCATCTTCCAAGTCAAAGTCGGAGTCTCGAGGCCGTAATCGCAAATCAGGAGCAGGGGCTGCAGTGGGGTCAGACTGCAGTACTACCCACACAATGGCCAACAATCCGCAGGCGGAGTCTGCAGCGGAAGCCATCGAGTCTCTTTTGGAGGTTGTTCGACAGGACCAGTATCCGCTGCACCACTCCGAGATCACGACGGTCATCTCGGCCTATTGCCGACTGGGAAGACCAATCGCAGCGATCGAGTTTTTCAAGACGAGCTTCTGGAAAGGCAACCCAAATTTGAGCACAACGAACTGTGGAGCGCTGTTCGTCGGACTTTTGGCCCCCGAGTACAAGAGACGATATGATGGCGTTGTGTTGAACCTGTATCTGCGTATGCTTGGCGAGACTAAGGAGATGATTCGGTCGGAGGAAACTCGGAAGCGACCTACAAACGATGGCGCCGAGGTCGAGCCCTCTCCTGCTGAACACAAAGAGCAGCCTCAAGGCATTACCTGGACATCCAAGGGCTTCATTAAGCCGTCCAGGTCTCTGTCGCAAGAACCGAGTGCGACCCGTTTCTCAACACAGAATCTCCCGCCTTTGGACTTGATCACCATCAACATTTTATTCCAGTCCTTCTCCAAGCGCAACAATTGGAGCATCGTACGTCGACTTTGGGAGGACCTTGAATCCATTGGTGCGGAGAAACTGTATCCGTTTGAGATGCCGCGCGAGTTCCTGGGTTGGGCTGCCCAAGCATATCACTTGGCAGCAGATCGTGAACCTTCGACTGCGGATATTGTTGGCGGTGGAGGCTTGCGCATGTCTTCGCCAAGAGAGACCCATGATCAGAAGGCTGAGAGGTTGCTGAGGCGATTATGGAATGAGCACCAGCGGATGGGCGTTGAATGGAGCAAAAAGATCTATGGATACAATATCTTTGACGCCGCCGCGATGTCCAACTCATTTCCACCACCATCACCGTCGCCATCGTCGCCGTCGTCTTTGAGTGCAGAGACGAATACGACGTCCTCGACGAAATCATCATCACTGCTTTCGTCGTATCTGTCGGACGATCCGGATCAGCGGAGCTATCGAATGGGTGTGGAAGATGCAGAGGATGCAGAGAAACCCAAAAGTGGGGACGAGAACGAGAACAAGAACAAGGAGGAGCGCTAGACATTGCTGGGCATGCTGTCTTGCCTAGACAAACAAAACATGTATAATGAACTTAAAATATAGACCCTGACCCAGCAATTCGGTACATAGATAAAGATGTCTTGATTACGACGATGATAGCACACTTGGGCCATTTGGATGCTCTCATGCGCTGGAGGGGGAGTAGATGGCAAGCACATCATGTAGAAATAGGACGAGGAAAGCACTCACTCTTGGTCATTGTCTCTGGAGCAAAGTTGAGCTAATTAACGCGCATTTCCGATGCAAGAGGCTGTGGGTGAATGTGCATGTTCAACGACCTTACAGCAGGATGGCAGGATGGCAGGACGGCAGTGCTGGACCCCTTGGTCCGAAAAGGTACTGTTAGTAAGGAAGCTCGAACGACTGTGTGTTTGCAGGTAGTCTTACATGTGCCGTGTTCGTGTATCTATCCGAGTAAGTTGCTCCTACAATAACGATGGTGTAACACACATCTCTCTCGCAGGCATGCAAGGAATAGCCGTACTGTGCGCTTTGACCTGGGACCCATGGATCCCGTTTTGTGATCCGTCCACGGAGGTTTTTTTTCTTTTTTTCGCGAGAGTGCGATTTTAGGGGAGGAAGTTGATCTCAGACGAAACTTTTGATTGAAGAATAGAGAAACGGGGTGGAGCGTGTGCGATGGAGTGTCGGGGAGCAAATTACACGTCTTTCGCTCGTTGCGGGTAAATTGTTTTTTTCTTTTTTTTTTTTTGTGAAAGCCAGTGGTGATGGTTAAGGTGCGCATGACTTGCAGGTCGTATGCACGGCATGCGCGTATACCTGAGAAAAAAAACAGTGGAGACAGTTGACAAATCCGCTTTTTTAAAAGGATATTTTTCGCCGGTAAAGGAATGAGCGTACTTTGGGACGAGTGCACCCCACAGAGTCCCAGGAATAGAAGAGTTTTCCGCAGCTGAGATACATAGAATATTGGCGCCACTTCTTGAAGATCGGTGCATAATCAGGATGCTCTAAGCTAGCCAGTGTGTTTGCAAGCAAGACAGTAGACCAGGCTTTGTTTTTGCGATGTGCGATGGGTACGTGTTGACGCCGTGTCAGCAAGTTTTGGCTGCTTAAGGACCATGGTGGTCTCCAGAGAGAGGAGAGCTTTTTGGGAAAAGAAGGATAAGATTCAAACGAGCAGATATTTTTAACAGAGTGAGAGCATATGGGTAGGAGGGTACGCGAAAAATGTGGTTATGATCTATCCATCTCCCCTGTTGGCCAAGCTCGCGGAACAAAGCTAATGTATATGTATCTCCAAGTTTCCCATAGACGCTCCAGATGGATAAGGGACCAAGCATGCCATGAACGTTGCTGTTTATTATCAAAATCCGGTATTCTTTCTGTAACATGTCCTAATTGCTTGCGCTTGCAAAATGTTGTTTTTCGCGTACGGCGACTGTTGTTCCCTCTCTAGGTCCCCCCGCTCGCTTTTTGCTGTTGATGATGCTCGGCAACATCAACCCGCATTTTGTGTATGTGTCGTTATATCGTTATGGTCTCAGCATTTCCTGCAACCTGAGTGCCTTTCCCGCCCCAAATGGTTTTTAGTCCGTTCATTCGGTCTGGTGCTGCGTCACCGTGGGAGTTGCACCTTCTGGGATTTCGGACTCGTGTACCAAGGAGCTTTCCTTGACTGGAGGCGATCCGTGAACAGCATTGGGCGTTGCAGGGTTCGAGTGTGGGATGTTCTCCGGCTGCGGGTGTTGTGATCCAACAGGCGCTGTTGTCTTTCCTGCCTTTTGAAGGGCGTAGTCTCCAGAGTCAAAGTACTTGCGCTCCTAAATGGATCAGTAGGTAAAGGGATAGAGATAGCAACCATTAGCCTCAGATCCCTGGTAAAAAAAAAAAAAAAAAAAAAAAAAAAAAGAGGCGCAAAGGGCATAGAACCCGTGAACAATAGGACGAACAAAGGTTTTCGTTCGTGTGCCTCGTTCATGTGCCCTCGTTCATCCATCGGTGCAGGCTTGTGTTTACCTTCAGCTTGTGTCCCAAAAGATCCTTTCCTGTTGGAAGTTTACCGTACATGCGTTGCAGCTTCTTCTCCTGCTCGCTCATGGTCTACAAAGGATGTCATGATTCAAAGAAAAAGTAGACGGCGCGTGGGGGAAGGTGTCAGTATGAAGTCATGCATCTCTCTCCGCTCACAAAAAAAAATAAAAAATAAAAAGGAACATCGATGTAGCTGCGACTCGGATGCGAATGTGAAGTGTCGAGCTCGGTCGCTCGAGTTGCGTTGTTGGTTTGTTTACCTGAGCATTATCCTGAGAGGCGGCAGCTGTGTTGTTACCGGCTGCTGGGTTCAAGGGGGAGCTCATGGTATGATATACAGTTGGCACAGGGTGTTTGCTTCAAAAAGACCGAGGGGATATTGTTGCTGGTTACGGCTGAGAGAAACTTGAAAGTAGAAGCTGCTGTCTCTTTGCTGGTGAATTATCTCTGGTATGAGAATGCGACGGCTGTGAGTGTAAAAAGGAAAGAAGGTGAGAACAAAGAAAGGAAGAAGAAAGAGAAAGTGGGGAACATCCAGGTGCACACCTTGTAACTTCTTTCACAATGCATCCTTAAGGGGGGCTGAACCCTGATTGGGCGAACCTACCCTAGCCTGGCCTGGTCAAACAAACCCAGCGGCTGGGAACCAAGTCAAAGTCGCGATATTGTCGACACTCGCGGATACATAGGCAACTCATTCAATGAACAAATGAGTTCGACAAGATCGTCAGTTGGGCACTTTCGCCAATTATGTCGCGTCCCTTGATCAGAAATCACAAAGGACAAAAGCGATGTTTTGATGCCATATTCTCTACATTCTAGAAGGAGGAAACAGCAGCATTGGCCATAGGACATCGAGATTGGAGTGGCTATGCAAAATATGTATGAAGCAGCCGAGGGCTTGACTGGCTGAGTTGCCACTAAAATTAATGACCTTCGCTTACACCTCACGCGTTTTCTTGGATGCCTCTCACGTTTGGTTAGCCGTGTTCAGATCTAACACGTGTACAATAACGACTCTTGCCAATCCTTGGTCCACGCACTGTGAATGGTGTGTATGCAAACAATCATCACGCTCTTCTTTTTTTTTTTTACAAACGCGTTTTGCAATCGAAAGAGCACTTGAGTATGCCTCCGTGCCGTAGATCAGGGATGGGTCTGACATCGACCTGAGCATGGTGCATGATTACTTACTTTTTTTAATCTTCTTTACCGCAGGGTGCGCCAGGGCTCGTCAAATCTATATTAAAAAAGGCTTTATTTGTAGTACCAATCTAGGGCACTTGCCCGGCCTCTCGATTCCTGGTTTTTTAGTCTCCTTCTCCTTCATCTTACGTTCTTTTTTTTTTATCCGCACTCCCTATCTTTGCCCCGTGCCTTGGCTTGGAGCAGCAAGTATTCACCCAGTCAACCCTGCTCACATTTTTTTTTTTTTTAGCTAGCTGCCGCCGCAACTCTTACAGTGACAAGATCTATTACTTCGGTTCCAAAATATCCCAGCGCTTACCTAAAGTTTTTGCACCAAAGAGGAGACCAGGGGCTATTGTTTTGCTCGCTCTCTGCAGGAACAGATGAGCTATAAAAATGACGCTTTTGGATAATTGCTGTTGTAGGACAAACCACGGTCAATATCGTCAATTTGCTTGTCCTCACCCGCGATCGTGTAGCACAGCACCCTTTCAGTCGAGAAAGATGAAAAAAATACCGGCATACCGGCAATTGCAATCTAAACATTTGGATCGGGTTCGGCTGACTTGCGAACCACAAAAGAACGCGCCAGAGAGGGAATAAGAGAAGTGAGCATGGGCACTGTGCCCGGTGCAGAAAACCACAGACGACCAAGGTACCGTAACATGAAACGCAAAACCAAATGTCAAATGGATGCGCAAGGGGAGACGAGTTGTGGACAACACTGCATGCAAGCAGGCGAGCTGCAGCCAAATGCAGGTCTGAGTATGTCTGTGTATGCCAGTGTTTATAGTAGTATCTGCTTTATGTATTGCTCACGATAGTGACGAAAGAGCTACAAAAGAACAAAGCAACGGAAGGACAAGGTTACATTTCAGGTATTTCAGCGTGCGTCCGTGAAAGGGAAAGGGCGGTAGCCTGTCAGGCTCCTTCTTGCTGACTGGCTGGTTCCTCCGCTCGGCAGGAGGACCGTCTTCAACCGCTGTTCCCATTATTGTTTTTCTATTTTCGCTCTCGATGTTCTCAGCTGTTTGTTTTTGTTTTCTTTTCTACGCTTTCTTCTCTCTCTTTTTTTTTTTTTTTTTTTTGTTCTCGCTATCACTTCTTCTCTCTCACTCCTTCTCTCTCACTCCCTCTTTCTTTCTCATCCACTCTTCTTCCTCCTAGTCTTCTTTTTTCCTCCAGTTGGCATCCCGCTCTCGCCCACTTGCTCATTTCATCTGCTCATTCTCATTCGGCTTCACCCCCTGTGCTTTGTTCCACTGCACGCCCTTTTCTAGCGCATATTCTCGCATGTTTTTTTCATTACTATAGTACTTCGAAGACTGACACGATTGTGTGTCTCACCTGCGCACGTTGTGCCTCCCCCCTTTTTTTCATTCTCAGTCGCTTCTCGCGACAAAACAGCACTCTCCTCCTCTCTCTTCCTCTTGTCTCTCAGTTCTTTTGTTTCCCCCCCTCCCCCCTCCCTCCCCTCCCCCTTCTCCCTCTACCTACGGCAACCAACACACGACTTCCGAAAAAGACTTGGACGTCGCTCAAATACCTCAATTACCTCTCGAAATGGAACTCTCGCCAGTATCACACTGCGATGGATCTGAAACGTCCCACAGATCAACCCTAGTCAACAAAGCCCCGCTCCTAACCAACCAGTTCACCAATGGCCGTTCGGATCAAAAAAAGGCCAAGGCCGTAAGCGACGCCATCGACAAATGCCTAAGGGCAGAAAAAGAACGCCAGCACAAAGACGGAGGGATCAAATTACTCATCCTTGGTAAGTTGCCAGAAACCTTCACCTTCGGCACCTGAGGACTGATGTTCTATGGTAACCTTCTTTTCGTCTCTTTCATTGGCTATGCCAACGTCATTAAGAGCTTCATTGTTGCACACGTTTTTTTTTTTTACCAAATAACATCAAGGGGTCGGAACCTGAAAAAAATTAGCCGAATGTCATAGCCACCTTTACGACATTCTTGGGCTAGCGTGGTAGCGTGGCACGAATAATGAGAAACATGTGCATAGGGGTTGGAGAGGAGCCCCAGTGATGACTACTATTTATACTCTCCTCCGCAGTTCAAGCCTGCAGGACCCTATTATTCTTTGGGAATAAAGAGAATAGAAGCAAGAGGAGTGATCAAAGTCCTAGTCGGAGCCTCGATCGTCATTGATGCTTCAGAAGAATGAGAGAATGTGAACTGTGAACGTTGTATTCTGCTCTAACGAAACTGTGCTCCTCCTTTGCTGTCATTGTCGCATGATAGGTCCTTCGGAGACCGGCAAGACGACTGTTCTAAAACAGCTCAAATTACTTTATGGTACCAGGGGGTTGGATGCTGAGCGTCAGACATATCGGCGAGTGGTCTATCTAAATGTGATGAGAGCCATTCAGGCAATTGTGGTGGGTCTGAAGCTCGCCAATATCGAGTTGGAGAAGCCTGAGAATGTGGATCATCTGGAAGTCCTGTCACGACTGGAGCCAACCTTGAAGCGGTATTCGATCTCTGAGCTTGGCTACACAAATCCCGCGATCCCTCGGAAGATTACCGATGCAAAGGCAGAAACGGACATGTTTGCGGAAATGGTACCAGCTATTAAGGCACTGTGGTCGGACGCGGGTATCCAGACTACGTTCACCACATGCACACAACTTAATATCCAGGACTCGGCAAAATAGTGAGTGTCCCGCTTGTGTAAATATACGTTTCTAGTCGTTGTTCTTTGCCGCCACCAACGATCTAACAGAACTCTGCTGGTGCTGTTCTATAGCTTTTTGGATGCAGTTGACCGGATCGCAGATCCAGAATACGTTCCTACGGACGACGACATTTTGCAGGCGAGGGTCAGGACTCTAGTGGTTTCGGAACATATTTTCAATATCGACAACGTGGCATACAGGTACGAAGGTCGCGATAGTAATTTGGTGTCAACAAATTAACCTGTATAGACTTGCGATTTAAACCTGTGCTGACAATTTTTTATGAATAGGATATTTGATGTGGGCGGACAAAAATCGTTGCGTAAATATTGGGCGTAAGTGAAATGATACCGGAATGAATTTAGTCCAAAGGGAGACCTCCTGATTATAACTCAATCGCTTTTAGAAGTGTCATTAAGTAATCATTCTTCTACTTCAATCCCTTGTATCTACCCCATGTATAGGCCCTATTTCGATGATGTTAATGCGATCATCTTCATGGCTGCTTTATCAGCATACGACCAACCCTGCGAAGACGACCCCGGCTTGAACAGGCTCCAGGAATGCATGCTCCTCTTCAACGAGATCGCAAACCACAAGCTGTTCGCGTTGACATCTATGATTCTGTTCTTGAACAAGATCGATATTTTCCAGCGGAAGCTTGAGGCGGGATCTTTAGTCAGCACGCACTTCCCGGAGTACCGTGGACCAAACGATTACTTCAGCACAACAGTATTTTTCCAGTACCGGTTCCTGCAGCAATGTAAAGATCTGCAGAAACAGGTATACACTCACTTCACTCATGCCACGGTGAGTTAGGCTCTATGTTTGCCCCATGTTCTGCGTTTCTTCATCCGTTTTGAGATGCCAGGCGGAGACGACAATCACACGTGGCTTGATCTGCCATGGCTTTTAAGTCCAAGGTTAATTTTCAACCAGCTCAAGGGCTAATGGCGTGGGTTAAATCGTGAACTATCCATCACTCTGTATACCTGTCCGCTATTCTCTTCAGAATGACGGGAGTCCCCTTGCGGCGCACATAGCCATAGTGTCCCGTTACTGACGCATAACATTTCCTCTTTGCATTCCTCGGTACTGTAGGATACCAACCAGATGCGAGTCATTGTCGTGGCAGTCAACGCTATCGTGCAGCGGCTGAATCTTCGCAGCTCTGGGCTCATGTAGGGCGAACCTTTGTCCCATGACAAAAAATCCTTATCCTTAGCATCCCACTGTACTGTGCCCTCACTCCAATCAAACGTGATCCGACTTGGATCTTAGACAATCAAAAGGTGCTGAACCAATTATGGACTTTGAAACTTGCGCGTACAAAAACATAACCACATTCATCTTCAAGATCACTCATACTTCTTAGAGCCTGACAGGGCAAAAAAAAAAAAAAAAAAAATGTCCTCGCTTTTCATAACATTCTGTATCATACTTTCCTTCTTTTTCTGTTGTTTTCGACCTGTACTTTCTTAACGATACACCTCGCAAAATCACCTCACCGTAATAAATGTTGAGAATGAATAACTTTACTCTTTCGACATGTGCCCAGAATGAACTCCGGATGCACCTCCAGGTTAAAGTTGAAAAACAAATCGCAAGTGCCTTATTTGCCCGAATGATGTATTCACGCAGGGAGAGAAATCTAAACTGACCTATATAGGCTGCATGAGTGCTCTACCAGGAGCATCGTGTCAAATCAACGCCATCCGAAAGTCCTAGAGGTCCATGTTGACGAGTGTCAGCACAGTGGTCGAAGGTCAAATCTGAGGTCAAGGATTTCGCTCTCCTTGCATGTCGCTTGTTTGAGCCTACGTACAACGCAGTGTTTTTGCGTCGACAGCGCTATCCAATATACTATGGAAGTGCAGCATCTCTTCTTTTTGTTGTTTTTATTTATCTTTCTTTTGATGCCAACTGCAATGTTAGACGAAAAAAAAAAGGTACCATGTCTTCAATTTGACTGCGACGAGCTTGGTATCAGAAGGGTTTGCGGTTCAAAATGTAAGACCTCACCAAAGGGATTTGGGTTCGCTGTGGTCCAATCGAGCCAGGAATCAACAACAATTGCCGCGGTTTACCGCAACTCATCAACGGCAAAGCATTCGTCCTCTTGCCTAAGTACATAGAAAGCAATAAAACGAAAAATCTGCCAGCGGAAACTGTTATGGCATGCCTTTCTTTTGCTTAACATTGTTTGTTCATATGGAGCAGTAGGTAGTGATGAGGACAGTGACAAAAAAAAACGAGCCTTTGAAGTGTTTCGCGATGGAGTTGACCACTATTTTTGCACTCAAAGTATCCTGAACTCCTTGCGTGTGCCCACAACATTTCAAAGATGGCTAGATGAAGAAGAGAAACTGCTCTCTAAACGAGAACGCTCCCACCCCCGTCCCCCCTCTCCTCCTCCTCCTTCCTATCCTTAGAAACTTTTGTACGAGTTGAAAGTTGAAAGATCATTTTTAAGAAGGCACGTGTATCATCGCCTCGTTACCGGCGCATTGGTTCATTGGTCCATCTGTTTGTCTTGAACGCGTCGCATGGCGTTATAACAAAATATATAGCCATATATTACCAGTTTTTTTTTATAACAATTTGTTTCTGGAGTCGATTGACCGTGCGAATATATCAGACCTAACTAGCAACGATCTACTACTATCGTCCTTTCCGCCAATGTAGAGTTTCCACCAAAGTAGAGCCGATCCACAGTCGCCAAAAGACAGGCCACATTCCCAGGGCCTGCCCCTAGGGCCTGTGCAACAATTGCCACACCTCATCAGTGTGTTAAAAAGCCGAAAACTCCTTGTTACAAAAAGGCTATCTTCCCCATCCCTCCATGGTTGTCAACCGCCTCCTCCCTTACAGGCAGTCTAGCAGCGTCTGATCCGCTGCGTCTGGGTCGAGCACGGGGCCAGGGCAGCTCCCGTTTGTATGATCGGCAGTTATATATTACCAGCTCTTTGCATTTAAACTGATATGGTCCAGCACAAGATTGGTCATCCATTACACTTATACAACTAGACAAGAAAGTGGCGGAAGGGCCGCTGGGAGAGCTAGTTGATAAACATGAAAGACCTTCGAAGAGGACATCTTTCTTTTCATAAGGAGACGCGTGAACGGGGTCAAGGGAGCAAAAAAAAAAAAAAAAAAAAAAAAGGAGCTCCATTAAACGTGACAAAAGGCATGGACTCCCAGTAGCATCCAAAGTAAAGTGAGTACGATGTGCTGTTATTTTTTGCTCAGAAGATTTGCTTCTCGACGCGTTGATTCCTATCCCAAACGTGTCTTCCTCAAAATCCAAAACTCTGAGCTCCACCTTTCTATCCTATGTAGCTTCTCTTGCCGCCATTTCACCATTTGTCTGACTCCAAATAACTTTGCTCTTATTCATCCATTCTTCATACAATGGCATACGTCTCGAGTCCCAGTAGCCCTCTGGCGGTAGAAGACATCCCCGAATACACGAGCCCTAGCATCGTCACCAGTAACAAGCGCGTTAGCGACTACGAGTTCCCAGCAACAGCCATCAAAGTAAATTCACCCTACCAATCCTACCTCAAACATTCCTTCACACAGCATGCTTGCAGAGCCAACAGCAACCCAATGACACCACAGCTCCAAAAGATAGATTCCTATGTCAACAAGTACAATGCTCATACGAACAGTAGCAAAAGTTTACATTTCATCACCATCCCTACAGTCTCCATCATTCCACATAAAAAGTCGGGTGCACCATACTATGAATCGAATATGGACAGCCCGATCTCGCCGCTGGTCTCGCCTCCACCTCCTTATCTCCACTCGGATCACGGAGGCAACGGCATTTATAGTCACGATGTTAAGCGGTGGCCAGGCGAAGCGACCGTAAATGTGCCGCACCCTCTACCGGCTAAGATATTGACCCCACAAGAGGCCGGTCCTACCGTGGTTGAATATCCTACGAGCCCTGAAAACCCGCCTCTAACCGCTCGAGCAGTTCACTTGCCGGAGACTAATGAGACGACTACGCTGTACGACCTTCAAATACCTGGGAGCGTGCATCATAATGCCCCTTTGACGAGAAATGTCTCAGCGTGCGCTCCATTAAGTCCGTATCCTACATATTGGGAAGACGTGTGCCAATCCAAGGCGCATCGGATCTTCCTGCCGGTAGGAATGGTTCTCCTCGGCTCGGCCATCTTGGTTCTGATCATGCAGATCTTTATGGAGTGGCTCGTTGTGCTGCCAGCACTGGGTTTTCTGATGTTTGGGATTCATTTCGGGGTACGTTCTTTTATCTGCACCCCTGAGCAGCTGTGTAGTTATGCCTTAACAGTCGTGACTTTTGCTGCATTGCGAGTTGCATCGCGGAGTTGTCCAATCCCCTTCTCCTTCAACGCTCGCACCTCCTCTCCCTCACAAGGATAACCACATCCCTCCTTGGCTCCGTTCTATTTTTGCTAACGACTCTGCTTTCCGTTGTTTCAATAGAGATATTGTTGGAAGAGGCATCGGTTCCTGAAACGACAGGAGGAGAATAAGGCCCTTGCCTCTGTCCCTACGCAAGTCGGGCCGAACAAGGTCGTGTCCTCCCTATGCAACAAACACCTAGAAACCGACACGTGCTCGGGGCCATATCGCCCATCTCATGACTATCCCACTAACCACATCAACGTCGCCTGGCGCGACCGCCCACAACGCCATGTCCGCTTCCAGGAACCCAAAATCGTCTCGTCAGTGAAGCTGGACCAGCAACCATGTAAGCAGGTCGATGCCCCGCAGGCAAACACAAGGGCGTACCAACAGCAGCCAACATATTCCTTAACGGTCAGCCCCGATAGCCGTCAGTTGGTCAGCAACGCTAGTCCATACTATCAGAACCCCCGGTTCCTTTCTCCTATGGACTCGCCTCAGACACCGCCCCCAGCCTACTTCCTGAGAAATATCTCCTTGTCCTTGCCCGAGATCGATTCTATTGGTGACCTGGTCAGCGAGTTTGAAGTTGACCTTACTACCATTGAGTACTGAACTTTGTTTCATACGCGAATTCGAGCTGCTTTGTGAGCCGCGATACGAACACCTGCACAGAATGAGAGGGGAGGCTGACTATCAGCAATCCACAAGGGTGACATCCAAGAAAACCATCCATTGGCACTACTGCATTAACTGCGTCTATTCTTTAATCATACAATCTCTGCTACGCTCCTGGCGAGTGATAAACACTTCCATCCTCTTCATAATAGCACATACAAGTGAAGGCTTAATAAACTGATGGGATTTACGTTTTATTGTCGTCGTATACACGCAGCACTATAGCAGCACCCGTAGCTTTGCTCTGCCGCGCTGCTCACCCTCATTGTCGACGCTTCTGGTGTTATCAGTTCATTCCTTACGCATTAACGGAAATGCTCTTGAGTTGGTTCATTCTCCAGTTCCAGTATTTGCTCCTGATGGTATCAATCTTCTCAGCCAACATAATAGCCTCTTCTTTGGCCTTGCTGACGCTCTCGGCGGTCTTTTTCTCCTTTGCTTCCTGCTCATAAATATCCAGTAAGGTCGAATGAAGGTAAGGTGAGAAGTTGGCGCGTGGGAGAGAAATCAATCCCTCACAAAACTCCTGGATCTCTGACAATGGGCGCTTCGTCTTGTTCAGGATTCTATTTGGTCGAGAGGGATAAAGAAGTGGTAAGAGTTACTTTCGTTTATAGTGATACGAGAAAAGAAGAAAAAAGAAAAAATGCGCCTTCTCTTCCACATACCCGGCGATATAGACCCATGGACTTTCATTGTTGGGTGTCCTTTCGATCTTTGCCTTGGCGTATCTAGCGACAGAGAAGATAAAATTGGCGTTGGTTAACATACGCATCCTTCCACCGGTCCTTACCCCACAATTAAGAGCTCGTCTACCTACTCAACTTCGCGCTGGGTAACATCTGATGTCAAGCTCTTGGGTCCCATGCCGACCACAAAGAATCGCTGGTTCCATGCTGAGTTGTTTCGGATATCGACCGTCAGCAAATCATCGATATACGACAGTTCCTGTTCCCACCAAGGACCGTTCCCAAAATGACTCAGGACCCATTGGCGATAACCCCAGGCATGGTAATTCTTGGAATCTTCTGTCAATGACGCCGCTATAAAGTCCAGCTCGACCTGAACAACATCCCTTACTGCCGCTTGCTGAGATTCGGACAAATCCTGATAGGGTATTATTGGAGCCATGGTTAAGGTCGATGCCGTTGTTGGTAGCGCTGATGAAGGCGTAGACAGGAACGAGGCCGAGAGGTGGTCGACAATCACCTGGCGATGGTGCCAGATCTGATACGACTTTGGATGCTCGGAACCCATCCATCTGGTCCACTCGAGCTCTTTGTTCAGGTCTTTGTTCAACGCCTTAAGCAGCGTTTGGCGATAGTGCCTACATGGAAGGGTTGAGTAAGAGTCAGTACTGGGCTTTGATATCTCTTTTACACGAGCAGCAGGTGGATATGTGCAAGGATGTTCGCACTTACCACACAGTGTAATGGGAGGGACTCAGCTCGATCACGATCTTTGTCAGTTCTAATGCGCGTTCGCTCTGCTCCTGTGCCTTGGAAATGGCTCTGAAGTAATCCATAGTAATGGAATCTAATGAACACCGAAGCATGACGCGTCAATGACATCCTTCATCTCGGTGCATGCTTCGTCCCAAAACGACAAAAACGTTGACAACAAGTGTTTACACTCTTTTCTATAGGCAATGGGAACCAATGGGTTGGGTCCATCGTCCTGAGGAATGGGCACAACGTCGGCCCACTCGGGCTTTTCGTAGAAAGGCACCTCATCTTGCTCGTAATCCATATTGAAAGGTAGCTTGACCGCAAGCGGGGGAGGGGGGAAGGGAGTCGATTTGGTAGCCCTGAGCGGACAAAACGACCAACATGGAGTGTGCGCAAACCAAGTCACGAAAGAATCTCTCCAAAGTCGCTCCACAGGTCCTCTTCGAGAGATAGAGGATCGAACAGAAAGCTCTTGCAAGGATCCGCCACCGCGTTGGGTAACTCAGCTGAACATCCTGACTGAGATGCAAGTGGCCTTCTATTGCCTGAGATTTTTCAGTTGTATCTTCGTCGCGTCGTGGACCGCTGAGTCAGCTTGCTCGCTAAGCAGGTCGCCGTGGCTTTGTGGGGGCTCTGAAGAACAAATATATAGGGGCGTAAGAAAGGGCATATCATCTTCATTCCTTTCGCAACGCTCTTAACCTATATCTTTCTTAGCGCAATGCTGGCCTCTCAGATTTCCCGGTTTGCCGCGTCCTCGTCCTTCTCCGCAGGCGGACGACATATCCTCAAATCAATTTACGCCGCGGAACGACCCGAGGGTATGGGTGCAATAGTACGCAGGAGCCTAGGCACGCGCGAGATACGACACCACGATCCGTTCCTATTGCTGGACGAGTTCTGGGTGAACTCCAAGGGCGGCTTCCCAGACCACCCTCACAGAGGGTTCGAGACCGTGACCTATATGCTGAGCGGGCAAATGCAGCACGAGGACTTCTCAGAACACAAGGGAACCATTGGACCCGGCGATCTGCAGTGGATGACAGCTGGACGTGGTATCGTGCACTGCGAAATGCCAGTCAAGGACACGGATGAGACTGAAAATCCGCAAGGTACGGACAAGGCAACAGCGCATGGGCTGCAACTCTGGGTGAATCTCTCACACAAAGACAAGTCGTGTGATCCACAGTATCAGGACCTGCGAGATCATCATATTCCAAGAGCGAATCCTGGCAATGGAGTCGAGGCCAAGGTCATTGCGGGCGAGGCACATGGTGTTAAGAGCAAAGTTTACACAAGGACTCCAACCATGTATCTCGACTACAAGTTGAAGGAGAACAGATCGGTCGAGGTTGCAGTTCCGAAGGGCTACGCCGGCTTTATTTACATGCTCTCTGGGAAGGCATATTTTGGCGATGGTACTCTCTCGGCCACGAGGGCTGAGCATGCCAAAAACCGCGAACAAGTGGATGATACCAAGGATCACGTCAAGGTCAATGAGGACTTTTCGGAACCTTTCGAAGGACTACCACACCACGCGCTGATTCTGTCTCAGGACGATAAGTCTGACACATTGCAGATCCAGACAAAGGACGAGGACGCGCATTTCGTTGTTTTGGCTGGCCAGCCGCTCAAAGAACCCGTCGTGCAAGATCGGTTGTTTGTTCTGAACTCGATGCAAGAAGTGCAACAGACCGTTGAGGATTTTAGGCAGTTCAAGAACGGTTTCGAGAACGCGAAGGAGTGGCGATCAGCAATCGGGCCCAAAGGATATCGTCTCAAGTTTTGAGCTTAGACTAACCCTGCATGTACGGCTGGATATATTTATTCGATAAATACACAACAGTCTATAAAAAAACACTTGTGATAAATGTAATGCATCGATCGGTATTAGGCGTGTGGTTCATACTAAGCTAGGAGTACGCCCAGAATCAGAGCTGAAGCCATGGACCCCAGACTATAACCAACAAGGCATGAGGCCGAATTCTTTGATGTTGGTGTGGGCGTATTTGTTCCAGCCGCTGTCGTGGTGGTCGTAGATGCTCTACCGGTTGTTGTGGCTGTAGGCGTGCTCGAGATGGTTGTGGTTGTCACATTGGATCCGTTCTGGTACGGTTGAGCGTCACTCTCACAGACAGGAACAGCGGCAATGCTGATGTTGCGTGCTCTACCCAACGGAATCAGTTTTTGGGCAACAGCGACCGTGTCTGCGGTGAGATCGTGTTCCAGGCAGTAGAATCCCTTGGACCTGTTGCTCGCCGCGTAGGCATCCAAGGACTTTGTGAACGTGGCGATGACTTGGCTCTGGCTTATTTCGGGCATCTTCCAGTCATTGGTATCGAATTCATCACCGGTCCAGTCGACAGGGATGTAGCCGAGCTTCTTGAGCACAAAGCGAACGCGGTTGTTGATATCACCGTAAGGCGGTCGCATGTACTTAAGCTTCAGACCCGTGGCATCCATAACCGCCTTTTCCGTCCACCTCATCTCGGCCACGATCTCCTCGTTCGTCAGTGTGGTCAGGGCATGGTGTGACCAGGTGTGGGAGGCGAGATGATGACCCTCGGCGACCTCGCGTTTGACAAAGTCGGGGTACTGAATCACATTCGAACCGATTACGAAAAAGGACGCGCTCAACTTCTCCTTCTTGAGATAGTCGAGTAAAGAAGGAGTGGCGACGGATGGGCCGTCATCAAAGGTAAGGCCCCACGTATTGGGAGCCGCGCAGGCAGTGATGTCGTCCGCAGAGCACCCATCACACGTCCAGTAACACCTGAAGCCGAAAGTAAGGGATGAAAAGAATGAATTTATTGAGTGTCAGGCACCAAATGTTGAGACTTGAAACGCAAAAGTACAATGGTACTTACTCATCGGGAATGGGTGGATTTGGACAGGAAGGCGGATTACCTTTGTGCAGAGGGATGTTGGGTGCACCTGTAAGGTCAATTTCCTGTAAAAGATAATGAGCGTGTTAGGCCAGGATGGGACTACGCAAGCGAGACATTTAGCGATAAGAGAGTAGACTAGGTCGCACCTTGAGCCATGCCTGGACCTGGGGCGACTTGGTATCAGGAACAGCATTGGGTGGTGGATAAGTTGAGGGCACTTGAGCATGCACAACTGCAAGAGCCAATACAAGGATTGAAAGCGACGACTTTGGCACCATGATGAGTGTAGGTAGGGCAGGAGATGCGCAATGGACTGAGTAAGTAGAAGTGCCTTCCCACTCAGGTGTTCCATGGGTATTTATACCATAACGCTACAGACAGCTCGCAACTATGTTACCGGGGAAAACAGGAGTTGGGCTGTTTCCCCAGTAGGGGATGACCATAACGGTGTTAACAGCATTACTAGTGTACTTCTTTGATGGCGGCATTTGACACTAGTATACATGTTTGTACGCCTTTCCCCCATTCTCATCTTGATTTGTATCCATTCGGACCATACCGAGGAGCATATGCTCAGTTCCTTGATAAGCATCAGGGATTCATCTAAAAATAATTCACTGAAGTAGAATCCCATCCCATGATGGTTTTCAGCATTTCCGCGTTGCCAGCCAGTTTTTGTCTTTATCGGCGCGAATCTATATTGTTGATGGCGCTTTCGAGATTATAGCTCATTCGCGATATGCACTCTCGCGTGACTCTGCAAGCATCCGACTAGAAGAGCCTGCCATTTTACATGAACTGAGGTTCTTGTCTCCCACGCAATTACGTGAATAGCGGCGCCTCCGACGAGCGCCTCTGGTCACTACGGGCGACTGCTGAAACTGATAAAATATTACATTTGAGAGCGAAAATATAAATGTAAAGAGTTGCGAGTGAGCGAGGCAGCTTTGTCCCCTCTCACTTATTCAAGCAGATGAACCTTCCAAGCTCGTCGGAGGCGCTGGCACTGAAGGTGGCGCGCAGACCACAAATGAGTCCACGTCCATCAGGAGCAAAAGATGTGCCTCAACCCGGATTTGAACCAGGGACCTCTTGTTTACAAGACAAGTGCGCTAACCACTGTGCCATTGAGGCATTCAATCGATCATCTGATATCGATTTCGAAACCTGCGGGCTGGAAATTAATATTTATTGTCATATACATAGTTCCCGACCCATGTCTTTTTTTTGTGGCCCCAGGTCCCCCGGAAGGGTGCAAGGCCCCGAAAATCGCACGTTATGATATCTTTTTATGTCCCGCATCGTTCTAGATTCAAACAAGCGTAGTTTTAGCCTGGTTTTCTTGCTTCATTGCATTTTTCTTTCTTTTATCGGAGGATGTGGCCGGTCTTTTGGCGACTGTGGATCGGCTCTACTTTGGTGGAAAGGACGACTGTAGTAGATAATTGCTGATAGATTCGCAGGGTCAATCGACTCGAGAGATAAATTGTTATAAAAAAAAAAGATGGAAAAGTCGCGTCGCTTTACAACTCTCTATGACTTTCAAATTTTTGCTGTGCAGACTGTCCCATATTATTGGATAGTTCAAATAGTACCACGCTAATAAAGCCCACATGTCTCCGTGGGTCCTAGCTATCAAAAAAGTTCAAATTCCGGCTTAGTGTTCACACGAGTATCATGCTTTCCCTATGGAATTTCGCGTTCTGGAAGGGCGTCCATGCTTATTCACAGTGCGAAAAAAGCTTAGCGATCGTTTGTGTCGTTAAATAGTAATAATAAGAAAGAATGCGCCCGTAAGAATGCGCCCTATTCTTCATGATTCATGCTGGTCATTTACACGCCAAAGATAGCTGCGTATATCACTTGCGTATTGACACAACTCCACACGCGTTCCTGTCAGTTCATAATCCCAGTTTCTCTTCCAGTTTACCAAAGTTTTCGATTCACACTTCAACGCACAGGGGTAAGAAAATGGAGCTTGATCGTTCTAATCGAGCTGGACCTGAATTTAGATGTTTTTTTTTTATCTGCTGACTATACTCCTCTTTTTCCGACTGTTATCCATAGGTTGGCTATATTTCTCCATAATTCCTATCATCGTTGTGAGCACCACTTGAATGGCTAGCCATGACCGGACGTTGATACCGTCCTAGGCTCGTTCTCATTATGCGCGCCTGTTATTCTTTTTCCACCGTTATCTATTATATTAGACTTTTGCTGTCCCCTCTCCGCATTTTCACAAGAATCTCCGCTCCCCCTGGTTTTCTGCCTTTACGGCAAAAACAAACAACTGTGCCTGTAATAATTTAATTGAATATCTCCTTGTTTTCAACTACCCCCACGTTCGTGTACAAGCTCTCTCAATCCCCCTTTTTTGCCCCTTCTTTTGGTCGTGTCATATATTCAGCCTTGGCTATGCTCTTTCTAGTTTCTAGCGCAGTCGATATTTAACTTCTCGCGATGAAAACTTCTCCGAGTCGTAGACTTTGCCTTGCAAATGAAGACGCGTATTGAACTCAGTTGCTACATTCGGTAGACCATTGGCATAGTGGTCTGCCCCATAGTGGGACAAATTGCACGCCGGCCATGACATGGCATCCTGCACCGCCAAAAGTGCTCAATACTCCTCACGAGCAGACGAGGGACAGCGGACCCGATCGACTGTTGGTGAGGATAAAGAGGGGCAAAAAAAGGGGGTCGAAGGAGGGCAGTTGGTCGTATATTTGCCTATGCACTGTCTGCAGCCATGCCTGAGACTGCCAATACAAAAGGCAACCGTCCGCTACTTCCACAGGGCGTGTCGATTTTATTTCCTGTCTGTTCACACAACTGAATCTATACCTCATTGCTCCACCCGCCTCTCTCTTCCTTGGTTCTTCTCTGCTCAACACCCTCTACGCCCTCTCTCATTCTTCATCACCCAGCAGCCATCGACCCATTCCACTTCTTCCATTGGCAACCTCCATTCACATCTCATCCCCATTCGAATCCCTCCTTCCCAGGGTAAATTATTTCATTTTTCTGGTACCTGGTTCTTTGGACTCAGCAGCTTTGCCCACTCAGATACATCACACCTACGCCCTGCACCCACCTGTCGATACCACTTCGCGACTTGATCTACGAAAAAGGTTCGTTTACAAAACAATTAAACTGCGCTTGCGCCCTATTAAATCTGTTATTATTTGTTCAGCTCTCCATACCCCACGGACTAAAGAACCAACGCTGAGAGCCGAAGATGGCTTCTCATGAGCGCACAGACAACAGAAAGATTCGCAAGAAAAGAAGCAATTGAGCTGCACTCCAACGAATCTTTCAAGGCGCCGGGCCGTATCCTTGCAGCCCCAGCTCTTGGCTCTCTTTTTATTACCCACACTCTTTCATCTTCTCCAAGGGAGAACAAAGGCAATAGAATGGGGAACAGGCTACATGGAGTCGGCATGCGTGCTTGTTGCCTGCCCCACCCCCTTGCGGCCCATGTCCATTGAAGTTGTTCAGGTGCTCATGCATCCCCTTTGATCTTTGAATCGCCTTTCAATAATTTTTTCCGGGGCCATGTTTTCCAAGGGGAAGGGAGCATTGCGGAGCTTGCCTCCTGGCTCCTGGCCAAGACAGGCTCCCTAACTGCTCTCTCCTTCTCCTGGTCTCCTTCTCCGCCCTTGATTAATTCTCCGGGGCTTGACTTTACGCGTTCATAATTACTTCCACATATCTTGCCTTCTCAACAAGAAAAAAGAAAAAAGAAAAAAGAAGAACTAGGTCTCATTTTGAAGGGCCTTTAAGGCCTTCTATTGTTCATGTAACCGTCTCCTCAAAGAAAAGAATTTTTTCTCCCCCCATTTTCACGGTTTGAACCAACCATCCCAATTCACAACGCCCAACAAAGAAATCGGAACTGATACACAGGCAAGCAGAGCCATCGAGAATCATCATGTGCCGGCGCCTTTATTCACCCATTCACCCATAATTACTTCTTTTCTCCTGAAACGGATGCGCCTATATCAAAGTATTAACCAAAGGAACCGTTGCTTTTCCCGATTCAGATATTTTTAAAAGCCGAACCATTAGTGCGCTCCTGTCCTGGCCTTCCAATAATCGACTGTCGTGAAGACGCATTCCTCTCTCCCGTATCGTATTTTTAACCACCAAAAGACCTCACTATGGGTTGTTGTATCAGTCAAGAGGACAAGGAGGGCCGTAACCGCAATGAGGCTATCGAGAGCCAGCTTCGGAAAGACCGCATGCAAATGCGGAATGAGGTCAAAATGCTGCTGCTTGGTAAGATCTAACAACAGTGGCTCTCCTCCCTTTTTGTTGCTGAGATTGTTCATGAGTAGGCCAGCTGTTTAAATTTGTTCCTTCGTCCCCCTATCCGCACAGGTGCCGGAGAATCCGGCAAGTCTACCATCTTGAAGCAGATGAAACTGATCCATGATGGAGGCTACTCTAAGGAGGAGTGTGAAGCCTACAAGGAGATTATCTTCTCTAACACTGTTCAGAGGTGAGTTCTATGTCTATGCGCATGAGCATTCCAGATGTTTCGTAGTGTCTCTGTTCCTGAATGCAAAGAGATAATGTTACACCACCGTTAGTGCTTGGCCCCTACGACGACGTGTGTTGTCACACAGAAAATAGTGTTCAATTTACTCAGATGACACGCTAGCATTTGGGCCATGCAACAATTGCTTGGATGTTTTTAATAATTAATTGTTCTCGGCCCTTTTGTACTCTTGTGCTGAGGTACTCAAGATGAAAAGATGAGCCAGAGCATTGTTCGCGTGGTGTAGTTTATTTTGCCCGAGGGTTTTTTTTTTTTTTTTTTTTTAACGCGTTTGTTCCTGTTCGTTTTTTGACATCGTTCGTAGCATGCGCGTTATCCTCGAGGCTATGGACAAGATGGAGCTTCCGTTACACCACGAGGCCAACCGCAACTATGCCATAATCATTTTGAGCCTACCTGCTCAGATCGAGGGAGAGTACATGCCACCCGAGGTCGCGGTCGCGGTTGAGAACCTGTGGGTCGATCCTAACGTGCAGCAGGCCTTCCAGCGCAGTCGCGAGTACCAGCTGAACGATTCTGCCAAATAGTAAGTTTTCGCTTTTTTTTTTTTTTTTTTTTTTAATGTGGCCAAAAAACTTGAAGAGTACTACAGTTGTGCTAACATAATATGACGTATAACACGCGACTTTGTGTCTCCTCTCAGCTATTTTGATTCGATTGAACGCATTGCAAAGCCGGACTACGTTCCCACAGACCAGGATGTACTCCGGTCTCGCGTCAAGACGACGGGTATCACCGAGACGCGTTTCGTGATCGGTGAATTGACCTATATGATGTTTGATGTCGGTGGCCAACGGTCGGAGCGCAAGAAATGGATCCATTGTTTTGAAAACGTTACAGCGATTGTGTTCCTGGTCGCTATCTCAGAGTATGACCAGCTGCTCTTTGAAGACGAGACCGTGAACCGAATGCAGGAGGCTCTGACGCTGTTTGATTCGATCTGCAACTCGCGGTGGTTCGTAAAAACGTCGATTATCTTGTTCCTGAACAAGATTGATCGTTTCAAGGAGAAACTGCCCATCTCACCCATGCGCAACTACTTCCCGGACTTTGAAGGCGGCGTCGACTATGACCTGGCATCACAGTACATCCTTAACCGGTTCGTAAGCCTTAACCTTTCCGATACCAAGCAGATCTACGCACACTTTACGTGTGCCACGGATACCAGCCAGATCAAATTCGTTATGGCGGCCGTTAGTGATATTATCATCCAGACCAACCTGCGAGATTGTGGTCTCTTGTGAACAATATCGCTTTCGACATTCCATTGGCTCTCCTCCTGCTCACTTTCTCCCAGTTCTCGTTTTCCTATTCAAGTAATCTCGCAACGCACCCAAGCTCCTTTTCCTTCTTGCTTCGTTTTTTGTCCGACAGAAAGAGACGGATCTGCCAAGCGCCCCATCTTGATCTGTTTCTTGACCGCACAAACACACAGGCGTCCTCTTCCTCGCGCCGGACGGTTGCACCCAGGCTCCTTTTCGCTGTTTCCTAGTCTGTGCGACCCGCAAACCTATCGTCCTATATACCATTCATTTATTCTCAACAAAGGTCATTTGATACGTATTCAGACAGATATTCAATTAATAACAAAAAATGTATACTTGTAAGGCCAGTAGTTGAATAGCGTTGCGCAGCATCCAAAAGTCACTCCACAACAAGGTTAATTAATGTTTTTATTATTCGATCAGTTCTGCGTTTACTTGGCCTGACCAAAGTCCTGGTTGAATGCTTCCAAGATAGCCTGTCCGACCTCCATATTTGGTTCATTATCGGCGTCGACATCGCCCTCGGTACCAGTGGTTGGAACCCCAGAATCATCGTCTGGACTTGCATCAGCATCTTCAGCTTCCGCGCCAGTAGTATCCGAATCGCTAGAGTCGTCAGAACTAGAATCTTCATCCGAGTCGTCTGAATCGTCACTCGAGTCATCCGACGACGATTCTTCCTCTTCATCCTCTTCCTCGTCATTATCGCCTTCACCTTCCTCGTCTTTCTCCTCGACTTTTGCTTTCTTGTTTGCAGTATCGCTTTCTGTAGTTCTATCATTATGCCTCTTATTATTCTGCTGCTTTTGCTGCGGTCCTGGATTCCGCTTGGGAAATTGTGTCGGTGGTTCTTCGATCGAATACTTTTTCAAAATCGGGTGAGATTGATCCGAAATGTTGGCTTGAGTTGCGGTATCTGAGGACGAGATTGATTCTGTAGACACATTTGCGCGCACACTTTCTGTCTTTGTTTCGCCGTTGGCTGCTGTATCGGTCGATTCTTTAACTGCCTCTGCAAATGCTGTTTCCTTTGATGTTGATATGGTTGCTAATGATGAAGGTTCGAGCACCAGAATGGTGGGGTATTCAAGTACCTTCTTGAATTTGAGTGCTTCCTGTAGACTGTCGGTGTTCTTGAGAGGATACAGAGCCGGTTTATTGGCCTACAAAAAGAGTTGAATAAAAAATATTAGCTTCCTGACTCGAATGATAGTAAATATCCTGAAAACGCGCCACTCATAGTCATTTGCTTACATGTCGCAGAGGGATAACAAAGTAGAGACGGTACTGGTCCAGCTGGTCCAGATGGTATATTTCCGTCAAGTCCTTCTTGTCCTCCTTGCTCAATGCTCCTGACAAAAGATCCTTGAGAGTACTGGACTCTTCATTTTTATGCTCAAGTACGCGCCTTGGTGAATCCGTCTTTGGGAACAACCATTCGATCGTCCAGAGAATCCTGCTAGGCCTAGTTTTAGTGAATCAAAAAGCAGATTTCAGGTAAGCCTCGTATCGAGTCTTTAGGATCGTTAAGCCAACACTATTATCTTCTCAATACTCACTTATCTCTCCAATGGGTGTTATTCTCTTTCCGCTTCTTGAGCCCTTCTGCCATCCTGATCAACTGTGTCCCACGTCGCCTTGCCTGCATAATAAGTTGTTTGTCCTTGTACGTTCCACTGTTCTCGGGCACCTGTCTCTCCAACTCCTGAGCCGCTGTTAGCGACAATTCTGTAATCGATGCAATATCTGATCCTCCTTTATTATCATGTGGATGGCGCGCTCGCTTGTTGTTATTGTTAGCGCCTAGGTTGCGTTTCTTGTTAAGGTGTAGTCCTGCTTCCAGTTCTAAATTCTGGCGTGCGGCATTGTCGACCGTCCGACCGACTTCCTCCAGAAAGTTGTAATCTATGAGTAATTCGATGTCCGGGAAGAGAAACAAGGCATACTGTTAAATCATGAGCACTACAACTCCACCCCCCTGACGGCCAACTGGACTTTTCATTTCGCCTTGCTTACCACTCATCATATCCTGTTCGCTGTACTGCTTGCGCTCGACAAAATGGGTCCTGGGACGAGCGCCCGAGCAGGTCGTGTCGAGCTTGTGCTGTTTTGAACACTGAAGCGAGCAGGTCTGACAGAAGCATCCGGGGCACTTGTACTTCGCTGTGGCAAGCCCGCATACCTCGCACTTGACAACGTCGTCCGAGATAGCCATGGTCTTTTCGCGAATCTGAATCCCGTCCTTGACGACGACATTTTCATTGTCGACTACGTCGCGGGTGACAAAAGCATTGGCAAAAAAGTCCATGAGAAAGAAAAAGGCAGAGGAAGTGACAGAGTTCTTTGAGATACCGATAGTAGGTGCTTATTGAAGAGACTTTCCGGTGGAATGATGATAAGAGGAAAAGTTTTCTTGCTCGCAAAAAGTTGAATGAGGAGGAGTGAAGAGGGAAGGGGCGAGCATAGCAAAAAAAAAGATAACACTGGGACTGCATTCCTCAATTGGTGGCGGCTAACCTTATTCACCACTAACACTGTCAGCTCAAGGATGCAGCTTGTGTTAGATTGTTGCTTTTAGGCAACAGTCTTGTTTATTGGGGTCTGGAGAAGTCAATTCGGTACAGCGGGTATGAGGCTGACCTAGATTTGAATGAGAACGGTTCGCGTCTGTTTGAACGGTTGCGATACTGCAGTGGACTCAAAGATCGATGACTGATCCTGGGGCACTGTCTGGACGATATAGTCGAGTTCCAGCATCAAATCGTAGCAGAAGTCATCCAGTTTCAGGTCGTTGGTGTCAAATCCTGCAGCGCAAGAGTATTGGGAAAGGTGCTACAGTGTTAGTCTTGGATTCGTTTAAAAAAGAAGAAAAGTTAATGACAATAAAGACAGAGGACATACCAAAGGGATCCTCAATCTGGTTTCCAATGGCCTCGATACCGAAGAGCGTAAATGCAACAGCACCGCATAGTGGAATGGTCAGCCATCCAACGTCCCTGACAGTGGTGAACGGCAATATGCAGCAGTACATCGTCAAGATCTGCTTCAGATGGATGTTGTACGCAACTGGAATAGGTGTCAAAAGAATGCGCTCCAGGTTTCCGAAGCAATCGATCATGCTTGAGAGTGCCATGGTGCATTGACCCTGGTATGGGATGTCAATCAAGTCCTTGTCCTTGACATAGTTGATCCAGAGAGATAACTGATATGAGATCTCAAGCGGCAGTGACATCGACGCCGTCGAGTTATCGCGCTGAATTACCCAGTCGTTTCTGTCGTTCTGAAGATGCTGACGATGGTTGATGTACTGAGTCCTCAGGTTGTTTGCGCTTTTACATGGTACAAAGTCCTCGGGCAAGAGACCCTGTAAATCTCTATAGGAGGTGCCATACTCTGCTCGGAGGTGGTGCTTGGTTGCCACAGCAAAGGCGAGCAGCATGTTGATGGCTCGAATCTTTTGGTCGTTGATTCCTGCAGGGCCATCGGGCTTCTCCTTGATGCCCACCCAAATCACTCGCGCCATATTGCGGATGCTGGTGTTCATAGTCGTCCAGATTTTACGACCTTCCCAGAATCGGTCGTAAGCAGTGTTGGTTCTGAAGGCGAGAATCAAACCGATAACAATACTCAGGGAACCGACTAGCGATAAGAATTGATAAAAAGAGTTACTAAACGTTAAACACCATGTGCTGAACTGTCAAGCCCAAAGTAACCATGAATAGGTATGTATCCCTTCTTACTAATGGATCCGGCAACAGCTATATCGATGCCCACAGCCAGGTAGATATAGCTGACGCATAAGGCAATAAAGACAGAGAACAGCACATTGGGCAGGATCAACGGGATGACCTATGTGAACGTATGAAGTTGGATGGATTTTTAGTATGCGGCCAATATGGGATTTCCAGGAACAGGTGCGCTTCGATCCGCTGCTTTGGTTTGTAACCAAGGTAACGAGTGGTGCTTACCGAACCACGCCAGATAAGTGCGATGGGGTATCCCCAGGGACTCTCGGTCTTTCTTCTCGACATCCTTGCAGCTGAGTAAGGTATTCCTGCTTTTCAGTTTCTGGTGGTGTGCTGTAATAAGCTTTGTGGTCTGTCGGAGGGCTGCAGTCGATCCCTGACAAAGTCGAATGTGGCGGATGAAAGAGGAAATGAGAACGGCGGATGGACACAAAGGAAATGACCGTTCTACTCCAGCACCCGTACTCCTTACTCGAGATGCTCGCTGCTGTTTATTTGAGAGCCCTTCCTCTGCTCACTCAAGCCCAGCTTCCTCAGCCCTGACCCAATTGGGGCTAAGCACGATTCTAAGAGCACGACACTCATGGCTGGTTGACAAAAGCATACTGACAATGCAGCCTATCTATGAGTTAGTAGGGCAGAAGAGGCGCAGAGAAACGAGTCGTGAATCATCTTTTATGCATCACCCCAGACTATGAGGTTCAACTGGTTTTCATACCTGTGGATTCCTTTCTGGTGGCGGGTGCGTCTGTGCTCTCGTGAGAATTACTGGACGACCGCTTTTCTTGGGGTTCTGTGCATCCAGTGGTCGCCTGATGGCTAGAACCTATAGGTGCATCACCACACCTTTGTTCATGAACACATTTCCGTCCCAGTGGGGCACAACTAGCATTCGAAGGGAATGCATTTTAAAGCTTTGCAGGTGCCGGTACCGTTACATATGTGATCAGCGCGTGGGGGAAAATAACCAAAGAAAGAAAAAAACCAAGGGAGCGAAGGATTAGTGATGTGGATCTTTAGGATAAAAAAAAGATACTGAAAGACTAATTCCTCTACCATGCCCCATAAGGAGAGGGAGTGCATCAGTTTAGCTGGTTGCTCTGAAATCGTCTTATCAATCAGCTTTATTACAGAAATCAGCAGTTTCCACTTCAACATCTTTTTCTTTGCTTGGTTCTTCATGTATACAAAGAAGCATTAAAAGTAAACAGGAGACAGCTTTATAGAAATGCAGATGTATGTAAGTTATGTAAGCTATATAAGCGTATTGTAAAGATAACATGTTCGATCTATGCACCATGGCTCTATTTCAAAGGGATCCTCTTGACGACGGGAACCTACTTCAAACTGTGCTTCAGGTACAGCGCTGCAGTCAAGAGCGTCAGCGATCCAGCCTGATGGTTAGTGCCAACCGAGACTGGGACCATGTACAACAGGGTCATAATGCCAAGTCCGACTTGAGAGCAGGCGACTCCCATCAGCGCATTCACACCAAGGCGTATATGAGGAGGTAGAGGCAGTGCACGCGAGTACAGAAACAAAGAAGTAACAGCAGTGAATGTCGTCGTAGCCTAGTTCCGGGCCATAGTATTGTGTCAATAAATCAAGTTAGACCAAGGACGATGACAATGAATGCCATCAACTGCTATAAACAAAAACGAGAGAACGACTTACGAGAGTACTGTGGTTGAACTGGACGGCGACCTGGCTGTCAAACATGTTTTTCCAGAGTCCGATCGTAGGGTGATCGTCCTTGTGCAGAAAACTGTCATCGAACAGTTCCCTCATAAGAGGCACCAGACGGCCACCCATCAACGGGAACTCATTGCAAACCAAACCAGCTACGAGCGCACCAGAAAATGACAGCCAAGGACACAAGAGTAACAGTGTCATAGGTACCACCCTTGAAGTGCTTCAGCACCGGGTTGTTGATTATACCAGCCAAAGACTGCGAGAATGAGGAAAAAGTGTCGTAGCACAAAGTGTTAGCTGCAGGTTGTGCAAATGGAAGCTTACAAAGCAGGCAGGAGCAGAGCCATGGATATATACCTTATAAGCGCCCTTGGAAATCTTGTAGTCCGCTGGAACCTTCAGTCCAATCATCACTGCACCCGTGTAGATCAAGAACGCGCTTTCCAAGTGAGCCGCCAAGCGATACTGTGTGAAAATGGTGTGGATTCAAGCCAAAATGTATGCAAGCAGACACCATCGAACTACTGGGAGAAAGTATCGGAGAAAAAAGTAAAAAGAGCCAACAATGGCGGGCGGTCTTGTTCTTTTTTGCTACTTTCCAAGCATCTTGGCAGAAAACCTTATTAATGATTCACGCATTATTGCTGTCTGCAACACAGTGCTTGAGTAAAGGGAGAGATGCCATCATTGCTCAGGCCGGTACCGACTCATGGGTATCTGCCGTGATCTGTATCCATGGGTGTCTTTCCAGGCACCGAGGCGGCCCAGACTTGGCATTCGAGAGTGTTTCCAGGCCAAGGATCGGAGACAGAGTAATTGCTTTTCGATGGCCATCCTTGGCATGTCGCTTGAGCTATATGCAGAATGTGTTGAACAGGTGTAGTCCTCAGTTTCGGCTTGATTCGTTTTTGTAGTGTGATTTTGCCGCCACTCGAACACCGGTTAGAGGAACGATACTCAGCAGTCTTTCCTATTTCTATGCACCAATGCTGCTGCCTAGCACCATCACTTCATCGTGCATGGTCTAAGAGCTGTGGGCTGTGCACGTCTTTTTCTTTAGTTGGTTGTTTGTTTTCAGGGACAGACGGCAAGACTGCTCCCAATGTTACACCAAGATTTTGATTCTTCGCCATTGCCTCTTATTGTTTTTCTGTTTTCTTTCCGTTCTTCACTCCCGACCGCCCATCCTCTTGCCTTGCGAACGTTACCATGACACTCGATGTTACGGGCCTGCACCCCTCGCAGGCTTTTCGACTGCATACACCCCCAGGTTCATCCACACAAGCCGATATCGTCAAGGTCAAAACACGAATTGACACCAACACTGGCCGACACATAGTTTTGTGGAAGGACGTTAAGAGCTATTTCAAGAACGCCAAATGCGCAATGAAAGCCGGAGAAATAGTAGCGTTTCTGGCCGACGAAAACTTGGGCCGGTAAGTTGTGAGGGGAAAGCAGATGACCATTGGCTATAACGCCGCTGCTAATTGCTATCATTCTCTATTCTAAACTGTAGCCTAAAGCCTCGGAGGATCGATCATCATCCTGGAGTTGTGCTCGATGTGGTTGTCGACAGTGCCAGAAAAAATACCATCGATCGTGCAAGGGAGAAAGAGTCCCTCCGGCAAGCCGTATTCACAGGGCCAGCCGCTCCCTCTTCCGCTATGGGTATGCCAACCAAGGCCATTGACCTCTTGCGATACACCTCGTCCTCGTATGCGGCTGCTGATGAGGCAGAATCTGTTACACAACAAGTCACTGACCTCTCCATATCGGACCAGACGTCCTCGAACAAATGTCCCGTTGTCTGTTTAACCGAGATGACACAGCAGCTGACCATGTCTTCCCAGGCCTGCCTCAGCCAGTACACTTTGCAGCTTCGGGACATCCAGCGCGGTCAAAATGACATTGTCGCAGAAGTGCGCAAGAATAGGTCTCTTCAAGAGCAGATATTCCTATTACAGCAGCAGATGGACGAGAAGGACAGGATTGCGCAAAAGCAGCTGTTGGAGGCACAGCAGCAGTTACTGGAGAATCAGGAGCAAATTCTCCAGACGCAACAACAGGCCCTCGATCGCTTAGCCATCATCCAAAGCCGTGTCCAGGCCGTCCTTACACAGACCTACGAACTCCACGAGTACCCTATTCCACGACTCTTCATTGTTCTTCCAAAGGCATCAAGGCGTCGTGACAAGCTGCTCAATCCTTTCTCGGACCAGTATCGTCTTTATTTCTTGTGTGAATGCGGCTCTCACACCATGTCCGAGGGAACCAAGATACCGCACAAGGTCCACCTGGCCAAGCACGAAGGATATGACCTGAGCCGTCCGAACGAGTTCTTTAAGAAGTACGGATTCTATGTCCTGACATTGATGCAGATGATCAAGTATGGGATCACAATTGCCGGGGTGGTTGTGCCATCGCTGGCGCATTTCAAGATTGTAGATGGAATCGATGCGGTCCAGGAGCAGCTCCAGTTTGTGAAAGAGAACTTTGGACAACTGGTAGACAATACGATCGACTTTATTGAGGACCAGCAGCAAAATAACAAGGATAATAAGGACGGGGTATACGCGGCTGAAGGACAGACGAGGATGGACAAACTTGAGGTCCTGGAAGGAGCAGATCTTCGACAGCTGGAGTCGTACCTGAGAGTCCAGGATAAGGGCCGCACTCTAGGCAATCTGTACCGGACCGTCACTGAGGAGGGACATGTCAAATGGGTGTGCATCGATCACTTCCGTGAGAACTATCGAGAGTCGGCAGTGCAGCAGTTGAGAGATGTGGTGGCAGTCAACTCTGGGGCTTTCGATGAGGAACAGAGCAGGGTCTATATCTTTCTGAGGTCCGCTCTCCAAGCAAAGGAGTTCTACGAGGCACTGGTCAAAGCACGAAGGGTCCATGAGCTGACAGTAGAGCTGCAGTGGGGTATGACATTGGACGATCATCGGAAGTTCCGTTCTGCTATCACGAATGCGAACGTATCTTGTCTGACAATGATCATATTCAGAATGAAAAGGCCAGCATTGGATCTTATCAACCGCTATCGACGCTTTGATCCGATCATGGGGCTCCTGTCGGACAGGCGACTCCAAGCTTTCACACTAGAAGGATCTGAAAACTTCTTCTCTCGGACCAGCACTTCCTTTATCAGGCCCGCTCCTCAACTTCGAACTCTGTCTATACAACCCATACACCTTGAAGATACCGCGTCCCAGACAACATTCGCCAGACTTCTTCAGAACTGTCCCAATCTGACAAAGCTGCAGCTTGGAACATGGGACTTGAGCACCATCTTCGATATAGTTATGCATAATATCAAGCATTTGTCAAATCTTAAAGAGCTAGGACTATTCCATGGGAGATCTTCAGAGGACCATATCGTCATCGACCTCCTCAAAGGCGAGGTTCAGGGTGCGTGGGCCAAATTAGCCATCATCACGTCTTTTGAACCATCGTATCTGCAGTTTTTTCGGAGAGGACTACTCACTCAACTGACGATTACGAATACCGTTATTGATCAAGCGAAGGGATCACTTCCAGAGATCATACACAGGAATCCAAGGCTCTTGGAAGTCAAGCTCAGTTGCCGATGTGCGCAATTCCTTGGGATGCTCAACCTGATTATATCGGGGAGAAAGCGAGGGAGGGCAGATGGATACGTCTATGCACCATTACGACTCGACTTTACAAACTATTCCGACGACATAGCCGATGATTGTATCATCTCTGCTGTACATCTATCGGAGCGGTCTGATGCGCTCGACATGTCCACCGACATCAGACTGAGGTTTGGATCGCGGCCTGATCATAACTATCTCTCCTCGCTAATCAACCGATACGGATGGTCCATCAAGATACTGGATACCCTATCTGGAGAGCTCAGCGATGATATTGCTCAACAATTGGACAAGTCAACGGAAGAGAAGGGGTCTAGGATCACAACTCTTATGTTGGACACATATGGTCTGTCTTCTGCGGGTCTGGAGTGCATGGCTCGAGTCATGGATCGGTCGGGCTACCTGCAGGAGTTCCAGCTCTACGTCCGTAACCCGTTGATTAACGATGCAGTGGAGAGCCGACTGCTTCATAGGCATAGGGAGGTGTTGACTGGGTTGAGAGTGCATGTAGCATCGCACGATTCACATATCCCATGGCTTGCGGAAACCTTCTTGTCAAGACGTGATGTGCGACGACTGAAATATCTTCATTTCATGTGCTTGCACAGCAAAGTCATCTTCCCACAAGAATACGTTCCTTGGCTCGCTGCAATGGTCTCCTCTTCAAGCGATCCATTCATCCATGAGTCTTCCTCACCACAGAGCCTCACAAATCCCCAGGCGCTGCCATCGACCGAGTCTGCTGCTGATACTTCGACAGCATGGGAGCCATTACAGGAGTTCAGACTGTCTGGATTTTCACTTGAGCCGGAAGACTGGAAGACGATTATCGAGGCGCTTGATTTTTCTAAACTGAGGACACTAAGACTTTCCAGGAGCAACTTTTCAATCGAGCAGTTCAAGACTCTGGTCGATTGCATCTCAGACGCTGGTCCTGATGTGCCGCTAGAACATGTCGACTTTCGTGGATCAGATCTTTCTGTACAAAGGATGCCTTCCGAGATGCAGCAGCTACGCAAGACACTTAATGAGAAAGCGCCCCAAATCAGTCTTTATATTAATGTTTTTAAGCAATAAAAATTGTACCCAAACGGGAATAAAGATCCAGAAGCCTCCTTTCTTGTTTATGGGTGAAACTGCGCCTACTTTATTCAGCAACTTGCAGCAGCAGTTTCGATACGCTCCCGACGCAGCGGGGAAGCTCTACCCTTTCGGGAAGAGAAGACGTACCTGATTGACTGTACTTTCTGTCGCTGCGGGGCAGATACTGGTACTGTCGCATTTGTGATCAATGCGCGGAAGAAACAACCGAAGATAGAGAAAGAGAAAATAAACGTTGCCGAATGACTAATTTCTCTACCATGTCCCATAAGGATAGAGATGCATCAGTTTAACTGGTTGTTCTGCAATCATCTTGTCAATCAACTTTATCACAACATTCAACAATTTCGTCTGCAGCATCTTTTTCTTTGCTTGGTTCTTCTTCATGTACACAAAGAAGCATTAAGAATAAACAGGAAACAGCTTTATAGAAATGCAGATGTATGTAAGCGTCTTGTAAAAATAACATGTTCGATCTATGCACCATGGCTCCACTTCAAAGAGATCTTCTTGACGACAGGGGCCTTCTTCAGACTGTGCATCAGGTGCAGCGCTGTAGTCAAATAGCGTCAATGATCCAGCCTGATAGTCAGTGCCAACCGAGACTGGGACCATGTACAACAGGGTCATAATGCCAAGTCCGACTTGAGAGCAGGCGACTCCCATCAGCGCATTCACACCAAGGCGTATATGAGGAGGTAGAGGCAGTGCACGCGAGTACAGAAACAAAGAAGTAACAGCAGTGAATGTCGTCGTAGCCTAGTTCCGGGCCATAGTATTGTGTCAATAAATCAAGTTAGACCAAGGACGATGACAATGAATGCCATCAACTGCTATAAACAAAAACGAGAGAACGACTTACGAGAGTACTGTGGTTGAACTGGACGGCGACCTGGCTGTCAAACATGTTTTTCCAGAGTCCGATCGTAGGGTGATCGTCCTTGTGCAGAAAACTGTCATCGAACAGTTCCCTCATAAGAGGCACCAGACGGCCACCCATCAACGGGAACTCATTGCAAACCAAACCAGCTACGAGCGCACCAGAAAATGACAGCCAAGGACACAAGAGTAACAGTGTCATAGGTACCACCCTTGAAGTGCTTCAGCACCGGGTTGTTGATTATACCAGCCAAAGACTGCGAGAATGAGGAAAAAGTGTCGTAGCACAAAGTGTTAGCTGCAGGTTGTGCAAATGGAAGCTTACAAAGCAGGCAGGAGCAGAGCCATGGATATATACCTTATAAGCGCCCTTGGAAATCTTGTAGTCCGCTGGAACCTTCAGTCCAATCATCACTGCACCCGTGTAGATCAAGAACGCGCTTTCCAAGTGAGCCGCCAAGCGATACTGTGTGAAAATGGTGTGGATTCAAGCCAAAATGTATGCAAGCAGACACCATCGAACTACTGGGAGAAAGTATCGGAGAAAAAAGTAAAAAGAGCCAACAATGGCGGGCGGTCTTGTTCTTTTTTGCTACTTTCCAAGCATCTTGGCAGAAAACCTTATTAATGATTCACGCATTATTGCTGTCTGCAACACAGTGCTTGAGTAAAGGGAGAGATGCCATCATTGCTCAGGCCGGTACCGACTCATGGGTATCTGCCGTGATCTGTATCCATGGGTGTCTTTCCAGGCACCGAGGCGGCCCAGACTTGGCATTCGAGAGTGTTTCCAGGCCAAGGATCGGAGACAGAGTAATTGCTTTTCGATAGCCATCCTTAGCATGTCGCTTGAGCTATGTGCAGACTGCGTTGAACAGGTGTAGTTCTCAGTTTCGGCTTGATTCGTGAACGCGTTTTTGGTGGTGTGGTTTTGTCGCCACTCGAGCATCGGTTAGAGAAATGATGCTCAGCGGTTCTTACTATTTCTACGCGCCAATGCTGCTGCCTAGCACCATCGCTTCTCCGTGCATGGTCTAAGAGCTGTGGGCTGTGCACGTCTTTTTCTTTAGTTGGTTGTTTGTTTCCGGGAATGTATGGCAATACTGTCTCCAATGTTGCACCAAGATTTTGTTCCTTCGCCAACCTCGCCAACCTCACCAACCTCGCCATTGCCTCTTATTGCTTTTCTGTTTTCTTTCCTTCCTTCACTTCCCTCGCCCATCCTCTTGCCTCACAAACATTACCATGACACTCGATGTTACGGGCCTGCACCCCTCGCAGGCTTTTCGACTGCATACACCCCCAGGTTCATCCATACAAGCCGATATCGTCAAGGTCAAAGCACGACTCGACACCAATACCGGCCAACACATCGTTTTATGGAGGGATGTCCTGCTTTATTTCAAGAATGCTCAGTGTGCCATGAAAGCCGGAGAAATAGTAGCGTTCCTGACCGACGACAACTTTGCCAGGTAAGTTGTGGAGGGATAGCAAATGACCATTGGCTATAACGTCGTTGCTAATCGCTACCATTCTCTATTCTAAACTGTAGCCTTAAGCCTCGGAGGATCAACCATCATCCTGGAGTTGTGCTCGATGTGGTTGTCGACAGTGCCAGAAAAAATACCATCGATCGTGCAAGGGAGAAAGAGTCCCTCCGGCAAGCCGTATTCACAGGGCCAGCCGCTCCCTCTTCCGCTATGGGTATGCCAACCAAGGCCATTGACCTCTTGCGATACACCTCGTCCTCGTATGCGGCTGCTGATGAGGCAGAATCTGTTACACAACAAGTCACTGACCTCTCCATATTCGACCAGACGTCCTCGGACAAAGGTCCCGTTGTCTACTTAACCGAGAAGGCACCGCAGCTGACCATGTCTCCCCAGGCCTACCTCAACCAGTACACTTTGCAGCTTCGGGACATCCAGCGCGGTCAAAATGACATTGTCGCAGAAGTGCGCAAGAATAGGTCTCTTCAAGAGCAGATGTTTCTATTGCAGCAGCAGATGGATGAGAAGCAGGTGCAAATGCTTCAGATGCAAAAGCAGGCCCTCGATCACTTAACCATCATCCAAAGCCGTGTCCAGACCGTCCTTACACAGACCTATGAGCTCCACGAGTATCCTATTCCACGGCTCTTCATTGTTCTTCCAAAGGCATCAAGGCGTCGTGACAAGCTGCTCAATCCTTTCTCGGACCAGTATCGTCTTTATTTCTTGTGTGAATGTGGCTCTCACACCATGTCTAAGGGAGGGAACCAAGATACCAAATGAGATCCACCTGGCCAAGCACGAAGGATATGACCTGAGCCGTCCGAACGAGTTCTTTGAAAAGTACGGATCCTATGTCCTGATGCTGATGCAGACGATCAAGTATGGGATCAAAATTGCCAGGGTGGTTGTACCACAGTTGGCACATTTCAAGATTACAGATGGAATCAAGGCGGTCGAGGAACAACTCAAGTTTGTGAAAAAGAACTTTGGACAACTGATAGACAATACAATCGGCTTTATTGAAGGCCAACAGCAAAATAACAAGGATAACAAGGACGGGGTATACGCGGCTGAAGGACAGACGAGGATGGATGAAGTTGAGGTCCTGGAAGGAGCAGATCTTCGACAGCTGGAGTCGTACCTGAGAGTCCAGGATGAGGGGCGCACTCTAGGCAACCTGTACAGGATCGTCACTGAGGAAGGACACGTCAAATGGGTGTGCATCGATCATTACCGTGAGAACTATCGATAGTCGGCAGTGCAGCAGTTGAGAGATGTAATGGAAGTCAACTCTGGGGGTTTCGATGAAGAGCAGGGCTGGATTGTGATCAGTCTGAGATCTCCCACAGGGGCAAAGCAATTCTACGAGACGCTGGTCAAAGCACGAAGGGTTCATGAACTGACAGTAAGGCTACAGTGGGATACGACACTGGACGACCATCGGAAATTCCGCTCCGCTATCACGAATACAAACATAGCTTGTATGGCAATGAGCACGCTCAATAGTAAAGGACCAGCATTGGATTTTATCAACCGCTATCGACGCTTTGATCCGATCATGGAGCTCCTGTCGGACAGGCGACTCCAAGCTGTCACACTAGAAGGATCTGAAAACTTCTTCTCCCAGATCAGCAGTTCCTCCATCAGGCCCGCTCCTCAACTTCGAACTCTGTCTATGCATCCTATTCACCTCGAGGACGCCGCGTCGCAGGCAGCATTCGCCAGACTTCTTCAGAGCTGTCCCAATTTAACAAGGCTGCAGCTTGGAACAAGGGAGCCGGGTACCACCTTCGATATAGTTATGCATAATGTCGAGCATTTGTCAAACCTCAAAGTACTGGAACTCTTCCGTTGGGGATCTCCAAAGGACCATATCATCATCGATCTTCTCAAGGGCAACGTTCAGGGCGCATGGGTCGAATTAAGTGACGCTTGGCTTTATGAACCATCGTATATGCAGTTTTTACGGAAAGGTCTACTCACTCAACTGACGATTACGAATACCGTTATTGATCAAGCGATGGAATTACTTCCAGATCTCCTATACAGAAATCCAAGGCTCTTGGAACTCAAGCTCAGTAGCCGATCCACGCGATTTCTTGAGATGCTCGACCTGATTATATCGGGGAGAAAGCGAGGGAGGGCGAAGGGATACATTTACGCATCATTGCGATTCGACTTTGCAACCCATTCCTACGACACATACGATGATCGCATCATCTCCGTTGTACACCTCTCGGACTCCGATGTACTCGACATGTCTACCGACATCAGACTGAGGTCTGGATCGTGACCTGATCAGGACTATTTTTCCTCGCTGGTGTACCGATACGGATGGTCCATTAAGATGCTGGATACATTATATGGAGTGTCCCTCGATGATATTTCTCAGCAACTAGATAAGTCAACGCAAGAGAAGGGATCCAGGATCACAACTCTTAAGCTGAGCGCATGTTGGCTGTCCTCTGTGGGTTTGGAGTGCATGGAACGAGTCATGGATCGGTCGAGCTACCTGCAGGAGCTCCAGCTCTACGTTCGTAGACCGTTGGTTGACGATGCAGCGGAGAGCCGGCTGCTTCATAGGCACAGGGAGGCGTTGACTGGGCTGGGGGTGTATGAAACGTCGCACGATTCATCTATCCCACGGCTTGCGAAAACCCTCTTGTCAAGACGCGATGTGCGACGACTGAAGTGTCTTCATTTCATGGGCTGGTTCAACAAACCGTCTTCCCACAAGAATACGTTTCTTGGCTCGCTGCAATGGTCTCCTCTTTAAGCGATCCATCCATCCATGAGTCTTCCTCACCACAGAGTCTCACAAGTTCCCAGGTACCGCCATTGGCCGAGGCTGCTGCTGATACTCCGATGTCATGGAAACCATTGCAGAAGTTTAGACTGTCTGGATTTTCACTTGAACCGAAAGTCTGGAAGATAATTATCGAGGCGCTTGATTTTTCTAGCCTGAAGACATTAGGCTTTTTCAGGAGCAACTTTTCAATCGAGCAATTCAAGACTCTCGTCGATCGCATCCCAGACGACGACTCTAATGTACCGCTAAAACATATCGACTTTCATGAATCAACTCTTTCTCGACAAAGGATGTCTTCCGAGATGCAGCAGCTACGCAAGATACTTAATGAGAAAGTGCCCCAAATCAAACTTTTATATTGCAATAAAAATTATACCCAACGGAAATAAGATCCAGAAGCCTCCTTCCTTGTTTCTGGGTGAAACTACGCCGACTGTATTCAGCAACTTGCAGCAGCTACTGCGTCGAGGCGCAAAAGCCTGTTTTTATCTGCATTCTCCTGACATCCCGGTGCAATGGGAAAGCTCTATCCTTTCAGGAAGAGAAGACGTACCTGATTGACTATGCCTCCTGTCGCTGTTGGACAGATACCGGTACTGTCGCATTTGTGATCAATACGCAGAAGAAATAATCGACTAATTTCTCTACCATGTCCCATAAGGATAGGGATGCATCAGTTTAACTGGTTGTTCTGCAATCATCTTGTCAATCAACTTTATCACAGCAATCAGCAATTTCCTCTGCAACATCCTTTCTTTGCTTGGCTCTTCTTCATGTATACAAAGAAGATTAAGAATAAACAGAAAACAGCTTTACAGAAATGTGGATGTATGTAAGCGTCTTGTAAGAATAACATGTTCGATCTATGCACCATGGCTCTATTTCAAAGGAGTCCTCTTGACGACAGGAACCTTCTTCAGGCTGTATCAAGTATAGTGCTGAGGTCAAATAGCGTCAGCGATCCAGCCTGATGAGCGGTGTCGAGTGAAACGAGAACCAGGGTCGGAATTGCTAAATCCGACGGACGTTCCTAATACGGCAGTCAAGAACGCAAAACAAGGCCTACGACTATGGGCACCGTTCTTGATTCGAACCATAGCTTTTCAGAGTTTGCTGTCACTTCCTTATTGCCGTTCCGACCGCGAGAGCACACTGCTGTAGGGTATTGCGCTGAGGGTTGAGAGTGCTCGTCAACAGCTTGTTGTGCCCCTCTTTCATCTACTACTCTGTTACAGCGAGTTCAATAATGGTCATGACAATAAAAAGAACGCGCACGTCGAAGATGTAGATAAAACTTTATGGTTAAAAAAGAACAAATGAAAAATAGGCTAAGCACAGACAAGGGTGGAAAACCACCAATAAAAAATGACTTTGTGAGGGTGTCCCTGATTTGTTTCCCCTCTGTCGTTTTTCCTCTCAGCTCCTCCAGTCTATTGTGTCTTTGCGGCTGCGCGGACGGGATCAAAATAAGGGTGCTCCATCGCCTCTGCTGCAGTTAGGCGTTCCTGGTGATCATATCGGACCAACTTGTCCAAAAAGTCGATCGCCGCGTTCGAGACAAAGCGCTGGTTCTCTGGTGTCACAAATTTGCTCCATGGCTTGCGAGGATATCTGCCCAGAATCTCGTCGTACTGCACATCCAATTCCAGATCATACTTCTCCAGATAAGCAAACAACTCATTCGTTCCGAGCACTCGCGCAATCTTGACCAACTGGTCATAGTTGTCGTGTCCATGGAAGAATGGCTCCTTGCGGAAGATCTGATAGTCGTAAACAAAAAAAACACACTCACGTCAGTATCTCAGTCACCGCTAAAAAAACATGCCTATGCATAGACCGGCTACATGTCGACCTACCATGCTTGCAAACATGGCACCCAAGCTCCACATGTCGAGAGAATAGTCGTATTCCTGGAAATCGACCAACAGTTCCGGTCCTTTGAAATAGCGCGATGCAACACGAACATTATATTCCGTGCCAGGATGATAAAACTCTGCAAGGCCCCAATCAATCAGACGAAGCTATTATCAATAATGAAAATTTGTGAGCGCCATAATCCTCCATTCTTGTCATCCTAACATATGATCGCAGCACAAACTCATGCTGCTGACATGGGATTGCCGTATACCTTGCGCTTCTCATGTTCGATCATGACATTGTGGGGTTTGACATCGCGATGCATAATACCCTTCGAGTGGCAGAAGTCCAAGGCCTAGAAGGTGTAGATTGGATGGACAAATATGATTAGTTGGTCCGTGCGATATGCAAACCCTTGCGAAACAGCTGCAGCGCCCATGCATATAAGTATTCTTTAATGTTCCTGTTACCTTCAACAGCTCGAAAATGTAGTAGCGCACGTCAAAGTCCGTAAACTTGGGATAGAGAATCTTGAAGTCCGTGTTGTTGACGCACTCGAAAATCAGTGAAGGTGTCTTTGACTATGTTGCATGAAAAAAATAAAAGGCCCAATTCTTTGAGTTAAATTTCAATAACAATTGAAAACTTCCATTTTTTGCCGGCACCGTCTCGCCTCTTGGTTCTGGAAGCCTTGCTTCAACCATGCAGTGCTGTTTGAAGCGGCGATTTCAAAAAAAAATAAAAAATCCACTGATAGCAAAGCACCAATTGAATCGCGTCATCGCCACTAGTCAAGGCTCCACATTTCCGCCAAGACATCTTCCATGCGTCGATTAGTCCATACCTGGGGATCACGAACGACATCGAAGAGAGTGATCACGTTGGGTCCGCCAGCCAGGTTCTGAAGAATCTTGATCTCGCGCTTGATCTTCTTTTTCTTGACGGGCTTCAGGACCTTGATACAACACTTTTCGTTGTTTACAGTGTTGAAGCCCTCAAAGACTTCCGAGTATTTGCCGCGTCCAACCTTGCGAATGATCTCGTAGTTGTCCTGGACACTAATACGATATCAAATACGAAGGTGACAACGAGTTAACAATGGAGAGATTGTGAAGCAAGCCGTCAATCCGCCATCATAAAAGAACAAAGGGGCAAAGAGATGAGGGTCTATGGAGGATCAGACCGTAATTACAGCTCAGATATACCAAATCAGACGAATTTCTCTTCAACCGCACCATAAAAAACAAACACGCACTCAAAGCTGAAAGGAGATGAACAGAAGCGCAGTGAATGCTTTTTTGCCACTGTCCTTTCGCTCTGATTCCTGATATTGGTCGGTTCATCTTTTGTGCTACTACTAAAGACGACTAGGCGCCGAGACGAAGCAATATAAGAGCCCCATGTTTTCCGATAGATAAGGATAGTTGCTACCGGAGTTACCGCAAGATCAGGCTGAGCGAGAGATGATGACTGAAAGCAGAAAAAAAAAAAAGGCCGCCATGTCTGCTCCTTGTATGGTCCTCGGAGCAGGTGGTTACTGGAGACCCATCGGGTCAAGTTCAAGTTGACATATTGGTGCTTACCCCCATTGGACTTGGAGATTGTCGTAGTCCCAGTACTCCTTCGGATGAGTCTCGTTGACGTTCGCATACACACGTGCGACGCTTCCAGTTGGCATTGTCGTAATATATTGCAGCTCCGGATCCGCAGCCCGCTTGGTTGTTTTCTGCTTTTACAACAAAACTTGACGGACGATAGGCGTCTGATGAGCGAAGAAGAAGAGGGAAGAGAAGGAGGTAGGGGATGGCGGGGAGAAGCAAAGAGAGGGATGGAGGATTGGACTCGAGAACAACAACAAAAAACCAGCGCTCAGCTCAGCCTGTATGAAGACTGCAATGGGTAAAAGACGAAGAGAGAGAAAAAAATCGTTTGTCATGTGACGAGCTGACCTGTCATTGGCTGGACAGTCCTCAGCGTGTTCTGAGTACTCTGGAAAAGCGAAAACGCATAAGGGCGGATAAAGCGGGGCAACAAATCCCTGGGCAGGGAGACCAAAGCGCGTCCTTGAGGTAAATACCTGGCGCGCAGACAAGTTGGAAAGCTCTGGCGAAGTAGATATGACGCACCCAATCACTTGGCCACGCTCCTCCACCCTCCGCCACTAATTAGGCACGAACGGCGGATTGTCCCTAAAAGGATACACATCCAAAGAGGAAATGTCTCGCCCATTTGTGCGCCTCGAAGCTGGCCTATATCATATTGATCGTCCTCTCCAGACACATAGAGCGGCATTGGGCACCAGTACGTGCGCAGAAATGCCAAACCGATGCGGTTTGATGACGAGCATCTCTATATGTTCCCAGTCCGTGACATGTCGCTATAGGGGATGCCTTACGCGTTCGAGAAAAATAGTTCCAAGTTCGCGTAGTTTTAGGCCTAGTCGCCTTTTGTGACACGAATCAATTTCTGCCAAAACGGTTTCCCAAAGGGAGCACCTGATACCTTTTGCGGCCCGGGGCAGCCTCGACGGATCTTATATAAAGAGGCCCTTGCTCGCCTTCACCTTCTCTTTTCTTCAACAACCCACCTTCCCTTTCCTGACCCCAAACATATCCCTCCAGTTTAGCTGACTCCTCAGTTCCTCGTTTCCACCTAGGCACCTTTGCTCAATCCTCACACTTTCCACGTCCCTTTCCTCATCATGGGTAAAAAAGCCGCTGCCGCCGCCGATGTTTCGAAGAAGAACTGCGCCTGTGGTCGTCATGCCATGGGAGACAAGGAGCCCTGCCGCTTGTAAGTGTTCATCCTCTATCACAACTACACTTTTCCCCTCTTTCAAAAGGGGCGTCGTCGTGTGAGGCGACTGCTCACCTATTAAAGGTTTCTACCCCACATTTTTCTTTCATGATTTTGTGTTGGTCGTTTAGAAAGGGAAATTGTATGGATAAATACTGACATCCACAGCATCATTTTTCAATATGATGTAGCTGCCCTCGGGTCGTCTGCGATAGTTGCCGAGAGGAGTACTGCTGTGGCCCCATCTGCGAAAAGTGCAACGAGGACCGCGAGCACCTGATGCAATGCGACAAGTGCGAGGCTCCTGTGTGCGAAAAGTGCATCGTCATCACCAAAGGTGCCCGCGAAGGCAATTCCTGCAAGAATTGCAAGAAGAGCGCTGTCCACGTTGGAGCCGAGGCCCAGCCTGCCGGCATCACCGTCTAGAGATGCATACAGTGGAGGACACGAGTACGAGTCAAACATGCGACAGAGAGCGAAGCGCGGTTCTTGCACACTGGACAGCCTATCGTCTTGTGCGTTCTTGCGACTCTTTCTTTCTACATTGTACATCCTACTATTCCAAGACTATCTATATTTTGTACATAATCCGCCACAAGAAAAGAAGAAGAAAAGAAAAGAAGAGAAAAAAGAAAAGAAAAAAGAAAGAAAAGACCACGGCTACAAGTTTTGGTCAATTGAGCAATAAAGCGAAAGTGTTTCCCCCCCGCAAGTGCGACTTTGGGATTGTTTGAGAGAAAAGAACGGCAGAGAGGAGAGTTTGCATGAACCGCGTGATATGTAGTCTAGTCTAGTGCTGGTTCCCGTTTTTGTCATTAGCCGAAGGGAGATGAGATGCACAACAGCAGGCATGTGCAGTGTGTTGTGTATCTGAGCATCGTCTGTGCACTGCGTCGCTCCAATCACACCGCAGCACAGACCGTTCATTTCTTACCCCCACCCCCTCCTCCTCCACCAGTCCCAACTGCTGCAGCTGCTGCCACTGCCTATTGACCGATGTTTCTCTTTTTTTTTCTTTTTTTTTTTGGCGCGACAGAGAGTGGGGGCGCCAGATCGGTAGTCCTCGCTTGAATCACTTCTTTACCCTGCTAATTCTTTCGCTAATGACCCCTCAGTATGCCACACACCATCCGTGGTTTCTTCCTCAGCACTAACCCCTCCAGCACCAACCAGTACCCCTACAGCACCAGCCACAGCCCCATTGCCGCATCAAGCAGAGCCAGTAGTGTCTTCAACACCACATACACCACCAATCCATCCTCCCTTCCCAGCTACTCCTACACAACCCGGCTTCTAGGTCGTGCCCCACCCTCGCCCTTACCATCATCCATCTCTGCCGCCCTAGCCTCGGCAACCTCTGCTTCTCAGATGCCTCAGTACCCACCGCTTCAGTACCAGCATTACGCTAACAGCGCCGCCAACAACTCGTCTGGCGCCAGCACCTATATTAGCGCAGGCTACAGCTCTGTATATTATGGAGCTGGCAACAGCGACCAATATAATGCAGGTTACAGCAGCCGCTATGTCGCCTCGAGCGGAAGCGGAAGCCAGTCCAAGACGGTCTGTCGCATGGATTGCCGGTACTGCTCTGCAGTAGTGTGCTTGCGAGGAATGAAAGCCATGCTGCTGGCCGACACCTCGGTGGAGCTCTACTCAACAGATCATCCTCCAGGCTCGTACGTTTTGTTATATCATGTTATCATGTTTGTGTAAACATTACAGGAATGAACAAGTTCGCAGAACTTGTCTCTCATCTCACAGTCATTTGCCACTAACTCTTTTCTGTAGGGTCCAATTAATCGAAAGGGATTACTCCACCTCCAATTGCCGGTGCAAGATCAGAGATGTCGCCTGCCGCGTCTGCGGAAACGTGGTTGGATACCACATCACTCAGCCCTGCCAGCAATGCCTTAAGGCGCCCAACAACGGCCACTTTTGGATGTTTCACACAGAGGGTGTCATTGGACAGGAGCGACTGAACATGGATCTTGGGAAACTTGCTCAAGAGCTGGTCGGCTCCCCTCAATCAACCGGCCAGCAGCGTACTTTGACGGGAAATCGCACCAACAGTAGCCTCGGTAGTAGTCCATCTATGGCCACGAGCCAGGCTCCTCGTTCAGAGGCTGAAACTACGAGGATGACATCGTTGACAAGATCGCAACAAGGTCAACAGCACAGAGCGGCCTCACTAAACCCCATTACTTCAACACTGTCAACCCCCATGGCCTCGACCGCTTCTAATATGAGTTGGTCAACACCAGCTCCTGGCACATCTCCTCCATCCGCATACGCAGCACTGGCAATGCTCTCGATCTCACAGTTCCTCCAACCTATGAAGTGGGAGCAGCTCCCTCACCCTGACCTCGATATCGATCTCGACCCAAATGCGATGGGAGGCGAACCTCTTTTTGCGGACCAATGGACAGAGCTGGTTTCACGAATCGCAGAGGCCGCCGCCGCAAATATGTGCCTGGCACTGGATCAAGAAGAAGAGACAGAGCGATTCTTGCGGAGGATGGCCGAGGATCATAAACTAAAGTCGGAGCAGAGCGGTGGTCTTGAAGATGAAGATGAGAAGACTGCACATGACATACCTGCGACAGAGGCTGGTCATGAGGAAAATCTGGAGCGGTTGATTGACCAGGTCGATGAATTCGGACTGGCGAGTCCTCTGCGTCCCACAGAGGACAGAAAAGATGAAGAGAATCAGGACATGAATGCGAATGTAAACACGACTGAGTGGAGAGGTGTGAGTGCATTGGAACGTCGAGAACAGGATGCACTGCCTGAGAACGCCCCCGCACCCGGCCTGGAAGGGCTGGCGCCTTCATCCTCTGCATCTGTGGCAATCGCAGGACCGCGTTCCAGTGCCGGTAACGACCTTCAGGAGCGCAATCGGAGCAGCGGATCGTCTACGTCCGCCGAGGGCAATAGCCATAGCCCTTCAGAGACCTCCTGTCCAGCCTTTGCACTCACCTCCGCAATGGTCGCCAAGGCAGCTGCGTCGGCCGCAGCCGCAGACGCGGCAGCAGCAGCCCACTGCTTGCTGTATGGTCGACGGCGTCGACGAGAGTACGATATGATGTGTCGATGAGTGTAGAACCTAGACACCAGCAGCTTGAGTAGGTTTTAATATAACAAAAAAAAAATGCGTTCGACATGCTGCTCAACCAACTTTGCCCAATAATGCATTTAGAGTTACACTGGATATCATCCAATCAATTGGCCAATCGTGTCCAACCTCAAATGTATTTGTCCCCTGGGCGTTGTTGCATCCTTCATCTCTTCACATCGCTTCTACACCTTCAGGATCATCCACCGCTGCCACAAACCATGCGCTCCCCTCTCACCGTCTCATCCCTGGCCTGCCTTGCCCTGATGGCTAGCACTGTCATCGCTGGCCCTGCTCCAGAGATCGATGAAGGTAACCAGGAAGCGAAAAGTCTGCATCGCACTTTTCCGCCGACCGAACAGTCCGTGCAGCGAAACAGAGTACTCACTTTTTTCTCCCTCGGTTAACTATGCGACTAGAGTTCCAAAAGGTCACCTGCGGATCCTCCATCAAGCTGACACACGAGAAGTCTCAGTTCAAACTGCATTCTCACCAGATCCCATACGGCTCCGGCTCAGGACAACAATCCGTTACAGCAGTACCTGGAAAGGACGATACCAACTCACTATGGCTCGGTATTGATAACCCGCATCTATCAGCCCAATGTGAATATGATCCTCACCTGTATCTGCTCTCTCGACTAACTCCAGACACTGTGCGATTTCGATTTGGAACAAATGGATAGTCATGGCTCAATTGGGACACTCTTGTGAACGCGGCGAACCCGTGCCCTGCGGAAGTGCCGTCCGACTGAAGCACGTCAACACCAAGAAGTTCCTTCATTCTCATCAGCATCAGTCCCCTATGTCGGGTGGACTGGAGGTTTCAGCGTACGATGGGCAGGACGATGGCGATGACTGGCTTCTGGAGTGCATGAACAAGAAGGATGAATACTGGACGAGAGAGGCGTCTGTGCAGCTTCGACATGCAGCTACGGGAATGTATCTGAGCAGTTCAGCACGGCATGTCTACGGCAACCCCATCCCTGGGCAGCAGGAGGTTGCTGGCCACCGACACCATCAGAGTGACCAGTCTTGGATCGCTCAGGAGGGTGTTTATTTCGCAGAGCGCGAGCTGTGAAGGACAAACCGCTGACAGGAGCTGAAGAATTGTCGTCTAGAAAGACAGATCACGACTCGGCAGAATAAAATGCAGCCAAATACACGATAACCCAATTTTTTTTTTTAGAAAATATGTAGGAACTACGGATTATTATTAGGTGTCATGTTTTGACTATTCATCGCTAAGCGATCTTGACAACGATCTTGCCCCTCGCTCTTCTCGACTGACTCTTTTCAAAGGCAGCAAGCACAGAAGGAAGCGTGAATTTGTAGACAGAATCAATGATCGGATCCACGTTTGCATCCTCATCCAAGACTTTGACCACCTTGGCGAGTACGTTGCCATCTGGAAATACATTGAACAAGTGATATCCTGGACCCCACTGCAACAGCGAAATCAATTTGTGGCTGGCAATGCCTGCGCCTGTGTAAATTAGATGGAGGGGTGTGTCCATGGCATTAACGTCAGCGGCGATGCGGACCAGGTTACCACTGCGCTTTAGGATCGTGCTTCTCTTTGTCCAGATCTATACATCAAGTTAATGTAGTATATGCAGAGAGCAATAAGAAACCCTTGCTATCGATCTTCAGGAGAGAAACAATGAAAAAAGGCATGGAATGCTCTGTCTCTTACCTCTGGAGAACCGACGGTGTCAAAGACGATATCAAAATCCTGGTTTGTATACTTTTCAGTGACATCTGTCGTCTTGTAGTCGACGACTTCATCTGCGCCAATGTCCTTGACCAACTGCACATTTGCAGTGGAACAGACACCGACGACATAGGCGCCCAAAGCCTTGGCTAGCTGTACACCAACGGTGCCTATGAAATGATACGATATGGTAATGAAGGAACCATGGAAACGGATTAAGCTTATAATAAGCGTACAGCCGTGAATCAGGCGTGGCGTGCTTTGATGATGGGATGATGAATATTACAAACTGCTTACCAGTGCCTCCACTTGCGCCAATGACTAAGACCTTGTGTCCCTGCTTGATCCCTCCTTTGCCCACAAGCGCTTCCCAGACTGTGGTTGCTACCAAGGGCCAAGCAGCAGCCTGCTCAAACGACCACCGCTGGGGCTTCTTTGTCACCAGGGCCTCCTCGACAACCGTGTATTCTGTCAACCCACCAGATTGGTTGAATTTGAGCATCGCCATGACTTCGTCGCCGATTTGGACCTTTTTGCCGGCCTTGGGTCCAATGGCTACAACTGTGCCTGAAATATCTAGACAGGGGATTTTCACCCTGGGCATGAGCAGATGTGGGATGCCTCCTCTCATCAGCTTCCAGTCCACGGGGTTGAGGGCCGAGGCATGAACTTTGACCAGGATGTTGGCGCCAGTGACAGCGGGTAGAGGAGCGGACTCGTTGAGGGAGAGGACCTCGAATGGCTTTCCAGCGGTGATCCATTGGATTGCCTTTATGGTTTTGGGGAGTGATGGTTCACTGGTAGCCATTGTGTATGTAGTATCTTCTTTTCAGAAGCTGGGGTGTGTGAAATTTGAAGGGTGGTTCAGGCAAAGAGAAGCTATCGATATTTTGAATGAGTAGAGGATTTTCGGTATTCTTTTTTAGTGGAGAAATAAGTGATCGAACGATTCGTGTGTTCGGCACGTGGTTTGAGTCGTATCCGTACACACTAAACCTGTGTGCAACCCGCGTGGGAACGACTGAGTGCGGCAACCCATGCGGAAGCGCGTCTCAACGGTACATATCCGTTCAACGATTTACATGCACCGAGAAACCAAGACGCGATCGAAACTAGGCAACGAATGCTGCGCACGGTGCCCTCGACTCCAGATCGAGCGGCGCCAATACGCGCACCTCAAAAATCGGATCGCGTTTTCTTGCTAGTAAGTCTACCGCCAAAGCCAAAATTGGTTGTAATGAAAATGGTCACAGATAACAAACACAAATACACTTCCAACAGAAAAGACGCGTTTGGTTCATTCAACCTGCTGGAAGACTTCCTCTGCCTCTGATCACTCACCTCGACTCTGCATAGAATATGGTCGTCATCTCCATACCAACAACCATCTCGAAAGAGCCTGAGACTACAGCCTTCGGGACATGCATCGACACCAAGGAGACATTACTGCTCGAATTTCAGGGCGCAGTGGAGATGGACGGAGCCTCCTGGGCAGGCAATCCTCTAGGACAGCTCTCTATTCTCGAAGGAGTAAGAACATCCCAATGCTTTGCGTTCTATCAACTCGGGAGCGGTCAACTTCAATAGTTGCTACTCGAGGATATAAAGATTTGGAGCTCTAATCTGCTGACTATTATTTTACGACTGTTGCAGGGCGTCAAGGCTCAAGTCGTTATCGGCAACCATCGACTCGAGGGCAAAGTCATGAAGCTGGACAAACCCCTGCTTCTGATTCAAAAGCAACAAAAGCCAAAAGACGCCATAGATCATGAAACCGCTCCAGCAGGACTTGCAAGCAAAGACAATGGCAAGGAACCATACCGCGAGCCAGACAACGATTTTCGGGATCGTCGGTCCCCGTTTTCATCGATGCCACCGTCTTCTCCGCCTGGACATGACGACGACGATGACACAATGACATCGACGACATTGGGCAATGTTACTGGAACGGATACAGGAATAGCTCAGTCAGGCCCAATGACTCCTCCAGGCAGTGAGGATGTGATTCAGTACAACACAGTCGCCATCATCCGACAAAAGGTTCTCTTCAATATTATGCCGGTACCAATTATCCACACGGAGCGTCGTGGACTGACTGTCATTAAGCGAGGCGTATAGACCCATGGCTCGTGTTGTTGAGGAGCAAAACTACGTCGCAACTCTATAACAGAACACTTTGTAATCGTTAATTTTACGCCTTGTACCCTAGGCGCGTATACTATTGTACCATAAACCCTTCAATTCGATCTCCTTTCCTTTCTATCACCGTCCAGAGTAAGCAATGCACAATGCACATTGCACTATTCACCGCCAGCGAAAATTCAATTGTAATTCTCAAACTACTTCAACAGCCCTTTACCTCAAAATCTCAAGCATAATCCATGCATCTGTACCGTCAACAAACTGTTGCTACATTTCTTCCCTTTCTACCTTGCATCTTATGTATTTTATCCTTGATGAGAACGCGCTATTTCTGCGGGCAGAAGACCCCTATTATGACACATATGACGCAGAGCTATGCCCTATTTATACACGTCTTGCGATACACATTTCTGATGGCCCAACGTGTTTTGCTACCTTTTTTTTGAAAGGTGAACGCGCACTGTATTATTTAATGCAAACAAATAAATGCTACACCCCATATACGACTTGGGCAAGCGAGTGCGTATCCTGTGTATACAATCAAGGAATTGATCGGTACGCTATTAAGATTAAATAGATACATTCTTCTGCTATTAACTGACTTCACGCACCAAATCCTTAACCAGACTGCCTATCATTCAATCTGAGCGCTTTATTACGCTGCGCTTCATCCTTTGTAAGGTCGAAGAACACTGGGAGAGCGCAAAGGCTCAGCAAACTGACTAATATCACGTGAGAACTTACTCATTTGAGTCTACAGAAGCAGTCCATGGAGACCAGCCGATCTCTAGGAAAGTTTTATATAAGGCCTCTTTTTGCTTCAGCTTTTCCTTTATTCCTCAATATCCACTTGTCTCAACTGCAACTCTCCACTGCTATCCCTCTCTTCCTCCACAGATACCAATTGTATTATCCATAAAACCATGACTCTCACTAACAAGGCAAACAAGGAGAAGCTGATCATCTTTGATACAACTCTCAGAGACGGAGAGCAGGTAATCTTCATCACTCCAGCCTTCTCTCGCTTCGCCGACGCTTCCCTATTTAAGAAAGAAATGTCCGACAGCCCATCCGTTTCTCCGACAAGCGCCTCCTCCACTTGATGAATACGATCAAAGCCTTTGCGACTTTGCTCCAGTGAGATCTAACGGCCTTTCTTTTATCCGTTGTCCTTGCTCTCGCTCTTGTTGCCACTACGATCCAGTCTCCAGGAGTGACCCTCACAGTCAATGAAAAAATCGAGATTGCGAAGCAGCTCTCTCGCCTCGGAGTCGATGTCCTTGAAGCCGGTTTCCCTGTTGCATCCCAGGGCGACTTTGATGCAGTCCAGCGGATCGCAAACGAGGTTGGCCATCTTATGGTCGGCCGAGAGGCTATTGGCAAGCCCATCGTAAGTGATATTTTGCATGTGAACTATGGCATAGAACGAGATAAGATTTTTATGGCCCGCGATGATTGGACGATTTGGAGACCGGGACAAAAAAACCCGCGCGGGCTGACGCAGACACAAATGAGTAATAATCACCAACAGCTTATCCTCGGTTCAAAAGATGCTGCAACATCGACAACGGTGCCTACACAACAGCCAAAAAAAATAGAGGGATGATGCTCCATGTAGGATACACGATCCCGTTCCATATTGCACGAAAACTAACCCGCCTCACTGTCTCTTCTTGTCAAACAGACAATCGCAGGTCTCGCCCGCGCTGTTCCCGCAGATATCCAACGTTGCTACGATGCAATCGTAACCGCGCCCCAGAAGCGCATTCATATTTTCCTTGCCACCTCCGACATTCACCTGGAACACAAATTGAAGATCTCGCGCGAAGAGTGCGTCACCCGTGCAGTCGCTTCAGTATCGTTCGCTAAATCCCTGATCGACGACGTTGAGTTCTCACCCGAGGATGCAGGAAGAAGCGATCAGGACTTTTTGTGCAAAGTCCTCGGAGCTGTCATCGAGGCCGGCGCTACCACTTTGAACATCCCCGACACGGTCGGATACAACATGCCTGAGGAGTATGGTGCCATGATCAAGTATTTGATTGCCAACACCAAGGGATCGGACAAGGTCGTCTGGTCTGCGCACTGTCATAACGATCTTGGACTTGCCACTGCCAATACCCTCTCAGGAATCAACAATGGAATCCGTCAAGTCGAGGTGACGATCAACGGCATCGGAGAGCGTGCAGGAAACACTGCCATGGAAGAGATCGTCATGGCTGTTCACACCCACCCCGACTTCTTCCCAGTATATCACACCATCAACACCCCTCTGTTCTTCAGGATTTCGCAGCTCGTATCGTCCTTGTCTGGAATGGTAGTACAGTCCAACAAGGCCATCGTAGGCGCCAATGCCTTCCTGCACGAGTCTGGAATTCACCAGGACGGTGTCCTTAAGAACAAGACGACGTACGAGATTATCAGCCCAGAGACCGTTGGCGCCAATACCATCAACCTCGTTCTCGGCAAGCACTCTGGGCGCGCTGCCTTCCGCTCTCGCCTTCAGGACCTTGGATTTGGCGAGTTGACCGAGGGGGAGTTCCAGACTGCCTTTAACAGCTTCAAGACTTTGGCCGACAACAAGAAGCGCGTTACGGAGCAGGATCTGATTGCGTTGTTGTCTGACCAGGTCTCATCCTCTGCAGGAGACAAGGCTACATGGGTGATTAAGTCTCTCCAGGTCGTCTCCGGCACGTCCTTTGCTACTGCGACGGTTCAGCTTCAGAATACGATAACGGAGGAGGTCCACATCGATGCTGCCATTGGCAAGTCTGGACCCATCGAGGCCGTCTTCTCGGCGATTCAGCGTTTGGTTGGCAAGAATATTCGTCTGCTCAAGTTTGATATTGCGGCCGTGGGTGAGGGTATGGATGCCTTGGGTCAGGTCTCGGTCAAGGTTGCGGAGAAGACCTCAGTATCGGGCTCTGCTAGCGGTGAAGAGTCCCCTGTGCAGGAGACTGCTGATGTGAACAAGATCACCTACCATGGCCATGGTGCTGACTCTGACATCATCCAGGCTGCCGCTAAGGCATACCTGAACGCCCTCAACCGCCTCGTTGCCACTGAGAATGAGCGGATTCAGGAAGAGCGCAAGGTGAATGTTTAAGTCCCCGATCGAGCTAGTGTCTGTGTAATAGCGATCATGCTCAACGTGCATGCCATCCAAACTACAACATTTACCTAATAAATCTCACTTGTAAAAAAAGAAGAGCTCGCTCTCTATATGTGCATAACATTGGGCGTACCTGAATGCACATGCCAAGTTGCCTAGACTCCATATGTAGTACGATGCGTATTGATTCTACTTGACGCGTCTTTTGCTCAGTATTCAAACGATAGTGCAAGACGTGTTGGTATAATAATGTTTCGTGCAAAAAAAAAAAAAAAATCACGGAGAGTCGAATAGAAATTGCAGAGAGCTGAATAACCCCATTATCCTCCCATTTCAGGGGCTGTATCTGGCTCCCCCACTTACCGCTTACTATGGGCGCTGGAAGGGTTTTCTTTACTGAAAATTACCACAAAGGACTGAAAAAAACATCCCAGACGGCCAGGCAACAATTGGACGCTGCTAAAAATATGCAAAAAAAAAAGGGATGTCAACGAAGGTGACGTTCAAAAACTCTCCCCCAACTCCGAGTTCGTTTCAAGTGCTCTCATGCAAAAAAAGGCCCCAAAGGAGCCATTCGTGTCCAAGAAACGATGGACTTGAATGTACACTATGACATCCTAAAAGAAAAAAAAGTGAAAAGAGATTATGTATCTGCCCCAGGCTAACCTACAAAAGGACCGGGGAACTCGAATGTCCCTCCACCTGGGAGCAACTCCTTCCAATCCCTTCAGTTCATTCTCCCTTTATCACCGTGCCTGCACTCGTGCTATTAAGTTATTGACAAAAGATGAAAGAAATGACATATGTATCAAGGGGAAGGGGGGTAGAGAGAGTGGAAAAAGGAACTACTGTACATTTTGCAACGGTCTTTTTGCATGAACGCGACGCGTCCCTGGCTCTTTCTCATCTTAATGGACCAAAAAAAAAAAAAAAAAAAAAAAAAAAGGGAGGCTCCATTACCTCTTGAATTCTCATTCTCGTTCCTGTTCTTGCTCGCTTGCTCGCTCGCGGGCTTACGTATTTTACTCGTCCCCCGTAGTATGTTCCTGCTTGCAAAGTAAACCCTTCTGTTAGTCAAGCTCTCTTCATCCCTTGGGGGACCAATGAATCACTAAGTGGAGCATCAAAAAGCTCAGCGTGATCACAATGGGCTTTCGCGACATGGGGGAGACATGGGGAGGCTTCCCCCTGATTTAGACATCAACTTGCATCTATTGCCAAACGCATACATTATTGTATGCATAATTACTGCGCTCTTTTTTTGTTGTTGTTACTGTTGTTGCTTTTGGTGGAGAAATAGTTACTTGAGGATAAGGATAGTGAAAGAACGAACGGAGGGACGAATCAGAGGGAGATAAGTGCGGGAACGAGAGGAATTGGGAATCAGAGAGAGAAGTAAAGGCGGGAGAGAAAAAAAAAATAAGCAAATTATGCGGCGTTCAGGCCACCCAGCATGTCTCAAACTAATATAAATACTCTTTTTCCTTTCCCACTCATCATCTACACACAGTTACAGCCATCTCTACAAAAAAAAAAAGCCATCTCTGACCCCATACCAAAATCACGCATACACACACCTGGAAACCATGTATTCCCCAAAGTTCTCACTCCTCGCCCTGGTCTCGACAATCGCCATCATCCTCTTGGTCTCAAGCTACGACATGGTCCAAGCTGTCCCCGTCCCTGCTCCTGTCCCTGAGCCGGTTTCGTGCTACGACCCCAGTTACGCCTGCAACAACAACCTTGGGGGCTAAGCCAGTCATGGAAGAACCAACCCTCCTTTTGCTAGGCATTCATCTATCAATTGATGTCGTCAGTTTCGTGGTATTGAGGGACTTTGATCAACAAGACTTGGGACCTTTGCGCCTGGTGGATAAGGCCGCTTGGTATGAAATAACTCCTTCTTGGTGTCCTTGGCCCACACATCCTCCCTTATGTATAATAGTTTGGTCGTGAAATAAAATATTTGAATCGGTTCCATCACATAAAAAAACTTTTTTTTTCTGGGTCAGAACGAGCTGCAGTATCCTATGGGACCTACGATACTACTGGAAACACACACGTCTGTGCATCTTGAACAGAAAAAAGAAAGAGACATTCACGAGAACCTTTTCTTCATTTCCTTTACTCTTTCGCAAAACTTAATCGAGTAGAGTGAGTGAACTTCGCTATCCCTTTGGCCGTCTTATCTGGAAAGAGATACGGCCAGTACAGTTATTCTTGTTGAGGCCGGGTGGGAGATGCTCTGGGCGAGACAGACGAACGCCTTGTTTTGTCGTACACAGCTCGGGCATTTCGATGACATGAGATACCCATCCAAACAAACGACGGTGTACCCGAGGCTGTTTGCCTATGTAGTCCAATGGCATGCGGAAACATGGTATCGATATTGATGCTGGAGTGGAAACAAGCAAATCGCAATTAATATGTTTATAGCAACATACCTTGTGGAAGAAATACCTCTGGAAGCCCTCGTGTTGTGATGCCAGGCTGGTATGGGTGTTGAATTTTCCTGGCCCGTATATAAACATCGCCGGTCTCGTTGGCCGAGTATGCATCCCGCCTTGTGGGTCCACGGTTCGCAATGTCCCATACAGGGCATGGTCCTTCTCAGCCCGGTTCACTCCCACAACTTTTTTCTTTCTTTTTTTTTTGCATCGAGTGGAATTCGTAGAAATCGCAAAGTGGGTGTAGGACATAGCTGAACTGTCGGAGGCCGTGCCGATGTTCTTTCATGCTTACGAACGGCGACAACAGTAGCGAAGCCTCCAGTTCCGATATGCTAGGCGTCTCGCATGTGTGCCCTCCTTCCTTTGTCCGTCTACGATAAGGGCCCATGATCCCCAGCTCAATCCTGCATCGTCTTTGATTGTGACAGTGACCCATTCGCGTTTTTTTTTATTTTTATTTGGCCTCCAGCGCGGCTCTGAATGATTAAATGGGATCGTAGGAGGTGGAGCGTCTGATAGGCAAGTTCGTGATTCAGTTCGATTTCCGGGAGGGTTCAATGCATAAAACGATGCCCGAAATCACTTCACTGGGGTCCACCCCCAACAACCACAACATTCTGGAGGGCTTGATAGAAAGCCTTTGCGGGAGACCCTTTGTTAGGAAGCCGCGACGTAATCGCCAGGATCCGCGCCTTAATTTTGGACGACTGCCAACATCTCCGTATGTCAAATGCCATTAGGTGGAGCTAGACTCTGTCTATTCTCATCATATTGCTGATGGCATAGTGCTCCTTAACGCTGTCATCACTTGGGAAGTCAAGGGGACACGAGGGGCTCCGTGCCTTTGGCAGCTGCTTGCTTCCTAGCTTTTTAATTTGCAAAGACCCTCTTCATGTACCCATCGAGTGCGGCTTGGCCGTACGTTTTTGGATGGTCTTTCAGCAATTGGTTCATGGTCGTTGTTTTTCTTACCATATGAAGCCTTGTCCTTGAGAGGGTCCGCCTTGATCTCGACCTTGTCTCCGATAGATAGGAGTCGGAGAAGCTCCCCCATACTTCTCCGATGCAAGTTTGTGGGCTGTCTCGGAGGAGCAGATATTGAGATTCCATGATATGCCGCGTAGGGTGCGTCTTTGAATTTGGATTTGAATTGCTCCAAAAAAGTGAAGGGATAGCAGCTTTAGAGCACAAGATGAAAGAGTCGATACTGGACAGAAAACAGGACGCAACTCCGACGGCATACGGAGAAAGAGCCTCCACCAAGTTTTAGATGTGTCCCTTCTTAAATGATGCCTTGTCTCCCTTGTCTTCCTGTTTGTCGCCGTCGGAGCTCTCGTCATCCTCAAGTGGAGGTATATCATCCGGGAATAAACGAGCACGTTTCAGTTAATAGAAACAAGAAATAAACGCAAGTTCACTGTAGAAAAGCAAATCGACGCGGGATATATTTTTTTTTTGTTCCGGACAGTGAATGTGTTATCTTGTTCACGATGAACTTGGGCGGTCTCTGGAGATGCTTGCCGAACCGCGGTCCGGACCTCCACCGCCAGCTCCGCCTGGATGATGCTCAGGGGTATATCTTGACAGCTCTTTGTCGGTTGCGCAATCTGAGAGAACGCCCAGGAAATCGTCATAAATCGAGCGCGCAATTGTTTTCGCCTGAATGTGCCGCCGGGTCTTTAGACGGTCTTCCACGGGGTGCTTTTTCGATGTGCCTTGCGCAGAATGAGATCAAATGGGTCTGCGTTCTTGTCCTCCTTGTCCTGAATTTCCGGAGTGCTCGCTTGGTTGACATCAGTGTCCATATTGTGTTCTGGCGCCGGGCGCACTTGTTCTGGGTTGCTGTTGAAGTGTACGACTGCGGTTGAGGTCGTGCACTATGTGGCCTGGCCGTAGTTCTGTGACTAGAGATGAGACAAGCTCGAGGGACGGAGCAACAGAACATGTGTCAGCATTTGGTTGTTATACTGCGCAAGCTGATACGAAAATCATTGGCATATTTAATTACCTGCTCTGTTATTCCAGGTCGGTCTGGTGTCAATCGTCCGTTAGGACCAATGAACAGTGCAGGATGTTGCACGCCGGCAGCCTGTACTCCGCTCGCATAACTAGGGCAAGCCTTTACTTGCTTGGATGGAGCCTCGGAGAGACCCAGGGCGAGCTTCTTGACGCCGCTTTTCCTGCCAGTACTGGTATCTGCAGCAGAGGGCGCGTCCTGCGCCGCTGAGGCTGTGGAGACTGCGGGGGGGGGGCTGTGGACGCTGCTAGAAAGGTCACCGTTGCTGTCAGGATGGAAGCTGCTGCCTCAGTTCTCACTTCCTTGGCGACGCTGTTACACGTCGCTTTGAAGGTCCTTGTTTGCAAGAGCCCGAAGTATAGAGTTTGGACATCGACATGAACTTTTTTGCATTGCAGATAATAAACTAGCGTTCCTTTGGTGTCATTTATACGTAACTTTGGGTAGCCTAGTGACTCCCATCTGGTACTAGTGAGGATCAAATCTGGTGCACGTATCTATTTGCAGAAGTATTCAAGACTCATGTTAAGAGTATGCGAGGAAAGAAGAGTGGGGTCGAGGACTTGCGGAATGATGGTTTTTTTCAGTCCTCTAAAATCCATATCCAAAATGTTTGCGCTAAATGAGTGGCCAAAAACGGAAGAAGGGATAATGCAGGCAGGCTCGTCTGTGAAAATAAATAATCACCCTTCCCCCAGACGGTGCGATGTCTTTTGTCAGATCTTGGTTCTAGGTCCAAGTTTTCGCTTGCTCACTTGGCAATGACCTTACGCAGTGCCAAAAAGATGAATGCGTGGTCCGGGAATCGAACCCGGGTCTACCGCGTGGCAGGCGGTAATTATACCACTAAACCAACCACGCTTTTCAGATGGGAATCACGCAGTATTAGAATTATCATATATCCAATTTAGAAATCGTGCTTTCGTTCTATAAATGCAATATTCTTTATTTGCACGTTCTATAATTGCATCTGGAAACCACGCTGCAAGGCCACCATTGCTCGAGAGCGAGAATGGGGGATCACAGCCAAGATGAAACGAACTCCATACAAGGGACCGAGAGGGGACAGGAGTGATGGGTATGGATACATTAGCGACGGTGACCAATGTCCGTGTGGTGCATTACTCGCTGACCATGTAAACGGGAGCTGCCCTGGCCCCATGCTTGACCCAGACGCAGCGGATCGGACGCTGCTGGATTGCCTGCAAGGGAGGAGGCGGTTGACAACTATGGAGGGGATGGGGAAGATACCCTTCTTGTAACAAGGTGTTTTCAGCTTTTAACACACTGATGAGGTGTGGCAATTGTTGCGCAGGCCCTAGGGGCAGGCCCGGGGAATGTGACCTGTCTTTTGGCGACTGTGGATCGGTTCCGCTTTGGTGGTGAGGACAGCGATAGTAGATCTTTGCTAGTTAGTCTGATAGATTCGCAGAGTCAATTGACTCGAGAGACAAGTTGTTATAAAAAAAAAAAAAAAAAAAAAAAAAAAAAAAAAAAGCACGTTCTATAATTGCACTTTATAATAGGCTAATCTGAGCTCACATCCAGTGACCTCAGGTGGAGGAAAGACGGGACGAAGAGGAGGAGGAAATGTTACAATAGTAGAGGATTTGGCTCGCAAGCCAGTAGAACGGATTCCGTGCTCTCAAGAAACCAAGACCATCTCCCAGATGTACAGGTTGCAATTGGAGAGATGGTCTTGGCAGATTTGCAGGTGAGGAGCCTGCCAGCTAGCCGAGCGGATCGCAGGAGAAAGACCTCAGGACGCTTAGGGAGGTTACAGTGAAGTTGTTGGAGATGGTGCGACTGCCACACTAGAAGATTTAGGGCCAGATAGATACAAGTCTCAGAGACTATTCACTAGGAAACCAGCACTGATTGTTCTCTCTCGGAGGCCATGTTGAATAAAAAAAAATAAAAAAAAAATAAAAAAAAATGCACGTTCTATAATTGCACCCTTCTTTATTCGTCCTTCCCGACAAGCCCTTCACTGCGACTTGTCCCACCTTTTCGGCAACAGGAACTAACGCTATCTGGGAGTCAATGCAGTGGATTCAGGGGACGGCGGAAAGACGAGGAACATACCACGTTGCGGAAGGAGAGGCACCGGAGAGTGATGCGGATTGGGAGGTCAAGGAGTTATACCGAGGTTTGGTGCCAACGAGACTCATTGAGACCTGGAAGCAGCTATTTACCACCACCAAGTGGATTGCGACGATCATGGTGACAAAGTTCGTGAGCAGGATCGAAGAGTTTGGCAGGACCAAGATATGGAACAAACGATGCGAGGACACTGTCGCCTGGGAAAAGCCAGTTGGAATCACCTTCATGAGCAAACGCGCCGGAGGACGCAACGGTGATCGGGGACACCAACGTAGTGTTGGTGATTTCTCTGATTTGAAAGGGAGACGGTTGCTTGCAGTGAAGATCCAGGAAGGTAGACGGACCGCGGATTATAGGGTGCTACAGCATTGCTTGGGGCGAGGGAAGTTGGACATAATGGAGGGGTTATTCGGTTTAAAAACAACTATATTAACATTGGATCTGGATTAGGAGACGTGTATCGCGCAACAGGTCACGCAGGAGTTAGGTTAGGCTAGCTATGCGACATGGGTTATGAATTTGACGCCTCAAGCCAACATAGTTGGTAGGGGATGCGGCTCTGCCGTGCATGGAAGGCATCTATGGCTTCAAGGCCTTTGTGGACCATGCGTCGCGTGCGCATGGGGATTTATGTTAATAAAAAAAAAAAAAAAAAAAAGCTACTCCCTATGTGCACATTGCTCTCTACATGCATACCACCCTTCCCTATATGCAAAGGGTCTCCCTACATGCATACTGTCCTGCTTCCTATATGCATTGATTATCCTTACATGCAATTAACCCTACATAGGATTCTAGGGTCTCGTGCTCATGTGGATTTATATTAATAAAAAAACCTACATAGGATTCTAGGATCTAACATGCTACATAGTAAAGTCCTCCAATACTGGCTCAAACGCACCCAGTCTTTTCGTAACTAGTAGATATCATTAAAATCTATGTTCTTATTAGGGTAACAGTATTTTTAAATCAACTTGAATGGACGCGCTATATGGTAGACTGAGATTGAACACTTGGGTAAGATCAACTATAGCGGAATATCTGTCAAGTTTCTTTGACACGCGTCAGCAAAAGCGCCACACATTGAAACCGACTCATAATTTCTGAAAAGTATGAGTCGGCAATGGAGAACTCAATGCATAGGAAAGCAGCACACTTTTATATGTCGAAAATAAAGGTTCGCTTATAGACAAGATAGACAAGGGCGTCGAGTTGCCAAAATGGCTCAAGTTTGTGATATCCTAGTAAGAAAAGTCCATGAATACTTTTAAGCACATGATCTGCATAGTAGTATAAATACTATCATCACCATATAATAAAGCGGTAGTTCTTCTTCTCACCATCATAAATACTGAACAGATTTGTTAAATACAGCTTTTATCCTGTGGCTATATTCCATAGCTATCAGTGATATCATTGATAGGTGCAGAGACGATCAAGTGAACCGGTAGGATGCGGTCTTCTGAAGAGGATGAACTCGCGTGAGACGACGCTGCATATTATTTCCGAGTACAGGGCCATGGATACTCATCGGATTTTCTTCACGATTTCTTTATTCTGTGGATGAATGGGATATCTATCGATTGAGGGCGTTGGTGCTTCTCTCCTGTAATTATAGCTAAAGCAATTGGCCGTTTTGTGCTGTCGATGAGTGATTCAGTGTCAAGTTCTCTTTTCGCCCCCTACTCTCCCCCCACTACTTACATTGGTTTTGTGCGTAAAACTTTATTTCAGATTTTTACTATCCACCGTGAGTGTAAAAGTGTGGCTGCTCCCGTGACCCAACCCTTGGCACGGCGATTTAAAAGGCTATTCTCGACAACGCGTCTCCTACGCGCTCGTCAAGGCTAATAACCATTCTCCAAGAAACCTAGATCCTTCACAACGGATGACCAAGCGCTCACGCGGGTACTCCATACTTTATAACACGTTAGATACTCTACATTCTTGAAGAGATCTAGACGCATCTTTTTTATTTCATTTTTCTATATAAGAAGGAGTGTGTCCCTTCCAGATTAGTTCTTCAGTCCCTACCACACCAATAAATAATCCTTCAACACGCTTACCTGCTCCCTCTGGCTTTCGAATACTCCAGCCCTCACGACTCGTAAGCCTTGTCAACTTACTCTTGATCTTGATTCGTGATTATTGACTTACCTTGATCCAGATCCAGATCCTGACGTCCCTTTTATCTTGACCGCGTCACAGTGAGAAAATCTAAAGGCCTACTTTTGCTGCAATTTGTAAAAATCGCCTTTGTATGTGCATGGAAACTCCATCAGCTCTAGTAGCGTTGACGTTGCCGTTTATTGCTGAGATTGTGGCCTTGTTTCCGAGGAAAACTTGCTTCAAACAAATCGAGGGCATCTTGAAATTGTTGGTGTGCTTGTTGTAAGTATAGATTGATCCGCTCCTTATGTGGTAAAGGTGCACATGTGTCCCGTAATGCGTTCAAGGCGGCAAAACGTTCAGAGCAACGGCTCAGGGCATCCAAGGATGGCAATGAAAACGCTTCAGGTCCCGTGGGACCCCCGTAGTCCGGCTCGAGCATATCTGGGCGGAATTTCTCTTCATACGTCCATAGTTCCTCTCTGAACAACTTCATAAAAGGCATCTCCAGCTGCACTAAAGCGATGTGCTTGCAGCAAGTCGCCTCTGAGCGAAAATATTCGCATGAGCAGCTGATGACATGGCTGCCAGTAGCCTTGCTAAAGTCAATCCCAGCATCGTATAGTACCCCAAGGCGCGTGAAGGATTCTACTCGGAGTATCGTGTCTGAGGCTTGCATGATGTAGTCGCCTGTGTATCCCTTTAACTCCCTGTTCTTGAGATGGTTCTCGGCAACATGGCTGAGCCTTAGTTCCGTTCTTTGGGCAGGGTTCATCCGACCGGCGTTGACAACGCTGCGAATGCATTTCTGTTGAAAGTGCGGTACGCCATGACAGCAAGGACGTAGATGACTATGTCCACACACCGTTTCTGCTTGCCATTCAAGAAGTGGCGCTTGAGAGTGTTATGCCAGGACTCAATGAAGTTATTGGTATCGATACTAGAGTACGGCACCCCCCTGGCGATAACACACTATCCAGTTCTTCTGCTTGAGCGCAGCCTCGTCATCTTGCTCCTCTTCAGATGGCGTCTCTCCTCCTTGCGGCGCTGGCATCTCTTCACCAAGGTAATTTCTGTCCAGATAGTCCAAGAGCATGTCATGCTCCCGCCATCTTTCGCGAAAAGACTCGATGAGGCCCAAAGCTATTCTCTTGTCTCTCTGGTATAAGGTGCTGCGAAGATCGGCCCTAATCTGTAGGGAACGGCAAGAACAAATTAGACAAGCAGCTCATCAAAAGATATTAGAGCGCACAGGCAATGCTCTTACCTCTGCTCTGCAAGTCTGCCGCTGTGGAACAGGAATGGACGCAAATCCTAGCGTCTTGGTCTTGACCTCCCTCTCTCATACCTTCAAATCGTGCCATGCACAGTAGAGAATGGGTACGTCTGGAAACACGCTCTTGATGGTAAGGATCTCCGTGTTGCCTTGGTTAGTGATGACTGCATTAGGCCTACACTCGTACTCCTGGCCAGGCAAAGAGAAGAGATCCCGCATCTTGTTTCGAAGCTCCTTTAGCCAATTGATGAGAATGCAGCTCTCGGTGCTCTTTGTCAACAGAAAAGCTACGGGAATCCCGTATCCTGTGTCTCTATTCTTCAGGACCAGAATAAATAAATTTGTTCGATGCCTAAAGAGGAGTTAGATTCTATAGCAATGCTTTCGAACATAAAAGAAGAGACAATAGCAACAACACAAGAAGTAAACCTACCCGAATACGTTGTGTGTCTCATCAAAGCACAACATTTTGCCTTGTTCCTTCAACTGCTCCAACAGCCATACCGACGAAAAACAGAAGTAAACGCCGCTGGTATGGTCGCTTTTGTCGTAATATGTGAACCCTTTGTTTTTGTCGAACTTTTCCATCCACTTGATGGCCGATAAGGTTGCGTCAGGATCCTTCCTCATAGCAGCGCTGATGTTATCGTACCATATATTGTACACATCGTCGTAAGTGATGAAGTTATCTCGCGATAAACGCTGCCCACCTCCCTGCATGGTTTTGGTAAACGAGTCGTAGCCCATGGTTAATTGCTGCATGACTCTCTGAATTGTTGTACCGCGCATTATGAGGCTTCTGATTGTTGCCTTGATTGCTTCTGACTTTTGTCTTGTACCAATGTCGCCAAGACCATCCAGATTGTGGTTGTGCTGATAGTGGTATTGGACGCGATACGTGCTCTCCTCCATGCCGTTCACCGCGGTTCTTGGCTGAGTTAGGATAAAGATCCGGGATGGACAGCCTTGCTTTATACTCGGCTTTGTCTTCCTCGGTTTACCAGAAATCCCTCCCTTTAATCTGTTCTTCTGGATCCGTGTCTTCTTAGATCGCTGGCACTCTAAGGTAATACGACGATATTTAAACATGCCTGTACTTTCGTACTCGTAGGTTTTTGAATGGACAAAGTTCGTTGAACATGGTCTGCCAAACGATGATTGTAGTTCTAGATAAGAATGCCAGATTCACGAGAAAGGACGTGGAAGAAAAGCGCATTGGCAGGTGGCCATACAAAAATGTTATCCAGGTGTCGGAGCTGTTGCACCAGTCTCTTTCTCGTACTTTATCTTCCGATATCGAATAGGATGCACTGTTTATTGCAGCTATGGAGGAGAGGGTATTAAAGATTACTTTGCGAGTTATATATGACTAAGTGCAATCGCTATCGGTGCGAGTAGATTATTAAACGATCTGAGAAGGATTTTCAACCCTCCGGCGCCTGCTCTCGTCGACCTCGTACTCTCCCGGAGTTTCACTGCGGCGCGCTCTGGACTCGTCCACGAAACTGTCATTGGGCTGGATTCCCGTTATGTGCTCAAAGTGTCCAGGTTCTTGCATTTGCCCTTCAGAGTTTTTGTTAAGGTAACTGAAATCGCGAGGGGGATAGGGAACTTGCGGTTCGTCCGAAGTGAGAATAGGATAGTATTGGTGGTAGGCAAAGACTGCAAAGATCATGCCAATGATGGCACCCCAGGTCACATCGATACCAGCGTGCTTGTAGTCCTGTACACGCGAAATGGCGACCAACAGCGCAGCTGAAGGGTTACGAAAGGAGGATAGAGAGGATTGTGGACAATCGAAGCGTTAGAGTCCACGATCGCGCTTTTTTTTTTTTTTTTTTTTTTTTTTTTGATGAATCTACACTTACCGAGGATGGGAATGATGAGTACAACACCCTTGAGGGAGTAGCCCCGCCGATCAAAAACGTGCATCTTTCCACCGAGCCAAAGTGAAACATAAAACAGTCCAGCAAAGGCGGCTAATCGTTTTCAAGGGCGAAGTGAACGTTAACGAATGCAAAAAAAAAAAAAAATTAGCGCAGCTTGCATTAATCATCTTCGTGGTGCACCCCACAACATAGTGTACATACTCGAGGCATGTCCAGAGGGAAAGGCACGGTAACCGTCCTTGAGTATTGCATGATCGGTCTGAGAGCATACATCGTATGTCCAGAGCTGCAATGGTTCATCCTTTGTGAGAGCCGTGCCATTCAGCATAGGCTGACATCTGCTGAGAAAATCGGGTCGGTGCTTTCCAACGGTGACCTATTGATTGCCAAAACAAATAATCGAGAGGGTGCGCGAGAGCGAAGATGTTGACGACATGGTTAACCGTGTACTTTTTTACACAACATTCAGCCCATGGACCACAAGATCCTTTCCTATTTGCCTTTTTTATTCACAAAATCCCGAACGTGCCACAGTGCAGGGGCTGATGATATCATCCAACGAGCGTTCATTGAATGGTGCAGAAAAAGAGAGCCCCGTCATCTTTCGCTCTCTATTCTTTCGAGGATTGGGCATGGAGGGCATTTTGATTAAGCGCTGCAGCACCCTTCAGAGGAGTCGTCCATCCCAATTGATGAAGAGATTTCACAACATCCGCTAGTCTGGTCCAGATCGTTCGACTCTCCATAATAAATAGTTGCCTCGCTTTATCTCGCATCCTATGAGATTTCCTGTCTCCAGGGATCAATGATAGTGCTTTACCTTGATGACCTGTGTGAAAATGGTGGTGAGCAAGACAGAGACAAGGAGACCCAGGATGCCATTGTGAACGTCGTAGGGGCTACGTCTAACAGCAAATCCAACGACTACAATGACAGCCACAGGAAAGATCACTGCTATGAGAACGATCGCCCAGACGGGGATTGTGTCCTTAGGCTTGTAGGGATACATGATGGACGTGTCTTGGACAGAAAACTCGCGATGGAAGGGCTCTACCCTGTCAAGCAGGAAGAAGGCCACGAGGAGTACAATACATAGGACCCAATCGAAGAGATAGGAGCAAAAGAGTCGGAAGGAGGGGTTCTTTAGTCGTTTTGGTGTGCGATTCATGATGGCGGGCGATTGGTGGAGAATTTGTGGGTTGTGGTGCCTGACGAGTAGAGGATGAGTTGGGGAGATGTTTTAACAATCAATCGTTGGGAGGAAGAGCTGCTGCTGAGCAGGGCTGCTTCAGTAATAGAGTGAGAGGGAACTGTGGACAAGGAAGCTGTGATGATAAAAAAGAAGCAGAGGAGCTTCATGTATTTATCATAAAGGGTTTTGTTAGAGGCATGCGATCAAGGAATTCTGCGAAGCATCAAAGGTACATGTTATTAGCGAAGAAAAACGGATTGCACTTTCCTCTCGTCATAATGGCGGTTGCAGGTAATCCTCGATGATATTTTTACTTGCAGGGGTACAGCCATTTTTCAGCGGGTGATTTATCACGTTGTCTGGCCGTTCCTTGAAAGAGAGACCCTCTTTCATGCAATAGCCAGTACACGACTAAGACAAGGAATGTGTACGTGGAAATACTAACCAAGCCACCCAACATTTTTCGGTGTACCTTTTTTTCTTTCCCTCTCTCTCTCTTTCTTGCACGGTGAAGAACGACAGTACTTTGCTGCCTATATAAGCACTGGTCTATTCCGAGTGCCTTGTCTTGCTCCCATCCCTCACAAACACACGCCACCAAAAAAAACTCCCCTGCTCCCTCCCCACAAAACATCCCACGCGCAAGTCGTATCCGAGGTAAAATATATACCCCTTCCTTCCCTCCCTTTTCTTCCGACCCTTTTTTTTCCTTCTTTGCTTTCTTTGTCTGCTTGCCACCAATCCCTTCTCGACACGACACCTTCAACAATGTCATTCCTCCCCACCGAACCCCAAGAGCTCCCTCATCCAGTCCTATGAAAGCACCTTGTTCAAGCCCACTTGCCACGTTTCCTGCTCGAGTCAAGGGTTGCATCCTTCCTTGCTCAGCATAGACGCAAAAGCGGTACCTGTACTATCAGATCCTTTTGCAACTAAAATACACATATAGCCCCATGATCAAGCCATTTTCGAGATCAATTTAACAATCCTTGAGGATGCTACTACTGCTGTTTGTGCAATACGCTAGGCGACGCGTGTCTTGTATCTTCGAGGAGGCAAATTCATGACCCTTCTCTTGTGAAGACTTGTTCTCACCACGCTTTACTCGCCTTTTACTTTGTAGATCCGGGAAGGCGCCCCTGAAAAGAGTGAGCGAGACGAGAAACTGCGTGGATCTGTCCTCGATACCATTGTACTATACCGACCATGACTACCAGGTGCGTTCCTTGGCCACTATCGTTTGGGCTTTGTATCAGAATCAGTTTGTTAACATCACTGCCCAATACAACAACAACAAACAATGCTTCTTTTCATTTCTTGTCCATGTTACCAGACTCGATCGACTCGTTTTACTTCTTGAGACAGGATCGACTGCTGCCGTACGAGCAACGGCAGCACAGCAGTTGGGTGACATCCAGAAGCAGCATCCTTCAGAACTGTTCAATCTGCTTTCAAGAGTGAGTTCACTACCATGTCTGCTGGCTTTCCTTTTTACACTTGCACAACTTGTCTGTAAACAAAAAAAAATTAATGGATCTTACGACCTATTTATCTGCCTAGGTGCTGGTACATTTGCGCAGTAAGAGCTGGGATACAAGAATCGCTGCAGGGCAAGCATTAGAAGCCATTGTTAGCAACGTACCGCAATGGGACCCCTCAGATGGTAAGTCTTTTTGTTCATGTTGCAGTACGTGTGCTCTGGTAATATTTACTGTATAGTCTAAATTGTACATTGACTCGAATGTTAATAGAATCACAAGTAAAGACAGAGGAGGGATCAGCGGATCAAAAGAAAGGAGTAGAGGCACCCAAGTACGATCGGCTTTCATTTTCGAATTTCGACATCAGTCAAGTCATCCAGAATGGGAAATTGCTTTTGGGCTCCGCAGGAAAGGAGTACGATCTCGATCTGAGTGATCTCGACCCTGCAGAGCGACTCGCGATTCAACGAAAGAACCTGGCGGCGAATCTTGGGTTGACATCTCAATTTATGGATGGTAAGATCCAAGGGCTTCATGATTTCTATCGGCGCTGGGCTATTTGAACAGGAGATGCCAACCTGCAATCGGTTTTCTGTTTGTTCTTTAGTTGATCTCATGGACGAGTCGGACATTTCGGGACCAAAGCCTCTTTCGATACCCATGAAGCAGGAGCAACCACCAACGCCATCAGCCGGCGCGAGTTCTGCAGGATCGAAGGCGCCTCTGCCTTCGCCAGGACTTTCAAACGAGGTGAATCTGGAGGGGCTGAGCGCAAGAGAACGAAACAAGATGAAACGTCGCGCCAAGACAGATTTGAAATTCAAGGGCAAAGACAAGTAAGTAGCACGCATCATTGCAAGGACCTCACATTTATCCGTCTTAGCGCCATCTAATTGTCCCTAAAACTTTTTCTGTAGGGTTCGCGTGATTGATCTTGCCGGGCGGCGAAAGGGACCAGATACGCCAGGGACTCCTTCAACTCCAGGAGCGGGTCAGGAAGGACAGGAAGGCGGCTACTTTGAGTTCACACCTCAGTCGGACTCCAACAAGGTAGTTGTAGAAGCAAAGCTACCGGTGCAGTCAATTCTGGAATCATCGACGGAATGGCCATTTGAGGGTATTTGCGATTTGCTGTGCATGGATCTCTTTGATCCAGGCTGGGAAGTCCGTCATGGTGCAGGAATCGGTCTTCGCGAAATCTTGAAGGTCCAGGGCAGTGGTGCGGGACGCATCATTGGATGCACCAAGGAAGAGAATGATGTCCGGCATAATGAGTGGCTAGAGGACCTGGTAATCCGCCTTCTTTGTGTGTTTTCCCTCGACCGCTTTGGTGATTTCGTTTCAGATCAGGTACGGGGGTGCTTATTGTTTTCATGACAGACCTGCTCAATATGGAGAGATGCATGAGCTGATCGGCATTGCTTTGAGCTTTAGGTGGTTGCACCTGTCAGAGAAACTTGTTCACAAACGCTAGGCGCCTTGCTGAAGCACATGTCTGATGACGGCGTGAAGAGTACGCTCGGGATTCTGATGCGTCTTATTTATCAGAACGATGTTTTCGAGGAGGGCATGGATCGCGATTATATCTGGGAGGTGCGACATGCAGGATTACTAGGACTGAAGTACGCAGTCGCTGTTAGGAGGGATCTGCTTGACAATGACACTGCATATGCAGCCGAAATGCTGGAGAATGTTGTTAATGCGGTCGTGCTTGGATTGAAAGACGAAGACGACGATGTTAGGGCAGTATCGGCCTCCACCCTTATCCCCATCTCATCCAACTTTGTCAACAAGCTGCCTGAGCGGATTCCGGACGTTGTCATTGTTCTATGGGACTGTCTGGCTGTGCTCAAGGACGATCTGACGGCATCGACCGCGAGCGTAATGGACCTATTGGCGAAACTCTTCACCTACCAAAGCGTTCTCGACTTTATGATTCAACCTAGAGATGAGAGGTATGGTCCTGCATCATAATCATTTCGCTTTGGAAATGCTCGAAGCTTTGTTCAATCAAACGCTAATTCTGCTCTTTTTTTTTTTTTTTTTTTTTATATTGATTTTTATTTAGTCACTCGCTCGTCAATCTCATACCTCGCCTCAATCCATTCTTCCGTCACACAATTCCTGGCGTCCGACTTGCAGTCCTGAACGCCATGCTTACTTTCCTTAGGCTGGAATCTATCGCCGAGTGGGTCGACGAAAGGGTGGTTCGGATGGTTTATCAAAATCTCATTGTCGAGGAAAAGAGGGATATCCTGGAACTCTCTTTGACTGTGATGGTGGCCTTGATCGATCGCATGTCAACCTCGGCGTCGATCACCAGTATTGTCGGTCCGCATCTTCAGACGTTCTTCACGATCCTTCTTACAGCCATCGGTACACCATTGGATACCCGTCTCTTTTACTCACCGACCGGACATGGAGTGGCAGTTACTGCGGAGATACCAGCGCGTGGCCGAAAGGCTCAGGCAGCACAGACCCATTCTCACAATGTCGACGTCGGGATGCTCAAGCAGGATTTGGCGTTAGTCTCTATAGAATCGGTCATTCGGTGCCGATTGAGCGCTAGCAAGGCGCTCGGACTCATCATGGCGGGCTGGCCTCAGGATCAATTGGATGCTGCATTTTATGGTTTACTACAGTCTAACTTCAATTCACCCTGGGCTATGCGTCGCCAAATGTCTGCCATTATCGTCGCAGAGTGGGCATCGGCCTTCAAAGAACGTTCACAGTCATATCCGACCGAGGCTGGACTTCCATTCGCCCTCACAGCATCAGCAGCGCTAACAACATGCTTGGTATCGGAGCCACCACTCAGCTACTTGGAGAGTATCACTGTTCTAAAGGGTATTCGCGCAGAAATTCAAGCGATGCTCAATGCCTTTGTCAGCGACGGCAAATTACCACAGGCGACTGTTCCTACTCTCCCTCAGGTTGCTGGTATGACGGACAGTGGTGATGGCAGCAATTTCACTATCGACTACGCGCGTGAATTCGCCGCTGTTTCGGTGCCCAACTTGATGAACCAGATCAGCGCACGATCCCGTAAAAACGCCATTCCCTTGTTGGAGGGTCGCCGCGACCGTGTCATTGCAAGCATCGGTTATTTCGAGTCTATAAAGGAAAAGGCCGATCTCTATGTTGCTGCTGCGGTTGGATCGGCTGTTATTAACCTGGGGACTCTGCCTGCGAAGCTCAACCCGGTCATCAATAGTGTTATGAAGAGTGTCAGAGTAAGTTGATGGACTGCATCATATTACTTGTTATTCATATTCGCATTCTGTACAAAACTGACCAACGTTAAATTCGGTTTGATTAGAGCGAGGAAAACGTTGAACTTCAAACACGTTCCGCATCGACTCTGGCCAGCCTTATCATCCTCTGCAACTCACCATTCTGCAGTCTCCGGACAGTGCCAACTCCTAAACTGGTTAAGAATCTTGGACGATACCTTTGTGGTGACACTTCAATCACTCCTTCCTTGGACCAGGACTCGTCTCTTGAGGGCATCTTCTCGCTCAAGAAATCTAAGGATTCGGTGGCAGACAACAAGACCGTCAGCGGGCATGGCATGGAGGACGTCAAAATTTCAGCTAAGGACACCAAAATCGTCGAGGACGAGGAAACTAAACTGACAAGGCGAGGCGCCGTCGCAGCGTTCAAGGAGTTTGCAGAGCGATTTGGACCTGATCTGTTCATACAGATTCCTAAAGTCTGGGAGTGCATCAGCACCCCCTTGACGACGGCTTTTGCGCATGGCCCTATCACAGGGCCAACAGCACTTCAAGCAGACGACTGGCACGACATTATCGACGCCTTGGAGATGATCAAAATTTTGGTGCCGCATTTACATCCTGAGCTGTACCCATCGATCGAGCAACTAATGCCTCACATTGCTACCGCACTTCTGTCGCCATTCACCGTCGTCCGTCATGCTGCTGCTAAGTGCCTGGCGGTCATCTGCAATGTTATTACTATCCCCGGCATGCATCAAGTCATTGACCGAGTGGTCCCACACCTCAGCGATTCTGTCAACGTGATTCGTCGCCAAGGTGCCGTCGAAATGATTAACGAGGTTGTTCAGATCATGGATGCAAAGATTCTGCCTTACGTTGTATTCTTGATCGTGCCTATTCTCGGCCGTATGAGTGATCCTGACGAGCCGACCCGACTGGTATCAACTAATTGCTTCGCTCACCTCATCAAGCTTGTGCCTCTCGAAGCCGGTATCCCCGACCCACCAGAGATGTCCGCAGAGATGTTGCAACAACGCCAGGAGGAGCGCCAGTTCTTGATGCAGTTGTTGGACAGCAAGAAATTGCAGCCGTACAGCATACCAATCAAAATCAAGGCAGAGTTGAGGAAATACCAGCAGGAGGGTGTCAACTGGCTTGCATTCTTGAATAAGTACCAGCTACACGGTATCCTGTGCGACGATATGGGTCTGGGCAAGACATTGCAATCAATTTGTATGTTGGCTAGCGACCAGCACGACCGAAAGGTCAAGTTGGCAGAGACAGGATTCCCTCAGTACGCTCACTGCCCCTCGATGGTGGTGTGTCCACCGACGCTGACCGGACATTGGTACCACGAGATTTTGCAGTACACGGACAATCTCAAGCCAATCATGTATACAGGCGCCCCTGCTGACAGAAAGCGTCTTCGATCCTCACTCCCGAAACACGACATTGTTATTATGTCGTACGATGTGGTTCGCAACGATATCGAGGACTTGGAAAAGATTCACTGGAACTATTGTATCCTGGATGAGGGCCACATCATTAAGAATGGACGGACAAAGATCACAAAGGCGGTCAAGATGGTCAAGGCGAATCACCGAGTCATCCTATCTGGAACGCCCATCCAAAACAACGTTCTCGAGCTGTGGTCATTGTTTGACTTTTTGATGCCAGGATTCTTGGGAACAGAGAAGCAATTCAACGAGCGATTCGGGAAGCCGATTTTGGCAAGTCGAGATTGCAAGAGCTCGTCCCGGGAACAAGAAGCAGGTATGTATTGGTTTCTAATGTGTTTTTTGTCTGGAAGCTCCGTTGTAATGGTGAGTTATGCACTTGGTTAACCCAGAAGATTGTTGTTGTCCTAGGTGTGCTGGCACTGGAGGCGCTTCACAAGCAGGTGTTGCCATTCTTGCTGCGTCGTCTGAAGGAGGATGTTCTGAGCGACTTGCCACCCAAGATTATTCAGGATTATTATTGTGAACTGAGCGATTTGCAGAAACAGCTTTACGAAGAATTCTCAAAATCGCAGGTCAAGCGGGAAATGGAGGAGGAACTCACAGAGGAGAACAAGGCGGCCGACACGCCACAGAAGGCTACTCATATCTTCCAAGCCTTGCAGTATCTACGCAAACTGTGTAACCATCCGCTCCTGGTTGTCAATGAGAACCATCCCGAGCACGCCAAAGTTATGAAGCAGATCAGGGGACAATCGCTCCACGATATAGGTTTTGCACCAAAACTTCAGGCCTTGAAGCAGCTGCTCATTGATTGTGGCATTGGGTCGAAGCCCATCTCGGAATCCAGCGCAGATGTGGAAGCATCCTTGATCAGCGGCGGAGGATCGGCAGTCAGCCAGCATCGAGCGTTGATATTCTGCCAACAAAAAGCGATGCTCGACATTATCGAGAATGATCTCTTACGACCGCTGCTACCTTCAGTGTCGTACATGCGTCTCGATGGTGCGGTTGACTCTTCTAAGCGACACGGCATTGTACAAAAGTTCAACGCAGATCCCTCCATCGACTTGCTACTGTTGACGACTCACGTCGGAGGACTGGGACTGAATCTGACGGGTGCAGACACTGTCATTTTCGTGGAGCACGACTGGAATCCAATGAAGGATTTGCAGGCCATGGATCGCGCTCATCGGTTGGGACAGAAGAAGGTGGTTAATGTCTATCGATTGATTACAAAAGGAACTCTTGAGGAGAAGATCATGGGGTAAGTGCTGTTCTCTTAATTTGCTGCATTGCATCGCATCGTTACATTCTGTTCCTTAGTGCTAAGGTATCTCTTTATTCTTATTAGATTGCAAAAATTCAAGCTGAATATTGCGAATACTATCATCAACCAGCAAAACTCGGGCATTCAGAGCATGGGCACAGACCAGATCTTGGATCTGTTCCAGATCAGCGGTGGCGACGACATGGATGGGTCTGGAAAGAAGAAGGGCAAGGGCAAAGGGGTTTCAGAGGGCAGTGTGAACGGCGGAGGCGACCATGGTGAGGACCAAAAAATGTCGACGAAGAACGTGCTCGAGTCACTCGAGGGTCTATGGGACGAGAAGCAGTACGAGGAGGAGTACAACCTGGACTCTTTCATCTCGAGTCTCAAATAGAAGCCTTTCATACCTTTTCTTTTCTTATGCATCATGCACAAATACAGTGATGCCGCGTTTTCTTGCTCCTTTCTTCACTTCTCTAGCGAATAATAATACAAGGGTCTTAGGCCCATATTGCATGCATGCATTTACTATTGATAATCACGAATGCTTTTATGTTTGTTGTCTATGGGCGTATTCTGTATGGGTTATAGTATCGACTTTGAAGCACCGCGAACTATATGGTGCCTCCGGTCACCTCTAGTCAAAGCTCATCCCGGCGACGTTCCTGGGGCTCCAAAAGCTGCAGGTATTCTACAGCGAACGCACGGAAAATATTCGCCCAGCCCTCCACGACCTCAGGGGAGATGACGTCCGCGTTATCCTATTAGTTTTTCACAAAGTGCGAGAAAAAAAAGCGGTTAGAAACCGTGCCTTTCAGTAAGGAGATGCCAAGGTATATCTCCATAATCCTCACCTCCAGCCTGTGCCACACGCTTGGGAAGGGTGTAGGGATGACATGAAAGATGGGAACGCCTCTTTGCAAGAACGGCCGGTGATCATCTTCGATTCCTCCATAGGGTGGATTGGCGGTCAAGAAGCCCTGCACCGGCTCTTCTGCGCCCAAATCGTCCATATCATCCTCGTCCTCTCCTGCTCCTTCCTGAAGTTTTTCTTTCTTCCTCGCCAGAACCTGACCTCCATGTAGCTTGGCTTCCCACAGTCGTTGCTCGATTGACATGGTGTGACGATGTGCCCAGTGCGTGGCGCTGAAATAATTGGGTACAGTAGGACTCTCGACGCCTAGGAGGTCGAGGAGGACAAAGAGCTCAATCCCGTCCAGATTGTTGGATGAAGAGCCGCCGCTTCTTCCGGTGGCAGTCCTGGTACGCGGGACAACCCTTTGTGCCCATTGCTCAGCAAGATGCCTAAGAAACGGGAGGTTAGATTAGTTTTCAGAAGTCATACATGCCCTGAACGCCTTTTTTTTTTTTTTTTTTTTTTTTTTTTTTCTTTTACCTGGATCCATATAGTGAATCTGTGGCGCTCCATATCTTGAAGGCTTCTTCGCCATCGAAAAATATCAACTGCAACGTGGTCTCCTTGTCGGTCCTTCCTGGATGGTCCAAGGCACTGTCCAAACTTGCGGCCAGATCCAACAAGATCGCACACGGGGCTGCCGAATCCGTTGCAGCCACGAACGGCAGGGTATCATCTCCACCGTTCCATTGCGCCTCTGGCTTATCCGTTGGAGGGAAGTACTTTGAATCGAAATGGGCCGCGAACACTAAGCGGTTCTCGGCCTGGGGGTTCTTGGTGAAGACTAGGTTCGTGAAGGTCTTGGGTCCGAAGGGCGTGGTCTCTGTAAACCGATCGATCTCGACGTGCCACCCTGTACCGGGCGTCCCGGGCGCACGTCTGAATAACCGAGAGATACGTTCCTGGTCCTTTTGATGCTTCTTCGTCTTTGCCTTGGGATCATTTGTCCGTGGTTTGATCGGATTGTTGTGTTGGCTATCGGGTGTGTCACCTCCAGTGAGACTGGTGGTGTTGAGTTTTGAGAAGTAATCGAGGATAAAGTCTTGAACCCGGGTATTGTTTGCAGTTCCAGAGACACGCGGGATCATGAAGGGGGAGAGGAGGGAGCCGTTGTAGGGATTGAAGCGGTTGGGATCTGAGGGTTCCCAGGAGGTGATGACCTCGAGGTCGGAGAGGGATGACGGACGAAGGCTCCGTTGTTGGATAGGTGTGGATGCATGGACGAAGGATACGGAGGTGGTGGTGGAGGTGAAGAGTAGGAGGGAAGGGAGGAGGAGGAGGATGGGGTGATGCATCTTGGAGGGATGATGCTTTGTGTGGTGGGGGTGGAGGTGGAGGTTGATGAGGGACCAGGGCTGTGAAATACTTCAGGGCGGGTTTAAACTCCTACAAACGTGCTCTTCTCTCAGCAGCGACAGGAACCCTTGCATTAAATGATGAAACATTGCGCCGGGATCCTTCTCTCTCATACAAAAGGGTGCACCGAGTCGGTACTCGGAACTCGTCAGTTGAAACCCCCAGAGTCTTCACATCCTTCCGAACAGCAACCTGTTCTGCTTGTCTGTTTCTTTCCATCACTTAACTAGCGCTCAAAATTGTTGTCTACCAGGCACTAGGCCGCATTCCCATTGTTCAGGACATTCTTGGAATCGTCGAAAAAACTCCTCAAAGAGACAGAGAGAACAATGTGTTATTCGTTTTTAGATCAGGTCGAACAGAAATAGTTTACTGACGATGAATCAGGGAAAGTGCGAAGCGCGAAAGGCCTGTAGCTGCTGCTCGCATTGGGGAGCATCGATTATCATTCTGCTAGTGCAGTATGAATGGTGGGCGAAGGAATTATAAGACGAGATCAATGGATAAAGTCATAAGCAGGAGAGATCAATTGAAGGCGCGGACCAAATGAATGAGCCGTAGTTCTCTACTCTAGTAATGTTTATCGATATTTCGCCATCCATCTGTTACAATGCATTATTGAATCACATTGTTGGCACCGCGAAGGGCCACCTTGTTGTGTTTTATATATATATATGTTTCTTTTGAAGACGACTAACGCTTACACACAGACGATGCGATCAAAGGCTCGCCTGCGCCTGTTGAATCGGCTCCCACACTGCGTCCGAGATTTCCTCAGCGGCCCCTCTACGGACCTTTCCATCCTGCTCCAACTTCTTGAGATGCAACAGAACCTGGTGCTCAGCTGCAGGGTGCAGACTCGGTGGGTAGGCCTCATAGACCACTGCGACGATCTGCATTGCTGTCTTTCCTGTGTTGGGTTTGACACTACTGACGCCACTGATGCTACTGTCAGCAATGCTGCTGCCGTTGCTACTACCACCACCACTGCTTGTGAGGACGCTCAGAATCTGCTTCTCTCGATCCAAACGGTGCGCAATGTATTCCCGAATCTTGGCCGGTCCATCTTCAATCACTGGTCCATGTCCGGGATAAATCTTGAACGGCTGGTTTCCTCCGATGGTCAATTGCCGCTCCAGCGATTTCATATAGCTGCTCAAGTCCTCAAAGACCGCCGTTCCCTGTCCCAGGACACAATCCGCCGTGAAGAGAGTGTTCTCCTCCTTGAGATAAAAACTGCAGTGGTCTGTTGTGTGGCCAGGTGTATGAAGAGTCACCAAGGTAGTTTCGTCGTCCACTATGATCTCCTGCCTGTCTGCGATCTCCAGAAACCGTGTCTCGGGATCGTCGTGTTCTGGACTTGGATATTTGAACACCTTGGGCATGACTGAAGAAGCATCGAGATCGACGAGCCCCACAGAGTGTGTGGACGACTCTGCATCGGCGGCAGAAGCGGGTGGGTCGTTGAGATGGATGTTGCGGGAGGCTAAGAACTTCATGACATCTGGAACTCCGCCGACGTGGTCATGGTGCCAATGCGAGCAAATGACCGAGGAGATAATGGAACCAGCTAGCTCCTTTTCGAGCACGGATTGAAGGAGCGAGGTATATTCGGGCACGCCCTCGCCGGTATCAAGAAGGACTTTCCGCTGGCCCTTTCCAATCAGGTATGTGTTTGTACCTGAGAAGATTCGGAAAGAAAAAAAAGGGCAATCAGCAGTGGGAACACACCGAATGAGAAGGATTCATTTGCATAGACTGTTACAGAAATGTAATCTCACCTTGGAGAGTGAATTTGCTCGGGTTAAGTCCAAGGACGCGGACAACTCTCTCGGAGAGACGGACGATGTTGGGTAGTCTTTCGAGTGATTCCATTTGTGATTGGTTAAAGGCGGTTTGGTGGTGGAGGGAGGATGAGGAAAGTGTCGCGTTGCTGAGTGGGGGTATGAAGTTTCGGAAGAATTTTGCCGTGAGTAGAGAGTATTAAAGCTGCGCGCGCTTCGGTTCGAACTCTTTTTATACCCTCCCTCCCCCTCGGCCTTGTCCACCGACCAAAAAGAGGGTTCAAGACCCCGGTTCAGTTGTGGGGCCCACAGGAAGCGAGCGTCAGCATTATCTAATGCAGCCAGGAAGATCCCTGTAACACCGTCAACACCGTGAATATGGTTTTCTAGCCTCTCCCTCATCTCGACATCAATGGATTGCAAAAGATGGTATCATCCACAGGTCATAGGTCGAATGAAGATAGATAGATATTCACATGCACTCGATGGATAAACAGCCTGTTCTGCCACCGACAAAGAAAACGCGTCAGAATAGGTAGTAGCCTGCAAATATCGACCGGACTTCAACGCGCTGCAAGGATAGACGGACCGAGGATGCGACTTTTTCGCACGGTGCGGTCCAAGGTCCGTCGCACCATGTTTCAGACACGACGCGTCTCCACTTCTTTTTTCGCGTTGTGGCTGTGCGTGTGAGCGTGTGCCCAGGACGATTCTTTTCTCTCTCTCTCCCAAAGGCTGGATCACCTCCCTCCATCATCCCTTATCCCATCAGAAATGACTCATCCAGCCAGTCCCAGTGCACCGGTGGAGTCTCGCCTGCTGCCCGAGACCCTTGCATAGAGGGGGTTTTTTTTAATGTGCTATGTAGATAGCATCATCAATGGCCTACTTTTTTTTCTATGGGATGACAACACAATGCCCCAATGCTAATATCCGCTCCGCATTACCCCTACAAAGTCTGTAAAGCCTGGCACCGAATCCTGAAGCTGCATCTCTGGCGCACACACACTCCGCACCAGCGCAAACAAAGCATCGCATCCTTTTTGATCCACGAAAAAGAGCGAGACGGTGTTCTGTCTGAAGTCTACCTATCTGATATCTCGTTACTTTTATCCCTCGTTTCGCAATCTTCCATCACGCCTCGGTTCCCTAGCAATACATTTTTTTTATTCTTTAATGAAGAATTCCACAGATTCGCATCCTACAATGTCAGAACCTCGCGATGTTCAGATGCAACGGCCTTTAACGAAAAAAAAAAAAAAAAAAAAAAATGACGCCTTTACCTCCTTTCCTTTGAAATTCACTGGCAAACCTGCACATGAAGACTATGATCGAGGTGGTAACACAACCTATTTGGGCTCAACTTGGTCATGTCAAGGATTGAGACGCATTGCGACGCGACTACGGTTTATGATGGCGGAAGAGTGCCGCGGATAAGGCCTTGAATAGAATGAGGCGTTTGCAAGGATCTGGGTGCGCTCAGAGTTCCCTGGAATGGGATGACGGTGCGTTTTTTGGGGGAGATTGGCCGTCCGAGCAGAGACTGTTCTAAAAAAAGCATCAGGGCACTGAAGCTTTAGGTCATATATGAGGTTCGAGTAGACTACCTGTGGTTAATCAAGCAAAGTAGGGATGCAACCTGTACGCCCACCGGAACTGTCCAACACATGCACTGGCTGCATGCGACTGTAGTTCACAAACAATATCTTGGGGAAGAGGGAGAGAAGGGAGGAGGTTTCTCCTACAGGTCTGAACTTGGAAACACCTTGGATTCCGGATCCCTCTCGACTCTGACCCCAAAGCTGCCTCGCCTGAAAGAGTCTGGACATGAGCGGTGCCATCCTCTCGTATACTTGACTGACCTGACCAAGATTCTCTAGCCCATAGCCCCCACGTCCATACTCGGACTTCAAAATCAAAAAGTCAGTTCTCACTTCATAGATACCATAGCCGTTGGCCTCGCTTCCGAATCTGTCCTTAAAATTTTGACACCCTGGTGCCTTGGGGGTCGCACCATCGATGCTTACGGTTCCACTCCTGGATTTCTCACTCGGGAGTGCGGCATGGGACAACTGGCGATTTTTGGAGCAGCCGGCTTTGGGTGTTGAATCTCTCGAGGCTTGCGAAGCTGCGGACGGACGGGGAGGCAGGAGCATGTTGGATAAAGAAACATTGGTCAGTATTGAGGACGTTAAAGGCGAAAGGCTTTCACGAGGACAAGGCAATCGAGAACAATTCGATGGTGGACTTGAAGAGGAAGCGTCCGGGGGATCGGATGCTATATCGAAACAACCCATAGATCCTGGCAAATAGCCGAAAAATAAAATAGAAAAAAATAAAATACAGATTGCTTGTTATCGATTGAACAATGCAAAGGTGCGGGGGGAGTTTATTTTAATAAAACGGTACTATGAACGAGTAATGGGAAGAGATGAAGAGAATCTAATGCTGGTCGAGTGCTTGTGCGGACAAAAAATATATAAAAAAAAAAAGGAATTATGCCTTGGTCCTCATAAATTCAATCAAGCAGAGTGTACTCTGGAACAGCTCTTCCAACCGTTTCCACTCCCGCTGATGTTCCGATACCAACCGCCTCAACCGCATGCTGACACTCAAGGGACCTGCCTTCGTAGCATTAACTTTGACTTTCAACTTTCTGCTGTTGCTGCGCTCGTCATCATCATCGTCGTCGCTCTCCATCTCACTATCCTCGTCTTCGTCATCTTCGTCGTCCTCGTCTTCATCATCCAATCCAGCGTCCGGGTTGGCCACCAGTACATCGCCATGGATCCTCAAGAACAGGTTCAGGTATGCCTCTGCCAACTCAAAATCCCTCCTCATGCTCAGCAGATACTCGATAGCCTCCAAGAAGTACCTCGGCTCCGCCAGGTCGTTATCCAGTGACATGGACCTCAACTCGAAATCCACAGCCGAGGGATTCAGTGTCTTGAGGTGGTCAAAGAAATCAGAGTAATCGCGCTCGACCACCACCGTCTGTTGATCCTTCTGACCCGCGTTCACTATATGGTGTGTCGCTCTAGTGTTGTGGCCTCTCTTAAGAAGCGTCATAAAGACCGTCTCGGGCTGGAGCATGCCCATGCGGATCATCTTGGTGTCTGCCACATGTGCCCGCTCCTCGTCCTCCTTGGTGGCCACAAACTTGGGCTCAACACCAGGCAATGTGTTCAAGAAGAAGGGTGCCTTTTCGGGCGCCTTGGGAGCCTCCTTGGGCTTGTTCCTGGCCTTGATCACGTCCAAATTCAGCAATGTCTGCCACTTGGATTTCGGAAGGAGTGAGAGCGTGATCATCTGCTCTGTCAGTTGTTCTGGTGTCTCAATTGTTGGCTCCAGAGCGAGAACCTCCTCGTTGGTCGTGTAAATGTTTTCGACTGATGCAGAGTAAAATTATAGACGCGGAACAAGGGTACGACAGCTTGTCAGCAACCATGTGGAATAACGAAAATTGTCATGGACTGTCAATAAACACAACAAAAAATGTATGCCTTACCTTCATCACCATCGTCCTCCATTGTAGACGAGGTAGGCAGACCGACACGGATGACATCGTCCTCAGTAATGCTCCTCAATGACACAGTCGTGAACTGCATGCGGTTCGCCCACAAAAAGATACCAACATTGTCCACATGCGCCGTAGCCAGATAGTCTCCTGTAGGCGAAAAGGACAAACTCGTCGCAATGCTCTCGCATCTGAAAATGTCGACCATATGTCCCGTGGGCAGATCCCAGGTGCGGATCGTAGCATCCAAAGATGAAGACACCAGCCAGTGGCCATCAGGACTGAACGTCTGTTATAGGATAAAATATGGTTAATACGACGAGCACCTCCATATTGCAGTAAGATCGCATCTAAAAATGCAACCAACTAATGTCGACAATACATATGAGAACACCTTACCATGTCAGTAATACGGTTCGAGTGACCCCAGAACTCACGGACGACACGACGATTCTCGATATCGACAATACGTATGCATAGATCATCGCAAATGACCGCCAAGATATTGTTTTCAGGGTAGAGCAGCAAATGGGTGATGGGCGAAGGCATCTCCATGGTATGTTCGCACTTTCCGGACTTGATATCCCACAACTTCAACAGTCCATCCAACGATCCCGAGACAAGGCTCTTGTTCAAGCGATCCGACTGGAGCCCCGTCACAGCCTTGCTGTGGCCATCCTCAGAAAAGGAACGGCGGTGGATCCCAGACTGCATGTTGAACATATCAATGCCTCCAGATGCCGAGCCCACAAAGCCAAAGTTTCCGCATGTGCTGATGGCGACAGTCTTGGTTGAGGATCCATCCTTGGGGGTCATGAGGTGAGATCCTAAAACCTTTCGTTGGTAGTTCCATGAGCGTACGCCCGGCTCGTTCCAATGAGCCGTCAAGATGTTGTCCCACTCCTTCTCCTTGGCTGGTGCTGCTGCGACAGTCGTGATCAGGGGCAGCTTGAGCTCGTCAATCTTGAGGTTCAGCAACCTTGACTTTTTACTCAGCGATCCCTGCGACAATTCGACTGATTGTGAATCACGGACGGTCGAAAAAGCCCTCAACGAACGATCACGACCAGCAGAGAGAATAAAGTGTCCATCCTCGCCGTAATAATTGATGTGTGTTGGGGGTTGGTGGTGGCCGCTCCTAGACTTCAAAAGACGGGGTAGACCATCCAAGCTGTCAAAGATCCACTGCTTCACAGAGTTGTCGGCTCCTGAGGTCATCAAGATGGGCTGTCCGTTCAAAAACTGGATAGAAGGGATCGTTCCATCGTGGGCACCCTTCATCACATGGAGCACTTTTTGCCGATCCAAATCCCAGAGTGCGATGTCACCGTACATGTTCGCGGTAGCCATCACATGCTGATCATCTATAGGTGAGTAAAGATGGGTATAGGCATTAGATAGAAGACTTAATTGGGTTGTACAGATCCAAAGCCATTGACGTCCTTGCGCGCCTACCTGTGCGGAAAGATACAGCTGTGACCTTTCCTTCTTGCCTCATGGTCATGATGGTGGTATCTGTCCTGATGTTATGAAGAACGACCGAGCCGTCCAAAAGACCGACCGCAATAACGTCGACAACAGGTGACTGGGTGAAGCAGGTGACAGGCGAGTTGAATCCCTTGAAAGCATAGACCATTGTGCTGGTGCGAATGTTCCAGAGCTGCATTGTCCCCTGGTTGCTTCCAATGAGGACCTTATTGAGGTATGTGCTGGGGTGGATAAGGGTTGTAACTGTGAATGAAGAGTCAAAGTCGATGGTGGTGTAGAGCTCTATTCGGTAAAATGGATTGAAACGATATTAGCTACTACTAGGACCTTGTTACAGTGTACTTCATCAAGTTCAGCCTTCTCCTTCGTCAAAATATTTACCTCCAGTGCTATGGTCGTTCAACTTGACGGTATTGTCACTGCAGATTGAAATAATGTGTTGGCCAAAGATCTCCAGTGATACTATTGAAAGTCTAGGATCTGTCCCGCATGAGAACCGACCGACTTCCTTTGCTCGCTTGTACGAAACAACATCAGATCCGCATGCTACAAAGACCAGATCGCCGAGTACTGCCAAAGCCGTGATAGGTGTCGATGTATGTGCTCCTGATCATTTTTTTCCCCCCCCAAAATTGAAAATTAGATCCTTGTTAGTTCATTCGCACAGTGTACATCAGCATTAGATATCAAACTGCCGAATATTCCTTCGCTGGTTCCTATGAACATACCGACAAAGAGCAGATTCATCTTGGCGACGTCGTAGATATGGAAGGTCGTGCCAACGCAGGTCGTCAGGAAGTACGCCTGGCCTTTGGCCTGGATGTTGAAGGGGATCTCATTGGTGACATATCCAATGGCTCGAAAAGGTACAAAGAGGCGTGGGGCCACTGCCTTTGGGGCCTCTGTGCGTGCCTTCTTTTGAGGGATGCCAAACATGGTGAACGGGAAGGTGTTATGTGTCGTATGTCCTGTCGAGCTGTCGAATGTAACGTGGAAAACAGCTAGAGCAGAGAAAGACCAAGGTCGTCGTCGAATGGGGTGATGAAAGGATGGGATGCCTAGGCCAGCAGCGGGACACACGAGCTGCAGCTTTTTTTTTTTTTTTTGTATGCTATGAGTAAACATAAGCCACTACTGCTAAACAAATTTGGTGGCAACGGTTAAGTAGTGCGGAGAATGAAGAAGAGAGTAACGAACGTAGAAATAGCAGCTGAAGATGTGGCATCTCTCTTTGGACAAGATAGCGCGACACGGATACTTTCTACGTCGATTGCCTGCAAATTACAGCAGAGTCAACTTCCTATATGGCCCTTCGATTCCATTCCGTTTGCGAATATATCGTTTATTGGGTTGAGCGCTGACTACATGTTACGCCGTGGACTCTTGAGTGGACTCTGGGGCTGTTGTCGCAGAGGTATCAGTGGTCGATGCTGTAGTAGCTACAGCAGCGGCAGCCTTCTTTTGTTCCCATGGCTTCGGCTTAGGGGCCAACTTGGCTTCACTAGGTGTTCCTTCCGCCAGATTGTTTGGAATTTGGCGGATGCCTACAGAAGAAAAGACGAAAAAATAAAATAAAAAATCAGTGTGTTTGTGTTGACCGCCATTTTCAGCTAACATTGACACGACGCCTTTCTCTGTTACAAGTCTGCATAGACATCCTACCTGGGATGGGTTTTCCTGCCGCGATCAGCTCACAAATCTCCTGGAACGATTTTGGATAGGTTGGATCTGGTATCGAAAGAAACAGAAACAGTAAGGATCTTTTATCCGAGTACCAATAGACTGAAATGAAAATCATTTCAAGGGTTGTCTGGGTTGATGTTGCTTACCTGCAGACGTTGCTGCAGATGCTGGGTCAGAGGATTGAGATTCCACTGCCATGCTAGTAGTATCGCTCTCCGAAGATGCCATTTTCGATTCTTCTGATGATGCACCGGCATTGGTCGATTTCTGCGCACGCCATGCCTTGTATTGGTTGTAATCAAAGCTTTGGACAAATCTGTCCATAATATCGTACAGAGAACAAAGTTAGTGGGCACATATATTGACGACGGACGCGTGGGAGTCCGCGGAAACATTGTTCACGATGATTGATAGATCCTTTTCCTCGCTTACCGAGTAAAATAAAAATATTTGGCGTTCTCTATAGCATCCCGCTGCTCCTTCTCCGACTTGTTTTGGTTGTTGCTAACAATTGACTTGAGACCGCTCTACGTTGTTGTCCAGACAAGGAGAAACATGTTTTTTTTTCAGTTGCTTTTGGTCCTGACAATGATGCATTCGAATTTCTTCTGTTTGTTTGTTCCTCCGGAGCTGCTGCACCCATTACCTGAAAGGTTGAGTCATTCTCAAAGTCGTAGCTTTCGAACCTTTCAAAGACCTGCTGTTGTGATGCTGCCATCGTTTCCTTTGTCGTTTTTTGTCATGAAACGATTTCGTGGCCAAAAAACGCAGTTTATCCTTTATCTATCACGTGTAAGTTAGGATGAAGGTATTGTGGCAAAGTCAGAGTCGGGGCTCATTTTCTTGCACCTTATCTCTGTAAACCCACTCGTGCCTTTCCCATTGGGACATATGAAGAGAGATCTTTGAGTGTTCATAACTGTAATAAGAAACTTGGTCTATATATACAAATGCATATGGTTCTAAGAGTCTTGTGTATCATGCAGAGAGGGATGATTGTGGTGATATATCGATGGCACATGCTTCTGGATGGGGAAGAGTTTTAGTGCTTGTAAAAGACAACTTCACCCTCGTCCTCAACAAATTTGCATTGTCGCCAGTTGCGGTAGAGGGCCTTGGCGATCGGTGTGTCATCCTGGAGATAGTACTTGCCAAGCTTGGCCTTCAAGTGCTTGGTGGCCTCAACGGCGTTGTAGAAGGGCATCTGAGAGAACATGTGGTGGCACTGATGCGAGTCGCCGATGTGGTGGTGCAGGTGATCAACAATCTTGCCAAAGGAGCGGTCGACGGTGCAGGCAGCTCCACGCTGGAAGTTCCAGACGTTGTCGCGGAAGTGGGGGACCATGGGGTCGGTGTGCTGGAGGTAAGTGATGCAGACGATCCAGGCATTGACACCAAGGTAAGGGATGCCATAGTACATGAAAACGGTCAGGGGCGAGAAGACAATCGAGAGATAGGTCAAGATCGAGACCATGGCGACAATACCGCAGTTCGAGTAGAAAATGTTCTTGGCCTGGTGGGGCTCGAAAAGAGGGGCGATGGTTTGGAAGTGGTTGACCCAGTGAGGCGCCTCCTGACCAGACATGTTCTTGATCAGATAAAGAGGCCAGCCAAAGGTCAGGATCAAGACGAGGACGATAAGGGTGTAGAGAGGCGTCTCAGCAAAGATAGACTCTTCATGGTCGTGGTGATGATCCAGTTCAGAGAGGTCATCCTGGTTCTTCTTTTCCAGTGGAGGGAGACCCAAGTATGAGCGGGTGGCGGGAATAAAGACCACGTCCTTGGTCATGGATCCGGTACCCTTGTGGTGCTTAGAGTGGGACATTTGCCATGCTTGGTATGGGACCAGGAGAGCCGAGTGGAGGGTCCAGCCAAAGATGGTGTTGACGGTCTTGTTGTCCGAGAAAGCGCCATGGCCGCACTCTATAATTGTCGAATTGAAGTATCAGTAATATTTTTTTAAGTCCAGAGATGCCGATCTGTGTTCGCAGCGACGGTTGACTAATTTTTCGCTGTTGATTTGTTTTGATGTCTTACCGTGAGCTAAAATCCAGGGACCAACCATCACAGTGCCCTGAATGATCCAGTAAGCGATCCAGGCAGGGATTCGCAGGGCGAGCGAGGGCAGGGTCTCAATGAAGGTAGCACAATAAAAGACGGCGGCGATTGTGATCAGATCCTTGGCGACGTGCATGATGGATTTGGTGGTGTCGCGGACAAAGAGGTGGGCAGGGATGGCATCACGGATTTCCTTGATGGTGAAGTCCATGGGCATGTAGCCTTGCTCGTAGTTGCTCTTGGTCTGGGGCTCGCCTTGGAGGACGATCCTGTGACGGATAGACTCTTCGATAACGTTTGGGGGAGCCATTCTTACGACTTGTGGATCGGGGATGAGGGTGCGGAAGAGGTGAGGGGATGAGGATGAGGAGAGGAAGGGAGAGAGGGAAGGAAAGAAGGAAGGGAGGAAGGAAGGGAGAAGGAAGAGAGGGCGAGGGTAGAAGACAATCGCTCGTGGATGGGACTTGTAAAAATAAGATAGAGCGAAAAAATAATAATAATAATAAGTAAACAAGGACAGCAAATGTCCGCTCCGTTGGGTGGGACCAGCCAGGAGGGCTGGAAGGCTGGAAGGCTGGAAGGCTGGAAGGAAGACTAGACTGTGGCGGACATAAGGAATGCAGCGAATCCGGAGCGAGCAGCTGGAAACCTTACTGGCAATTAAAATGTCTGGCACAGAGCTGTTATCGCTGGGCAACTTCCAGTACCCCTGACGGGATGGGGGTCCGCCTTCATTGGGACGGTGTTTATTTCGATCCTCGTGCATCGCATCCATACCACCTACTGCCCTCAAAGGCATGCCCAAACGCTCTCCTACGACAATTGACCCACCATTCGCCGTAGTCACCATGGTGGTTTACTTTTTTTTTTTTCATCTTTTTTCCCTCGATGGCCATGAAGGGTACCGGTAGCCTAATTATGAGGGAACGGCGAGAGGCGCAAATAGCACAGGGCCACGGACACTGCGCTCGAATGAAGCGAGGTCATTGAGGTGCGCCTATGATGGGTAATCAATAGAAAGATACGAGAGTAAAATAGTCATGTATGTTCTCATGTGTCCGCTTGTGGTCGCCAGAATGGTCAATTTTGACGAAGATATGGCACATGTCAACAAGACCAACAGGAGTACCTGAAAACCCAAACGTGGTTCGACTGTCTGTGCGTCTGCGTCCGTTTCACACACACATGTCGCACGCTAATCTTTTCTATCAAGACTCCGCTATGAGATGACCGGACAGAAACCAGTTTATCCCATGTAGCCATTCAGCTATTGTCCATGCGTGGTCTTCCTCTTCGTCTGGCGTTGGTCCGATATTGCATATCATCGAGAAATCCTGCTCCTCAGGTCCGAACGTTAAGACCCTGCGCTGTCGCAGGAGGGAATGTGTGACTATGCATATAAATTTCTACCACGGCACAACGGTAGAAAATTGCTTCTAGTAACATCTCATTACCTTCATTTATTACCGGCCTCCAACGTCTGCGATTTGATATAACTGTTTCTATGAAATGTGACCTTTCGATCTTCAGGATCATCAATAGCTGCGGTATAGTCGCGGGATACATAGGACAGAAGAAAAAAGTAACGATTAGACATTAATGAGACGAGCTTGAAGCGATGCAAGATAGTAGCCAGCGGAAGCTGCAGCTCCTCATGCGACCTTAGGATGATCGTCGTCGATGAATAGCATGGAAAGAATGATGCCCTGTGTGAAATGAATGTTTAACCGCTTTTTAAATTGCGGAAGACGTAAGAATAGGATGTCGATGGTTCTACTGTCACTGTCAAATACGTTCGCGGTGGTATCTTTAGAGCATGTCAGCAAAGATTCCCGTGAAATAAATAGCTCGTGTAGGTCGATTGCACCCGTCCACTGACGCTATGTATAGAGTAAGAGTATGGGGGAGCACAGCTCCCTGGTAGTCTTTGTCAAAGTAACCATTGTTACCTCAGAAACCCATCGAACCGGAATTCTGTACGATGGATTGATATAGAGGTCGCCGTTCAATGACCCTTGCGAAGCCAGGGCGCAGTAAGCCAGAGTACATTGCTCTGACATGAATAGGAGCCGGACTTGCCACCAAGAGAAGGGCCGCAGATGCGGACCATTCCAGGGAAGAGAGGTGGTTTCACTCCTGTGTTGCAACGCACAGACGTCGTCTCTGAGCAATCTGCGTGGATGTAGTTGGCCGCCCACTGCACGATGCGCCGCGGGGGGGGAGAGCACACGATGGCCACGGATGTTCTGTGTGGCGGGTATACACAGGTATTTAGTACGATGTGGCCACTGCTGCCACTGCTGCCACTGCTATGCTGTAAAAGCGGACCTGCATTGGCCGTCCAATACTGGACACGGACGTCGTACGTAGTTTCATTGCAGACGCGACTCCGGGCAAAGGCCGAGCCGACTGGACACAGACGTCTCCGCCGGGCAATTGAATTCCCTCCCCGGCTATTTTGGCTGGCTGTTACTCCGCTGCTATAAAGCCAACGGACTAAAGGGCCAGCTCCAGCTCCAGCTCCCTCAGCTTCTTGTTCTCTCTTGCTGCCCCATTACCACTCCCCCTCCGACTACAGCACTCTCCACTCTCTCTACAACCCTACCCCTTCTGCTCTGTTATTAGACCATGGTTGGTGAGTAGCAACGGAATGAGATGAGTTTTGCATTCGCATGTCGAATGTCAACCAGGCCGCTCACTGTTCCTCATTACTTTCTTTCTTTCTTTGGACCCCTGTTTCACCTGCTGCACTTTCCCAATGCAGCCCTCCCAGTTGTTGCTGCCGCTGTTCCTGCGGCCATGTATGTAAGCTCCAAGCTGTCGATCCCTCGGGATGCAAGGCTCATCGGGAGTCTTGTCAGTTCAAAGCTGGCATACAAGGCCATCGAGAAGAACGACACTGTCAACTTGACATATCGCTTTGATGAGTGCTACCGCAAGAACCCTGACCGCGAGGCGCTGGTCTTTGAGGGCAAGTCGTACACTTACCGCGATATCCACCTTGGTAAGTATAGGATTGACATGCCATTGTTCCTTTTCTGATCTTAAAGTGCGAGGGGGAGGAGGAGGGCGCGGGGTAGTTCCTGCAAATGTTCCAAAGTAATTATGGAACTATGAAGGCACCTTTTTGTTGTGTGCCGCTGTTCCTGGCGGTGTCTCTATTTCTTTTTGTCTATCCATCGCTCCACAGTTTTGCACTTCTCCACAACCTGGTGAGCAGCGACAAAAACAAAAGATTGGATTATGGTTTGCAGCCCCACAGGTACGGGGCAGAATCTCATCAGACACAGAGTGCTCATGTCATGCGCGGCGAACCTTCGATCGCGATCGACCGATCGATCGCACCTGTCGAGTGTCGTTACTCTCTGTTTCTCACGCTTAGGCCGCATTTTTCTATTGTTTTATTTCGTTTTTTCCGGATAGCATCGAACAGGGTCGGAAACTGGCTACTCTCCAAGGGCGTGAAGCGCGGAGACATCGTCTCGCTCTTCATGCTTAACAGCCCCGCATTCATCTTCTGGTGGTTGGGCATCAACAAGATCGGCGCAACTGGTGCCTTCATCAACACCAACCTCACCGGAAAGCCCCTGACACACTCCCTCCGCACCGCGACGTCCCCCATCCTCATCATGGACACGGAGCTGACAACCTCAATCGCGAACTCTTTGGACGAGATCCGCGACATGGGCTATGTCATCTATTCTTACGGCGAGTCTAGGCATGCCGACTTTGCCATGCCCGTTGATCTGTCCCAATACCCCGACGCTGATACCCCAGAGCACCTCCGACGCGGTACAACCGCGAATGATATCGCAATGTTGATCTACACCTCTGGAACAACCGGTTTGCCCAAAGCTGGACGCTTCTCTCACACTCGTGCCAACAGTAAGTCTTTGTTGGTCTCGGTCGTGTAGTCAATCGACAGTGATGCTGCAATACATGCTTGAGGCGACCGTTAACCATGACTCTCAATTGATTTCCATTTTATTATAGCGGGGTCACTCTTTTGGGCCAGATTTTACAACTTCACTGAGAAAGATCGCATTTACGTCTCCTTGCCTCTGTACCATAGTGCCGCTGCGGCCCTTGGCATGTGTCTTTCTTGGAACTGCGGAGCAACGGTCGTCCTTGCCCGCAAGTTCTCAGCAACTAATTTCTGGGACGACTGCCGCGCCAACAATGTTACAGTGATCCAGTACATTGGCGAGATTTGTAGATACCTGCTGAATGTACCCGAATCACCGTTGGACAAGGTGCACTCTATTCGATTGGCCCACGGCAACGGAATGAGACCCGATGTGTGGACTCGATTCAGGGATCGCTTTGGAATCCCATTGATCGGAGAGTGGTATGCCTCAACCGAGGGCACTGGAGCCCTGACCAACTACAACACTGGTCCCAACGGTACAGGCGCCATTGGTTACCGAGGTACTGTGGCCAGGTTGATGGATAAGGGACTGAAGATTGCTCAGTTTGATATCCAGACCGAGGAGCTGATTCGAGACAAGAATGGACGTTGCATTGAGGTAACGCAACAGCTTATATCTTGTTACACAGGCGTGGGATTACCAGCGATACCTCATTTGCACTTGGCTAATTATGTTTGCTCGCCATATTTTTTTTTGTACAATAGTGTCGCCCCGGAGAGCCAGGAGAGCTGTTGACGCTTGTCGAGACAACAGATCCCAATCGTGACTTTAAGGGATACCATCAAAACGCGAGCGCAACGAGCAAAAAGATTGCAAAGGATGTCTTTAAAGTTGGTATGTTCTCGTGTTGCTATCCTCTTGGTTCTTGCTCCTTCGTCTCCTTGGATTTTTTTTTTATTGATTTCCCTTCTACTGGTCGATTTCTTTCTTCAGGGGACACGTACTTCCGCACCGGCGACATCCTTCGCCGCGACTCTGATGGATACTTTTACTTTGGCGATCGGGTCGGAGACACGTTCCGGTGGAAATCCGAGAACGTATCGACGGCAGAGGTCTCGGAGGTGCTTTCGCTCTACCCTGACTGTATTGAGGTCAATATCTATGGAGTGGAGGTGCCGGGCCATGATGGCCGTGCAGGCATGGCAGCGATTGTGGCCAAGGACTCGATGCAGTGGGACAAGTTTGCAGAATATGCGCTCAAGAACCTGCCACGGTACTCTGTCCCGATCTTTATCCGCAAGGTGCCGGAGATGGAGATGACAGGCACGTTCAAGCAGCGCAAGGTCGAGCTGGTGAAGGAGGGATTGGATCCTGTGGCGATCAAGGATGAGATGTTGTGGTTGGATGGTCATGTGTACAAGCCTTTCAAGACAGAGGAGCACCAGAGGGTGATTGGCGGCAAGGCAAAGCTGTAGATCTCGAGGGTAGAAAGCGTAATAATATATTGAATTGTAAGAAAAAAAAGACGCGTCTAGTCGAGATGTTGTAGTGGTATCAGTTGCGCATACAATCTGTGGCAGAGGAGGGGGAATGGTTGCATTGCTACATCGATGTATGAGTCTTCTTCCCCCTTTGTCGGTCTTTGTGCTGGTATACATTACAAGGAAAGCAGGTGCTGGTGCACATACAGAAGTAACTCTCGTGGAATCCCAGAGAAGGAGGCTATCAAAGAAACATATGGTTGTCTATGGTGTGGTACGGTGTAGGGAGAGAGGGGCGGGATGGGGAGTGAGCACACCTCGTGGCCACTCAGTCTTTTTCGTAAAAAAAAAAAAAAAGGGGAATTCATTTTCTCAGCAGGGCTCCTTCTGCCCCACCGGCCATCATTGGTCTGACTTGTCACTGGATCAAAGCCAGTCAGGCCAGGTCAAGCGGAATGGGGAGGGGGGGAGTGGAGCCAACTTGCTTTCGCATGCTTCATGCCATCCGACAGCTACTCCTCATCGACACGCGCTCCTCTTTCTTCCTTTCTTTCTTTCTCTCCTCACTCCTCACTCCTCACTCCTCTTCTCTCCGATCCTCCATCTCTAAATCAGTCACCATTTTCCTCTGTCCTACCCCCCCCCCCCACTCCAGCTCATACTCGAATCCCGTCTCCATCCAGCATCCTCTTATCTACTCTTTGTTAGTGGCGTTACTGCAGACCACTCTCTCTTTCTCCAAGTGGGCGTAAGTGCAGACTGACTTTTGGACCTAGGCATGCTATGCTATGCTATGCTATGCTATGCTATGCTATGCTATGCTATGCTATACTGTGCTATACTGTGCTATACTGTGCTATGCTGTGCAGGAAGGGAATAGCTGAGGGGATGGCTGCCACCACCACCACCACTACATCAACAACAACGACTACGCATGCCAACAGGCGACATCCATGGCCTACTCTTTGGACACTGATTTACAAATGACTCACGTAGCCTCCTCTCTTCTCGTTCCCTTCCCGCTTTTCCCGCTCAGTGCTGGTACGTCTGTCGCTCGCTCGTCTGCACCATCCCAGTTACCGGCCTTCTGCAGAGTCTTCAGTTTATTCAGCAACTTGGTAAATCAAGCACCCCGACGTCGTTGCTTTGATTATACTCACGGACATGTCGCTAAAACTGGCTTCCCTTTTTTTCTTTCTATCAGGCGTGCAACTGCTTCCAAACCAACTCAACAATCTACGACGACTATAGCATCAAATCGACTCTAAACAAGGCCCTACAGCAGCCATGAACCAGTTTCAGTCATTTGCTCCACAGGCACCATCTGTAGCCGAGTATGCCTTTCCGAGTGTGCTCCAGTTCCTACAGTCGGAATGGCGTCGGTTCGAGCGTGATAGGAACGAGTGGGATATCGAAAAAGCAGGGATGAAGGTAAATGAACAGTAAAGGACATGTCAGTCGACTCAAAGCGACAGCCTTGACAGTGCTTTACCGTTTGCGAGGCTTCGATGTGCATGCATGGTCGTCCAGTCAGTCCGCCGATACGATTGGCATGTGTCAGCATGAACGGGGATGTATGGCCTTTTGTTTCGTCCGTGTTCTTCCCACTGTCCTAATATCTATCCCTTTAACTTGATGCTTTACCTCATGACCATTAGGCCAGGATAGCGTTCCTCGAAGGCGAGAAACGTGGCGTGGACAATACAAAGATGGACCTTATGAAGCGTGTTAAAATGCTGGAATACGCACTTCGCCAGGAAAGGTACTGCCTAGACTTGTTTTACAGTTGTCCTTGATGTCTTTGAGCGATAGTCATCGCTCGTGCTAGCATGCTAATGAGCATTATTTCCTTTGGTTCAACCACTTTCACACTAAATAACAGGAGCAAGTATGTCGAAGCCAACAATGCCGCTGGTGCAGCTAAGCAGACCAATCATTCTGTTGATATCCAGCGTAAGTTCTATATTTTCGAGGAGCAGCGATTACAAGACGCTCACCTCCCTCCCCCCACTGTGCCGCTCTCATGTCTTATCCCGTATATCGTATCGTGCCAGGACGCTGTCTTAACATTATATCGTATTTCAAAATGAATAGAAGCAAAGAGTGCTAGCAACGACAACAGCAATACGGATACCCTCAGTAACGGCAACAGCAACAGCAACAGTAATAGCAATGCCAATAACAATAACAAGGCACAGAATAGAATGTCAGCTTACAGTGCATCAGGAGTGAGCATGACTCAAGTGAGCCCCACCTCCGCTACTGGTTTGGATCCTGTAGGGAGAGCCAAGAGCAGGGAGTTTTTGAGGATGTAAGACACGATCGATCGCTCCGCACATTCTCGTACACATTCACCTGCACAATTATGATATAAAGGGGGAGAGCACAGAGAACCACTAACACATAGTAAAATTCCATATAGATGCCTGCAGGAGATCAGCTACCTGACAGCGTCAGTGCCCCAATCGATTACAACTGCAATGCCACCAGCTCAAAGCCGAGTTGGCCGCCATGAATTGGACAAGCGAGTACCTGGCCCTAATGGCCTGCGAGGTGGAGGCGGTAGAAACCGACACAGCGACTTTTTCCCGGCAGGTGTTCATTTGCAGGCGGCTGCTCCTCCGTTGTCAAGGTCCAACTCTGTCCCGATCGATACTCTCGATTCACTGTCAAGGGCCAAGGTTATTGCGAGTAGCCCGCTTCACGGCACAGATACTACCGCCATCAATGGATCCGTAGAAGAGCTAAATGGAAACCAAGCTACGTTGAAACAGCAGCACTTTTCTCAACAGCCTTCAAAGCTGATCAACGGCTTTGTCCCGGACGAGATGAAGAAAACTGCATCTGCTCATACACCCAACAAAGAAAAGCAGGGAGCGCAGAAGACCGAGCGGAGCAATGATGACAGCATGGACGATGGAAATAGGGAGGAACAGAGTCCAAGCGCTCTCGAGGCTTTCCAGAGAGAGGAGGCTGTCACTGTTGTTCACTCGCCAGTGTCCGGTGATCAATGGCGCGCAGAATTGGAAAAGGCTGGTCGTCAACTGGCCGAAAATGCCAACGAGAAAAAGGCAGGAGCTAAAGCGGAAGACGTGGCCCAATTGGTGAGTGGACACTTGAACTTCCAACTCGAACGGATGCGTCTTGGCGGCGTGCTTTTGTTAACAATATATAATTTCTTTTATGCTTATAGAGTAAGGATGTGCAGGATAAGTTCAATATCACATCTGAACAATTAAACAAGATGGTGAAAAGCTGGGACTTGGACAAATCTAAACAGGACCCTGGACTTGCCAAAAACTCGATCCGCAAGAGAACCAAGGAGGAGGGTATGTGGCAAAGCAACGGTGCTCGTGCTTCTAGAAAAGGACCCCATTGTATGGCGGATCGAATACTCATCATGTGTCTCCTTGTGCGTAATAGATGAATTAGAGTCCCTGTGGATTTCCGAGTCCGAATCTATGGAGACCAGCGGAGGGACAAAAACAAGCGATGCCCTCGAGGATGAGCCTGCTCGCTGGCGCCCCAAATTGACGTTGCGTAGGCAAGTCTTGAGGCACAGGATGATGTTATCGTCAACTATCGTGTATGCATCGAAAATTAATCATGAGAATGCTTTATCCCTCATTAGACACCTCGACACTGTGCGGTCGATCGCTTTTCACCCTTCAGATAAAGCCCTTTTGTCTGGCTCAGAAGACGGAACTATGAAATGTTGGAATTTGGAGGCACCTCTCCAGGATTCCAAGAGGTAAATAGGAGGGCGTTGGGTGCCATCATTCTGGATGATACAACGCAGCTTGCTGACCATAGCATACCTGCTTCTGACGCCTCTAGGCAACTGAATGGTGAGATCGAGCCCGTCCATACGTACCGCGGACACACGAAGCCCGTCACTGCGGTCGCCATATCTGCGGACCAAAATAAGTGCTTCTCTTCTAGCATGGATTCGACCGTGCGATCATGGAAAATGGTACCAATGAACAAGGAGACGTATGCGCGCCTCGGTAAGTCATAACGCTCAGTTTGAGAAGCTACCACGGCTCTTTTTCCATCGAATAATACTTATGCCGCTCTGTTTTATTCCTGAATAGACCCCTCACTTTCAATGTCGTCTTTTATCGGGCACACTGATACTGTTTGGGACATCCGACTCTTCCCCATTTCCATTTCATCTTCTCAGCTCCTGGCCTCGATATCCGCTGATGGGGCACTAAAGATTTGGGACACAGAGACCAAGGGCTCACCTCTTCGATCTTCATGGGGCTACAATGGACTGGAACCTTCAGAACTCACAGAACCCACGGCGGCATACACATCTGGCTTGGCCAAATTGCCGACACCCACCAGTCTCGACTTTTGTCCGACAGATCTGAGGAAGATGGTGGTCAGCTACTCGAACGCCGTCATCAAACTGTTTGATATCGAGACTGGAAAAGAGATATTGGCCTTCAAGAGCAACGAATCTTATGGTGCGTGAAGGGCTTACAGAAGACCTTTTCTTGAAATGGCAACCCCTGCGCCTATGCATTTGTTTTAAACCTTTCTAACCAAATTTTATGTTGACTATAGATGGTACGACCGCAACACAGATCAATAAGATCGTTTGCCACCCAACCCTGCCCATTGTGATCTCAGGACACGAAGACCGCTATATCCGATTCTTTGACATCAACTCGGGATCGTGCTCGTTCTCGATGCTCGCCCATCTGGATGCTGTCTCCTCGCTCGACATCGATCCCTCAGGGCTTGTGCTCTGCTCTGGCGGACATGATGGGTCGGTGCGGCTCTGGGATATTGGTTCATCAACGAGGTCCTGCCTGCAAGAGTTCACAGGACATCGCCGTAAGAGCGGCGAGGGAGTTATGTCAGTCAAATACCACTCGACTTTGCCAGGCTTGTTGGCCACCGGTGGGGCCGATTCGATTGTCAAGGTCTATACCCGGAGCTAGACTAAGCATATGTAACTCGCACCAAGGAGCCATCATGACCTGTGCGGGACGGAGTCGATTCATATCGATGACTAGCGATATCTTTCAGCTCTCCTAGGATTTTTTTTTTAGCTCTTTTTCTTTGTCAATCTAGTGTAAAATAGCATATGCATAAAACATTTTTGCCACCAACCCTTTTCGGTTCAGAGAATAAGGTTTGCTCTATTGTCAATAGACTGCGAAGAATGATCAGTTCTAAAGGATCAGCCTTGTCAACATGCACTCCTCAACACTCATTCGCAGGAATTGGATTACAAGCAAGAGTCAGCACTGTCCCTGGAGGAAGCTGACTTCACCAGGAGTCCATCGGCGGAGGATTGACGAATACAACTTTAGGGCGATCTGTAGTGTTCAGTCGGTACCTGTCTCAGCCTGTAGCGCCCGCCCAACACTCGTCACATCTGCATATCGCACCCCTCGACATGGTCTCTTGCACAACAATAACAGCATCGATTCATCAGTCCTGTTGCTCCAAAAAAGTATCTTTGGGTATAAGAGCTATGGTCATGGGCTGTCGATTGATCGATCCATTGGAACGTTAAGAAGCATGGGAGCTGCAGAGGCGACGAGTCCAAGCCCTCAGGACACGATCCCAACAACAACAACAACAACAACAGCAGCAGCAACCACACCGCTGAGGTCACAACCGGAATCATCACTGGAGTACTCACGACCCTTCTCAGATCTGAAGAACTTGCAACCGACGACTCTGGAGGCCATCGAATCCGCATTCGGATACCAGTTCATGTCAAAAGTCCAGTCCAGCGTCCTTGCAGTCCTCCCGACACAGCGCGATATGCTCGTCAAGGCCAAGACGGGTACAGGAAAGACATTGGCGTTCTTGGTCGCTGCACTTGAATCTCTCATAGATGCGGGGGCTACTTCAAGACTGGTAACAGGAGCAGAAACGAGAAATTACGAGGAGAGGGGGATGTTAAGCGGTGACAGGATCGGGTGCGTGATTGTGGTACCGACGAGGGAACTGGCGTTGCAGATTGCGGATGAGGCGGGGAGGTTGTTGGGTCCACTCGGGTTGGGAGTTCAGGCGCTTGTTGGTGGAGAGAGCCGGCCGAGACAGTTGGATCGGGTTGCGAAGGAGCCGGCGCAGTTTGTGGTGGCGACTCCAGGGAGACTGAAGGATCTGTTGGGAGATAAGGAGTTTGCAGAAAGGATCGGAAAATCGAAAGTGGTAAGAATTTCTTGCTGTGTATGGGGAAGGGGGGGAAATGTTTTTGTGGAGAGATGAAAGGGGATATAGAGTCATGGGAATGTGGGTACTCACATCATGTTTGTTGCTTTTTGTCTTTACGTACTTTGCTCTGTGTGGATGTAGCTCGTGTTGGACGAGGCGGATACGATGCTCCAACTCGGGTTCCGTGCAGAACTGGACACTATCCTGAGTGCCATGCCTCAAGACCGTCAAACGCTCCTGTTCTCTGCAACGGTTGATTCGAAGCTGGACTCGCTCCGCGACGTGGCGCTCCATCAGCATCGTGGAGCTACAGGTCGGCCGCAAGGACCTATTATGATTGACACCGTGGGTGATAAGGACGTTAATGTGAATCTGGCGACCCAGCAGCGGTATTGCTTAGCACCCTATCAATCACACGTAGCGCTCGTCCGAAGAATTATCAACGATCATCTGCTGGGTGACATGGATCTGGAGCATCAGGAGAGCTTAAAGAAGAAGAAGCCCACCGCCGTTACAGGAAAGTCACCCGCTGACAAGAAGATGAGCCCACGAAACTCCTCCACAGCAATCGAAAGCAAAAAAGGCCAGAACAACAAGATTATGGTATTCCTGCCGACGACGCGGGGCGCGCAACTGTATGCAAGAGTGTTTGCGTCGCTCTCGATGGGCAAGGAGCTCTCCGTGTTTGAGATCCACTCTGCGAAAGAGCCACGCGAGCGAACCCTGACAAGCCGGAACTTTCGAAAGATCAAGACCCCCGCGGTATTGTTCACATCTGACGTCTCGGCGCGTGGAATCGATTACCCAGGAGTCGGACTCGTCATCCAGGTTGGGGCACCACTCTCGTTGGAGCATTATATTCACCGCCTCGGAAGAACAGGGCGAGGACAGCAACTGGCGAAGGGAAGGGTTTCTGGGAAGGATACTGAAAAGGGGAAGAAGGATCATGGCCGGGGTGTGTTGATCCTGGGGGAGCTGGATCAGGGGTTTATTGAGCATCAATTGAAGCCGTCGCCACTGTTTGGGATCGTGGAGCAGGAGCATCGATATGAGGATTGGCAGAGTGTAATGTTGGGCGAGAATTTGGATCGGGGATTCAAGCGTGCGCTCGAGAAGGTGGATGAGAAGTTGGCAAAGAGCGCCTACACGGCGTTTTTGGGATACAGTAAGTTGAAAGCTTTACGTTCTTTCTCTTTTTTTTTTTTTTTTTTTTTTTTCTTTTTTTTCTTTTTTTCTTTTTTTTCTTTTTGAAAGTATGTATGCGTTGGTGTTGCGGATGAAATTATGTCGAAACTAAAGCCATCTCTTTGCTATAGACCTGACGGTGGGCCCCAGAATCGGAAACACGGATCGGAAGAAAATTCTAGAGTCTGCAGACAAGTACATTGCTGCGTTTGGAGTCGAGGAACGACCAGCAGTATCAACCAGTTTCCTTGAGCGGATGGGATTCATGAAGTTCCGAACCCCAGCACTCGAATCCGGCCAAGAAGCAGAGGGACTGGATACTCGACAGCCACATGAGTATGAGCTTGTCGATGGCACCTTCCCAACAATCAACACACGTATCACCAAGAGTCCGTTTGCCGCGCGTTCCTCTTCTGCTTCAGACGTGGATATTGATGAAGACGAGCACGAGCACGAGCACGATCACAGCACGAGAACCAAAGCGGACACGGAGACATGGATGACGAGGAAGCAGCGTCAGGAGGCATTTGAGGAAAAGATTGGGCTCAAGGAGACAGAGTATATCAAGGTCAATGAGGCCGATTGGGAGGACTTCATAGAGTTCAAGCCAGGGATGCCCAAGCTGATCGAGAAGCTGCACAGTCCAAAGCGGATGGGACACGTAGGCAACCGGCCGAGTAAGAAGCTGAATAAGATCTATAGCGATAATGATGGCTGGTAGAACGCGGGAAGGAGGGTAATAACTAAAGACGATAGCAAAGAAAACACATTGGCATTTTATTTTTTATTTTTTATTTTTTATTTTTTATTTTTATTTTTTGTTGTTTTGAACAGCGGACGGAAAACTGAAGCACAAACATCCTCAGGCATCTCTGCCTGGCATTTTTATTATCAGCACTTGAAGGTAAAGTGATAAGTAATTCAAGCGAAAAAAAAAAAAGAAAAAAAAGAAAAAAAAAAACCAGCATCTCTCGCATTTTTTTTTAAACGGTACCGTCCTCAAGAATACGATACTTGGGGTACACATCCACAGGGACACCCATATCCTCAAGCGTGGCCAAGGCCTGCTTGACCTCAGGAGAGATGATTCCGTACTGGTCCACAAACTCCTTGACCTTCTGTTTATCACCATCACCCTGGAGGACGAGGATCCGAGTCGTCAAGGACCGGACAGCGTCCTCGATCTTGTCCATGACCACGCTGAACTTCTCAGTCTCGGCATCGTAGGCGAAACCACCTTGTTCCTTCAGGTACTCAAACTGCATAGCCTGACCCAGGCCATGGGCCTCAGTGATGCCGAAGCGGATCGAGCGGAATGCGGAGGCGAGGTAGGTCATGTAGAAGGATTCGGCATCGGGTCCACCAGAGAGAGTGCCATCCTTGAGCAACAAACCGACCGCGTACAATCCCACGATATCTATCAATTTTTTAAAACAGAGCGGACATGTTTGTTAGGATACGAGATACAGGACCATGGGGGGGAACTGCTCCAAAAAGTCGCAGAGATGATCACTTACCGGCCTTGGCCTCCTCCATCGCCGAGTGATACTCCTCGAGCGCCGAGCGCACCTTCGTCTCCTTATGCCTTACCAAGAAATGGGGACCCAACGAATGAGCGACCTCGTGCATCAACACATGCTGGAAGAAGGCCTCGAATTGGACCTTCTTGACCTGTTCCGGATCCAAGACCTGCTGAGCGATTGGTCGGAGCACCTTCTCAAATTTGCCCTCCTGAACGTTCTTGATAATCACCAGCTTCGAGCCCGCGATCTTGATGGGGGCCTCATCGTTCGGCAAATTGTAGGCCGCCGTCATGGGCACGGCTACGTCGCCGCCCGAGTAGAGCTGGTTGACGGTGATGATCGCCGGGGGGTGCAGACCCTTGGCTTTGTAGAGCTCGTCCACCGGGAGCTGGTCCTCCATATCCTGAAGTCGGTCTGAGAACTTGGCGAGGATCGCGGAAGAGGCAAAGTCGCGTGCGTGCAGATAGAACTCATATGCGGCGCGGATGGATAACATCTTGTCCGTGTAGTTCTACACCATCACCAAAAAAAAAAAAAAAAAAAAAAAAAAAGACAAATTTCATTAGCATATACATCTAACATGAGCTATCCAGTTCCCTGTCCATCAAAAAAAAAATTTGTCCTTACTTCATAAGGTCCGCAGGTGACATCGAGCGCAGACTCCTTGCTGATCCTCAACCAGTCCACATCCGAGTCCACATACTCGTTTGTCAAAAACGCCTCCGCCCTGGACCTCAAGAACTTCTCCAGCGACTCATCGCTCACCAGCTCCGCCGCCTGCTTCAACAACGCCGCCGCAGGCTCCAAGAAATCCTTATACTCCTCCGAATATGGCACAGTCTTCAGTCCGCCGGTTGCGGGATCCCTCTTTACCACATGATAATACGACTCTGCCTCCTTCTTCGCTTGACCCGTCAATGAAGCAACCCAATCCGAATACTCCTGCTTGCTGATATCATCCGGATAGTAGTTTCCATGCTGAGGAGGGTCATGTGGGATATGGATCTCGGCTTCTTTGACCGACTCGATGAACTTTTCCTCATCCAGTCCCCAGGGTCCCTTGAAGAGCTGCAGACCCAAATCGAGCTTGGCATCGCGTGGGGACTTGGAGTGGATGTGGGCGTGGAGCCGTTCGTTGCCGGACCAGAGCTGACGGATGTAGATCTGGTCGATCAGCTTGCCGACCTGGACGAGGAGCGGGATTGCCTTACGGTCGCCGTCGGAGAGGCGGTCGAGATATTGGGTTCCGCCGACTTGGATCTCCTTAAAGCGGGCGAGCTGCTTATCAAGAGCAGAGGTGGAGGTTGCGGTGGTCATGGTGTTGGATCTGAAGAAGGGTGTGAAATGAGCGCGTGGGAGGAGCTTGATCGGTGGGTGGACGAATGAGACGTGTCCGAGGGGTGACCGAGCAAGGCGATGAATCAAGAATCTTGAGCGGAGAATGGTGGTGGGTAATCAAGAAAGAAAAAAAAACGAAAGGGCGTGTGGAAACCAGAGGAGGAGAAGGAGTTCCTTTTTAAAAGTCGGGACGAAGAGTCGTGTCGGTTCCGGTGCTGTGGAAACTGTGTGAAAATGGTGTGGATTCAAGCGGACACCATCAAACTCATGGGAAAAAGCGTCGGAGAGAAAAAAAAAATAAGGTAAAAAGAGCCAACAGCAGCGGTCTTGTTCTTTTTTGCTGCTCTCCACGCACCTTGGCAGACAACCTTATTAACGATCCATGCATTATTGCTGTCCGCAACACCGTTCTTGAGTAAAGGGAGAGATGCCATCATTGCTCAGGCCGGTGCCGGCTCATGGGTATCTGCTGTGATCTGTATCCATGGGTGTCTTTCCAGGCACCGAGGTGGCCCAGACTCGGCATTCGAGAGTATCTCCGGGTCAAGAATCGGAGGCAGAGTAATTGCTTTTCAATGGCCATCCTTGGCATGTCGCTTGATCTATGTGCAGACTGCGTTGAACAGGTGTAGTTCTCAGTTCCACCTCGATTCGTGAACGCGTTTTTTTTGTAGTATGATTTTGCTGCCACTCGAACATCGGTTAGAGGAACGATACTCAGCGGTCCCTCCTATTTCTACGCACCAATGCTGCTGCCTAGCACCATCGCTTCTTCGCGCACGGTCGAAGAGTTGTTTGTTTCTGGAGGTAGCAAGACTGCCTCCAATGTTGCACCAAGATTTTGTACCTTCGCCACCTTCGCCATTGCCTCTAATTGCTTTTCTGTTTTCATTCCTTTCTTCACTCCCAACTCCCGACCCCCACCACCCGCCCATTTTCTTGCTTTGCGAACATTACTATGACAGTTGATACTACGGACCTGCACCCCTCACAGGCCTTTCGACTACGTACACCCCCAGGTTCATCCACGCAGGCCGATATCGTCAAGGTCAAAACACGACTCGACACCAAAACTGGCCAACACATTGTTTTATGGAGGGATGTCCTGCTTTATTTCAAGAATGCTCAGTGTGCCATGGAAGCCGGAGAAATAGTAGCGTTCCTGACCGACAAAAACCTTGTCCAGTAAGTTGTGAGGGGAAAGCAGATGACCATTGGCTATAACACCGTTGCTAATTGCTATCATTCTCTTTTAAACTGAAGCCTTAAGCCTTTGAGGATCGATCATCGTCCTGGAGTTGTGCTCGATGTGGTTGTCGGCAACACCGGACAAAGCACCATCGATCGTGCAAGAGATGAAGAGCCCCTCCAGCAAACTGTATCCACAATGTCAGCCGCTCCCTTTCTCGCTATGGGTATGCCAGCCAAGACCACTGACCTCTTGCAATGCATCTTGCCTTCGTATGCGGCTGTTGATGATGCGGAATCTGCTACACAACAAGTCACTGTCCTCTCCATATTGGACCAGACGTCCTCGCACAAAGACCTCGCTGATTGCTCAACCGAGATGACACAGTAGTTGACCTTGTCTCCCCAGGCCTACCTCAATCAGTGCTCTTTGCAGCTTCAGGGCATCCAGCGCGGCCAAATTGACATTGTCGCAGAAGTGCTCAAGAATAGGTCTCTTCAAGAGCAGATATTTCTATTACAGTAGCAGATGGATGAGAAGCAGGTGCAAATGCTTCAGATGCAACAGAAGATGGACGAGAAGCAGGAACAAATGCTCCAGATGCAAAAGCAGGCCCTCGATCGCTTAGCCGTCATCCAAAGCCGTGTCCAGGCCGTCCTTACACAGACCTACGAGCTTCATGAGTATCCTATTCCACGACTCTTCATTGTTCTTCCAAAGGCATCAAGACATCAAGACAAGCTACTTAATCCGTTCTCGGAGCAGTTTCGTCTTTATTTCTTGTGCGAATGCGGCTCTCACACCATGTCCGAGGGAACCAAGATACCGCACGAGATCCACCTGGCCAAGCACGAGGGATACGACCTGAGCCGCCCAAACGAGTTCTTTGAGAAGTACGGGTCCTATGTCCTGACGCTGATGCAAATGATCAAGTACGGGATCACAATTGCCGGGGTGATTGTGCCATCGCTGGCACATTTCAAGATTGCAGAGGGAGTCGAGGCGGTCGAGGGGCGGCTCAAGTTTGTGAAAGAGAATCTTGGGTCACTGGTAGACAGCACGATCAACTTCATTGAGGACCAGCAGCAAAATAACAAGAGTGGGGTAGATGCAGCTGAAGAACAGACGAGGGTGGACGAACTTGATGTCCTGGAGGGAGCAGATCTTCGACAGCTGGAGTCGTATCTGAAGGTCCAGGATGAGGGTCGCGCTCTAGGTAATCTGTACCGGATTGTCACTGAGGAAGGACACGTCAAATGGGTGTGCATCGATCACTACCGTGAGAACTATCGAGAGTCGGCAGTGCAGCAACTGAGAGATGTAGTGGAAGTCAACTTTGGTACTTTTATTGAGGAGCAGGGCAAGGTCAAGATCAATCTGATGTCCGCTCCCCAGGCAAAGCAGTTCTACGAGGCACTGGTCAAAGCACGAAGGATCCATGAACTGACTGTAAAGCTGTGGTGGGAAATGACACTGGAAGATCATCGGAAACTCCGTGCCGCTATTACGAATGCGAATGTAGCTTGTCTGAAAATGAAGAGGTTCAGTAGCAAAAAGCCAACATTGGATTTTATCAACCGCAATCGGCGCTTTGACCCGATCATGGAACTCTTGTCGGACGGGCGGCTCCAAGCTGTCACACTACAAGGGTCTGAGGACTTCTTCTCCCGGATCAGCAGTTCCTCCATCAGGCCCGCTCCTCGACTTCGAATTCTATACATGCAACCCATTCACCTCGAGGACGCCGCGTCCCGGACAACATTCGTCAGACTTCTTCAGAACTGTCCCAACCTAACAAAGCTGCAGCTTGGAACAAAGGAGCTGGGCACCATCTTCGATACAGTTATGCACAATATCGAGCATTTGCCAAACCTTAAAGTGCTGGAATTACGATCTCCAAAGGACCACATCATCATCGACCTCCTCAAGAGCGAGGTCCAGGGCGCGTGGGCCGAATTAAGCAACTCTTGGACTTATGACCCATTGCATCAGCTGTTTTTACGGAAAGGTCTACTCACTCGACTGACGATTACGAGTGCTGCTATTGATCAAGCTAAGGAATTACTTCCAGAGATCCTATGCAGAAATCCAAGGCTCTTGGAAATCAAACTCAGTTGCCCATGCGCACGATTTCTTGATATGCTCGACTTGATTATATCGGCGAGAAAGCGGGGGAGGGCAAAGGGATACGTTTACGCACCATTGCGACTCGATTTTGCAACCCATTTCGGCGGCACAGCCGACGATCGTATCATCTCCTCTGTACACCTCTCGAAGGAGTCTGATGTGGTCGACATGTCCACTGACATCAAACTGGGGGATGGATGGCGGCCTGACCAGGATTATCTCTCCTCATTAATCAACCGATACGGATGGTCCATTAATATACTGAATGCTCTATCTGGGATACTCAGCGATGATATTGCTCAGCAACTGGACAAGTCAACGGAAGAGAAGGGATCTAGGATCACAACTCTTATGCTGGACGCATATAATCTGTCCTTTGTGGGTCTGGAGTGCATGGCTCGAGTCATGGATCGGTCGAGCTATCTGCAGGAGTTCCAGCTCCACCTTCAAAACACATTGGTTGACGATGCAGTGGAGAACCGGCTGCTTCATAGGCACAAGGAGGCGTTGACTGTGTTGAGGACGCCTGTAGCATCGGATGATTCGCATATCCCATGGCTTGCGAAAACCTTGTCAAGACACGATGTACGAAGGCTGAAAATTCTTCATTTCATGGCCTGTTATAGCAAAGCCATCTTTCCGCAAGAGTACGTTCCTTGGCTCGCTGCAATGGTCTCCTCTCCAAACGATCCATCCGTGCAAAAGTCGCCCCTACCACAGAGTCTGGAAAATCCCCAGGTACTGCCATCGGCCGAAGCTGCTGCTGATACTCCGACGGCATGGGAGCCATTGCAGATGTTCGGACTGTCTGGATTTTCACTTGAACCGGAGGACTGGAAGGCAATTATTGAGGCGCTTGATTTTTCTAGGCTGAAGAGACTATACGTTTCCAGGAGCAACTTTTCAATCGAGCAGTTCAAAACACTGGTTGATTGCATTCCAGACGACAGCTCAGATGTACCGCTAGAACATTTCTACTTTTATGGATCAACTCTTTCTAAACAAATTATGTCTTCCGAGATGCAGCAGCAACGCAAGACACTTTGTGAGAAAGTGCCCCAAATCAAACTTTTTTTTGGATGATTTTAAACAATAAAAATTGTACCTGACGGAAATAAAGATCCAGAAGCCTCCTCCCATGTTACTGGATGGAGCTGCACATACTGTATTTAGCAACTTGCAGCAGTCGTTGTTGTTATTCGTGCTCTTGGAGGAGCGCGACCCCGTCAGGGAGTCCTCTGAACTTGACAGGATAGACGGTGAAGTCTCATTTTGGCGATGGAAGGAGCCGGGACCATTGTGGATAGCCATGAAATGGGGACTGGCGGGAAAAGTTCCCTTCCTGAGTAAGTCCTGTCTTAAGGGAACGTCTTTCCAAGCTGTGGCAGCCATGGATCGGACGTGGCCTGAACCTTCAATCTGGTAAGTCGCTCCTTATGGCGATGTAGCAGACGCGTAGACTTTGGCTGTGTATCGACGAGTGCATCGTCATGTAGTAAGAGCTCGAAGTGCTGCAGATGATGCGAACGAGTAACGATCTGATCCATGCGGTTCAATCCTTCTGACGACAAGTGCACTCGGGTGGCGGTCAAGACCGTGAGCTTCGATCCTCTGTCTTCGGTTGCTCTGTCCAGCGCAAGCACAAGGTTGTCTTTCAGAGTCATGTCTATGGTTGTGATAGACCAGCCATATTGACGGAATAGCGAGGGAAGGTAGTCCCGGTCGGACATGGAGATGATGTTTAAGGTAGTGACCATGTCGGATATGTCAGAGCCGTCCGAGAGCTGTACTGAGGATGCGATGCGTTCAGTGCCGTCGACGGCTGAAAGATCGAGGCGCCGAAATGCTGGGACATGTCCCTCTACCTTCCATTTCTCTCTCATCGATACAGCCATTTTGATCGTAGCAAACAACTGACTGTTGGTGCACTTGAGCTGAACTTCAGAGAGTTTTGGATTCTGGCGTAGGATCGTGATCAGCTTTGCCTCCTCTGATTCCAGAAGAGACCTGAGTCGAAAACCTGGTGAGGATGCCCTTTCTGAAGAACATCAGGCATCATGGACCGACTCCCTTGAAATGCAATAGAGTACCCCATACAAGCTGCATGCTACCCTTGGAGGACTCCACGGTCACTTTATACTGCAATTGGTTGGGTGGCTCCAACAAATGCAGCGCCCTGAGACCCGATAGTTTGTCAAGCTTGGCCATGACGGCGTCAAAGATATTGCCTGGGTCGTACGATCTGTGTCTCAGTTCCGATAAAGCCGGACAGCGTTCGAGAATAGCGGAAAGCACAGATTTGGCTGTCTTATTCTCGAAGGAGCCGTATTTCAGCGAGAGAACTCGGATTTTGGGTGCCATCCTGATGGAAGGACCATCGAATTGTAGGAAAGATTTGACTGGATTCGTACATTAGAAACGAGCTGTGCAAACTTCTCTTGGAGTTTGTTTCGTGAACGCGCTTTTTGTGGTCTGATTTTACCATCACTCGAACATCGATTAGAGGAGCGCTACTCAGTGGTTCTTCATATTTCTACGCACCAATGCTCCTGCCTAACACCATCGCTTCCTCGTGCATGGCCTGAGAGTTGTGGGCTGTGCAAGTCTTCTTTTTTTAGTTGGTTGTTTGTTTTCAGGGATGGATGGTAAGACTGTCTCCAATGTTGCACCAAGATTTTGTTCCTTCGCCATTGCCTCTTACTGCTTTTCTCTTTTTTTTCCTTCCTTCAGCCCCACCTGCCCATCCTCTTGCCTTGCGAGCATTACCATGACACTCGATGCTACGGACTTGCGCCTCTCGCAGGCCTTTCGACTGCGTACATCCCCAGGCTCATCCACACAAGCTGATATCGTCAAGGTCAAAACACGGATTGACACCAACACCGGCCAACACATCATTTTATGGAGGGATGTCCTGCTCTACTTTGAAAACGCCAAATGCGCTATGAACGCTGATAACGTCGTTGCATTTCTGGCCGACGACAACTTTGTCAAGTAAGCCGCAGAAGAAATGAAGTACCGAAGAATTATAGGCAACAGTCCACGGCCTTCTCAAAAAATACTGCATAGAGGATGGTGACTAATACCCGTCGGCTTTTATTGAAGCATAGCCTTGAACCTCTGAGGATCGATCATCATCCTGGAGTTGTGCTCGATGTGGTTGTCGGCAGTGGCGGACAAAGTACCATCGATTGTGCAAGAGATGAAGAGCCCCTCCAGCAAACCGTATCCACAATTTCAGCTGCTCCCTCTTCCATTATGGGTATGCCAGCCAAGGCTACTGACCTCTTGCAATGCATCTCACCCTCGTATGCGGCTGCTGATGACGCGGAATCTGTTACACAACAAGTCACTGCCCTCTCCATATCAGACCAAACGTCCTCGACCAAAGGTCCCGTTGTCTGCTCAACCGAGATGACACAGCAGCTGACCATGTCTTCCCAGGCCAGCCTCAACCAGTGCTCTTTGCAGCTTCGGGACATCCAGCGCGGTCAAAATGACATTCAGTGCGGTCAAATTGAAATTGTCACAGAGGTGCGCAAAAGTAGGTTTCTTCAAGAGCAGATATTCCTATTACAGCAGCAGATGGATGAGAAGCAGAAGCAAATGCTCCAGATGCAACAGCAGATGGACGAGAAGGACAGGATTGCGCAAAAGCAGCAGTTGGAAGCACAGCAGCAGTTACTTGAGAAGCAGGAGCAAATGCTCCAGATGCAACAGCAGGCCCTCGATCGCTTAGCCATGATCCAAAGCCGTGTCCAGGCCGTCCTTACACAGACCTACGAGCTTCACGAGTATCCTATTCCACGGCTCTTCATTGTTCTTCCAAAGGCATCAAGACGTCGTGACAAGCTACTCAATCCTTTCTCGGACCAGTATCGTCTTTATTTCTTGTGCGAATGCGGCTCTCACACCATGTCCGAGGGAACCAAGATACCGCACGAGATCCACCTGGCCAAGCACGAGGGATACGACCTGAGCCGCCCAAACGAGTTCTTTGAGAAGTACGGGTCCTATGTCCTGACGCTGATGCAAATGATCAAGTACGGGATCACAATTGCCGGGGTGATTGTGCCATCGCTGGCACATTTCAAGATTGCAGATGGAATCGATGCGGTCCAGGAGCAGCTCCAGTTCGTGAAAGATAATCTTGGACCACTGGTAGACAATACAATCGACTTTATTGAGGACCAGCAGCAAAATAACAAGAGTGGGGCAGACGCAGCTGAAGGACAGACGAAGATGGACGAACTTGATGTCCTGGAGGGAGCGGATCTTCGACAGCTGGAGTCGTACCTGAAGATCCAGGATGAGGGCCGCACTCTAGGCAACCTGTACCGGATCGTCACTGAGGAGGGACACGTCAAATGGGTGTGCATCGATCATTACCGTGAGAACTATCGAGAGTCGGCAGTGCAGCAACTGAGAGATGTGGTGAAAGTCAACTCTGGGATGTTCGATGAGGAGCAGGGCAGTATCAATATCATTCTGATGTCCGCCGCCCAGGCAAAGCAGTTCTATGAGGCACTGGCAAAAGCAAGAAGGATCCATGAACTTGCAGTCAGGCTGATGTGGGATATGACACTGGACGATCATCGAAAGCTCCGTGCCGCTGTCACGAATGCGAACATAACTAGTCTGACAATATGCTTCTACAGTAACAAAGTACCTGCATTTGATTTTATCAACCGCAATCGGCGCTTTGACCCGATCATGGAACTCCTGTCGGACGGGCGACTCCAAGCTATCACACTAGATGTTTATGAGGGTTTCTTCTCCCGGATCAGCAGTTCCTCCATCAGACGCGCTCCTCAACTTCGAACCCTATCTATGCGTCCCATTCACCTCGAGGACGCCGTATCCCAGACAACATTCGTCAGACTTCTTCAGAACTGTCCCAATCTGACAGAGCTGCAGCTTGAAACAAAGGAGCCGGACGCCATCTTCGATATGCTTATACGCAATGTCGAGCATTTGTCAAACCTCAAAGTGCTGGAACTCTGTGTAGGATCTTCATCGGACCATATCATTATCGATTTCCTCAAGGGCGAGGTTCAGGGCGCGTGGGCCAGATTAAGCGACGGTCTGGTTTATAAACCATCGTATCTGCTGCTTTTACAGAAAGGCCTACTCACTCGACTGAGGATTGTGAGTACCGCTATTGATCTGCCGGAGGAATTACTTGCAGGGATCCTATACAGAAATCCAAGGCTCTTAGAAGTCAAGGTCCTTTGCTTATGCGCGGAATTTCTTGAGATTCTCGACCTGATTATATCGGGGAGAGAACGAGGGAGGGCAATGGGATACGTCTGTGCACCATTACGACTCGACTTTACAGCCGTTCCCGACGACACAGCCGACGATCGTATCATCTCCTCTGTACACCTCTCAAAAGAGTCTGATGTGCTCGACATGTCCACTGACATCATACTGGGGCGTACATCGCAGCCTGATCAGGACTGTCTCTCCTCGCTAATCAGCCGATACGGATGGTCTATCAAAATACTGGATGCCCTGTCTGGAACGCTCAGCGATGGTATTGCTCAGCAACTAGACAATTTAACGGAAGAAAAAGGATCTAGGATCACGACTCTTGCGCTGGACGCACGTAGACTGTCCTCTGTGGGTCTGGAATGCGTGGCTCGAGTCATGGATCGGTCGAGTTATCTACAGGAGTTTCAGCTCCACGTTCGAAGCCCATTGATTGACGATGCAGTGGAGAGTCGGCTGCTTCATAGGCACAGGGAGGCGTTGACTGCGTTGAAGGTGCAGGTAGCATCGCACGATCCACATATTCCATGGCTTTCGAAAGCCTTCTTGCCAAGACGCGATGTACGAAGACTGAAGGATGTCTGTTTCCACAGCGAGTTCAAAGGCACCTTTCCACAAGAGTACGTTCCTTGGCTCGCTGCAATGGTCTCATCTCCAAACGATCCATCCGTGCAAAAGTCGCCCCTACCACAGAGTCTGGCAAATCCTCAGGTACCGCCGTCGCCCGGGGCTGCTGCTGATACTCCGATGGCATGGGAGCCATTGCAGAAGTTCGAACTGTCTGGATTTTCACTTGAACCAGAGGATTGGAAGATAATTATCGAGGCGCTTGATTTTTCTAGACTGAAGACATTAAACTTTTCCAGGAGCAACTTTTCAATCGAGCAGTTCAAGACTCTGGTCGATTGCATCTCAGACGCTGGTTTTGATGTACCGCTAGAACATTTCGACTTTCGTGGGTCAACTCTTTCTGTACAAATTATGTCCTCCAAGATGCAACAGCTACGCGAGACACTTAGTGAGAAAGCGCCCCAAATCGAACTTATATATTGATGATTTTAAGTAATAGAAATTGTACCTGACGGAAATAAAAGATACTGCGCCTACTTTATTCAGCAACTTGCAGCAGCAGCAGTTTCGATATGTAAAAGCCTGTTTTTGTTCGCAAGCTCCTGATATCCCGACGCAATGGGAAAGCTCTATCCTTTCAGGAAGAGATGATGTACCTGATTGACTGTACCTTCTGTCGCTGTGGGGCAGATACCGGTATTGTCGCATTTGTGATCAGTGCGCAGAAGAAATAACCGAAGAAAGAAAAAAAAAAACGTTGTCCAAAGACTAATTTCTCCACCATGTCTCATAAGGATAGGGGTGCATCAGTTTGGTTGGTTGCTCTACAATCGTCTTATCAACCAGCTTTATCACAGTAGTCAGCAATTTCATCCATAACATCTTTTTCTTTGCTTGGTTCGACTTCATGTATACAAAGAAAAATTAAGAGTAAACAAGAAATAGCTTTATATAAATGCGGATGTGTGTAAGCGTCTTGTAAAAATAAAACGTTCAATCTATGGACCATGGGTCTACTTCAAAGGGATCTTCTTGATGACTGGGACCTTCTTCAGACTGTGCATCAGGTACAGCGCTGCAGTCAAGAGCGTCAGCGATCCAGCTTGATAAGCAATGCCGAGCGAGACAGGGGGAACTTGGGAACGCAAAGGAGCAGCTCGATAGCATTTATAACCACAGCATGGCTGTTAAAAAGCACCAGTAGGATGCTAGGAAGGCGCAGAAAGCAGGGTACGCGATTATTACGAACCGGCTGCTCAAGATGGTCGGAAGTGCAACTGGCAGACGGAGGGATGAAGTGAACAAGATTATGATTGGAGTGGACCTTTGAAAGTTCTCAGCAAAGTTAAGGTTCTCCTCTTTGCATACGTCCTCCCAGTCGTACTTTGTTTAAAAAGTAGTGTACAACACTACCAATGAATATGGGATTCGAGGGCACATTTTTATTGTCAATGGTACTAATGGATTGTTGTTGCTAAGTTCGCTCTCTTGGGTACATTGTCGTGGGAGTGAACGAGTATCACACCTCCAAAAAATGCTCAACCTGCGAGCATTTTGTCGAAGAAGTGGAGATCCGTAGGTTGTATTGTACGACTTGCAAGACATACATGGACCGCGATGTTATGGCTGCTCACAACACCTGCAATGTTGTTCGTGGGAACTTGCTCCATCAACGGCGACCGCTATATCTCCAACCGGTAGATGACGTCGGGAGCTGCCCTTGGGGGCAGGTTGCGAGGCCGCAGACAAATACTAGCAGCAGCAGCAGCAGCAGCAGCACTAACAGCAGCACTAACAGCAGCATGGCTACTATCAACAGTGCTAGCAATTCGAACACCGGTAACATGGTTTTTGGATAGTAAGGAACTCGAGCGCGCAAGCAAGCAGCCTTTGTGGGAGGGCCTGCCATCCACTGTGTGCCTAAGCGAGCGTAGCTGTTTCAATCTTAATATTATGTGTGTCCGCAAACACATTAAACATTATCGGTACGGGAGAAATTATTGGGCGAAGTAAGAATGCCGGCCTCAAAAAAAAATTCATTTGCCACCAAAAGCGTTGCTACCAAATTAGTCTCTTTATTTGACCAAGAGCGTGTAACATGGAATTTGTGCGCTAACTATTCTTCACATGGGAGTTGTGCGCTACTTTTGCTAACTGTTTTGCATGGGAATTGTGCGCGGGTAGCTGGGGAGTTACAGAGAGTAATTTTTTTTATATGGTAGACTAATCAAAATACAGCTTGGCGCCTTCGACAACATCTTCCTTCTTGAATCTGGACACCAAGCAGTTTAAACAACCGATGTAGATGAGTTCCATGTCCCTGGGGCAGGCAGGCTTGTGCTTACAGGGAATTGTGATCTCTTTTTCTGCACGGCAGAAACAGCAATATGATTTGACGAATTTGCACATTAAATGAGGGATAAAGAAAGGATGATGGTTCGTATCCCAAATTGCATCTTTCACCTTTTATACCCGCACTCACGAACTCTGTTTTTCTGTTTTTTCTACTTAACGCCCAAAATTGCTGCTGTGCTTGTGTTCAAAAAAACTCACAGGCCAATGAAAATAATCCCTCATGCCCTTGACGCGACATCGATCGATCGGCTTTATTATACGTAGTTATTGCCTACATAGTCCAATCACGTCCTTATTTCGTTCGCCAAAAGGAATCGATGGGAACGTCAAGCAGAACGGGCGACTTCCAGTACAAGAGAACTTCCCGGACTATGGCGGGTATCAACTGGGTCGATAAATGAATTGTTGGAAAGCACATTGGCACGTACTGTTACATTTATTGATTGATGAAAGCATCCTGCGTTATCATAGCTCTTGAACCTGCCAAGTTGCCTATCTTGGAATAAGTACCTGCACGCAACACCCTCTCCCTCCTCCTACTTCCTGGAATGTCTATCGAAGTCCCATGCTCCAATTTGATATCAACAAAAACACAGCGAGGGCAAAACACAATAATTAGTGACTGTAGAGCTTGCTCAGCTCACCCAGCTCTTCAAGGACTCCATACCCTCCAACAATACTATCCAAACTCAAGGCCGAGAGTATGGAGAAATTGCTTTTGAATTGCACAGCGTGATGCAGAGTTCAGGATGTAGACACTGGGCGAGCGAGACTCAGTGCAGGTTCTATAGTTGCGACCAGATGATGAAGTGGTGGTGTCAAGAACCCGTAGCAGTGGACATCATTGGGCAAGTCATGCTCGGGAAGGTTAAGAACACAGTCATGGCTGCTTTTAGGACTCTATGTCGTGCTTCGCATTCATTGACCAAGTGTGCTTCTATGTACATTCGCTTAAGCGCCGAGTTCAAAAAGACGCGACGATCAAGAAGCAGTACCATACCTTAGTGCGATAACTTCCTTACAAGTCTGCTTCCTGCGCACTAGAGCTGAACAATAATGGCCTGCAAGAGGACGTTTTTAAAACAACTTTTATTGTTGTGCTGATGTCCTGATATCCTAACATCGTGTGCTGACATGCGGGCCATTCTCTTTTCGGCGGTGCTCTCATCTATTTTATCTTTACTTTAATGATCAGAAGCTCAAAAAGAGTGAAATGTCGCGACGCGATGGAAGGCCGTCTATGAATGAAGATACAAGTGGAAAGAGTCGCTTTTAAATCGCTATCAGTAGCCCACCCCTTGCTGAGAGGCATGCCCTGACTGTGCGAAGTCCTGCGATTGTAGCCACACACCTCCTACCGGTCCTTGCAAAATAGCGGACCAGAGTCGGTTGGTGATATATCTTTCAAAATTTGAGAGACCACCACCCGCATCTACAGCCGAAGCTCTTTAACATCCACAGCGAACACATTGAGTATCCAAATGCAGTGAGTCCACAACCACCCGTTTTCTCCAGGCCCATACTATTCTCCTCTCTTCATCTTGATTGTCATGGCAACTTCAGCAAACACTGTACTTCACCTTGGAATTTGCGAGCGGGAAACAGAGTACTTCGATGAGAAGACTCGAGTATGGCACATTAGAAGCGTGGCGTGCACAAGTGTTGCCGCCATGCGCTTTTGCCACTCAGTGCTCGTGACTTTCGCCACCATCAGTACGAGGATGTCCATATATGGTGTTTGTCAATCGAGACTGACTCGCCCAGCAAACATATATTTCGCGCAACGGTAAGCACTTTCGACATTGTCTTTTGTTTGAGGCAGCATTGGGTCATCCGAGCCAGCTGGATTTGGAATCATGGAGAGGTCGCGCTCTCCACGCTCTTCCTTAACAGAATGGTATGCCCGCCAAACGACTCGTCGGTTGGGAGGTGGATGGTCTATAAGCGTTGAGCGACTCCCAAACTCGGTCAGCGCCTGCTACAAGCAGTATCCTCGAGACAAGGATAATGGAGGGTCCGAGCCGGCTGGATTTGGAATCATGGACTTCCTTAACAATTCGGTATGCCCGCCACACGATCCGTAGTCTATATGACTCTGCTACCTGTCATCTGAGAAATGATGAAGGGGTGTCGGGTGGGAGGTGGATTTCTTTATATACGTTGGGCGACCCACAATCGGTCAGCGTCTGCTTGGGCAGTGTTTGCCTCATTCCTCATTCCTCATTCCTCAATATCCCTTTTCAACATGTCTGTATTTTGCACTCACAAAATCAACGCGACTTGATTACAGACTGATATTTCATATCCTGTTCGAAACTGAACTTGACTCGACAGACTAATGTTCTATTGCGACAAGCGTAACGTGATACAGTGCGGGACGTCTAGTCGCGACACGTAACTTTTATCTAGAAACACCTATTCATTTTCAAGTACAACCACTGAATCGAAGTTTGGATCATTAAAGTGCGTATAACCCTTCCCTCTACAAACCAATGTTCGCCGTTTATCAATATAACCTCTAGTTCCAAGGTTTTTGAGTTTCAACGTTTTCTACGTACAGTGGCGACTAGATGTCCCGCACTATAGGCTCTTGTAGGCGTCAGCTTTATTTACTCGCCCACTGAGGGAGAGAACCACCCTGCCTCCTGTCCTATTGCTCACCTATCCCTCATGATGGACAAGGTTCCAGAAGCAGGATGGAAAGCTACCATTGACGGCAGCAAACCCGGCGCCGACTTCTTCTTGACCAGGACACCTGCTGAGTACAATCCTTTAGCCTACTTCAAGCATCCTGGAGCGACATCCTCTCTTCGAGAACACCTAGCGCATGAATTATCGGAATGGGTCAAGTGCTTTTCCGCCTCGGACAAGCAGATTCTTCGCGACGTCGCCAGTTCCTTCAGGTCTTATCGGAAGCAAACAATGTCGAAATTCTGGGATGAAATTGCAATTGTTGGAACAGCGGAAAAATGATCTCCGCAGACAGAATGTCACCTAGCTCGGAATTGATGGTGACGCCATGACCAGGGAGCTGGACGAGGCACTGAATGGTAGGTCACATTCTGTTATATCGGAGTCAGTCTCATGGTTGCCTCCAAATGCTGAACCTCGACATAGGTCAGCATTGTTATCTGAATGAAGAGTCTTATCCATCAGTCTTTACGCAGAACTAAGGAAGATACTAATGCAACGCACATCACTCCAATGCTCGTTTACTTCAGCACCATTGCAAAAACTTAATCGACCTAAAAGATCATCCGCTGAAGTCGTCCCTGAGCCAGAGAGCGTGAGCACTCCAAACCAGGAACGATCCACCAAAAAAGTAGCATTCCAGGATGCTGAGTTTTCGTTTAAAAGTGGGAGCGACTACATTGGCTCCAACCCGTCCTCGGCAAGATCATCTCTCAACTCCATCGACTTCAAGTATATCGACCGCTTAGCTGGGCCAGGAACAACATCTTCACGACTCAACAAGCAGTCGGCTTGTTATAGAAAAGACCAGCGTTTCGGAAGTGCTGATGGACGCTCGCCGCGATAATCCTAAGAAGCAAAGCGAAATTACAGATGTGTCTGATCTCTTGTAAGTGCTTCTTCCGCTTCAAGTCCTTCTTTGGAGAATGGTGCTTTGAGTCCTTCAAATCTTCTTCAGCTGTAAACAGATCTCAGATCCCGGTGAGTGCGACAAAGCCGCGTCTGAGGTGAGGGCATCTTGATTGGTCGTATTCTGATTTTGTCGCCATTTCGTTCCGTGCTGATTCGAGTTGGTTGTTCCAGCGCGAGAGAATACAACTTTTGACGGGCCAGGTCAGGCTCTCCAAATCGCGATTCTTTGGACGGTAGCTTGATTTTCTGACCGTGAAACTGTAGGTGTAAGTGTAAAACAAAACATAATATGGTTATTTCTTTGCAAACGCAAAATGACGCCAGAGTAAAATGAAAAAACGTATAAAACGATCAGTGCTTGCAAGGGCAAGAGCAGATGATGCGAGAGTATGCCATGGTTCCTTAAGTTTGACTTTGTTGGCATCGGGTGTATCACTGAATGGCGAAGATGGCGAAATTGTTGGCTGGCTCGAGGGTGAAGCTGCGTCATGAGCAACTGGTGATGAGCGACTGCCGGTATGAGCTTTCTTTTGGATGTGTTCAATTGACCCATTACTTTCGTCGGTTTGGCGGCTATTGGTACCTTCACTGCCCTTGCTTATGTCCGTTGGCGATGGGCGCAGGCTATCTTTTAGTTGATCTGCCGAACTCGAGCCAGCGTTGATAGCCAAATGGTCAGACTTTACTTGGAAGACAAAGAAAGAAGCGAGGAGAGCAAGCTGCTTTTAGCCATATTCTGACTGACAATACTGCAATAAGGTACGGGTCGATGCTCTCAACGGAAAACGCCTCCAGTTCGACATTATCTCCAAGCCTTTGACAAACCCCTCGGTATCGCCCCCATGATCGACAGCGTAGACTTCTGGTAGTCAATGGACAGGATGCCTGTTGTAAAAGAACCGGTCTATTTTCAAGCAGTCCTCCATTTTCTCGAAGCCCGCCGTTGTCTGAAAGCTTTCCGGTTTCTCGAAGTCCTCCAAAGGATTAGGAACATTGGCGTTAATTGTAGGCCGGTGACCTATCGGGGTGCACGCAGAATCAGGGAGACGAAGACCCATCGGTAAACAGGTGAGACTATACAAACAAGTTAGAAAGAGTAACAAAAAGCAAACTGCCAGTTAGGCTCTGTTATATCAACCTTTGTCAAAACAAAAGGGGTGTGTATGCCCACTGACAATTCACACCCCGCTGCAAAACCTGTGATGTGTATGCCCATTGACAATCGACATCAGAGTGGCATCTCCTGTGGTCCAGTGACACTTCAGGAGTGTAGAGATCAGAGAACCTGGCAAGGATCCTCGTCGCACCCCTACTGAGCCCCCGAGTAACATTCTCCAACCCCATTGAGCAATGCAGCCCGGAAAAAAACCTCAATGCTAAAGGGAGTGTGACGCATATGCCCATTGACAATCTGCATCCAGATGTCTTCCCCTGTGGTCCAGTGACACTTCAGGATATGCAGAGGTCAGAGAGGCAAGAGCTCTCGTGACATCTCTACGCGACTTCTCACTCACTTTTGAACACAAGAACATTACCTTGTTGTCTGGAACTTTTGGATGGATGGACAGACAGTGACTGTAATCGAAGGCAAAGGCGAGTGATTAAGAGAGGAATGAGGGCGGGGAGTATTGCTGAGAAGCGCCTATGTAAAACAAGCGCATTGCAGCAAAGGAGAGTTTCAGTTCTGGGCTGATGCCTCAAACAATCGAATATGCAAATCAAGAGGCCAAGCAGTGGCACAGAAATGAATCATCTTTCTGAGAGAGCTCAATTACCTAATAAAAGTCCGTCGAAAACACGTCATGGGGCTCAGACCCATAAAACGTGCTCAGACTCCGAAGATTAATGTGGCATGGGCATGGGGGCTGTGCAGGGTAAGAAAACCGGGCAGAGGTACGCTCTCATTGGATTCCGGCTTGCTCAAGGACAGTAAAGTGCGGGATCTGCCATGACACGCTGACTGGCCGCTCGGTCAGAGGTAGAGATCATGCCAATGAGCGACGCGAGATGACGACCGAGAGCAGACGATAGATCCAAAAGCATGCAGAGAACGGCAATAAAAGATGACGATGGTGCGACGTGCATCCCCTTCCCAATAGAAAAAAAAAAAAAAAAAAAAAAGCTGTTGCCCAAGGTGGCGGACTGGTCTCCCTTCCAACTTGGTAGAGTGCCGACTTATGGCCGACTGTGAAGCCTGTCTGTCTGCTCTCATCATCTCCTTTTCTAATCACGCCTTGCGCGAGTCTCACTACGGCCCGAGTACACCCCTAAACGCGGAAAATATCTCACCTGGATACTTATAGTACATACGCTTCTGTCACTGCGCTAGCACCATATATCGCGCCCGCGTTCCGCCAGAATTACCTATGTTTTTTTTTTATCGCGCACAGCTTTTTTTTTATCGCGCACAGCTTTTTTTTTTTATTGCGCACAGCTCTACCGCTTATCCGCCGTCTTTAGATATTTAGTAACCGCGCGTGACATCATTCGACTCGCGTTTGGGCGACCTTTCTTTGAAATTAAAGGCATGATAAAAAAAAAAGCTATACAGCACTGTTGCACTGCTGCATCCAACGGATGACAGCTTCGGGCCATTGCCTGCTCAGGCAGGCCCAAATACCAATTATCCGAATAAAGTGTTCCTTTCGTACTAAGTTCAATTACTATTGCAACAACATTTCATCAGTGAGGTAAAACTAACCTGACTCTCGACGGTCTAAACCCAGCTCACGTTCCCTATTAGTAAGTGAACAATCCAACGCTTACTGAATTCTGCTTCAGTATGATAGGAAGAGCCGACATCGAAGGATCAATAAGTAACGCTTGGCTGCTTCTCTTGCTCTCGCCCTTTCTCTTTCTCAAGCTCTCATTATTTTGTGTTTTCTAGCCCATTGCATAGGCTTTTCGATCTCTTGTCTTCGAAGAGAAACAGCTAGCGCAGAAGGAAGGTCACGATCCAAGGCAAGTCTGCACCGACAGCCTCGTGAAGGACATCCTCAGTTCATTTGACCAGTGTGAGCTGGAGAGAATCTTGCCGGTTTTCTTTGCTGGATTGAGCATGTTCCGAAAGTTTAACAAATGGAAGATCTCTCGGTCAGAGGTGAGCTGGACCGCATCAGTGATTGTTCCTATTCTGGAGGAGTTCATGTTTGTACAGCATGAGGTCATGTTCACCTGGCAAATGCCCTGTATTTGCACTTGTCGCGGTGGCATGTATCGTATCATCCTCTTTGACCAATACTGGTTGTGATCACTTTTATTAACTAGCGCCAACTCAATCACATCAGCTGGCAAGCAACGCAGGAGCAGCCATACCAGCCAGATGTTATCGGATTGGCCGATGAGGGTAAGACAGAGGTCTACTATGGAGAGATCAAGGTGGCTAAGGCCGGTCTTGAGGAGCAGCACACAGATCGTCTTCGGCTGATCATCTTTTCCAAGGATGCTCTGGACCTTTTTGAGCGGACTTTGGACACCACTCCTCCTGTGATATCCGCCCAAGTGGTGGGGCGACAGGCGGTGTTTTATTATGCAGTCAAGATCGGCAACACCATCTTGCACTGTAAGCTTTCTTCATTCAGCATGCCTGTGACCCTGGGCGAATTCAATCTACATGACGTTTTCTTTCCTTTCTTTCCTTTCTTTCCTTTGTTCCAGGTGCAGTCGCTGACCAGGTTGGCAAAGGAAGGCTTAGATCATAAACGACAAGCACCTTTGGCCACTGTACCTTTCCCGACTATGGGTACTCCTAGTCTCCGTATAGCCATGAACAAGAACAATTAGTTTTAGTGATTTGCTGACGATGTGTCAAACTAAGCTCTATTTTACGGGACTTGAATTGACTTAAGAAGGTATATCTTTACTTCGTGGGATGCATCCGTATTTACATGTATCGTCTGCCCGTGGAGTACCTCAAGCAGATTAGTCGAGTTGCCGATCTGAGCATTGGCGACGTAAACGGCCAGGGTTCATCCCGCTTGAAGGCTGAGAAAGCGAAAAGCCTCATAGCCAGCGAAAATAAAGTGCACGAGCAAGCAGCTACGCTTACGAAGGTTGATTTATTCATCCTATTCTCCAATGCTACATTATCGCAAGCTGATGTGCTTTGTACATAACACGCCAAAATGTTCAACCTAACACGCCTGTAACTTTTATGACTCAAAAAATGGGCAGCATCAAGATGAACGAAACTAGCTACTATCCGACCCGGAGCAGCTCATCATTCTCACGATCCTCATCGATGACGACGAAGGAACAGAGGATGCAATCGCAAAGCTGAAAAATCAGAAGAGCACGCGGATACTAGTTGTGGGCAAACACACCGCAGAGGCAAATGAAATCCGCCATTGTGGCGAGGTTTGAAAGAGCAGGTTATATGGCGCGTTTGTGTGCAGCATGTTTGGCAGAGAACCCGTTTGATTTTGCGAGTGCTAAAGTTTGAAACCCCCTAGTGTCCATAGTGTACGACTCGTGGGTATCTGCTGTGATCTGTATCCATGGGTGTCTTTCCAGGGATCGATGTGGCCCAGACTTGGCATTCGAGAGTGTTTCCAGGCCAAGGATCGGAGGCAGAGTAATTGCTTTTCGATGGCCATCCTTGGCGTGTCGCTTGAGCTATGTGCAGATTGCACTGAACAGGTGTAGTTCTCAGTTTCGGCTTGATTCGTGAATGCGTTTTTTTGTAGTGTGATTTTACCGCCACTCGAACATCGGTTAGAGGAACGATACTCAGCGATCCTTCCTGCTTCTATGCATCAATGCTGTTGCCTAGCACCATCGCTTCTTCGTGCATGGTCTAAGAGCTGTGGGCTGTGCACGTCTTTTTCTTTAGTTGGTTGTTTGTTTTCAGGGACAGACGGCAAGACTGCTCCCAATGTTACACCAAGATTTTGTACCTTCGCCAACTCACCAACCTCGCCATTGCCTCTTATTGCTTTTCTGTTTTCACTCCTTCCTTCCTTCACGCTCTCTCCCTCCTCCCCCCCCCCCCCCCCCCCCCCTGCCCATCCTCTTGCCTTGCGAATATTGCCATGACAGTTGATATTACGAGCTTGCATCCATCGCAGGCCCTTCGACTACGTACACCCCCAGGTTCATCCACACAAGCCGATATCGTCAAGGTCAAAACACGACTCGACAACAAAACCGGTCAACACATCGTTTTGTGGAAGGATGTCCAGAGCTATTTCAAGAATGCTCAGTGCGCCATGGAAGCCGGAGAGATAGTGGCGTTCCTGACCGACGACAACTTTGTTCAGTAAGTTATGAGGGGAAAGTTGATGACCATTGGCTATAACACCGTCGCTAATTGGTATCATTCTCTATTATAAACTGTAGCCTTGAGCCTCTGAGGATTGATCATCATCCTGGAGTTGTGCTTGATGTGGTTGTCGGCAACACCGGACAAAGCACCATCGATCGTGCAAGGGATGAAGAGCCCCTCCAGCAAACCATACCCACAACGTCAGCCGCTCCCTTTTTTGCTATGGGTATGCCAGCCAAGGTCACTGACCTCTCGCGGTGCATCTCACCCTCGTATGTGGCTGCTGATGATGCGGAATCTGTTACACAGCAAGTCACTGCCCTCTCCATATCGGACCAGACGTCCTCGCACAAAGGACCCATTGTCTGCTCAACCGAGATGACACAGCAGTTGACCACGTCTTCTCAGGCCTACCTTAACCAGTGCTCTTTGCAACTTCAGGACATCCAGCGCGGTCAAATTGACATTGTTGCAGAAGTGCGCCAGAATAGGTTATTACAGCAGCAGATGGATGAGAAGCAGAAGCAAATGCTCCAAATGCAACATCAGATGGACGAGAAGCAGGAACAAATGCTCCAGATGCAACAACAGGCCCTCAACCGCCTAATCATGATCCAAAACCGCGTCCAGGCCGTCCTTACACAGACCTATGAACTCCATGAGTATCCTATTCCACGACTCTTCATTGTTCTTCCAAAGGCATCAAGACGTCGTGACAAGTTGCTCAATCCCTTCTCAGACCAGTTTCGTCTTTATTTCTTGTGCGAATGCGGCTCTCACACCATGTCCGAGGGAACCAAGATACCGCACGAGATCCACCTGGCCAAGCACGAGGGATACGATCTGAGCCGCCCAAACGAGTTCTTTGAGAAGTACGGGTCCTATGTCCTGATGCTGATGCAGATGATCAAGTACGGGGTCACGATTGCCGGGGTGGTTGTGCCATCGCTGGCACATTTCAAGATTGCAGATGGAATCGATGCGGTCCAGGAGCAGCTCCAGTTCGTGAAAGATAATCTTGGACCATTGGTGGACAATACGATCAGCTTTATTGAGGACCAGCAGCAAAATAACAAGAGTGGGGCAGACGCAGCTGAAGGACAGACGAGGGTGGACGAACTTGATGTCCTGGAGGGAGCGGATCTTCGACAGCTGGAGTCGTACCTGAGAATCCAGGATGAAGGCCGCACTCTAGGCAACCTGTACCGGATCGTCACTGAGGAGGGATACGTCAAATGGGTGTGCATCGATCATTACCGTTGGAACTATCGAGAGTCGGCAGTGCAGCAACTGAGAGATGTGGTGGGAGTCAACTCTGGGTTTTTCGATGAAGAGCAGGGCAGAATCAATATCAGTCTGATGTCCGCTGTACAGGCAAAGCAGTTCTATGAGGCACTGATCAAAGCGCGAAGAATCCATGAACTGACAGTCAGGCTGGGGTGGGATACGACACTGGACGATCATCGGAAGCTCCGTACTGCTATCACAAATGCGAACATAGCTTGTCTGACACTGAACAGGTTCAGTAACAAAGTGCCAGCATTTGATTTTATCAACCGCAATCGACGCTTTGACCCGATCATGGAGCTCCTGTCGGACGGGCGACTCCAAGTTATCACACTAGAGGTGTCTGAGGACTTCTTCTCCCGGATCAGCAGTTCCTCTATCAGACGCGCTCCTCAACTTCGAACCCTATCTATGCGTCCCATTCACCTCGAGGACGCTGCGTCCCAGACAACATTCGTCAGACTTCTTCAGAACTGTCCCAATCTGACAGAGCTGCAGCTTGAAACAAAGGAGCCGGACGCCATCTTCGATATGCTTATGCGCAATGTCGAGCATTTGTCAAACCTCAAAGTGCTGAAACTCTTCCGTTGGGAATCTCCAAAGGACCATATCATCATCGACCTCCTCAAGGGCGAGGTCCAGGGCGCGTGGGCCAAGTTACGCGACGCTCCGACTTATGAACCATCGTATCTGCTGCTTTTACAGAAAGGCCTACTCACTCGACTGACGATTGCGAGTACCGTTATTGATCAAAAGAGGGAACTACTTGCAGAGATCCTATACAGAAATCCGAAGCTCTTGGAACTCAAGCTCAAATGCCCATGCACGCGATTTCTTGAGACGCTCGACCTGGTTTTATGGGCGAGAGTGCGAGGGAAGGCGAAGGGACACGTCTACGCACCATTACGACTCGACTTTACAACCCATCCCGACGAAACAGCCGATGATCATATCATCTCCTCTGTACACCTCTCGGAGGAGTCCGATGTGCTCGACATGTCCACTAACATCAAACTGGGGTGTTCACCGCGGCCTGGTCATGACTATCTCCCCTCACTGATCAACCGATACGGATGGTCCATCAAGATGCTGGATGCCCTATCTGGAATGTTCCGCGATGATATTGCTCAGCAGCTAGACAAGTCAACGTATAGGAAGGGATCTAAGGTCACGACTCTTATGCTGAACGCATATGGTCTTTCCTCTACGGGTCTGTCCTCTATAGGTCTGAGGTGCATGGATCGAATCATGGATCGGTCGAGCTATCTACAGGAATTCCAGCTCCACGTTCGAAATCCGTTAGTTGACGATGCAGTGGAGAGTCGGCTGCTTCATCGGTACAGGGAGGCGTTGACTGCGTTGAAGGTGCAGGTAGCACCGCACGATTCATATTTTCCATGGCTTGCGAAGACCTTTTTGACAAGGCGCGATGTGCGAAGGCTGAAGGATGTCTGTTTCCGCAACGAATACAAAGGCACCTTTCCACAAGAGCACGTTCAATGGCTTGCTGCAATGGTTTCCTCTCCAAACGATCTATCTTCCCAAGAGTCGTCCCTATCACAGAGCCTCGCAAATCCTCAGGTACCGCCATCTGCCAAGGCTGCTGCTGATATTCCGACGGCATGGGAGCCATTGCAGAAGTTCGAACTGTCTGGATTTTCACTTGAACCGGAGGATTGGAAGAAAGTTATCGAGGCGCTTGATTTTTCTAGCCTGAAGACATTAGATTTTTCCAGGAGCAACTTTTCCATCGAGCAGTTCAAGACTCTGGTCGATTGCATCTCAGACGCTGGTTCTTATGTACCGCTAGAACGTTTCTACTCTAGTGTATCAACTCTTTCTCAACAAAGTATGTCTTTCGAGATGCAGCAGCTACGCGAGACACTTAGTGAGAAAGCGCCCCAAGTCAAACTTATATATTAATGTTTTTAGGCAATAAAAATTGTACCTGACGGAAATAAAGATGCAGAAGCACCCTTTCTTGTTTCTTAATGGAGCTGCACCTACTGTATTCAGCAACTTGCAGCAACTACTGCGTCTATACGCAAAGGCTTGTTTTTGTCCGCATTCTCCTGATATCCCGACGCAATGGGAAAGCTCTATCCTTTCAGGAAGAGATGACGTATCTGATTGACTACGCCTTATTCGTTTCGTCTTTATTCTTGAACGCATTTCCTGTCGCTGTGAGGCAGATATCGGTACTGTCGCATTTGTGATCAATGCGTGGTAGAAACAACCGAAGAAAGAAAAAAAAAAAAAAAAAAAAAACATTACCCCAAGACTAATTTCTCCATAAGGATATGGGTGCAACAGTTTGACTGGTCGCTCTGCAATCATCTTGTCAATCAGCTTTATCTCAACATTTAGCAATTTCATCCGCAACACCTTTTTTTTTTTTTTTTTTTTTTTTTTTGCTTGGTTCTTCTTCATGTACACGAAGAAGGATTAAAAGTAAACAGGAAACAGCTTTATAGAAATGCGAATATGTGTAGGCGTCTTGTAAAAATACCATGTGCGATCTACGTATCATGGCTCTACTTCAAAGGGATCCTCTTCACGACTGGGACCTTCTTCAGACTGTGCATCAGGTACAGCGCTGCAGTCAAGAGCGTCAGTGATCCAGCCTGATGGGCAGTACCGAGCGAGACTGGGACCATGTACAACAGGGTCGCAATGCCAAGTCCGACTTGACAGCAGGCGACTCCCATCAATGCATTCACACCAACGCGGATATGAGGAGGCAGAGGCAATCCACGCGAGTACAGGAACAAAGAAGTAACAGCAGTGAATGTCGTCATAGCCTAGTTCAGGATCGTAGTATAGTGTCGATGAAACAAGTTAGGTCAAGAACGAGGAGAGTGAGTATCATCAACCGCTTTAAACAAAAATGAGAGAACGACTTACGAGAACACGGTGGTTGAACTGGACGGTAACCTGGTTGTCAAACATGTTTCTCCAGAGTCCGATCGTAGGACTATCTCCCTTGTGCAAAAAACTGTCATCGAACAGTTCCCTCATAGGAGGCACCAGACGGCCACCCATCAACGGGAACTCGTTGTAGACCAAACCAGCATCCAAACCAGCGACGAACGCACCAGAAATGGCAGTCAAGAATACAAGAGCAACAATGCCATGGGCAGCACCCTTGAAGCGCTTCAGCATCGGGTTGTTGATCGCACCAGCCAAAGACTACGAAAATGAGAAAAAAGCGTCGCAGCAAAAAGCGTCGCAGCGAAAGGTGTTAGCTGCGGATTGTACAAATAGAAGCTTACAAAGCAGGCAGGAGCAGAGCCATGAATGTATACCTCATAAGCACCCTTGGAAATCTTGTAATCAGTCAGAACCTTCAATCCAGTCATCACTGCACCCGCGTAGATCAAGAACGCGCTTCCCAAGTGGGCCGCCAACCGATACTGCGACACTCTCGGCGTCGCACCAGGCGTTGACATCAGCTGTTCATCCAGACCAGACTTGACCATGTACCATCCAAGCGCACCCTGGAAACCAATGAGACCACCGATGATCAACGAGCGACGGGCAATGTTCTTCGAGAGCATGCCGCGCGAGGCAAAGTAGAGACCAGGCAAGATAAAAGCAACACCGATGGCGCGACCGAGCATGCGGTGCGACCATTCATAGTAAAAAATCCGCTTGAATTCCTCAAGTGTCATGCCGCGGTTCAAGCTATCCGTTAGAAAAGAAATTACCATTTAATTCAGGGCAAAAAAAAAAAAAAAAAAAGAGATACTCTTAGTGTTCTAAATCGTTCACGTTGGCAGAGCGGTATCCAGGACAAAGGCCAACAATGGCATGTATAAGGACTTACATCTTGTATTCCGGAAATTGCTTGTACTTTTCAAACTCTTCCTCCCACTCGGCCTGCGATCGTGGGGGCTTCATACCTTTGATCAGGTTCCACTCCACAATCGACAATCCACTCTCGGTCAAGCGGGTCATACCTCCAACGACGACAATACCAAAAGTCATGGCACTGATCGTCAACATCCAGTAACCCACAACTGGCTTGACCACCACATCCGGTGCAGCCTTTGCCGCTGTTGTTGAAGCAGCAGTGGTGGCAGCAGCAGCGGAAGTGTTGTTGGTGGCTGCTGCGATGGTTGACTGGAAGCGAGCCTTGACCATGCGAGCCGTGGACTTAGCACTGTTGAATTGCTGCTGTGTTGCGACTCTAGTCAGCGAGGACAGGCCCAGGATGGATCGGGTTGTTGCCTTGTTGCTGGTGACATGGCGAGTGAGGGTTGAGAGGGAACGGGCGGTGGCGGTTGAGGGCGAGTGCGCAGTGGTCCGGAGGAGCGTCCTGGACAGCAGGCCCGAGAACGCGTTCGTGCAGGCCATTGTGCTGGTTCGATTCGATTTGATCAAATCCCTTTTCACACTTGATCAGTGAAGAGGGACAAGGGTGAAGGAACAGAAGAGGGTTAAGGGAAGAAAGAAAGGCGGAGCTCCTTTGTCTTTTGGTTGATCTTTGATCCTTCTAGTTAAGATCGATCTTTTGTCACCGCTTTCGGAATCCCGAGGCTGTTACGCCCAAGAGCGGTATGTGTTTCTTGGTCTCACTTCATTCGCACGGTCACAGACCAGGTTGGTTGAACAAAGAAAGAGCATTCATTCTCAGGAACACAGGTACAAGAACGGGTGCGGGTGCAGGAACACGTACAGGGCATGGGTCGTAATTTCTATCCAGGAGCGACGCCTTCCCATGCGAGAACCAACATTGGAAACGATGTTGCCAGTCTACAATGGCATTCTTTTGGCGAGTGGACATATACGTCGCTTGAAAGAACAAGGTTGAATGTAGACAATCGGTACAATCGGTGCTCCTGGTTTGCTTGCTGTGGCGATAGGGCTGACCCTTTCTTATGCCTGGACACCTTATTTTTCGATCATACCAAATCTTTAAGATGAAATACACACTTGACACATCCGCTTTCCCCGCTTCTTCAATCTGCGGATCATATTCTTTACCATGCTGATGCTAAAATAAACTGTAATTACAAAAGACCTCTCACTTCTTCACATTCGGCCTTGTGTTCCTCGCAATGGGCGGCGGCGCCTTCGCTAAAGGTGTCATTGCCGCTGCTGCCTGCGACCCCACCACTCCTGCATCACCAGCACTAGACGCCCCTGCCGTAACATCCTCAAACCCTCCCTGTGCTCCCTCACCCAACTCCGTCCTCGTCGGTGGATGGACCACCTGTTGCACACCCTCTGCCGAGGACCCCGCCATCACGCGTCGGTCCCCATGTAGCCCAAAGCTATACTCTTCCTTATCATCCGTCCGTTCCAGATACTCCTCCGTACCCATCGTCGGAAGCGCCGATCCAATCGTTGCCACACGGTTCAGTTTTGGCCTCACAGTTGGATCTGCGTTCACGCTCGCACCCGTGCTACTCCGTTGGCTGGTCTGGCTCTGTTGCTGGCCGCTCTGTACTGATGATGATGATGGTGCTGGCTCCGTTTGTGGAATGCTGCTGTCAGCACCCGGCGCCGTCACTGTCGCCACCGCCAATGCTGCCTTCTGCGCAGCTTTAGAAGCCGCCTTCGCGCTCGGCAACGGCTCCAACACAATGTCGCTCCCTACAATCACTACCTGCCTACCGTCTTGCTGGTAGTCTTCCTCATCCAGTTCCTGTTTCTCATTGAAATGCTCCTCCTTGCCTGCCACGAACAACGGCCCCGCGCTCGACGTCGACCCCTCCGCCCTCCTAGCCTCCAATGCCTGGAATCGCTGGTCCTGGTTCTCATAGGTGATCACAGAACTCAATAGATTCTCATTGATATTTAAATCCAGTTGCAGGGGTGTATTAGTAGTATGGACGCTGTCAGGAGTAGCCACCACCGCGGAGACGCGATTCGCTTCTTCGTGGTCCTCGGCATCGGGCACGATCTTGAACAGGCCCTGACCGAGAAGCGGTCTTGAGGCATCCCCGGGCAAGAAGATGGTGCTCGCCTCGGGGGTGATAGGTCTGGTACTGGTAGATGTTGTCGTTACTGGTACCACTGATGAAGAAGCAGCAGTGGTGGCCGGTAGTTGAGGCGGAGGGAACGAAACAGGTGCTTGGAATTGCATGATCGGTTGTTGTTGTTGCTGAAATGCTGGTGTTGCCTGATATGGTTGTGCTGCGTACTGGAGAGGGATCTGTTGCTGATGTACCGGTTGCTGCATTGGTGGCGGTTGCATAAGCTGTTGCTGCTGCTGCTGCTGTTGCTGTTGCTGTGGTGGTGGAGGTCGAGGAGGAAGGGTAAGAGGTACAGAGACCAGCCCTGTTCCTGGCTGGTACACATACGGCTGGCTAGCTGGCGCGGTAATCGGTTGCTGCTGGAGCGGTGTCTGTTGCTGAAACAATGGCTGCTGCTGCTGCTGCTGTTGAGGCTGGATCATTTGGCCTGCCATAACTGGCAGAGTTGCAGCCTGTGAGTATCCCAAAAATGGAATCATAGGCTGCTGAGAAAGGCCCTGGGTCGGCAGTGGACCCGTCGGTGGCAGCGCACCACTCTGATGTGTCTGGAATGACGACCCACTGCCATAGGTTGGCAACCTTCCAGGTATGGGCGAAGCAGGATTCGCCATCCTGCCACTGTCGAGCATCCTCGGCAGACCGCCCGTCGGCATCGGGGACGCACCCCTCTCGGATATGGATGCAAAGGACGGGCTGATTGCTCTGGCTTGCTGTTGTTGGTATTGCTGCTGCCCAGAGGGGATGGGTGCTGGTTGTGTCGAATTATTGCCACCAACTGTTTTACGGGCTCTTGAGACAAGCCCTGAAACAATGCCGGCGAAACCCCCAAGCAACCCCTTTCTCTCATCGTCCTCCTCGCTATAATTACTACGATTGAAGACGCCCAGGCCACCACGCTGCTGCTGCTGCTGCTGCTGCTGCTGCTGCTGGTCTTTAGGCTCGCTTCCAGGGTATCCCTTGTAGTATTCGTCTCCGCGTCCTGCTGCCATCATGCGCTTGCGACGCTTCTTCAACAGGACCATTCCCCCGACGACGGAGCAGATAAGGAGGAGGAGAAGACCGATGATAAGACCGGCGACTGCACCGCCGTTCATGCCTCGACTCGAATCATCTTTGGCCGGTTCAGCTGTAGAGGAAGGTAGGGCAGATGAGTCGGTCGTGGCGCGAGGTAGTCTCGAGGTGCGTTTGGTTGTGGCAGTGCTGGTTGTGGGGAGCAAGGTTGCGAAGGGGATAAAGGTCGAGATATAGGTGGTAGTGGTACTTGGATCTGGGGAGACAAAAGCCATTGTAAGTTAGGAATATGTACAGAAGGGTAGATGGGGGGTTAAAGACTCATTACTGAAGTGTGATGAAGAGTATGTGCTTAAAAATGAATGAGCTGAAGAAAAAATAAGGGCGTGAAGAAGGCAAAACATACGAGATGGCAAGGAGGCAAAATGGGTGTCGATGACCCCCAGCCCATTGTCACACCACTGACTGATACACTCTGTTTGCCATGTCATTTTGGATGCTCTCAAACCCATAGTTCACAAGCAGGAGGGGGGGAGAAGGGGGGAAACACTCTTAAAACGCATATACCTCACAATACGCGCGCGACTTTTTTCAAATTGTCCTCTGGCAAACCCTGAGTGGCCACCCAGGGCCTCCATATTAGCTTCAATTAACTATTGTTTTATCGCGATAAAGAACAACTCTAACCACAGATTGGTCAGGCGCGGTTCTTCCACAACGTAGCCAGTCATGGCAACACGAGGCAACTCCATCTTCCTGTACAGCTTCTTTAACGTGCGCCCAAGTGCAGGTTGTGTGCGTATGTTTGTGGCAGGGTATGAAGTGCAGAAGATTGGACAGAACCGCGTTTTTATTTTTATCTGCGCGTCTCTGTTCTATTTCTGAACACGAACAAATGTGTCAAATGGACCCTCGGATCGCGGCGAGCGAAAAGATGTTCATCATCATATACCTTCTGGGACCAAGTTCAACAAGGGTACGATACATGTAGGCCGTTTAATCAACAGTCTTTACTAGCGGACGAAAATGAAAGGACCCTCAAGGATACAGCTGTCATGAGCCCAAGGAAGGGAACTTGGCCCGTGGTGCCTACCTGGCATGCGTTAATTGGTCTAAAATAGGAAGGAGGCCAGAGAGCGAGATCAACAAACTACTTCACACAAGAGGCATTGCTGATCAGCAATGGCGGCCAAGAAGAAGAACAATGCACTCAAGCGACAACTCTATGGCACTCCATTGCCCCTTCCTTGTCTTCAGCAGCAACCTCATTCATCTCACGATCAGCAACAGCCACCCACAGCAGCATACACTCCCTCGGCAGTAGCCGCAGCAGGAGCAAAAACTTGCACACCTCTGGACTCGCTTCTCCAGAGAATCATGCACCTCTACTACGCCTGGATCGGCTCGGAACATTGCATCTTGTACTCTGGAGGCCCTCCAGAATCGAATTTGATCCATGCAGAGTTCCACCCGCAGGGCGAATGTGTCTGGGTAAAGAGTGGCAAGGATATGGAGACGTTGTTTCGTCAGGGATTCTTTGGGAAGGGAACCTTGTCGCGTAGCGAGGCCACATGGAAGCAGAGGAATACTGGAGATGTTTCAGGTATCATCCATATACAGGCAATGGTGCTAATCTGGAGCGCGTAGTTGTTTGGATACTGTTGCTAATGGTTTATTTTGTTGAATGCGGATAGGAATGTCTCTGGAGGAGATCACACGGCAAAGGCGTATCGAGCGTGCACGTCTGAGAAACGAAAAGTTGCAGCAGCAGCAAGGGCAGTCGCTCGCCAGCAGCACTGCTGGACCCTCTGCGCCGGCATCGGCTTCAGCATCGGCATTATCCAGTAATTCACCTGGGACTCTTCTTTCGAGCAGCGAGCTCGATCGCTCGTTAACGCCCGTATCGGCATCTCCCCCACCAGACATCCAGCAAACAAGTTCTCGCTCAGGGACTCCAGCAGATTCTCTCAACGAAATTAGGAATGTCGCACCAAGCAAGGCTGAGGAAGAGGCAAACTACGAACATCTTCAGCTCTCACTCGAAGAGGCATTCTTCCTCGTCTTCGCAGTCGAATGCCTCGCCATCTCGGACGCCTCAGCAACGCCCTCCACCCCTCCCGATACTACTACTGCAAAAGCAATGACCATTCAAGGATGTTGGCTCCGCTTCTCAAAAGCCGCGGCCCTCTCCATTAAACCCACCCCAAAACTCTTATCCAGCCAATGCTCGCCCCATATTAACTTGAAGAGCAACAACGATACGGTCATCTCGGTGGACAACCCATTCGTGATCCGATACGTCGCCTATCATTACTACCGTAGCCTGGGCTGGATCGTCAAGGACGGACTCAAGTACGGGGCCGATTTCTTGCTGTACCAGAAGGGCATGGTCTTTGGACACTCCCAATACGCTGTCCGGGTCGTTCCCAGTGCGGACTACGATAACAAGGACCTTGATTCGGACTTGACCGCGCCTTCTCAGGAAGGGCGCTCCGTCAATTTTATGAAGTATCCAATGACGCGTCCAGGATTCTCTCCCACCCCGGGACTCTGTCTCGCGCATACCTCGTTGTCTTGGCAGTGGTTGTTAACCCTGAACCGAGTCATTGCTCAGGTTCAAAAGGTATACGATGCCTGCCTTTTTTTTTTTTTTTTTTTTTTGCATGTCTTGTTCCTTGTTTCTACTTTCTTCTTGAACATGATAGAGTCTCCTCACTAACGCATATATTTGATCCGCATCATTCGTAGACGGTCATACTGTGCCATGTCATACTGCCGACGAGCGCAACAATGAGACAGCTCTCCCATCCACGAACTGCCCTGCCTCTCTACAAGGTCGCTGAGATTGGAGTCAAGCGCTTCATTCCAGAGAAGAATCGCGCATGATAATAGAAAAAAAATATATGTTTAAAAGACGCTATGTGCATTTGATAGGTGTATTTTGATAAAAATACATGAATGAATGGGATGAGTGGAATGGATGTATATTGGTGTAAGGGACGAAAAACAACGGGGCTGGCTGAAGGACAAGAGGGAAATGGCATGTGTATCTACAGCTTGCTCTTGGCGCCAATGACACCGAGCTCACGGCCGATTTCGATAAAAGCATCCGCAGCCTGACGAATCTGTTCCTCCGTGTGTGCGGCCGAGAGCTGGACACGGATACGGGCCTCGCCCTTGGGAACCACGGGGTATGAGAATCCAACGACGTAGATACCGCGCTGCAGCATCTTGTCTGCAAATTGGCTAGCCAGACGAGCATCGCCCAACATCACAGGCGAGATGGGGTGGTTATCGCCCTATATTCAAAAAAAAAAAAAAAAAAAAAAAAAAAGGCCATAAGAATCACTTTCGAAGGCTTGAACCGTCAATCGCAATCGGTGTAGCTGTTGCCTTCATCTTTGCTCCTTACCTTGATTGTGAATCCGGCATCAGTGAGAAGCTTGCGGAACAACTTTGTGTTTCCCCACAACTGATCAAACAATCCGTTCGTCTTGGCACCCTCGATCAGATCCAATGCCGCGCTTGCGGAACCCACGACCGCTGGTGGCAAGCTGTTCGAGAACAAATAGGGACGCGACCGGTTCCGAAGCAAGTCAATCATCTCCTTGGATCCTGTTGTATAACCGCCGGCAGCGCCTCCGAGGGCCTTGCCCAAGGTCGAATTCACGATATGAACACGGTCCTGGACGCCAAAGTACTCTGCTGTGCCGCGTCCATTGGGTCCCAAAAATCCAGTGGAGTGGCAGTCGTCGATGAAGATCAGGGCATTGTACTTTTCGGCAATATCACAGATCTTGTCCAGGGGAGAGATCTTGCCGTCCATGCTGAACACACCATCTGTGGCGATCAACTTCAGGCGCGCACCGGCCTTATCGGCCTCCTGAAGACGTGCCTCCAGATCTATCAAATTTTTTTTTTCGAGTGGTAAATATATCAGTTGTAATTCAAGTATTTTCATTCCCTACAAGTCGTAGTTCTTCTCAATGACAATCGCAAAACTGGCGGGACGAGACGTTACCAGCCATGTCACAGTTCTTGTAGCGGAAACGCTTGGCCTTGCAGAGACGGATGCCATCGATGATACTGGCGTGATTCAATGCATCGGAGATGACGGCGTCCTGGTCCGTGAGGATGGTCTCAAAGATACCGGCGTTGGCATCGAAGCATGAAGCATAGAGGATCGTGTCCTCTGTGCCGTAGAACTTTGTAATCTGGTTCTCAAGGTCCTTGTGGATGTCCTATTATTTAAAGAAAGGAAAAGAAAATTAGTTCAGACCATTGTTCCCAATGTGGGCTCGATAATTTTTCTCACGACCCCAATTTTGTGTTTTGTTTGCTTTTTTTTTTTTTTGTATCCCCGCAAGAAAGAAAAGGCAGGGTGTTGCTTATCACCCATCAACTTCAGTCCATTTTCATAATTGTCATCGTTCAAAACAGCTCTTTTGCTGGGGAAATAAGAGTAATTCTCTCCCTTCCACCCTCCCTCCTTCCTTCCTTCCTTACCTGAGTACCGCAGATGAAACGGACACTGCTAAGACCGGATCCATGGGTATCAAGATACTTCTTTGAGCGGGCAATAACCTCAGGATGATCTGCGAGTCCAAGGTAGTTGTTTGCGCAAAAGTTGATTTGGGGCGAGGGCTTGCCGTCCCTGCCGGCAACAAGGATAGCTGAGTTCTGGGGCGAGATGATGACACGCTCGGACTTGTAGGTGCCTGCAGCCTTGATCGACTCGATCTCGGACTTGAGGATATCGTTGAACTGGGTCTGGGCCTTGGTGCTGGACATGGCTCTGATAGGAGTAGTGGTGGTGGAAGCAGTAGGTGAGATGAACAGACGACGGGTGAGGCTGGAGGGTGAGACGATGCGACGAAGCATTATGGCTTAGGGGAGGAGGAAAAGAGGAAGGAAGAGGGAGAGGAAGGGAAGAGTGAAGGAGTGTGCAATGGAGTGATAAGAAAAAGAAGAGTAAAAAATAGAAGCGATTGAAAGTAGACCACATTGCTGGTTGGTGGCTCTCCCATTTGGCTGCCCTTGAATCTTGTCGTCGATTTGTAAACACTGCACTGCGCTCATTGGGGAACACCCCCCTGAGTTGAATCCAACAGGGTGCATCAGCCAAGAAAGTAGGCCTGTCGAGTTATCTACGGACCTGGATAACAAAAACCCAGTCGATCCCTAAATTCCTGGATGAGATGTCTGAGCATACACAAGAAACTGTCAAGTTGGGCGACAACACATTTTGTGCTGTGGACATTGCTGGCTTCACCATCAAAGAGACTCCACGGCTGAGAGCTTTGCGCAACTGAACTGAAGAATCGTCTTGGGTTGCATCCGCAATAATTAGCAGCGACTGTTCAGGGGTATCCATATACAAACGTCTTTGGCTATGCTTTTTCCGGGTTCAGGACTACTTGATGAAGCGCTCTGAGATACTGTCCTTGACCTTCAGAACCATACGCCAAGAAGAGTTCGAAGTCCTCCACCTACAGAACCGATTCGTTAATGCGCCAAGGACTTCAAAATTGACCTGGTAATCTCTGAGGACAAACCCACCAGCATCAACAAAGTCAAGAATGGCTTGATGGCTTGTAGCAAATATTCATTGGTACAAACGATGATAATTCTACTTTGGCTCAAGAATGACTGGAACCACTCGCAAGAAACTACGATCCGAACTCGAGGCCAAGACAACATAGAGGGTGGTCAGTGAGTTGTTCCTTGATGGGATCTGCTTGATGAGCAACGCCTTGATTCACTATGACAAGGCCATAGTCAAGTTTCCGACGGTCTGCCGCTATACTGACACCACGCTTGCATTGCTCATTCTCATGTCTCTCGAGGTACTATGTGTGCGTATTTGGCATTCGTTTCTATTTCTTTCTCTTGTATGAAATGCATCTAATTAAAGACTCTATGCAGCATGCTTTGACCCTCAACTTCCGAGTGGATCTGAAAATGAACGCCAAACAGTAGAAAATGGACCTCCGGCTTACGACAACTAAGGAGCTGACGACAGCTAAGGGTAACGCCCGAAGCATTTAGACAGATGCTGAAGCATGCCTCTAGGAAATTCGCAGCCCCAACTATCGCAGCCCCAACTATCGCAGCCCCAACTATCTCCTTGGCGTCCCCGCTGGAGCCAAGGGCTTCCATCGATTGAAGCGGATACAAACCCAACATGAGAGAATTCGGTTAGAGGATGACGACGAGACCCAAAGCGAGATCTATGATAAGATCCACGAAGAGTTTGGTGATGCCTGTGAGCCTGAGAAGGAGGGTGCTGTCCAGAATCTTAACGGGCGTGAAGACAGGGGAAGGAGGACATCTGTTTTTAAAGTTGGGCTAACTCTGTGCACAGACCAATATGGTATTACTGACCTGGGCGAAGTAACCTGTTCCATCGGATGCATTCACACAAGCCGTCCGTCTGATTCAAAGAATTGGTTTTGTAGAAAGTATTCATTGTTGTTTGAAGTTTGATATGCTGAGCTAGAGATACACTTGTCGTACCGAATAAAGTACAATACGGTGGAAATATGCGGCAGCGGCAACCTTTAGAACTTATTCCCATCGCGCGTTTAAAACGGCCATCATCATCCATTGATACCACTACAGTTCGTCAAAGGCATGGATTGCTCCATGGATGTGTCCCCAGTCACCGGTCAGGTACATGACGACCTTGTCAAGGAGATTGAGGTCGGATTCGGCCATTGTCGGAAGTCCGCGCTCGACACTGGCCGTGAGTGCATGTATGATATCATCAGCGTAGTAGCGGGCAGAGATTCTGAGGGTCGCGACTGCATAGGTGATACCGTTGAATCGGAGGACGACCGATGTGATACCATTACGTGAGGGGCCCTGCCCAATGGTCATATCGAGGAACTGACTGAGGCCGATGCGGGTGGCCCACGAGGCGAAAGCCCTGTGGTCTCGGCCACGCAATGTAGGAATGTTGCCATGGTGGGTGTAATCATTTGTCCAGTATGTGATGAGGTGAAAAATGGCTCGGCGAAGTGCCAAGTTTCCAGCCGCAGGCGCCACATTATCCATACGCTTGTGCAGGTCGATGTGTGCCGATGCGGACTTTTTCAGATGGTCCAGTTCCTTCTTCTGGGGTAGTCTATAGCGGCTCTTGTAGCCATATGCAGAATAGAGCGACCATCCATGCTTGGTACCATCGTAGTATGGGTAGATCATGGCACGGTGGGGATCGTATGCCTGGAAAATTTCGGAGGAGTGGTGATGGCAGTTGGCATCGGGATCACCACCTAAGCAACCACTCTCATAGAAGTGGGCCACGTGGGACCATCCATGACGGTTACAGTTATCCACGCCCCTGTAAATCATGGTCCTTTCCGGGTTCTGCGCGAGACCGACGCATGAGGGAGAGGAGGCCAGCTGGCGATCATATTGAGTGAACGCGTTGAAGACAAAGAGGGTCTTCCAGCCATTGCCGTCACATGAACGTTGGTTGTAGAAGATGCGGGTACGATGCGGGTTGTATGCATGAGCGACGCAGAATGGAGTCAGCGGGAGGGCGTTGTCGGCGCGCTTCACGCGGGATGGCGTAGCAGAAGTGGGGAGAGTCATGTTGTTGGTCTTGTAAAGGTCGGCCATGTACTGCTGGAACTCCTCGATGTCTCTCATGTCATGCTGGGGGTACTGCTGGAAGAGCATCAAATCGGCAGTCTCGTTGACGCGGTTGACGGCACTGCGAGGTGGGCCGGCGTTCTGTCTCGGAGGCAAAGGCAGCGGGTCGTAACTGGAATCTTGAGCGAGGACGGCCCCGACACTAAGCAGCGCGGTAAAGATCCACACCTTTAGGCTAGGCATGATGGAGAGATGATGAGAAGATGAGGATTGCTGGTGTGAATATCTCTGTCCAGAATCGGGGGTATTTATATTGGTATACCTACGCCAATTATACGGAATGGGACATACCCATAGCGCCATCTAACACTCACGTATTGCCTGTGTCATGAAAGATCCTTGCGCCCGACGCGGATACTATGAATGAGAGGATCGCGCTCCATGGCTCCCGGGCTACAGCCTAGGTCATACCAGTAGAAGGTCGATGTGGAAAACGCTTAATCTGAAAATAAACTCTAACTTTGTACCTTGGACGGTGCATGTGCCGCACATGTCAAGGCGCTAATACGAGTCCTCCCCTGGCTGTGCCTTTGCCTATGCGTTCCTCACCTGTCTTCGTATCCGTATGTATCAACCCAGGGTATGCAATCTAAATTGCCGCTCACCTCTCTTTCGTTTGTGACTCCGCATAACTTTTTCCTTGGCAATGCTAACGAGCATCTCAGGCCACTTTTTTTTTTCGTTCTCGAACGTTTACCCTGATAAGGACGTTACTGAAACTTAGCAATGTAGACTGGATCGCCAATCAATCGCTCCGTTTCCACCACAGAAAGGTCTGAATGTTCTTATCGCTCACTTTGTGCTCAATCCAGTTTATATACACCATGTGTATATCCTCCAACCAATGAGATGGGTCTGCGCCAGAATGGTTGTTCAGGACAAAGTAAGTGTCTCAGTCAACACAAGTTTGTGTTTTTTTTTTCCTCCTTGACGAGCAGCCTTAATCTACGAGCATAGATTAATAGCATACTAAGGATCCAACAGCGAACTCACGATCAGTACGCGTTACTCGTCCATTTTGACGTTTAATCTTGCAGGAGTAGGAGAGTCTAACTGAGCCTCGCTGGGATGGAAGCGCGAGACACAGTCTGTGGGAGCGAGACACAAACCGAGAGAGCGAGAGCAATCTTTGATTGTTACCGGGGAATGTCAATCCAAAACTGAGTTTCAAAAGCACGCAATTCTATTCAGTACCGTCTACTTTCAGTCTGACAAGGCGAAGCACAGCGCCTTGTATAGACTTTTTGTCGTGAGCGCGCCAGGATACATGCGCGCAAATACATCCTACTGAGCAATTTCAGGCTGTTACCAGGGATTCAAAACTGAGCTTCTTCAGAGTAAGGTATGACAGAGGGGGACACGAAGCAATTTGTGAGCTGCGGGCACACTGCTAGCACAACCCGTTGGTTTGGAGGCATGGGGCGATTCGATGGGCGTTAGCATTTGCTTATTTTTGTCCCATAACACTTTCTCTCTTTCCTTAACCCAACAACTGTCCTCTCCCTTCTTTTGAATTATTCTCCACCCTTGAATACGTGCACTCTACAGGTATGCCCTTGTGCAGCAGCAATATTGACAGGTATTGGAATGTTCGCCATCTAACAGCAGAAGTGTGTAATCGTGGGCACTCTAGTGTACTGACATTCTAGACGACGGCCTTCGAGACAAACAGTACATATCCACACGTACTCCCCTTGACCACCCCATCTCCTCCCCTCCCTGTTGGCATCTTCCCCTCCCTGTTGGCATCTTCCCCTCCCTGTTGGCATCCTCCCGCCCTGTCACCATGGACACTTTGCCTGTGGAAGTAGTACAGTCTTTAGTGCGGGTACTAGAGATCGACAGTGTCTTCACGCTACGCGGCGTATCCCGGCACCTGCGCGATATCGTGGACATCACTCGCCAGTATAGAAGTGCTGACTTCTCGGTATGTAGCATCAACGTACGACGACAACTCAAGGACATGATCATCACACCATCATTCAAGCGCGTCCTAGCGAACTACGACTCTATCAATTTGACCGGTACGCTGATAACGACGCCCAACGCCGTCGAGATGGCGTCGTGGGAGACTACCAGCATCACGTTAAGACGGTGTGGCAACGTGCATGTGAAGGGTTTCCTTACGGCGGTGCTATCGTATGCCCGCCGCGACACCCAGTATCGTGCGGTCATACACACGGACGAGGTCAAAATCGCGCAATACGGTGCTCTAGAACGATCGCTGGCGACATATAGCCGGAGAGTGTCTTTCTACAGATGGTCATGCAAGGACTGCCCCAGAGATGTGCTGTCATCCAATTGGGTATTCAGTATCCCTCGCTGCCATGACTGCAATCGATATGTCATGTCCTCCACCAGCTGCGCAAATTGCAGAGTCGTGACATGTAACAAATGTCTGGGCACCAAGTGTACGACGGCAAGCGAGACGTGTACCATGAGATACTGTCGCGGATGCATCGACAACAGCCTGTGCCAGTTGTGTGGCAAGAACTACTGCGTGTTATGCTTCCAAGCGCAGATCTCGGTCTATAACTGTTACGCGTGTCAAGTACAAGTGTGCTCGTTGTGTATGCCTTCATCATTCGTATGCGATGACTGCGAGCAGGAGTACTGTGGAATGTGCACTGATAGTACGGATCAACAGCACTGCAACTGGCTGACGGAGCACGATCATACTGAACTACGATCGTGGTTCGTGGAACGGCATATGAGAGCACTATACCGTACCAGCGACCAGCTACCATCACAGCCATAAATCCATCCATACTCAATACGACATTATCTTCAAGAAATTACCAACAAATAAAAAAAAAGAAAAGTACTATAAGATACTGTGAGAATGGGAACAGAAGAATTATATTGAAGGGATTACTTGCCCAGTTTACATTCGTATAAAGTACAGTGGTGGAGTTCAGTATGTTACAGTACTAATATACATGGTATACTTGGCGGTGTAATGCACATTCCAATAGAGATAAGAGACGTTGTCGCGTACAACGCACTGAAACAGGACGCGTTCTACAACACAATGCGTCTTGTCGCGTCGTGTCTCAGACGTGGTCTGTGGTGCATCCCCAACTTGGCCCAGCTCGGGTCCTTTAGATAGCCAGCCATGCTCTTGAACATCTCCAGATATTTTACCTTTAAACATCCACTCTGTACTTTGGTCTAAAAAAAAAAAGAAAAGAGAAGTGCATAAAGCCCTTTTATATCTTTAGGGCGCTATGCTAGCTACGCTTCGTACCACGCGCCCATAGAATCTTCTATCCAGGTTCTATCGGGGGAATTCTTTTGTTTTGCGTATTTCCCTCCAGTTCTCCCGCCCTTCAATCGCTCTCACTTTTGTTTTGTTCAACACATCATGCAAAAAGACTCTCCTTCTCCACAAACCATGCCGACAAAGCTCTCTCTCCCCATCCTCAAACACGTTGGATAGGTGCTCTCTCTTTGGGATTCACGACAGGAGGCCGCGCGCGCGTCTGTGATGCAGACATAAAGTTCGCACGCTTCTAAAGGTGATTTTGTTTCTACCTCCCCCCCCCTCCCTCCTCTACCTTTACATCTTCAGTCGCTCTTGAGATACTGTAGGAAGACATAAAGAAAGTCGAAAAAGGTCGCAACGTGAAAAGGCAATGGGCTGCCTGTGTTGTGTGAGCAGTGAGGAGAGGACCGCGTGGTTGGGGGTCCATGACAAACCCCATTTTCCTTAAGTAGAAAAGACTAGGATATAAATGCAATTAACCTTGCCCGCTGGACGGCTACTTGGTCCATGGGCAACAAAACAACAAACCAGCGCAGGGTATAAAGTGTCAAGAGACTGTGGATACCAATATCAAGCGTGGAGGTGTTGCTGTTGACTAAGCCGAGGAGGATGAGAACGATAATGGTATATCTTGCTAGCCTGCGTTCCCCGTCGCTGTTTGTTTCTTGTTGAGCGCTCAAAAAAACACTATGGATTCTTCATGATGCGGAGTAACGCAAATAAAACAAGGATGCGCGCAAGAAAGAGGACTCTCGCAGGTAGACAAAGAGGGGATACAAAGTAGTCAGCATCAACATTGCGGGCATCTACTAAGGACTGGCATCCACTGCAGGCCATGCAGCCAGCCTGGTGTTGTCTGTGTATCTGGGGCGAGACGCAGCCAGCCCAGCATTGTGGTTAAGGTTTGTGTTCTTGTGTATCTCTTCTGCACATGTGCCAGTGTGGAGCAAAAAAAAATATAAACAATCGCCGGGGCGTTTAAATAGCGCCTCTCCCCATTGGTGTTCTTCCCCCTTCCCCCTTCATCACAAATTGGCCGTCCCTTTGTTCCACTCTCTCTCCCCCCTCTATCCCCTCCTCTCCCACTGCCTCTACCGGCGTTAGCTTTTCCCGCCTCTTCACTACCAACTATGAGCACCGCTGCTGCTGCACCTTCGACATACGTCCAGCCTGTCCTCTCAACCGACGGCCGTCTCGGCCACTTGACAGAGGAGCAGACCGAGAAGCTGAAGCAGTTCTGGGTCCGCCTCTTTGATATCTTCGATGGCAAGGCCCTCTTTGACCAGACCGCACCTTCGTCCTTCAAGGGCCAGGCCCGCGAGGAAGACAACGGCGAGATTGCGCCCGCGCAGAAGTCGGGATGGTTTGGGCGGGGCAAGTCTGCGTCGGAGAGCGGTAGCGCAATCGTCGTCGCACCACAGTTTACGGGTCAGGACCTGTACAAGGCGTTCTGGAAGATGATCATGATGGACCACCCTGACTTGATTGTCCTCAAGGTAAAGGGGGACTGCTGTTGAGTGCAATGTACCCACTGTCGTTATTTTATCGACTCCCCAGCAGTTGCTGACTCATTCGCTTACTCTCTTTCTTCCCATGGCTGCAGTTCATCCGTGCCCGCAAGTGGGTGCTGGACGATGCGCTGAAGATGTTCCTGAACGCACTCAAGTGGCGCATTGTCGAGCGTTTGAGCGAGCTCTCTGAGCTGTCAGATGTAGAATTGGATGCCAAATACCCAAAGTTCATCGAGCAAATGCGTATCGGCAAGGGCTATCTCCGGGGCGCCGACCCTCTGGGTCGCCCCATGTCCGTTATCAACACCCGTCTCCACCACAAGGCTGACCAGCCCGCAGAGACCCTCCACCGCTTTACTCTTTTTGTAAGTATTTTTCCTTTTCTTTTCTTTGAGTTTCCCATCGTTGTCTGCTCTCATTGCATCAAGGGGAGTAGAACCTTCTTTCCCCCATCCACTGTACGTGCTCACAAAAAAACAACAACTAACATATCCAACTTGGTACCTTCATCGTTAGACTATGGAATGCGGCCGTATGCTCCTCCCCGATGAGGTGGAGACCGTCATCGTTATCTTTGACCTCTCGAACTTTGGTCTCGATAACATGGACTGGGGCTTTGTCCGCCTCTTTGTCCAGTGCTTCGAATCCTACTACCCAGAAACCCTCGGCATGTGTGTCGTCCACCGGGCGCCCTTTGTCTTTTGGGGTCTGTGGAAACTAATCCAACCTCTACTCGATCCTGTCGTCGCCTCCAAGTTTATCTTCACACGCAACAACAGCGAGCTGCACAAGATCATCCCACGTGAACGTCTGCCGATTGCGCATTATGATGGACTGGACGATTGGAAGTACGAGTATATCCCGGCACGCGAGGGCGAGGACGACTGTATGAAGGATGTGGTGAAGAAGGAGGAGCTATTACAGGAGCGTCAGGCACTGGAGTCGAGGTTCGATGCGGCGACGAGGTCGTGGATCAAGGAAGGTGGTGGCAGGGGATCGGATGAGAGGGACGAGATTGCGAAGGAGTTGAAGGAGCAGTATACAAGATTAAGTCCTTATACCAGAGCTGTAAACTTGTATCAGCGATTGGGGGTTGCGGTCAATGGACAAGTCAACTGGACGTATAATGTCAAGTCTGCGTAAGGATGCGATAAAAGTGGTTGCGATGTAAAGGAAGAATAATGGAGTGGAGGGCTGCATTTCGAAGAGATATCTGTATATACACGTAATAAAGATCAATTCGTTCAATGACGGGCTCTAGGGAGGGGTTTCTCTATCAAGTATGCAAAAGAGAATGGGTGGTGGATGGCACCGCATGGTGCTGAATGGAAAAAGAGAAAATGCATGAAGGACACCGTGGATAGGGTCGCTGAATCGGTATCCATGGGCGCATTCAGCACGTTCAGGTCCAATTTACGCCACAAACATAGTTACGCCCAAATCAACGATGGACGGCGCAAACAAGAAGTAGGATGTATGCAGCCAGGTATGTGTGCACTTTGAGACTCTGTGGCACAAAATCCATGCAAAATAGATTATATCGTGGAGATATTTGAGTGGTGCCAATTGGCACTACTGGCTATTCCATCATGGCCCAATCCATAAACATCCACTCACACCACACACACCCACACAGACTCACGCACAAATGGGTCTCTGCTGAGCCAGTCAAACAGGGCCATCTGCGCTACAGCGCTAAACATGGTCCACCTGTGCTTGCTTTGCGCCGCGGGTGTAACCTTGCTCAAGGCGCGTTTGGTATATCCTCCACAGCGAGGAAAGAGAAAAAGTAATCTAATCCATCTTTGGCATGGAACACCATTATGCACATTTAAAGCGCATGAACTGATGGCACAACATTTTACCCATCCAGGGCACATGCACTCCTGTTGGGCAATCTATCCAAGCTTCTGCGATTGGTCTGGTTGGAGTTGACTCAAGTCGAAAGAGGGGGGAGGAAGGAAATAGAAAGGGCTTTCGGTCGACATCAGCGCTGCCAAGGAAGGGGGGTCAGGGCTGTGGATGAATCATATGCGTCCTCTCTCCATCCAGCGAATAGTAGAAGGGTAAAACGCATCCCCGGTTAAGCATTCATGCGAATCGGTGGGGTTCTGGTGCTCTAACCCCCCCTGGACTCTTTCTAGTCCAAGGTCGGTGTGGTCATCCCTCCTTGTGGGCTTTCTTTTTTTCTTTTTTTACTTGCTCTTGGTCAAGGCACAGCGGCTAGTGCAGGCACTGCTCCGCTTGTTGAGGTGGGTAGACGTGGCATTGTGTGATGCCATCTGATGCGACACAGTGTCGCGGTAGCAAGATCTGAAAGCGCCGAAAGATAAGAAACGCCTTTTTTATTTTTTGTTTTACGACCCCATCTGAAATCCTACTGGCCTTGTCTCTCCAGCAATTCCTCAGTCGCGCTCTTCTGCGACTAGGGAAAATATAATAAACGGTACTCTTTGCAATGATGCCATCGTTTCTCTCTCTTCGGCTCCTGTGATATGCAGCGCTAGTCCGGTGCGCGCAGAGGTAAAGCCCATCTTTACTGCGGTGCAACAAACAGGTTTGTGTAGGACCTTCCTTCGTGTACGAAAGACCTTGCTTCACAAAGGCCGCTATTCAATCTGCTACCCTCTCAATGCTACAGTCCTCCCTTCCTCCTTCTGGCCGACCCCGCATCCGAGATCCGAGGCCATAAATATCCCACACTCTGCTCTGTCTTTTTTTTTTCTTTTTCTTTTTTTTTCCTTTCTATCGCCTCACTCCACACTGCACTTCAGCTGAATTAACTCTATCGCGAACAAAGCTTTTTACGCCTTTGTTTACCACTTTATCTTTTTTTCCTCCCACACTCCCCCCACAACAAACAAAAAGACAAGGCTCCCACGAAGACCCACTGCAGCCATGATTATCAGTCTCGTTTCCAATACCTCGAATGCCATCCCCATCGACGCCCTCAGGGCCGCCCTTCCCATAGGCATCGGCCTCGCCTCGGCGGCCTATTTCACTATGAAGATCGCTGCCAATTCTGGTTTTGCCACTGACAAGGTAACATGCAAGACATGTTCTGGAGTCAATGGCGAGAATAGCGACATGAGCATTCGTTACTATGCCCCTCACTTTCTTCTTTCTTCATTGTTACCTCCTCAAATGACGTTTTCTCCGTGCTTTCATTATGATCCATGGACAGACATGTTATACTGCGCATCATCTCCGACCCCTTTATCCATCCTATCCCTCATTGACAGCGAAATACTTACTCAACATCCTGTTGAATCCCTTCTAGTCCATTCCAACAGCCTCTCTCCGTCCGGGAGACTCCACCCATGATGACGAATACCAAGAAGACCAAGACGCATTCCTCCGACGGTGTGAAGAGAGCTACGGTCCGGTCTTCAACATCCTGCTCCTCAACAAGGCCCTCACGGTGGTCTCGGGCTCACAGATCCGGGAGGTCTTCATGAACGAAGACTTCTCGGCCGGGGATGCGATCGATGAGTTCACGGGGATGCGGACGTTCTTTGATAGTGTGAGGAAGAGTAATATGGACCTCGATAACCGGACGATCCATGAGGTTGTCAGGGATAATATCTCGCCCAACTTGCAGTTGTTCACCCCGAGGATCGTAGAACAGTTGGTGAAGAATCTGGAGAAGGAATTGGGCACCTGTCCGGCCGAGGAAGGGGGGAAGTATGTGGAGAAGCCGATGAAGGTGCTCCAGGAGATGGTCGCCAGCGCAAGTATGTATATCATTCTTCTTTTTCCCATTTTCTGTTCTTGGACAGACGTATGAAACAATCAATTTTTTTCTTTGGCTGATCATATCGTTTATCATTCTTTTTTTTTTTTTTTTTTTTTTTTTTTTTCTTGGCGACGACAACGAACAACGATAACAAGTGGCGAATGTGTTTGTGGGCCCAGAGATCGCAAAGTCGCGTAAGGTTATCGACACCTTCATCACCGCGACCGTCGATTTTGGCAAGATGCTCGGTAACGGTCAACGACGGGCCTCCTTCTGGAGAACCTTCATCAAACGCGCCAATTACCGGGTCCTCAACCCGCTCCAGGTCCATGTCCGCACCCTCGTCGATGCCGCCTCCCCAGTAATCCTCGAGCGCCGTCGCCAAGAGACCGAGGCCAACGAAAAGGGACTCCAATATGAACGTCCGGACGATGTCCTCCAACGCCTACTCGATAACTTTGACAAGTACGGCTTTATCGACCTCGAGGACGTTTGTGGTCATCTGTTGATCTTGGTGCTCGCGAGCGTGCACACCACTACGGACACCTCCACGAATCTACTGTACTACATGGCCGCCTTCCCAGAGTATCTGGACAAGTTGTATGAAGAGCAACAGCAGGTTCTGGATACGATCCAAAAAGAGCGCGAAGAACAGCGTCAGGCGCTGCGTGCGAAGAATGAGGAGATCGGCGAGGAGCTGGATCCAACGCATGACCGGGATCTGTCCGCAGCGGCGATCAAGAAGATGGTCCATATGGACTCGTTCGTCCGGGAGGTCTTCAGGTTCCGGACTGAGCGGCTGACCTTGGTCCATCGGGCCCGTAAGACCGTGACCCTGTCGAGCGGGATCGTGATCCAAAAGGGGGGCAACGTGATCATTAATATGCGCTCGGCCCATCAGAGTCCCGAACAAGGTGAGGACGTTACAGCGTTCAGGCCGTGGCGGTTTGTTGGCAAGCCCAAGGCTGCGACAAAAGCCGGTGCAGATTTCTTGCCCTTCGGCATGGGAAGGTAATTTCATTGGATCCATTTTTTTTTTTTTTTTTTTTTTTTGGCAGCTTGACTGGTTGAAGGAAAAGCAATATATCGAGTCCCTGACACCGTTTTTCTTTTCTTTTTTTATTGATGAATTAGACATGCATGCCCAGGCCGATTCTTGGCTATCCAAGAGCTGAAGACGATCGGTGTGCTGATGGTTTCCAGGTACTCCAAGATCGAGATGAAAGATCCATCCAAGACGTCGAAGGCTCTTCGTACACGCATCGGAGAGCCCACGCCTACTGGCTTGACATTCATAAGTCGATCATGAACGAAAGCGTGTCCGGAATTCTTAGTTCAATAAACCAAAATTATAAAGCAAAAGCGAAAGCAAATGTATTGCTGGTTTATTGTGCCTCGTGTAAAAGGGAAGCGGTATATCCATCTAGATACCCTCACATGCCCTCGATATGAATAGGACTGATCAAGGACTCTGTAGGAACCAGACCTGAGGGAATCTTCTTTGACTTTGTAAATTTTTTCCTGCATAGCTTGAGATCGTTCGTCTGCACGAAATCCAACAATGCTTGCGTCGTATGGCCCATCAGGAAATAAAACAGGTCCTACAATAGAAAAAGTAAAATGTGTGCATGAATGAATGAATGATAAAAAAAAGGCGTTACAAGTCAGTTACGATATCGCAGAGAAGGTTTCAACCGCCAAAAACAGCCCCGACGAGCGACTCCCTTTACCATTTCCTTTCCCTCTCGACTGAAGGGTCCCAGGACCCATTGCGGAATAGTCGTAGGACTCCCTGAAGGTGGCTTTCCCACGCCGAGACGGAAGCGGATGAAATTTGTAGTTCCCAGAACTGTCGCGATACTCTCCTGTCCCTTCTGGCCAGCCAGACTCTTCATATCACCGCCATCTAAGGATGTTGGGAAAGAACTTTTGTCAATGACTGCGGTCATTTTTTGCTTTCGAGAAAAAGAAAAAGAAAAAAAGAAAAAAACTTTTTCGCCAGCGCCAGCGCCAGTCCATCAAGTGCTCGCCTTGGGTTACCTTGGATGGCCAATGCACCGGGCAAGGTGTTGATATCGTCCGAGATGACGATCAACTTCTTGGGATCCGTAATCTGATAAAAGTCCATGATCTTCTTAACCGCCACGCCTGATTCGTTCATGTACGTCAATGGCTTTGCGAACACTATCCGGAGCGAGTTCTAGATTCATAAGCGAGGGACATCTTTGCTGTAGAATAAACAAACACAAGAGACTCAAAATGTATGTAGTTTGAAATTTGGGCAGTTAGCCGCAGCAGCAAGATGGAATAAATCCCATACCGAGACGCTGCCCTTTTGATAAGAGAAGACTACATCGTGTACATCTGCTAATATCGCGAAATAATGATAACATTTTTAAAAAAAAACCGAAGGTTAGATATCCAAGCATCAAAATACTCGAAAAGACGCTTTCGTGAAATTGTACCTGATAATGCCATCCTGCGCTGAAAGACCGGTGGGACCCTCCACTTTTGATCCAGGGCCATCACATTCGCCAGATAATCTATGAACAAAAACCCGGCTTTGAATAAGAAAAAAAAAGTGTCATTAGACGTCGTATTGTTGTTCCAGAGCTCAGAAAGGGCATTGCTGAGCGAGGACCCTGGAGTTCGTTCACAGTGAATGAACCAATGAATGAACCAACGAATGAACCATTGAATGAGAAAAGAGTCGTCGGTACCGTTATGTCGCGTGGTCGTGTACTCCTGGCCGGGATTGCCGAGTCCGACAAGAAGGTAGTCGACAGGTCGGGTTGTCATGGCTGTATATTGTATACGACGAATGAATTAGTTCGGATGTGTGAATGTGTGAATGTGTGAATGTGAAGAAACAATTGTCGATGGCAAGCGTTTCCAAAGCAAACATAGGAAAAAGATATTAGGAGGTGACTGCGGTAGTCTACACGAAAACGCGTCGCGTCGTGCGACAGCCATGCCTGAAGCACAGCTCATGTCACACCTCAAATGCAAGTAAAATTTGAATGGAAACCATCCCCTCCAGCCTTATCACAAGCATGCAGCCCTATAAAGTCGTGTCGTTTGCACAGAGACTTAGGTCCGTTTTTTTTTCTTTTTTTTTGTATTAAAAGTGTTTTAATAATTATTGTACATCGATTACTTTGCTTTTTGCTTTTTTTTTTTGTTTTCGTAGAGACGACATCCATCTCGTCAAAATGGAAAGAGGGAGGCCAAACGTATACCTCCATCGCGCCAAAAAAAAAAAAAAAAAAGCCCTGTTTAGCACAGCTCGTTTTCATCACCGCATCCAGCCAGGATATCTGCTCCCTTCAATCCACCGATCGTCATCGCAGCGTTGATCAAACCCGCAATACCGACACCTGCAATCAATCCAGCCGAGACAGAGTACATCAAACGCTCATGCGACCGGATACCCCAACGCTTCCACATCTCACCGGCAGTCCAGCCGACCAGCATAGCTACGGGGATCGCGGGCGTAGGGCTGATGAATCCGAGACCGACGGCGTTCAAATTGATCCAGTAGGGCTTCAGACGATCGGGAACGAACTTGTGGCGGATCACGACGTTGATGACACCGAGAGCGCAGCACACGAACGTCAAGATCATGGACTCGCGAGGGATCTTGCCCTCGCCCGTCAATAGCAAGGCGACGCTCTGCCAGGCAGTGACAGCAGGAACAGCAAATGGGCAGTTGGGAATGTCCTGGTTGAGAACGCATGGGTAGGCCTGGGTATAGAGCAAGAACAGGGGGATGGCCACAGCGATAGCGAACACAGAGCCGATCGACTGACCCAAGAACATAGCACGGGGTGATGCGCCGACGAGATGGGCCGTCTTGAGATCACCGACCATGTCGACAGACTGTGAGCAGACCGAGGCAGCAATGTTGGCACACATCAAGTTGGTCTTCTGGACGACCTTGATATCGACGTTGGGGATGCGAGAGAAGACGAGCTGGGTGACCTTGGCGACAGCACCCGTGGGGTTGATATCGGTCTCACCAGAAGCTTGAAGACCCACAAAGGCCAGGAGGAACGAGATGATGATGGCTCCGATGGTGGCATAGACGGGGACATGGAAGTTAAAGTACATGACCAAAACAGTGAGCAAGCCCGAGACAAGCAGGCCTCCAATCCACCAGGATGTGGGGATCAACTCATGTTCAGGAGTCGTGTCCTTAGAAACGTAATCAGAGTTGTTAACCAAGGCGGCCTTCTTTTGCCACTTGCGGATCATGTTGCGACACTCCAGAACACCGCCTTTGATGCCATGGTACAAAGCAGGGCCGCGAACACCCAACTCGGAGAAGGCTGTAAAGACCATCATACCGACACCAGGCCAGAGAAACCAGGATTGGGCAGAGCCGACGGCAGGTGGGAGAGGCTGCTTGAATCCGGCGCGACCAGTCAAGTAGCCGGCATCAGTCATCAGAGGCCCAGCAATACCGAAAGCGATCAACTCTCCCAACAGGAAGGAGAAGACGGTGCTACCGGGGGTCATGAGACCGGCTCCAAAGAATGCCCAGTCCCAGGTGAAGTTCCACTGCCAGATGGCGTCCGCGTTCATGACCTTGGTGGATCCTGCAGCCTTACCGATGTAGTACAGGATATGGATCGCTCCAAAGATTCCGGGGATGAAGAAACCGATGATGGCCCAGAACATGGCGGTGCAGAAGGAAGTGATCATGGCGAAACCAGAGTCACGCGCATCCTTCGCAGCAGCAGATCCCGCCCTGTGCAAGCTCTTGATGGTCTCGGCGGCGGCGCGTGGGGTGGGGAAGACCAAGTTCTGGTTGATGACAAAGTGCGAGCGGAGAGGGACGGCAAAGAACATGCCGAAGAAGGCAGCGCAACCGGTCCAGAGCAACAGAGAGACGACATCATCCTTGGGGGTGTTCTCGCCCATGAGGCCCATGCGGTACATGGCTGGGATGGCAGTAACGAAACCACTGGAGAGACCACCAGCAGAGGTGGCAGCCGCCTGGCAGACGACGTTTTCCTTGGGACCAAATACGGTGCCGGTGACCCTGGCCATAGCCTTCAGAATCAAGAAACCGAAGATGGAACCCCAGAGGGCAGCGCCGAAGGTCCAACCGATCTTGAGACCCAAGTACAGGTTACTGGCAGCGACGACACATCCGAGAATGGAGCCGACAATGGCAGCACGCCTATTGAAATACAAGAGTACGTGGAATTAATGTCATGGTCTATTGTAAAAAAAAAAAAAAAGTAAGATGTTCAAGTGCGTAAAGACAAGAAGTGTGACTTACCAGGTGAACTGGTGTGTCTCGTGGACGTATTCATATTCCTCTTCGGTTTCGACAACGTCGATCGACTTTTGGTCGGTGTTCTTCTCTTGAGGAAAGTCGTCGTACTGCGACTTTTCGTTGACTGGAGTGGCCATGATTAGATGATTATAATTATATACAAAGGGTTGGAAGTGGCTAAGGAGTGGGCGAAAGGAGATGGCGAGGAAGGGGCCAGGGATGGTTCTCAATTGAATGACGGACGAGGGAACAAAACCGGGAGAGAGACGAGGAGGGTCCGATTTTATAGGAAATGAAAACCCCCCCCCCCCCCCCCCCCGCGCGGATGTCGCCCTCTTGGGCGAGTGTTTCGAAGGATCGAGGGGAATTTGGTTTCTCGGTGGGCATTGGATGAACGCTGTTGAGTGTTCTCATAGGAGGCACAGGGCAGGGCCTCGATGGCCATCAGAAATGTTTGAGGGACGTTGCTTAGATGCATCAAAGTTTGGGCCGCATAAGGTTTGAACATAGTCAGAGTTGCTATTTGCCCACGCTACCCGACCCAGGCAAGGCCATGGGCAATTTTCTCTGTAGTAAAATGAAGGTATAACACATTTGTTGACGTGTAGGGAAGGTTGCTAGTCTTATCAAACAAGTCAACAAGTCAACAAAAGGGTGCGCCCTGGTTCGAAAGACTCCCTTGGCTCAAGACAAAAAGAATTCTGGGAAAAGACCTGCCGGGAACAGGGCTGGCAGGGTGTGTGAGATCATGTTGTTACCCACGGTGCAATATAGGCGACTTACTTGAGCAAAGACCAAGCAAATGCTGTGTCTACATGTTAATGCTTATTTGAACCACAAAGCTCTACGAGCCTAGACAGTGCTGGTGGCCAGCCAATGGGATGCGTTACCAAGCAGACCTTTATTAGCTGACACCTAAACTTTAAAGGTCTCACAGTTAGAGCCCTCGATATGCCGCAACAAGTATCGGAAGACTAAGTCCGCTCAGTAGTCTGTACCATGCGCCCTTCGTCTTTGTCATAACCAGTCCAATCCACGCATGTGCCTTGGTGCAGAAGCACATGGTGATGTGCAGTCTAGAAAAACTAAGTGCTTTTGTTTTTTTGTTTTTTTTTTTTTGATTTAATGAAATAGCCGCGCAAGATGGATAGCCTCAAACATCACACGGCTGCTCATGAGAAACAAATAAGGTCTCCTCGCGCTTCGTTTCCACTTGCTCCTCACTGTTATGAGCAGCAAAGGCGCGAATGGGAACGAACACAATCGACCTATTCAGACTGTCGTCCCTTCTTCTCGGAGAGATTTTCTTTATCCTCTCATTGAGAAGATGCTTAACTTTTGTATCTGCAAATTAGAGACGGTATCCTTTTATCTCCATTGATCGCCCCAAAGAGCGGAAAAAAGATGTTCGACAGGAACCTTACTTCATGTGCCCCGCTGTGTATTATTGTACACCAAGGCAACGATTCCAATTGGCCTGTGTTTGTTCCTACGGTGCACTTTTTTTTTTTTTTCTTTTGTTCTGTGCGCCACGAAAATTAAGCTTCTTTTCCCCCCTTTGCCCCAACCTCGCACTCCCTACGCCATGTTCGTCATCTACCTGCTGGCTGTTGCCATAGCGCAGCAGGTTTCTAAAACGGGCCATCATCCCGGGTTCTGAGTCTGACTAGGGCCTCCTTTCTCTCTCTCCTTCTTTCGTCCCCCTTCTCTTGTTCCAGACCGCCCTTTCGTCCGAAAACATACAACAGCACAACGCGTAAAGATTAAGAGACATAGAAGACAGCATTGTGGCGTTTAATTAAAAATACAAGGGGTTATTACACTATATACCATTACAATACAGTTGTTTTTTTTTCCTCCATTCGTCAGCAAAGAGTGTAACCGAGCCCAGGATGACCACAGCCAGCCTTGACAAGACCACCCTTGACTCCCGCAATTGTCATGGCCGCATTGACCAATCCAGCAATACCGACTCCAGCAATCAATCCAGCCGAGACAGAGTACATCAACCGCTCGTGTGTTCTCGAGCTCGTGCGCTTCCAAATCGCGCCTGCAGCCCAGCCGACCAACATGGCGATAGCGACGGCAGGTGAGGGGTTGATGAATCCAAGACCAACAGCGTTAAGATTGATCCAATAGGGCCTCAAGCGATCAGGAACGAACTTGTGACGAACCACGACGTTGATGACACCGAGAGCGCAGCACACGAACGTCAAGATCATGGACTCGCGGGGGATCTTGCCATCTCCAGTCAAGATCTTGGCAACGTTCTCCCAGGCGACGACAGCAGGGACGCCAAACTGACAGCTGGTTGCGGCACTATCGAGGACGCATGGGTAGGCCTTCGTGTACACGATGAACAAGGGAATGGCGATCGCGATGGCAAAGACGGAGCCGACCAACTGCGCACCCAGCATGGCACGGGGGGAGGCACCAATCAAGTGACCTGTCTTGAGATCTCCGACCATATCGACGGCTTGAGAGCAAACCGAGGCAGCAATGTTGGCACACATCAGATTGGTCTTCTGGACGACCTGGAGATCAGGGTTAGGGATGCGCGAGAAGACGAGCTGAGTCACTTTGGCGACGGCGCCCGTAGGATTGATATCAGTTTCGCCCGATGCTTGGAGACCCACAAACGCCAGCAAGAAAGAAATGAAGATGGCTCCGATGGTGGCATAGACGGGGACATTGAAGTTGAAGTACATGACCAAGATGGTGAAGATGCCAGAGACAAGCAAACCACCGAGCCACCAGGATGTGGGGATCAGCTCATGCTCCGGAGTCGTGTCCTTGGAGACATAGCCAGAGGCATCGACGAGAGCTGCCTTCTTGCGCCAGCTGCGAACAACGTTGCGGCCTTCACGAATACCACCCATAACACCGTGGTACAGAGAGGGACCGCGCACACCGAGTTCCGAGAATGCAGTGAATACCATCATACCAACACCAGGCCAGAGGAACCAGGATTGGGCGGAGCCCACAATGGGTGGGGGAGGAAAACCGATACGACCATTCAGGTAGCCCGAGGAGGTCATCAGAGGCCCAGCAATACCAAAGGCAATCAACTCCCCCATTATGAACGAGAACACAGTGCTTGCGGGCGTCATGAGACCGGCTCCAAAAAATGCAAAGTCCCAGTTGAAGGCCCAGCCCCACTTCGCATCAGCATCCATCATGTTGGTATAACTGGCAGCCTTGCCAATGTAATAGAGGATGTGGACGGTTCCAAAAATCCCGGGAATGAAGAAGCCAAGGATGGCCCAGAACATGGCGGTGCAGAAGGAAACGATCATGGCAATACCAGAGTCGCGTGCATCCTTCGCAGCAGCAGAGCCCGCCCTATGCAAGTTTTTGATAGTCTCGGCGGCGGCGCGTGGGGTGGGGAAGACCAAGTCCTGGTTGATGACAAAGTGTGACCGAAGAGGGACAGCAAAGAACATCCCAAAGAATGCAGCAGAAGCAGTCCACAGGAGCAGTGCGACAACATCATCCTGGGGCGTGCTATTGCCCATGAGACCCATGCGATACATGGCTGGGATGGCTGTAACGAAACCACTGGAGAGACCACCAGCAGAGGTCGCAGCAGCCTGGCAGACTGCATTCTCTTTGGGACCGAAGATCGTGCCCGTGATGCGAGACAGGGACTTTAGGATCAAGAAACCAAAGATGGAACCCCAAAGGGCAGCGCCGAAGGTCCAGCCGATCTTCAAACCCAGGTATAAGTTGCTGGCAGAGACAACGCATCCCAGCAATGAGCCGACGATGGCAGCTCGCCTATGCAGATTGCGGAGGAAAGGAGAAAAAACAATAATGCTTGTTTAGCATCGGGAACGGTCAAAGCGCCGGTGAACATTTTGAGGGAAAATAAGCTCGAGAAAATTCTCCGAAGTAAGGGCCGATGCAACAGTGCGGCAGGGTCCCATGTGCTTACCAAGTAAACTGGCGTGGCTCAAAGACAAACTCTTCGTTGTCCGCGTCTTCGTGTTCCTCGACTTCGATAGAGTCTTCGAATACGGCCTCTGTCTCGTGGTAGTAATAGTCATCATCGTCGTCGATGACAAACTGCGACTTTTCAGACTTTTCATTAACAGGGTTTGGCATGTTGAATGTGTCTATGTTTGTGTAACCTAAAGAGCGGAGTGATGATAACACAATGAGTGAAATGGAAGATGATAAACGGCTTGAAAGATCGGTGCGAGATCGATGAATCGCGAAGAAGAAGAAGAAGAAAAAAAAAAGAGCGAGAGAAAGGATGAAGAATTGGTCAAAGGGAATAGGACAAAGCATCAAAGAAGAAGCGGGAGACAGCTGCCCTTTATACTTGTTCACGAATGGCGTCCGTGCTCCTCCGACGCGCTTGGATCCCTTAAAATCAGGCACGAAAACCTGAACACTCGTTCGAAATAAAGTTTCTCGCGGACACTTTTGTGAAACAGAGATGGTGCTGGTGCGCTACTCTCTCGCCTTGTTTTCCGAAAGTTCAAGAGTTCATAGCCTTCTTCTGCCTTCGTACCAAACCACTGGTAGGCATCGGCGCCTGCCCTCTCCCGTTAGAAGGCAGTCAAGGTTTGGTCATCTAGGGTCCTTCAGTCCAGAACCTAGTTTGCGGGCCAGGAGGAGAAACACATGCGAGATAGAGGGTAGGTGATGCCGGCCTTCGCGAACAGGATGTGGCTCTATTACTATCGCCGCCATTGTCCTCAAGAGCACTGATAACCGCTCCAGAAATGCATGGCGCCATGGTAGCGGTTAAGACGCCGCTGTGATGTCATACGTATATCCTTCCCCTCCGTCCCTCCGCAACAGTTGTTGTCGCACACCTGACTTGGTGCATACGCATGGTAAAGTAATCGGTAGTCTTGAATCCGTTATAGGCGATATAGAGGGCACAATCAAACAGGAAATAAAAAAAGGCGCGATGCAGAACGAATACAGTTGTAGTTCCATTTCAGATACCGAAAACTCAGCTTTGCTGCCTGGTTCATATTCGCAGGAGGACATGGACCTATGTTGCCCGGGGTATCAATGCTGCTAACATTGAGCTCCTGGAATGCTATCAAATAGGAATATACAGCGCAGTGTATCAGCCTTATTATCTACGTGCTATATTAACCTTTGTCTTTATATCTGCCTCCATGGCATAGCGGCAGCGTACCGTTTTTCGCTTTTTTTTAAAAAAAAAAAAATGAAACCGTCATATTGAGCTTCACTGCCTTTTCGTGGATTATACTCCAAACTACAAAAACATTTATGTGCTACGCCCATGTAAGATTTCGTATTAATTTTCGCGCCTCATGGTTGCATTGCCTGGGTGGATTCATCAATTTTTTCCTGCAACTCGATGATCCTTCCATCAGGATGGCACCCGAAATCAGAGTTCTGTCGCTGAAGTACCACTCCTTCGAAAACAAGACCGCCAAGTCTGTGCTTTCCACTATTCTCGAACTCTGTCCGGCTTTATCGGAGCTGAGACTTAGATCGTACGATCCAGGCAATATCTTTGACACCGTCATGGCTAAGCTTGACAAACTACCAGGTTTCAATACGCTACATCTGTTGGAGCCACCTCACCATTTGCAGTATAAAGTGACCGTGGAGTTCTTCGAGGGTAGTGCAGTCCGTATGGGGCACCTTATCACATTTCAAGGGAGTCGATCCACGATGTCTGATGTTCTTCAGAAAGGGCATCCTCACCAGGTTTTCGACTCTGGAGTCTCTTCCAGAATCAGAGAAGGCAAAGCTGATCACGATCCTAAGCCAGAATCCAAAACTCTCTGAAGTTCAGCTCAAGTGCGCCAACAGCCAGTTCCTTGCAACGATCAAACTGGTTGTATCGATGAGAGAGAAATGGAAGGCAGAGGGACATGCTCCAGCACTTCGGCGCCTTGAGCTTTCAGCCGTCGACGGCACCGAAGACATCGCGTCCTCAGTACATCTCTCGGACGGATCTGACATATCCGACATGACCACTACCTTAAACACCATCTCCATATCCGACCGGGACTACCTTCCCTCGCTATTCCGTCAATATGGCTGGTCTATCACAACCCTAGACATGACTCTGAAGGACAACTTTGTGTTCGCACTGGACAAAGCAACCGAAGACAGAGGATCAAAGCTCACGACCTTGATCGCCGCCCAAGTGTACTTATCGTCAGAAGGATTAAACTGTATGGATCGGATCGCTGCTCGTTCGCATCATCTGCAACACTTCGAACTCTTCCTACATGACGATGCGCTCGTCGATACACAGTCAAAGCCTATGCGTCTGCTACATCGCCATAAAGAGCGACTTACCACGTTGAAGGTTCAGACCACGTCCGACCCACGGCTGCCACAGCTTAGAAAGACATTCCCCGTAAGACAGCACTTACCCAAGTTGAATACTCTCCTGATCCGATGCTCAAGGAAGGGACCTTTCCCGCCAGTCTCCATTTCATGGCTGGCCGCAATGGTCTCGACTCCTCCGCGTCGCCAAAATGAGGCATCACCGCCCATCCTATCAAGTTCAGGGGACCTCCTGACGGGATCATGCTCCTCCAAGTCCACAAATAACAACAACGACTATAACAACAACAACAACAACAGCAGCAGCAGTATCTCTCAGGCATGGGAGCCAATGAAACAACTCCAGATCAGTAACTTTGATCTTCAGCCCCAAGACTGGAAGACGGTTATCGAGGCACTTGATATTTGTACGCTGGAGACCTTGGATTTCAGCAACAGCAACTTCTCGAGGGATGAGCTCAAGATACTGGTTGGGCGCATTCCAGATGACGACGGTGGTTCTGCGGTCCTATTGAGAAGCGTAAACTTTGCGTCCATGGATCTTTCAGATGACATTGGGGATGAAGGAAAATCGTTATGTAGAGCATTGGAGGAGAAGGCGCCGTTTATCAGGATCACCCTACACGGTGCTAAGACGTCGAACTAGTTTGGATGAAATAGAAAAAGAATTCTGCTATTAACTGTATGTTCGAGTTCAATGATCCTGTGTAGGATTCCTTGAACCCGTCAGGAAAATCTGTGCACAACCTTTAACCCTGCATTAGCGTTTGTAATACAGTAAATCCGACGGTGTGCCTTTCAGATTTCTGAAAAAGTTCATCTCAGATCTTGTGTAGGGAGTATGGATCCTTTAAATGTCTATTGCCTCCGGAGTTATTCGCAAAATGATGCAGACAAAATAAAAAAATAAAAAAGCAGGAACCGTTCGCGTGATTATGGCAGCAGCTGGCGCGAGTTGCCGGGCACAGCAAGCGCAGCTCCATCAGAAACAAGGAAGGAAGCTTCTGGATCTTTATTTCCGTCAGGTACAATTTTTATTGCTTAAAAACGTCAATATTAAAGTTTGATTTGGGGTGCTTTCTCATTAAGTGTCTCGCGTAGCTGTCGCATCTCGGAAGACATCCTTTGTTCAGAAAGAGCTGATTCATTAAACGCGATACATCTCAGCGGTACACCTGAGCCGTCGTCTGGGATGCAATCGACCAGTGTCTTGAACTGCTCGATTGAAAAGTTGCTGTAGGAAACGTCTAGTGTCTTCAGTCTAGAAAAATCAAGCGCCTCGATAATTATCTTCCAGTCTTCCGGTTCAAGTGAAAATCCAGACAGTTCGAACTCCTGCAATGGTTCCCATGCTGTCGAAGTATCAACAGCGGACTCGGTCGATGGTGGTGCCTGGGGATTTTCGAGGCTCTGTGATAGGGAAGACTCATGGTTGGATGGATCGTTTGGAGAGGAGACCATTGCAGCGAGCCAAGGAACGTACTCTTGTGGGAAGATGACTTTGTTGAACCAGCCCATGAAATGAAGATTTTTCAGCCTTCGTACATCGTGTCTTGACAAGAAGGTTTTCGCAAGCCATGGGATATGTGAACCGTGCGATGCTACCTGCACCTTCAACGCAGTCAATACCTCCCTGTACCGATGAAGCAGCCGGCTCTCCGCTGCATCGTCAACCAATGGGTTACCGGCGTGGAACTGGAACTCCTCCAGATAGATGGACCGATCTATGACTCGATCCATGCATTCCAGACCCACAGAGGACAGTCTACGTGCGTCTAGCATAAGGCTCGTGATCCTAGATCCCTTCTCTTCCGTTGACTTGTCTAGTTGCTGAGCAAAATCATCGCCGAACTTTCCGGATAAGGTATCCAGTATATTGATGGACCATCCATATCGGTTGATCAGAGATGAAAGATAGTCCTGATCTGGCTGCCTCAGTTCGATTTCGGTGGACATGTCGAGCACATCGGACTCCTTCGAGAGGTGTACAGAGGAGATGATACGATCGTCGGCTGTGCCGCCGAAATGGGTTGCAAAATCGAGTCGCAATGGTGCGTAAACGTATCCCTTTGCCCTCCCCCGCTTTCTCGCCGATATAATCAAGTCGAGCATATCAAGAAATCGTGCGCATGGGCAACTGAGTTTGATTTCCAAGAGCCTTGGATTTCTGCATAGGATCTCTGGAAGTAATTCCTTAGCTTGATCAATAGCAGCACTCGTAATCGTCAGTCGAGTGAGTAGACCTTTCCGTAAAAACAGCTGATGCAATGGGTCATAAGTCCAAGAGTTGCTTAATTCGGCCCACGCGCCCTGGACCTCGCTCTTGAGGAGGTCGATGATGATGTGGTCCTTTGGAGATCGTAATTCCAGCACTTTAAGGTTTGGCAAATGCTCGATATTGTGCATAACTGTATCGAAGATGGTGCCCAGCTCCTTTGTTCCAAGCTGCAGCTTTGTTAGGTTGGGACAGTTCTGAAGAAGTCTGACGAATGTTGTCCGGGACGCGGCGTCCTCGAGGTGAATGGGTTGCATGTATAGAATTCGAAGTCGAGGAGCGGGCCTGATGGAGGAACTGCTGATCCGGGAGAAGAAGTCCTCAGACCCTTGTAGTGTGACAGCTTGGAGCCGCCCGTCCGACAAGAGTTCCATGATCGGGTCAAAGCGCCGATTGCGGTTGATAAAATCCAATGTTGGCTTTTTGCTACTGAACCTCTTCATTTTCAGACAAGCTACATTCGCATTCGTAATAGCGGCACGGAGTTTCCGATGATCTTCCAGTGTCATTTCCCACCACAGCTTTACAGTCAGTTCATGGATCCTTCGTGCTTTGACCAGTGCCTCGTAGAACTGCTTTGCCTGGGGAGCGGATATCAGATTGATCTTGACCTTGCCCTGCTCCTCAATAAAAGTACCAAAGTTGACTTCCACTACATCTCTCAGTTGCTGCACTGCCGACTCTCGATAGTTCTCACGGTAGTGATCGATGCACACCCATTTGACGTGTCCTTCCTCAGTGACAATCCGGTACAGATTACCTAGAGCGCGACCCTCATCCTGGACCTTCAGATACGACTCCAGCTGTCGAAGATCTGCTCCCTCCAGGACATCAAGTTTGTCCACCCTCGTCTGTTCTTCAGCTGCATCTACCCCACTCTTGTTATTTTGCTGCTGGTCCTCAATGAAGTTGATCGTGCTGTCTACCAATGGCCCAAGATTCTCTTTCACAAACTTGAGCCGCCCCTCGACCGCCTCGACTCCCTCTGCAATCTTGAAATGTGCCAGCGATGGCACAACAACCCCGGCAATTGTAATCCCATACTTGATCATCTGCATCAGCGTCAGGACATAGGACCCGTACTTCTCAAAGAACTCGTTTGGGCGGCTCAGGTCGTATCCCTCGTGTTTGGCCAGGTGGATCTCGTGCGGTATCTTGGTTCCCTCGGACATGGTGTGAGAGCCGCATTCGCACAAGAAATAAAGACGATACTGGTCTGAGAAGGGATTGAGCAACTTGTCGCGACGTCTTGATGCCTTTGGAAGAACAATGAAGAGTCGTGGAATAGGATACTCGTGGAGTTCATAGGTCTGTGTAAGGACGGCCTGGACACGGCTTTGGATGATGGCTAAGCGATCGAGGGCCTGTTGTTGCATCTGGAGCATTTGCTCCTGATTCTCCAGCAACTGCTGCTGTGCTTCCAACAGCTGCTTTTGTGCGATCCTGTCCTTCTCGTTCATCTGCTGTTGCATCTGGAGCATTTGCTCCTGCTTCTCGTCCATCTGCTGCTGTAATAACCTATTCTTGCGCACCTCCGCGACAATGTCAATTTGACCGCGCTGAATGTCCAGAAGCTGCAAAGAGCACTGGTTGAGGTAGGCCTGGGAAGACATGGTCAACTGCTGTGTCATCTCGATTGAGCAGACAACGGGATCTTTGTGCGAGGAAGTCTTGTCCGATATGGAGAGGGCAGTGACTTGCTGTGTAACAGATTCCGCGTCATCAGTAGCCAGCGAGATGCATCGTGAAAGGTCAGTGGTATTGGCTGGCATACCCATAATGGAAGAGAGAGCGGCTGGCACTGTGGATACGGTTTGCTGGAGGGACTCTTCATCCCTTGCACGGTCGACGGTACTTTGTCCGGTGCTGCCGACAATCACATCAAGCACAACTCCAGGATGATGATCAATCCTCAGAGGCTCAAGGCTATAGTTTAAATAGAGAATGATAACAATTAGCAATGGCGTAATAGCCAACGGTCATCTACTTTCCCCTCACAACTTACTGGACAAAGTTGTCGTCGGTAAGGAACGCTACTATTTCTCCTGCTTTCATGGCGCATTTGGCGTTCTCAAAGTAAAGCAGGACATCCTTCCACAAAACGATGTGTCGGTCGGTTTTGTTGTCGAGTCGTGTTTTGACGGTGACAATATCGGCTTGTGTGGACGAACCAGGGGGTGTACGCAGCCGAAAGGCCTGCGAAGGATGCAGGTCCGTAGCATCGAGTGTCATAGCACTGTTCGCAACGGAAATAAGAGCAAGGGGCGGGTGGGCGAGCGGATGGAAGAAGGAACCAATCTGCCGTACAAATATAAAAAAAATCGAGCACGAAGCAACGGCGCATGGCAGCATCTTTGAACAGTATGTTTATAGTCGATATTCTCATTGAGTAGCATTCTTCTCAGTGGAATGTGCGTGGCGATTATATCGAGCAAAAGCTCGATGGGAGAGAATATCAAGGTGAAACCGATTAGGTACAGCCAGTGGGAGGCGTTATCCAGATCTTTAGAAACATCCCCACCGCATTCTTGTCTATGGAGGCGCTGATACCCGAACATGGGCGCAGGATGAGGGGAGCCAAGTGATTTGAGCTGGGCTTTCAGCCTCCTGAAATCATTCCGACCGAAGGCCCCGTAATCAGTAGGAGTCTGCCGGCAGCACCAAAAGCTGTCAAAACGGTGACATCGCATCGCAGATGAACCCTGAGGTGTGCTCCACCTGATTCCATTGATTCATTGATTCCGTTCTTCACTCTCCACTCTCCATTCTACTTCATTACCTATACCCTATTATTCACAATATTCAAAGGAGAGCCATGTCATTCCTCTACAGCGCTATCAAGGACTACATTTATCCTATTGAAGGTGCCTCAGTTGACCCTGCACCCAGCAAGGATACCGACAATTCCAACAATGCTACGGACAGCAGTCAACACCAGTCCTCAGCTGCGCTTAACCCCTACAGCATCAAGAACAACAACAACGACAGGATCATTGTACAGCCGCCTGGGACCCCAGCTCTCTCCGTCCCCTCAGTATCCCTCAGCTCTCTTCAGCTCCCAACCATCTCCACACAGGACTCGGACTCGGACTCCGATCATGACTCTAAGACCAAGGCATCCTTGCCTGTCCTAACGGTCTCTGCCAATTCTACACCAGCCATGACTTTGTCCACCGCAGAAGCACCTGATGGTAACGTTCGCTCTCCTTCTCTGCCTCCGTCTGTGCACGTATCTTGCTGCCTTTCACGTTGGCCCATGCGCAGCAAGAAGTTTTTATGACCTGTTGCACAGCAATTGACTATCAAATTTGAATCTTGTAGAGGCAACACCCAGCTTTCCTGCCCTGAATGGTCCCCAGCGCCTGGCAGCCTGTTCTACAGATCCGAAGTCCAAGAGGAGAATCAAGTTTGCGCTGGCACCTGGTCACTCGCCTCTGGACTGGGCCCGCTTGACCAACTCTGGAACAGACCTGAGGGTAAGAGGAGGACGATGCTGAGGATACGTTTGTTCATCGAGTCCATTCTATCCTACAGGTGCTGTTACTTTGGTGACAAGCAATTAACTCATTTTCCAACACTAGGGCGTTACAGCAATTGGACGATATACGTTGACGGACATCAAGGCTCATAACAAGGCAGACGATGCATGGACGGTCCTCAATGGAAAGGTCTACAACATTACACCGTACCTCCCTTTCCATCCAGGCGGAGAGAAGGAGATTTTGAGATGTGCGGGACGCGACGGCACTCGACTCTTCAGTAAGTGTTTATGGTGATCGCACATGGACAATGCGGCTGACTGTAAAGAATCTTTCGCCAGCTGACGCTCACTTTTATTTTTTATTATCTCCATTGTAGATCTGACGCACAAGTGGGTCAATTACGAGTTCATGCTCAAGGAATGCCAGGTTGGTTTCTTGATCTCGGAGGCATCTTCATCGTACCAACTCTCAGCCTGATCATGGCCCAGATGTCCTACGATATATCACAACCACTGGAGACAAATAAATGGTTCTGCTTGAGCACAGCCCTCGTAATCTATTCTCATGCTTATATTGCAAATATTGCTAGTCTAAAAAAGACGCGCCCATGCGCGCAAAAGTCCTGCTCTGCTCTCGGCATAACAGTATTTGCTAGCGTAGCTGCTTTTTTTTGCTGAGATGACGGGCTCTGGTTCCACATGTCACAGCAACGGGACGCTCACGGCCCTCCGCAGCGCTTTAGTTTCTTTATCACCTACCACTTACCACCCGCCATAAATTGTCCTTCACATGAACTGTCGTCGTCGTTTCTTTTTTTCTTTTTTTTTTTCTGCTTTCTTTTCTTCCTTGTTATTCATCGCTTTCCTCCACTGCAACAATAGCATTTGAACTCCGTGTTCTTCAAGATGACTGTCCAGAAAAACACTGCTTGTCCTTCCAAGATGCCCTCTGCCATCTTTCTCGACTCTGGCGGGGTCATCAATGACAACGCGCAGCGTGCTCCTCAATGGATCCGCTATCTTGGAGAGTTCCTGCCCACGACCGTTCTCGGAGGGACCGCAGAGGTCTGGGGTATGGCCAATGTCCAGGTCATCAGGCCCTTCTTCCGCCGCTGGGGAGATTTCATGATCCAAGCACATGTCGAGGCAGGGCTGGCCCAGGCCAATGCGATCCAAGCCGGCAAAGATGCGGACCAGGTTCGGAGCGGTTGTGATAAGGAGACGAATGTGTACACGGTCTTTGAGAGGATCCACCTTTTAGTATGGATCGAGGAGATGGTCCAACTGGCAGCACCTCATGTCCCTGGACTGATGCTGGTCTGGGAAAACCTATCAGTGGATGATGCGTTCCAGATTGCGAGGTCCGCACATTTGTATGCGATCCAGCGGGTCAAGGCCGATTATCCGGGTGCTGTGGATACGATTCGGAGTCTGAGCATGGGCCCGTACAAGTTATACACGAGTTCTGCGGACAGTTCAGAGGATCTGGAGATCGTTCTCAAGGGACTCGGGGTCTTCGAATGTTTTGATGCGGTCTATGGATCTGACAGGGTGAACTGCTTAAAAATGTCGCCTCTGTATTATACAAGGGTGTTCGATCAAGTCGGGGTACACGTGGTTGAACGCGATGCAGAGGGGAACGCTGAGAGGATGGATAGCGGAGATGAAGTTGTGGTGTTGGATGATAATGTGAAGGCGCTTTCGTGGGCGCGTAGCTTGGGGGCGAGGACCGTGTTGATCACAGGAGAGGAGCTGGATCTGTCGTTACGACAGTATCGGGGCGTTGTTGATTACCAGCTCAGGTCGTTGGCAGAACTGCCGGCGCTGTTGGAGTCGTGGAGGGCTCAACTTGAGGGAGCTCGTTCCTGAGAAGAGGAAAATAATGTAGATCTTTGAAATAAAAGGACAATGCGCCGTGTAACTTAAAAAAAAAAAAAAAAAAAAAAAGGGCGCAAAGTTGCGGCAGAGTGATTGGAGGATAAATAGACAACGCACTGTCCTGTCCCTGAGGAAAAGAGACTTGAAGGTGGTGCCAGCACCATTATTGATCGGTCCTTGCTACTCATGGTTCACTCGTTCATGGGTAATGTTCTTGCTGAAAGTGCAGATACACAAAGATACGAGCTGAATTGGAAAATGCTTTGCCCGCTTCCTTTATTATCCCTGAAAAACGGCCACGACCAAAAACTGTGTCACATTTGAAATGGGAAGACGGTGAACTCAGCCTTGCCATCTCAAAGGAAGGAGCAAAGGAGGATCTCGATCATGTCCAATCTAGATTATTATGCCTTTGGTATCCTCAACAGAACGGATACAGAACGCTCAATAGTATCAGATACGGTTTTCCGTTTTCCTTCCACTCCTTGGAACGCAATATTACCGGTGCATTCACATGGCCTGGAGGCGAAGGGAGATGTCCTACCGCCTGCAAACTGCAGTGCGTTGTAGACATATTAACCACTCCTTCTTGTCCCTTGTTCTCGTTTTTTCGTTTTGCAGGAACATCTGCGAATAGATGGATAGCGTGCGCCAATAACGGTTTCTTAGATATTGCTAAGAACAAGCGGAATGGATGAGATGTATGGTCTAGCATGGTCAGGCAGATGGACTCTATTTTTCTACTGTTCCTCCATATACTATCGCTGTCCCTTTCTTCCTCACGCTCGTTGGTTATGGTTGCGCTCTAGAGCGAAGGCAATGAGGATGGGGACGAGAGTGAGAGTGCTTCTCCCAATGCGGATCAAGTATTCGCCGCTGGTTTTCTCTTTTTTCTTTGCTTGGCGGATGTTTTGTTTGCATACTGTTTTCTGTGTGTGTGTAGTTTACCTTCTTTTTTTTCTTTCCTTTTGCACACTCCCCCGATCTTTTATCTTTTTTGGTTTTGTGTCCCACCTTATTTTCTTTTTCCTTGCCCTTTTACCCCACGCTCTTTTATTCTTCCTCTCTCATTCCCACTCTCTCTTTTACACATCACCCGCTCCTCGGCATTCCTCCATTCCCTCTTTCTTACTTCCCTCCCCCCCTCCCCCTCCCCTCCAAGGCACCCCCCTCCTCCTCCTCTTCCCTCTGCCGCAGTCATTGCCTTTACTTAAACAGCTCTCTGCTTCAAGGAACACCGGCCATGACACGCTCCAACGGCCAGTCCTCCCGCACTAGCCCTCGTAAGTTGCAGGACCGAAAGCATCGGAGAATACGAACAGGGAGAGGGTGTGAGGGGAAGAGGGGATATTGACGACAGAGGCGACATGGACTGAAAGGTGGCTCGGCGGCATGTTGCCGTTGCTGCTGTCTCTTTTGTAGCCACAGGGGTATTGCAAAACGGACGATCCTGTAACCAAATTTCCGGTAAACTTGTAGGGTATTCTCCTGTCCATGTGGATAGCTCCGAGAGCGAAGATGACACCACCACCAACGAGCGCACGCCCTTTGTCAAGCGCGGCCGAGCATACCAGCAGCCCGATGACGACGAGGAGTTGTGTAAGTATCTATTTGTCAAAGGCAATGGCGAAAACAAGTTTTATGGTTCGATTGCTTCTCGGGCGATCATCTCAGGGGCCTCATGCATTACTCTGACTGGTCCCTTTCTTTTTGTCCCCAATATCCTTCACAGCAATGACTCCGGGCGCGGATATCTGGTCGACCTTCAAGACCAGACTGCGATACTACGTCCCTGTCTTCCGCTGGCTCCCCCATTATTCCATAGACAGCCTCGGCCACGATTTCATCGCCGGTCTGACCGTAGCCTGCTTGATCATTCCCCAGAGTTTGTCATATGCGACCGCGCTAGCCCGCCTGGAACCAGTCCACGGCTTGTACTCGGCCTTTGTCCCGGGAGTCATCTACGCCATCTTTGGTACCTCACGTCAGCTGTCTGTCGGGCCTGAGGCGCTCGTGTCTATGCTGGTCGGAACTGCAATCGCACAGCAGCAACATGCCAGTGGAAGCACGGATCCCAAGACAGCATTGGCGATCGGATGTTTCATTACGCTGTTTGTCGGACTTTTCACCTTCTTTTTGGGCTTTGTGCGACTTGGGTTCTTGGACTCTGTCCTGTCCAGGGCATTGCTGCGAGGCTTCATCACTGCGGTTGCCGTTGTTGTCATCATCGAGCAGTCGATCACCCTCTTTGGACTCAAGGCGCTTGCAGAGGAATTCGGCATTGGAGAGCAATCCTCAACGGTCGAGAAGTTGGTGTTCATTGTCGAGCATTTCAGCAAAATCCACCCCTTGACTACCATCGTGTCCTTCTCCAGCATCGTCTTCCTGCTTTCGTTTGGGTCGATCAAGAAGCGCCTCAACAAGGTGCCAGTTCTGCAGTTCATTCCCGAGATCCTGCTCTGTGTGATCCTCTACACCGTCCTTACCGCCATCTTCCGCTGGGACAAGGACGGACTTGCTATCCTGGGCGCCACCAAGGCAGCGCGCATCCAACTCCCATCCATTCCAGCTGCACCAGAGGGCGTCAATGTGCGTGCCCTCTTCGGCACATCGGTGCTGATCTCCATCATTGGATTCGTCGAGTCGATCGTGATCACGAAGCAGTATGCAACCAAGCACAACTACTCTGTCAGTCCCAACCGTGAGCTCGTCGCTATGGGTGTCGCCAATGTCGCTGGCGGTCTCTTCCAAGCCATCCCCGCTTTCGGATCGCTCTCTCGTAGCAAGATCAACGACAAGGCCGGTGCGCGTACTCAGCTCGCTGGATTCATCACTGCGCTCATTGTCCTTTTGGCCATCTTCTTCCTTCTGCCGTACTTTTTCTACCTTCCCAAGGCGGTCTTGGCGGGCATCATCTGTGTCGCTGCCTTGTCTCTGCTGTCGGAGGCCCCCCATGACATCAAGTTCATGTGGCAGATCCAGGCATGGTCTGATTTGGGATTGTTGCTCTTGACGTTTATCGCGACCATCTCGGTCTCTGTCGAGGCTGGAACTTTGATTGCCATTGCTCTGTCGTTCCTGTTGGTCATCAAGACCTCGACCTACCCAAGAATCACCATCATGGGCCGTATGCCTGGCACTAAGGGCAAATGTATGTCTTTTCTTTTCTTTTTCTTTTTTTGGTCTCTCATTTGTATTTTGAAGGTCCACAACTCCTGAGTGGGAGACTAATATCCGAAATGTCGTTCTTCGAAATTCATAGTCCGCCCAATCAAGGACTACCCGGGCATTGCAGAACACATTGACGGCGTTCTTATTATCAAAGTTGAGGAAGGGCTGTACTTTGCCAACACGGGTCAGCTCAAGGACAGACTGCATCGTTTGGAGGTCTTTGGCGACATGAGCGTCCATCCATCAGAAGAGGCCCGTCTCAACCCCGTTTCGCATGTTATTTTCGATGTTGAGAACATGCCCTATTTGGATGCCAGGTAAAAAAAAAAAAAAAAGATTAACACACTGTGTATTGAAAGGAACCTACAGGAGAGATGGTTGTTCTGACATCAAATGTACTTTTCTTTTAATGCCACGATTGTTTAGTGCTGCTCAAATCCTGCTCGAGATCGTGGAGGCGTACCATGCTCGCCACATCAAGGTGTACTTTGTCAAGTTGCGAGAAAACTCACGGGAACTGTTCATCAACAGCGAGCTCCTGGACCGTGCGGGTGGTGAGGCCCATCTGTTCGGAAGGACGGCGGATGCGATGGAATATATCGAGCATGAGACCCTGGCGTTGAATGAGAATGAGCGCCAGGTGTAGGCAACCCGGCCCCAGAGAGGTGTTTCTTATTTCTTATTATAGATCTACCTATCATTCATCAATCATTCGTTTCTTTTACATAACAACCATACCTCATCTTTTTCTTTGTTTTCAACAGAACCTATTGTATACACCAGATGCGTAGAAACAAAGCATGATCTCTATTAGATAAAAAAAGCCTACAAAGGTACTATATCTTAGAGGAAAAAAAGATGGCACGGATGCTGCAAAAGCGGATTTTGTCTTTTTCTTTTATTATTATTATTATTATTATTATTGGATTGGATTGAGGGAATGGATTTGTTCCTATGGTTTGTTGGGCAGGCTGATCTGCATGTGCGCCTTCCAGTTGTCAAGATGGATCTGGCGTTCATGTTCCTGTTCCTGTTCCTGGGAGGATGATGATGAACGTTCAGTGCCACAGAACCCTGATGCTGATTCTACGGACAAAAAAAAAAGAGCACACAGGGTAAGTTAGAATTCTACAAGTCTGTTGAACAAGCATAAAATAGGGAAAGAGGCGAATTTGAGGGAAACGGATGTCGCGTTTGACTCCACCTCAAGGTCAGAGGCGTGAGAAAAAACGAAAGAAAAAGTGCCTATATCACTCTCCTTACCATTGAAAGTAGTCGTATGTGCCTCATACTCCTCTGGCGAGTATCCTACCGCAGCCGGTGCGGCTGCGGGAGGCGAATACATTGACCGCTGCGGCTTCCCCTGGCGCAGGAACCAACCCTGACCGGGCCTTGAGGAGGAGGATGACGCCGTCGTCACAGACCGCCGCGTCCCCATCCCCATCTCCTTTCGACTCCTTCCTGCACCAGATCGACGCCATGGCCAGAAGACGACGGATTTCGAGATTGTGAACGTTGACAAGGGCGATGTGTGCTTCTTAATATTCAATCCTAGGAAGTTTTTTGGTGTGGATCCAGCTGCGGAGACGTCCGCTGAATAGAGCGTCGTATAACCGTCCTGCCATATTGGTAGGGATTCAGTACTGACGACGGTTTCCGCCGGAGAGGAGGATGAGAGGGATAAGGCGACGGCTGGGGCAGGCGCTGGAGGAAAGGAGGAGACAGTCGCTGTGGGTTTGGGCAGGTGTGAGAAGTCCATGACGGGTTCGCTGGCGTTGATGATCATGATGGATAGGAGCATCGATGCGATCGCGTAGAGAAATACGGCCAGCATCTTTCTTCTTGGCGTGCGTGTATGTGTATGTGTGTGTGTATTAGTTCCCGCTTGGGGGGATGAGGTTGATTGAAAAAGGGTCGGATTGTTTGCGATACTGGTGAGACAGGACAACAGGGTTTTCGGAGGTGTGTGATAAACTGGAGACTGAAGTTGACCTGTCAGCGGAGTAGAAAAGAGTAACGGTGCCCGCAGGACTAACGATCGAACAATAGGACACAGAAAACGGAGAGAAAGAGAAGAGGCAAAGAAAGGTAAGAAGAATAATGTGAAGGGTATATTTGATGTGGAGTGTAGATTGGGTTCAGAAGCAAAGGAAAGAGAGATAGGCGCGATTGGAATGTAAAACTGGAGAAGTGGGAGGAAGCGAGAGACACAAGGAAACGAAAAAAAAGGGTCGTTGTTGAAGCGGATGCAGGGATACTACCTTCAACAAGAGACGATTGCACCATCGGACTTTTTTTTTTTTGGCTGCTGCTGCTGCCGCTGCTGCGTTGGCTCATGCTGCTCAGCACCTGCGAAACCCAGCGATAATTAATTTTAGATATTGCGTCCTATTGTCCATGTGTTGCAACAAAAGAGACGATTACATATGAGCGCGCTCTTGCTCTCAACATTAAAAAAAATCTTACAAAGGAGCTCTATCCAGCGATCAGATGCATCGGCGACTGAGCTGGCTCCAAAGAAAATATTCAGCGGTTGCATAGTCCGGGAAGTCGGTCGACCAGCCGTCTGCCATGCTCAACGGTGCTGCTGAATCATCTTTCCACGCTTCAACACAGCCTCCGCTCTCGTTGGTTTTAAGAAAAGAAAACCGGAGTTGATATGGCAAAGCACCCCGATTCAAAAAGCGTTATGCATGCCTGTAGATCCTTAATCCTCATTGCGTGTACACACAGCAAGATGCCAAGTATGCACAGTTACAGAGGATCCAAAACTACAGCTTGCCACGTTTACATTTTTCCTCCTCCCGACTACTACATCAACGCACAAACCTGTTTATTTTTCAACGACAAAAATATGCTAAAAAAGACCATTGTCAAGCTTTTCATCTGCCGCTTAGGTCTAAGCAGAGATGCCTTATGTGCCGCGGTTCAAATTGCGAGATGTTAATAGCGAGAAGGCATTTTTATTTTGGATGTCAGTTATTGGAGAAGATCTTGGATCGGTAGCGATGGTCCCCACGAATTGTCTAGTCCGCATATCGCTTGGTGAACCGGTGACTGGAGACAATTGAGTCGGTATCGGCATCGAAAGACGAATCCCCAGGAGCTTGCACTGTATCATTCTATTAAGTGAGATCTCAGCAGATCGTCATTAACTGGCATTATGTGTTGCTGAACAGAACCTCTTCATGATTCATAGTCTGCTGCAGGCTGTTTGTAAAACGACATGTCCCTTTTTGTTTTTGGTCTTTGTAAATGAGTAAAAAGGAATGAGAGGATATGCGCCCCGTATAGTCCTTTCCGCCGAACTAGAGTGTCGACAGAAAGGGTGGAAGAGGACCTTCTTTTCACAGAATCCGGTTCTTGTCGTCCATACGGCACTGTGAGTGCTGTAGTAGACCCCAGGAGCGCAAGCGCATCGACCAGGGCCTTAGCAGCAAAAAACAGTAATTTGAAAAGGAGACGTGGGTAAAGAAGAAAAAAAATTCTCTTGCTCTTGTTATTTCTTGCGTGCCCCTTAGGACGGTAGATTTGCACGCGGATTCGAAAAAAGGCGTTATGGGACACAAAAAGGCAAGCAGCGCCCAATTTTAATGAACCGAAACGCCGCCAGTCACTGACTTGTCTCCAGGGCCATGGACAGGGCGTAAAATTAAAAGGGCAGCATGTGAACTAGGGTTCAAAGACCGTGCTTTTCGCCACAGCATTGCACGAATAAGACATGGCAGGTCAGACCCATATCCTTCCTACAACCCTGTCTTTGCATTCAAAGCACCACGGCAGCATGGTACCATGTTAGTCAGTGCAAAGGGAGTTGTGCAGGCCCGAAACCACACAACACCCTTTTTTGTTTCCAAGAGGAAGAAGGAAGAGGCTGAGGACGGCATTGGACTGGTCCAAAGTGAAAAAAAAAGAGCAGTTGCATTAAAACACCACAAAGGAGTGTCCAGACAATCCCGCTCACGCGAGCAGAGAGATCGAAGGCTAAGTAAGACTGAACCAGGGACAAACGCCTCACACGACCTGCAAACTCAGGCTGGCGTTTTTTTTTTGTTGTGTATCCAAGGGAAAGTGTGGATTGCGATTCTTTTCTCCATCCAACCCTTTCTTCATCTTCATTCTCATCAGCTTTTTCTCTTTTTTTTCTTCTTCTTCGTTGTAATTTCGTCCGTCCTGTTGCTACATACCACCCACATTGGATATTCAGGTACGGAATCAGCACCTTTTTTGATTGCCATCTCCGCACTTTTTTTTATTTTATTTTATTTATCAGGAAGCAGTGATCCCTTTGACTATTCCAGAGCAGAAAAAGGCTTATTTGCTAGATGCACACATCACTTTAGTCAATGTATGCCCGGATGTATCATGGAGATAGAGTAGGGTGGGTGACAGGGAGAATTCAATGGCAATCGCTTCCAGACCCGTCCTCAGCACATTTTTCCGCTTCTGCTCCCCCTTTTTTTTTGTTTGTGAGCATTGTCGCATTTAGATCGTGTGAGGTGCACTCTTTTTAGAACGATTCTCCTCCCCCTCCCTTGCAAGTTTTTTTTCTTGCCTTCTTTCCCGGTAATAGGCTGTGAAAGAACTACAGCTTCGGTTGAATCCCACCCGCCGTAAATACCGTTTTTTTTTCCAGTTGCAGCTCGGCATTCAGCACAGACGATACTCCATACAGCATGCCTATCTTTTGCTGTTCTTTGGCTTCGCTATCCACTCACCTGTCTCTGTCTGCCTGCTGTCTGCTGTCTGCTGTCTGCTGCCTGCTGTCCCCCGACCCAAAATAATCCTCGGACGATGAATGAACAGTGCTAAAAATATCTTTTGCGTTGTATACCTCTTTTTCTTTGGACATAGGCATTTCATTACGAACAAATAACAAAACCAAGATGGCGCATCATCATTATCGCCAGTATCAAGAGCAGGAGAACCAGCTGGCCCATCCCTCTTTTCTCTCCTCCTCTTCTCCTCCTCCGCCTTCACGCCTCGCCTACTCGCCACCACCTCCATCCGCGCCGGCTGCTCCCAGCAACCCTTACCACTCTCAACAGCCCTATCAGCCCTTGCAGCCCCAGCAATCCAATCAGTCCTATCAGTCCGCACCTGGATCTCGATCTCAGTTCCCACAGCCGCCCATCCCACCTCGACCGCAATTCTCTGGCTCGCATATCCAGTACACCGCTCTTCCCGACACGCCCCCTGTCCCGAAACGCGATTCGTCCTCCAATTTTGCTTCGTACCTCCCTATTCCAATCTCCCCAACGACACCAACGACGCCTGTAACCCCTGTGTCGTCATCCGATCATCCTTTGGCAGTTCAGTACACTTCTCTCCAACCTCCTCAGCGCAGCTTCCTTGATCGACCCCTGTCATTGGCCTCAGGAGATCGTCCTTTCTCTGTCGGCTCCTTTGACTCTACACACTCGAACGACCCTCTCAATCCTCCGGCTCAAGCTCAGCCTTCCAAGGAACCTACTACACGTAAAGTGAACCTCAGGAATCGCCTACAGAAAGAGGACCAGTCAACAATGCAGACCGCACGATCGATCACACCCCAGCCCTGGCACCCAGACTATCACAGCAACAGTCGTAGCTCGACACCCAACCCGCTCGATCTGCCAGAGCATCGTCGCCCGCGCCGCAAATCTGATGAGTCCCTATCGGTTATGGCTGAGATCGATCGCAATGAAAAGGAGGGCAAGGATGACAATGGTCAAACGGCGTTGAAGAAGACCCGCAAAAACCTCTTTTCGCGCCTGGGTTGGAAACGCACACGTGTGACTTACAAGGTCTCGGGTACGGGTCGTTTGGCCCAGTTCTCGAATGAACGTCTGTACCTGCATTGGATTCGATATGGTATCCTGCAGGGAACGATCGCATTGACACTGTTGGGATTCGGAAACAACGTCGCAACCTATGTGGGCGTTGGAGCCCTGATCCTGGCGTTGTTGACGTTGATCTATTCGACGACGCTGTATCATCTGAGGCACTTGTACATGGTCACGAAGAGAAATGATGTGGTCTACTATCAGAGAACTGTCCCGACATTGCTCTGCCTGGGCCTGGTTCTCCTCTACCTTGGCAACTTTATTGGTAAGTTTTTTTTTTCTTTTTTTTTGCAAATGTATCCCTGAAGTCAAGGAGGAAGAACAGTAATATTGACTCGGTTATTACTTTATTCTTTTGAAAAACTCTAGTGACCATGTCGATTGGTGATGATGCCAGAAGTCCACCTCCATGGACGGGAGTTGACGACAACTCTTTCCATGCCTTTAATTAAATCCCAAGTCCGTACCTTTTTTCATCTATTTAATACTGTCATTTATATAGCCATATATCCATCATCCTATTAAAAACTATCTCTTTGCTTCAGATCGACGGAAGACGGACAGTTATGAATGCTTATTTGGCGCGTCTCAATGCTTCTGATAAATGATCATCAGTTGGTCTTCAAACCCTCATGACTACCAGACCGTAGTGCTTTATCCGATCGTTTACAGTTGGCGTTGCTATAATGGACACCGATTGCCTTAACCCGTCAAAGAGAAGCAGCAACGTAAGATTCCCTTACTCGGCCCATTTTGATGCCGCGAGAACATATATGGCTTCACCCCATGCGTTCGTTCAAATTGAGATATCGCTTCAAGTGATCCACCTCCACGCCACGAACACGAATGGCGTCTTCGAGGCAGTGGCTTTACTGGGTCCACTATAATGAGCATGTACCGCCTCATCCAATACATTTGAATTCTTTTTTGCTAAAAACTGAGATATCGTTTGCTTCGACGGCAAAGGGATCCGGACACAGATGCTTCCTTAAGGCATGCAACAAGTGGTGCGGTCGCCTTTTTTTTTTTTTTTCACTGCTTAGACTCCCGAGGGACATGTATATCTTCTAACGCACTCGGTCGTATTGCAATCGTCTTTTCTTTTTCTTTTATTTTTTTTCCTGGAGTTGAGATACTACTTTATCCGAATCCTCTTTGCCTCCATGGACATAATTGGCCCCTCCCTCCAATGCAACTGATCGCTTTCACAATCGGTCGGTTTCCGTGACAATGAAGATATCAATTTATTTTGAATCCGCTTCGACAGCGCGAGCATGATTGGGCTTCAAAGTACGGTGCGCAACTAGACTACCGTGAAATCAGATCTCTCTACTCGATTTACTTTTGGTACTGTAAGCGCCTCTTCTGACGCATTCGACGCACTCTGTAACTAACTGTATCCTTTTTTTTCTGTGGCAACGGAAGCATCGCCTTGAGTGTGATCCATTTTGTTGTGGTCAAAGACAAAGCTGTCTTTTTTTTGAAGCACACATCCACTCTGCAAATCGGGTTATATCAAGATATTAAGATAGAGATTGTCGCTTTTATTTCGATCCGCGTCGTCTTGTTTGCTCTAGAGTGATGCTCAACAATTCTCCTGTCCATGCGTAACATTCGTTGGTAGTGGAAGAGGAAAGAGGGTTTATTCCTCATCCTTGGCCTCATAAGACTTCCAGTAGTTGCCAATGACGGGGAGCTTGCAGAAGAGATCGGTCTTGGAATTTCAATTTGAAAGTGAAGAGGAAGAAAGAAAGAAAAAAAATTGTCAATATTTTTTTTGGAATGAGGTGTCATTTTTACATGGATGGATACAGTAGACATAATAAATACCTTGGCTGGGGGGAGGCACTCGGCAATGAAGAGGACACCGGCACCGGCAGCAACACCGAAGCGGGCGGCGCTACCAGCCCTAATAGATTTTGATATTACAAGTCGTATTTATGGGTTAACGGCAAGGAGCAAAAGGAAAAAAAGTAAAGTGATATATTCTCCAAGGTGATCCTGTTCACAAAGCATTCGTCCGCCTGTGCGTGTGCGCGTGTGCCTGAAACATATCGACGTAGCGGGTTGGTTGAATCTTCAAGTCGGAAAGGCGCCATTGGAAAAATACGTCGTCCTGTTGCTTATCCTAAAATCGATCCAGTTGTGAAAACAAGATGCACAATGACTGGGAGTAATGTCGTGTTGTCGCTTTTCTCGGTTCTGCTTAGTGTTGATTCCGGAAGTTGACGAAAAGACCGGAAAAAAAAGAGCCAGCACTCAAAAGATAGCTCGGTGAAGCAGACAAGAAGAGTAGACGGAACGCACCAGCGCTGGATGTTCTCGGGGTTGGCGCCCAAGACGCGGACAGAGTAGGTGATGACACGGGGACCAGCCATGGTTTGATTCTTGAGTGGTGAAGAAAAAAAAGTTGTGAGGGAGGGAGAGTTGATGATTCGGATGTGCATAATCAACCGCAACTTCGGAGAGTGTTTACACGTTATTTCCTCCCAACGCGGAGTTGGTCTGGAATGACATCACCTATAAATGCCGCGTCTGGAAATAATGCGCGCCAGGAATCTGGGCGCGCTATCTTTTTTTGGAAGACACTAATCCTCGGTCGAGGAAGGGTCCAGTCGTGTCTCAGTCCAGAGGAGGGCGGAAGGCCAGGTGGAAGGGTCAGGGATTGGCTAAACACCATCGCACCATACGTTGCTGAGAGAGGTACTGGTGCCAGAAGGAGAGCTACACGCCTCTCGTTGCTATTGTTTTGCACGGTATGTTAGACAAAACCAGAGGGTTGTGGCACGGGGCGAGGCAGCCCAGGTTTATCTCCTTCTTCGCTGCTCTCATCATCCATCCTCTTCCTCTTCCACCATCCACTTCTCTTTCTAGTCCCACTCCATCTTTCACTCATCACACTTCCTACTCACTCTCGACCGCTGCTGTCATTCTACTCATCAATATATTTTTCACAGGTACTTATTCTCTCCTCCCCTAACTCCACCTCCCGTGCCATTCTGCCTGCTTCGCCTTTCAATTCTCCGCCCCACCTCTTTTCTGTACACCTCAGATATAGGAAGGGGTACATCTTATAGTATAGTTTCAATACGAGGCCCGCGCTATACACTCCATACAAGACTCTCGTTGTGAAACAGTTCATACAGCATGCCAAAGTGTGCTGAGAATACATACGCTGCCTACTCTTCGGGTGCGGTTTACTATGTTTCTGGACAAGACCGTCTGACCATAACAAAAGTGTCGCCTGCTCGCTCATTTGTGAGCAACCCTTTTTCACACTCTTCTCCATGTTTTTGAAGCACCTTGTTATTGGCATGGCGATCTTCTCCTCCTCTTTATTTTAGTGGGTACCATGGAATGACAAGTGGCTATACTTCCGTTGTGGGGTGTTGCAAATATCTAACTTTCCCTGACTCTTTGCTGTATGAAAATAGAAAGTCTTTCAGGATACTCCGACAATAAGTTTGACTCTACCCATCTTTTGTACACATATCATAAACCATGGCCACTATCACCGACGTTGCCGATGTTGAGGGCTGGATACAGCATCTGATACAGTGCAAGCAATTGCCAGAGGCCGATATCAAGAGACTGTGCGAAAAGGTACATGATGGTCACCTTTGTGAACAATGTTGTTGGCGTAGAACCGTTCAGGAGGCTCGTGAGATACCAAGCACGGAATTGCGCTACAGAGCACTGCCGAGATCAAGAACACTGTCAAAAAAAGCAAGATTGGATTTCAATGCGACATGGCAGGACAGCTTTACATAGAGCATTCCAGGATATCTTCAACCAATCGACTTTTCTACAGCAGCATCTCGATGGTCAAGGTGTCTATTTCAATGAGCTGATACTCACACTTTCCCTTGGCGTGTGTTTTATCGCTTAGGCGCGCGAGATCCTGATGGAAGAATCCAACGTCCAGCCTGTTCGCTGCCCAGTCACCGTGTGCGGTGATATTCATGGACAATTTCACGACTTGATGGAACTTTTCCGGATCGGGGGCAACTCGCCCGATACAAACTACCTCTTCATGGGAGACTACGTTGATCGTGGCTACTACTCTGTCGAGACCGTGACGCTACTCGTGGCGCTCAAGGTCCGTTACAAGAACCGTGTTACCATCTTGCGTGGAAACCATGAGTCGCGTCAAATCACACAGGTTTATGGATTCTATGACGAGTGCCTTCGCAAGTACGGTAATGCCAACGTATGGAAGGCCTTCACGGATCTTTTTGATTACCTTCCCTTGACCGCCTTGATTGAGGACCAAGTAAGTGTAGTCTTTTGCATAGAGGAATCCGGTTTAATACGCCATCTCTATGATGAGAGTCATTCATTAATCCATTTATTATGTTCTTCTCTAGATTTTCTGTCTTCATGGCGGTCTTTCGCCATCAATTGATTCCTTGGACCACATTCGCTCGTTGGATCGCATCCAGGAAGTACCTCATGAAGGACCCATGTGCGATCTGCTTTGGTCTGATCCCGACGACCGCTGTGGATGGGGTATCTCGCCCCGTGGGGCTGGCTACACGTTCGGACAGGATGTTTCGGAAACCTTCAACCACAACAACGGATTAACACTGATTGCCAGAGCCCATCAGCTGGTTATGGAGGTATGAAACGGAGATTGTTCGATCTTCATGAAACTCTCCTGTGCTTTGGAGTTTATGATTAAATGTTAACAATGTGATCTTTTCCTGACTGAAATAGGGCTACAACTGGTGCCAGGATCGCAATGTAGTTACAATCTTCAGCGCTCCAAATTACTGTTACCGCTGTGGCAACCAGGCAGCCATCATGGAGATTGATGAGCACCTGAAGTATACGTTCCTGCAGTTCGACCCTGCTCCTCGCCGTGGCGAGCCCCATGTCAGCCGCCATGTTCCTGACTACTTCATGTAACCTTGTATATTTCTCAGGTAATGTTCGTTTTTAAGCATCGACAATTGTATTGCACGCGTTCAAATGCCCGATGTTGGTTCTGTTTGATTGACCAATGGTGCCACATCTTGTCCATCTCGCTGTGTTTTAGACCAGTTACCCCCCCCCTCCTTCCTCCTCGCAATCTTTTTACATGCAACATATCAACTCATCTTTCTCAATTGAAACAAAAAGCGGAAACAAAAAATAAAAAAGATATTTAACTTCAAGAACATCATGTCTTTTCAATAAACAATGTTAGAAGGAGGCATTTGTAGCTGCATGCCGATTGGACGATGCGCCTATAAGAGATTTCCCACGGATGCATCACAGTCAAATTTATCCACGAGTTCATCTACCTTTTTTTTTTTTTGGAACTCTTTTTCATTCCTAATCATCATTCATTCCTTACCAACTCCGATCGACCACAATGAGCAGCAGACTTCAAGGAAAGAACGTCTTGATGTAAGGCAGTCGAAGCGGAGGACTTTTTTTTTTTCTTCGGTCCAAGACGGAGCCCCTCGTACTCTAGTCTCTTTTTCAAAAAGGGAAGAGTTTTTGGGTGGGGAATCGATTTTGTCTCACTGGACGTTTATCCTCTTACTCCGATGGATTGATTAGTACCGGCGCGTCCTCGGGTATCGGTGAGGCATGCGCTCGCCATTTCGCACAGGCTGGATCAAACTTGGTAAAAACGTCGATCTCGCTTTGTGCTGTTATCCGGAAAAAAAAAATGTTTCGTGGGTCATGATAATGAGAAGAAAAATTAGTTGTTCGACAAGAGGAGGAAACTACGACTTCTTCGATTGAAGGAGGATCAAGAACAAGTGAAGATATTTCCGAGGCAGTTACTAATCCCCTCCTTCTCTATCACACTGCTTTTTTTTTTTTTTTTTTTTTTTATATACCTTTTCCTCACTCACTCACTCTCAGTTGCTGGCTGCACGTCGCAAGGAGCGTTTGGAGTCCCTGAAGCAAGAGTTGGAGAGCAAGTATCCGTCGATCAAGGTATCGACCTTTGAATTGGATGTCCGTGTCAAGGCCAAGGTGAATGCGGCGATCGAGCACTTTGGAGAGGTTGATGTCCTTGTCAACAACGCCGGTAAGCACAATATCCCCAAGAGGGGAAAAAATTTTTTTTTTGCTTTTTTTTTTAATGGACGCTTTACCCAAAGTCATTGACCCTCTTCTTTCTTATTGTTTATGGATATTCAAAAAAAGGACTGGTGATTGGGTTGGACAAGCTGGAGGACATCACAGAGGATGCGTTGGACACCATGATCGACACGAATGTGAAGGGTCTGGTGCATGTCACCCAGGCGGTGCTGCCGGGGATGCGTAAGCGCAACAAGGGACATATCATCAACATCGGATCGGTGGCTGGTCAGCAGCCCTATGCGAACGGATCGATTTACTGTGCTACCAAGGCGGCGGTCGCCTCGATCACTCGTGCGCTCATGGCCGAGACCGTCGATACCGCCATCCGTATCTCGGAGGTGAACCCAGGTGAGAACGACCCGACCGTGGAGGAGAAGAAGAAATAGCGAGGAAGAGGTTTGATAAGATCCATATTTTCGTCCATACATTTCTAACGACTTCTCTCTCTCTCTCCCTCTGTCCCAACTCTTTGCGTGCGTCCATAAATGATGGATGAATGTTGTAGGCCTGGTCGAGACCGAGTTCTCGGTGGTCCGCTTCCGTGGCGATAAGGAAAAGGCCGACTCGGTCTACAAGGGTGTTGAACCCCTGACGGGTGACGATATCGCAGAGACCGTTATCTTTGTGGCCGGGCGTCCTGAACATGTCAACATTGCGGAGATGCTCGTCTTCCCCACTAACCAGGCAGCCGCCACCAACGTCTACCGTCGGCCTTGAAATCATTTCATAGAACATGGAGGTTCTCTTATCCGATCCTACAGAGAATAAAAAAAAAAATAAGCGCTCCTGTCTGGGGTATTGTCTGAATTGTACTGGCGAACTATTTATTTTTTTCATCCGCTTCTCTAAAGACTACCGTCGGTCAACAAAATGTCAGATAACAAGGGAGATTAACTCCTACATACAAAATTATTTGTCTGCCATCCAAGAAGACGATTAGCCCTTTTTTTTTCTTTTCTTTTTTTTTTTACAACTTGGCGGCAACCTTGCGCTGGTCCTCGGGCAAGTTCTGCTCGACGACGGTCCTCATATCCCTAAGAGCCTGTCTCAAGAACTCTCCAAACTTCCTCGTGCTCGTGACCTTGCTCTCGAATTTGGACTCGACTCCAAACTTCAGCGTCTTGCCTCCTGCCAAATAGTTGATACCATATCCGTCAGGGTACATGGCTCCGAATCCTGTGCCGACAAAGTTGTCTCCAGCAAACAGACCCGAGGTCGACAGCAAAAAGGCCCCGCTCTTTGCAAAGACCGGCTCCTGGAACAAGTCGTGGGTCTCGCCTGGTTGGAGGCAGAGACGAAGACCAAGCAGGTGACGATCGCATCCCTTGCCGTTCGCGGCGTCCTTTTGGTACTGCTGATGAGCAGCAATGGCGGCGCGGAGGAGCTTCATCTTCTCCTCGGGCTTGACAGAGGGATTCTCCATGGCCTCGCAGAAGGCCTTGCTGTCGGTGCTGAGTGATCGGGTAGTCTCGGTGCGTCCATGACGGAACTGACGCGTAGAACCGGTCTCGTAAGTCGCACAGGATTCGCCCATCTGCTTGAAGTATGCGAGCTGGAGCGCCATCTGGAGATAAGCGTCCGGCGAGGTCTTGACAACTTTCTTGACATAATCCGAGCCGTACTCGTCAAAGTAAACGATGCCGCAATCACTGTTCTTCGACAATTTCTCGATCGTTGCCGACGCCGCCTTGAGGTGCTCCTGTGTTTTGGTGTCGGTCACGAAGGCCAAGTGTTGGGGTGCTGCGAGCGTGGGGTTATTAGTCGCGGGGGCGTTTAAGTCTGTGGGTTTGCGGACAATGATGTCCATGATCAAGGCCGGGATCAAGGCGTCGCAGGGCGAGTGCTCGCCATGGCAGACAAATTTGCCGTCGCGTTCAAAGATCATGTTCATAGACTTGTCACACCAGCGATTATGTCCACCATGACCGTGCATGCCGAATTTGGCCCATTCTGCGAAATCGTTACCGCGGTCGGCCTTGGTGGCCTCGGCGGCGGAGTCGAGGGTCACACAGAAGAGGGCGTCCTCGATCACCTGAAGGGATTCGCGGTTTTTGGGATCCAGGACCACGAGATGTTCACGCGCAACAGTCCAGGCGTCACGGTGGTCGCAGGTCAAGAGGCCGACAGGAGCGGAGGTCTTGATCTGCTTGAGCTGCTTGATGGCGTTCAGAAATTGCCTGTTGGATTATAAGGAAGAGGTGCTCTTGGTTAATGCTCGGTGTCCTCCATAGTCTCCACATGCCTCGGCTAAAATATTTCGAGAGGGAGGGGTGTAACAAGAAAAACGTTGACAAAGCAAAAAGGTTATTTTTGAAATAAGGTGCGGACATATATACCTCTCCATGTCACCGTCCAGGAAGCGCTTGCCATCGCCCGTGTAGACGTCAATCTTGAAGAGCTGGTCCTCAATGATCAGCACAATATGCTTTGATGGCGAGGGAAAGGGCGTGTACGCAAGCCTGTCGCATCCATGCTGAGGAATACGCGTGATGCCCATCAACTGCGTATATTGGTGCATGCACAACGGACCGCTTCTCGTCTTTTCCACAGGAACATTTTGACTATTTGCGCAGAAACACAAGAAACACAAAATACACAAAGTTAGAACCAAGATACCCAAGTGCACACGTGTGATTTGCAGACTTTTTTTTTTTTTTTTTCGTGTCCACGGTAGGCGTGCGTGCAAGAGTTGATTGACTGACTGACCTGTACAGGGTTTCGGTGTAATCGAGCAATTGCTGGGCGACATGAGCTGCGCGCTTCACCTGGAAGGTTGTGTAGGCGGGGTTTTCAGCCGTGGGGTGGAAATCCTTTGGATGGTTGAGGTCGTTTCTCATCAAGATGTACCAGTTCGAGTTGACCAACAATGGTTCCCGCCACTCATGGTACGCTTTGCTGTATCATCATGGACACGATATAGGGCGACAAAAAAAACAAAAAAACAAAAAAACAAGGAAACACGGTTAGATCTGTGTCCAGATCCCACTTAATGGGCAACAGTGATCGTTAGGACAATGTTCATAGCAAGCGAGGCATACCTGATCCACCACGTATCATCCAGCCAGTTGTTTGGGGCAGCGCGATCGACATCAAGGAGACGCTGCTGCAGGGTCCGGCCAAGTCCACCTGGCTTGAGAAAGTCCTTGGCGAGGGTCTTGTTGCGCTCGAGCTCCTCGGGTGTGGTGAGAGGTTCGATGGAGTAAAGGTATTTCGCCAGGGTCTCCTCCAGGGTGGGAACAGGCAGCTTTGGGAGAGTATGCTGGAGCGAGAGAGTTGCCATGATGTGGAGGAAAAAGAGATGAGGGGGAATGGGAGGAAGGATGTGGAAAACAAAGTGGGAGTGGAAGAAAGACGAAGGTGTGGAGAAGCGAATAGTCCCTGGCCGCCTAAAGTGGCTCTGTTCGCTTCCACGGCCGCATGTATTCTGTGGGCTGGCAAATGAGAGCTGGCAATGCGGGGTGAAAACAACCGGCTAGCACGTGAAAAAGATATCGTGCACTTATGGATTTAAGGGGACGTATCATTTCCTGTGCTCCAATTGCAAAAAGCGGGATTTACGATTACAAAATCTACGAAAGTGTTTGGACCGCCCTCTAATTGCACATCTTGTTTTTTTCTTCTAATCGCAGACGCGTCTTCTTTCTACCACACCGCAGAACACTGTCGTTTGGAGTGTGATTATTATTGATCCTCATCCTCATCCCCATCCTCATCCTCATCCTCATCCCTCATTGTCGACCTCTTGTTCGTGGTCAACCTCTTTCGCTTGCCGATTGCCTCCCTCTCTCTTTCTCTATCTCTCTATCTCTCTATCTCTCTCTCTGTTAGCATCCTTTCCATTAGCGCAGACTAGTATAGAGAGAGAGAGAGAGAGAGAGAGAGAGAGAGAGAGAGAGAGAGAGAGAGAGAGAGAGAGGAGGAGGAGGAGAGCAAGAGAGAAACTGAGAAAGAGGAAAAGAGCGAGGAGAAAAGGAAAGAATGAAAAGAGGGAAAGAGAGAGCAAGAGCTTCCTGTGCATTGTACAACTGTGCCTGTAGAATGATGGGAAAAAGAATAAAAGAAGCTGGCCAGTTCGCGCCAAGGCAAGGTTAGGCAGGCAAGGCAAGGCAAGTTAGCCCCGCTCCTTTTCCCCGCCGATAGTAATTTTTTGGACCAATTGACTGAGCATACCCCGGCAACCAAAGCAGCGCCAAAGCAAAAAGCACCACCACCACCGCCAGCACCACCACCAGCAGACATTCGCCAAAGAGCAAAAAAAGCAACAACAATAATAACAAACAACAAACGAGGCCGAGGGTGCTTTCCTCATCTTCATCTCCATCTTCATCTCGATCTCCCTTCTGATCCTGTCAAACAATCCCATCTTTAACTACTAAAATAAGAAGAAAAGGCCCTATCCCCTACCTTATTTTTCCCTTTTGCAGAAAAAGAATACGGCCGCCAATAGTTCAACAGACTCCCTCGCCCCCTGCTACAAACATGCGCGCGTCTCAAGGCCCTGACGAATAAGCCAACAGAACTCAGCAACAACAACAACAACAACAAAAAATATTAAAAAAAAGAAAAAAAAAAGAGAAGGACGGCAATGGAATCGGGACCACCGTTTCGCAGGAATGGCATCGGATCTCGTTCTTCATCTGAAGCATTCAACCCTGAAAGAACCACGCCTGTGTCTTCGTCCCAAACGCCGCCCTTCTCGTCCTCCTCGACCTCGCCCTCTTCTGTACACCTCCGCCTTTCCTTCATCAAAGCTGCGACCACGAACGCCACCACCGCCCAGGTCTTAGGCCCACCTGGCGGTCGCGCCTATCCATATGGTAATAGGCACAGGCGTTTTTATTATTTTATGATCTAGTACTGTCTCCCCTGAGTTGAAAGAGTTGGCTCAGGTCTTTCCCTTGAGAAGATGAGGCAAACGGCGTTGGCTGTGATAATGTCAGCGGGAATGGGTTGAGCTCTCCTCGATACTTTTTTTTTGTGTTGCTGTGTTATTGTATTATTGTATATACGCATAGGCCATATGTGCTTGTTGCTCTTGAGAACGGCTGTGGCGTTGTATTAACTCTCCTGGCAATTGTCGATCTTCGCGTATTTGATGATTTTTATCTCCAGCTATTTTCTTCATCAAAGTGTTTGCACACCCACTCCTATGTTAAACTGCCCCTGTACCCCTGTACCCCCTGTCTCGTTGTCTGTATACCGCTTCATATACACTTGATTATTTCTCATTCCTTTCTAGTCCCTCCAATCACTGCATGCTCCCACTTTTATACTGCTGGGTTTCCATCAAGTCTTCTAAGGCGAGGTGGACCAAGCATATGCATTCGCCAGATGCAACGAGAAACTAGGAGGAGAGGGCGCGTGTATTTGTGAAGTAGAGAGCGCATAAAGGAGGACAGAAGGGAAGACAAAATAAAGAGGAGGAAAAGACAAGGCCATGGGCCACTCCATTTGTATTTACGACGATCCCTAGATTCGTTTACAATGGCTAACAAAGCAATTGCTTTGGCCATTGTCGCTGTGGTGCTCTTGAGATACTAATCGCCATACTTCGTGTCCGATATCATCTTCCATGTGCAATTGCAGGTGATATGACCGGCTACGACCAGGTCGCCGAGAACCCCCACAATCTCCAACATCAGTATCAACAGGAAAGACCTGCTGGATCTCAATACCGACAACAACAACAACAACAACAACAACAACAACAGCAGCAGCAGCAACAACGCTACAACGATGACCCTCAGGCGCGCGATGCTTCACCTTCTCACACTCGACATCCGTCATACCAGCAGCATCCGCATCAGTCTCATCAGCAACGTTATCAACACGGACACCCGCAACAGCAACAGCAGCCACAATCAGGACACCCTTTACCGCCACTTTTACACGATCATCTCCACGTCTCCTTCGATTTAAACTTCCGCACGATCGACCCTGACCCCGCAATCGTTGCTCAAGGAACTGAACATCAGCCTGTACAGGGGTACCCCTCAGAGAAGGGACGTGTCGGTGCGCATGGCGTACAAGATACAGGTCAACAGCGCCAGGTAGGGATTTTATGCAACGACCAATTCATTTTTGGCAGAAGCATATCACTGACATTCAACAAAAAAAAAACGATTGTTGCAAAAGGGACCAGAGCCCACTTACCGACCGCATTCAAGTAGCTACAACGCGCGCGAGCATGATACGCACCATTTTCGAGAACATGCGAATAGCGTAAGAGGTAAGGGTCAAGAAAACACATAGACGATGCACATGGGACCATGACTGTGTGCCTGGAAGCTAACCTGCTTGTATTTGATCGAGATAGCTCGACTCCCTTATGACTTGCAATCTAAGCAGGAAACCGTACATGGAACATATAGACAACGGACATCCCACAGCCAGGAAGCAGTTCAGCACCCGAACCATGCTCAGGATCATCGGCACCGGCGAGTTGAATTTTGCGATAACGTGAATGACAACCAACGATTCAGGGGCCTGTCTCTACAGCGTTCATCTCCCGATACGTCCCAAAGTCTTCGTCCTCGGCATTCGTTATCTCCACGACTGGACGTATCCTCACAGCAGCCATTCGGCCTGGATAGATTACACAATATGAACGTCCATATGCCTAGCCCAATAGGTTCAGCCAACTTGCCCCGTCTGACCTACGAGCCGCAAAGGACGATGCCCAGTTCAAATACCCTTCAGCAACGTCACTCGCACGGATCAAGCCAGCCGCGAATGGATCAAGGGTCGAAACAAGAGCACTTTTCTCGCACCCATGAAATGCAGCGGCCGCAGTCTCCACGAAATCTACAGCAGCATCCATCACAGGATCACCTGCAGCTCTGCCACCAGCATCAGCAGCAACGGTCACAGCCTCACCATCATCAACAACAGCCTTTACCAGACAATCATTCACGCCTTTTTGAAAGCCTGGCCCCTCGCAGTCCCTTTGATAAGAGTACGGAACTGGAGAGGCAACAAAGAAACTATTTACCAACCAATATGGATACAAGGTCTCTGAGCGACGAGCATCCACCACATGCAACACAAGCAGTATACTCAACCCAGATATCTCGCTCGTCGCGGGACTATTATGAAGGTGAACATCGACAGTCTCCTCCGACAACTCAGACTCTTCATGGGCAGATTGGCCACTCACTCTATTCGAAGGAACAATCTAAGGATACATTCTCAGCGCGAACACAATCAGTCATAGCCCCCGTCGTAACGAGGGATTCCCAAGTACATGATATTACTGAAGGCGCTGGACCCGAACATCAGGTGATGTCTCGTTCGCAAAAGAAGCGATCTGCGGATCCCGATGAAGATGATAATGATAGTTTTAGAAGGCACAGGGTGGACGGGCAAACAGCGCATGCAACTAAGCGGGGACCGACATCTATTAGGGTGGTTTCTGGCCTACGAATCTCGCCCACTTCTGCACACACGCACTCGACCGACGCTCCATCCAAGGCACGAACGTACGAAAGTGAATCTCAGCAATATCATCGAGAGTCTTCATCGCCATACCGCGATGGGGCGCATTTCGAGGGAGGTAATCTGCAGTCACCGCCTAACCTGTCTTCCAACGACTCTAGGCCGGTGCCATCACCTCTCTCGTCTTTTCATCGAAACGTCTGGGCACCATTGCAGGCCCGGGACGCGCCAATGGATATAGTATCCAAGCGATTAATAGTTGCAAATACCCCATTTTCGTCTGCTGTTGCAGAAGATCCCAGCAAGGGCTCGACTGCAAGAAAAGATGGCGCAGTGAAGGTGACCCCGATAGTCACCGACCACACCAGCAACAACCCCTCACCAACCATGTTTCGCACAGGAACCCGTCCGACAATGTCAACCTCGTCGAATCATCCCACGTCTGTAGGGCCCAGCCCCGTGACCTCGGTTCCCGTCCCAACGGATCCGGTTGGTGACCTTTCCTCCTCCTCCTCTTTCCTCTCAACTGTCCGCAGTGACAACGAGACACATGCCCAGTACGATCTGGGCAGAGGTGTTAGCAGCAGCAGCTACACCTCATCATGGCCAACAGCCCTGGCCAGTCATGGTCCGTCATCAAGACCAAGACAAACAAACCCACCACTGCAAATAGGGCAGGAGGGCTACTACCGTAAGCAGGATTTGATGGCCCTATTTTCAATCTGGCATGCGCAATACGGACATGAGAAACTACGGCCACAACCTCTAAAAGAGGAGAGTGAAGTCCAACAGAAGACCAAGGATGCCAGAGACGGCCATGGATACGAGGACAGCAGCGGCTTCAGGAAGGATGCAGGCAGTATAAAAGAAGGCGTAAAGTATGTGAATAGGGTATTAGAACAAGACGCAGGCAAAAATGCAGACCCCAAAAAACAAAGAATGGAAAAGGCGGAATGGCAGCCTCGGACAACTGAAAAGAAAGATGGTAGCGATTTCATGGAGGATGCAGGGCAGGACGACGATAGAGAAGACTTGGATGACGAATCGGGAGATTCAGGCGAGGATGAAGAAGGCTTGGAAAGCAGAAGAGAAGCAGACAAAGGCGGCGTCGACAGTAGCGGTAACAACAACAGGGGACGTGTGGGGCGAGATCAAAGAGCTGACGACCCCTCCCAGAGCGACAGCAGCCAACAAGACTCTGCCAGCGGTAGTGCTGAGGGCGCGGCGTCCCAGGCAGGAAGCAGCACTGCCGGCAGCAACCCGCGTCGGATCCGCATCCGGGAAAGCAAGAACCACGAGTGCGAGGTGTGCGGCAAGCGGTTTTCTCGTCCAAGTCAACTTAATACTCATTCTTTTACGCATTCTGGAGAGGTAATTCGACATGCTCTTAATATTTCGGCATTCGACTATATGCAGACCATTCATGTACATTTCGGTGGCGCCCTCTTCTATTTAGAAACCACACCAGTGCCCAATGTGCCAGAAATACTTCAACGTCGCTAGCAACTTGAAGCGACACATCCGGACCCATACGAACACGAAGCGAAAGTCATCCAGGAGCGGGAGCATGGTCTTTCGGAGCTTTTCGAACGGATTTTATTTCAGGCAGAGCAACGGGAGTACCGGGCCATCTGGGTCTAACAGTGAGAAGAAATCGGCACAGGCGAAGGCGACCTCGACCGATGGCATGATGGCCGCACGACGCCAAGCATCAGCCGGTCCTCAGTCATCGGATCAGCTGCGCTGGATGAACACGGAAACGCCATTGACAGGAGCCACAGCAACAGGTCACCAAAAAGCCTTGCTGAGGCGAAATAGAGGTCAGGAACCAAGACCTTTTCAACCGTTGCCGTCATCGTCCTCGGAATCCCGGTTGAGTACTCAGCGGCCGCAACCTTCAAAGACCGCGAAGTCTGCTCCCGCAATCATGTCTTTTGCGAGGTCCACGATCGCAGCTGCGACCACCATGCCCACGACCACGACTACGGCCACTACTAGCACTGGAAGAGACATGTTTGCGGCACTCTCGATAACCACTTCGAGTTCGGCCACCACGAATGTCAGCGCAGCAGGAGCAGCGGCCCCACGCGCTCAGAGGTCTGGACCCCCAACACCACTCCTGACACCGTCCTCGCCGTCGGGGAACATCGAGAGTCGCATGGCCTCTGATGGGGCGCCAGCAGCGGCAAAAGGAGAAATAGTGGAAAGAAGAGACTAACAGGGATGAGTGATATTTTTGAAGCGAGAAATTTTTTTAAGCAATCATCGACCGAACGGTCCACACAAACAAGCAATACCGATCAAGCAACTGTTGAACTGGTCGACCAGCCAACCAACCATCTAGTGGGCAAGATAGGAATCAGTTTTGTACTATCGCGAAGAACAATAAACGAGAGGAATGCCGTTGTTTTATATAATCTTGGATTTTGGTTCTCTGATGGATGAGGTATGCGAGCTTAAAAGTTCAATAATGCAGTGACGAGTGCAAGAGCCAGGCCTGTGGCTGCAGTAGCAGTTGCGGTTGCAAGGCGACCGGTGCCAGAGCCGAAATCGAGTTGTGCAGGTCCAAACATCGGCACGGTGCCGTACCCTCCAGCTGCGCCGCCCTTGCTATCTTTCGCAGGAGCGGTACCACCACCACCACCACCACCACTACTACTACCACTATCATCACCTTCTCCTCCTCTCCCTCCTTTTCCTCCTCCTGGCGCGGCCGGCGTCCCTTCTTTGGCGGGCGGTCTTTTGGATGAAGGCTGAGGTGTGTGACTTTCGGACGGGCCATCGCCACTTCCTGCAGACTGCTCATTTTCATCTTTGGGGTGGTCATCCTTTTGAGGAGTGGCAGGCGCATTAGGTACAGGAGCCGGAGCCGGAGCCGGAGCTGGAGCAGAGACGGGTTGGGCTCCTGCCTGCCGGTTCTTGCCTTCTTGAACTTGTCCCTGGGTGACCTCGCCGCCCAGTCTGTCGCGGTCGTGGCCGTTGCGGGGCCCGTCTTTTTGGGCCTCTGGGGTTTGTTTCTCAGTAAGGTGGGTATGGTCGTAGTCGAGTTGGGGGTCGTTGGTGCCGTTGTAGATATCAGCATCGGCGCCGGCGTTAGCATTGTTGTTGTTGTTGTTGTTGGGGTCGACCTCGACCTGGGGGTGGTTCTCGACAGGGTAGCGTCTGCCTTTGTCCTTATTGATTTTCTCGTTGTTTTTCTTGTCTTCCTTGTCGTTTCCGTGCTGCTGCTGCTTCTGGTTGCCATCGTTGGCACCCTCTGGTATAGGCGCATTCTCTGGCACAGGCGCATCTTCTGGCACAGGCGCATTCTCTGGCACAGGCGCATTCTCTGGCACAGGCGCATTCTCTGGCACAGGTACGTTCTCTGGCACAGGCACGTTCTCTGGAGCTGGCGCGTTTACTGGCACAGGCACGTTCTCTGGAGTTGGCACGTTCTCTGGCACAGGCGTGTTCCCTGGAGCAGGTGTGTTCTCTGGCACAGCCACGTTCTCTGGCACAGGTGCGTTCACTGGCACAGGCGCGTTCTCAGGCACAGGCGCGTTCTCTGGAGCTGGCATGTTCCCTGGAGCTGGCGTGTTCTCTAGCACAGGCGTGCTTCCTGGAGCAGGTGTGTTCTCTGGCACAGGCGTGCTTCCTGGAGCAGGCGTGTTCTCTGGCACAGGCATGTTCTGTGGAGCTGGCATGTTCACCGGCACAGGCGCGTTCTCCCTGTCTTTCTCGCCATCCTTGCCATCCTTGCCATCCTTGCCTTTCCTGTTACCCTTGTCCCTATTGTCCTTATTGCCCTTATTTTCCTTCTCGTTCTTATTGTCCTTATTGTCCTTATTGTCCTTATTGTCCTTATTGTCCTTCTCGTTCTTATTGTCCTTCCCGTTCTTATTGTCCTTATTGTCCTTATTGTCCTTCTCGTTCTTATTGTCCTTATTGTCCTTCTCGTTCTTATTGTCCTTCCCGTTCTTATTGTCCTTCTCGTTCTTATTGTCCTTCTCGTTCTTATTGTCCTTATTGTCCTTATTGTCCTTATTGTCCTTATTGTCCTCATTGTCCTTATTGTCCTTCTTGTCTTTCTCGTTCTTCTCGCCCTCCCCGTCTCTCTCGTCCTTCTCGTTCTCGTTATTCTCGTTGTTCTCGTTGTCCTTGTTGTTTTTCTTGTTCTCCTTGTTCTTTTTGTTCTTCTTGTTCTCCTCCTTCTCTTTCTCCTTATTCTTCTTGTCCTTCTTATCCTCAGCCAGCGGCGCGTCGGTCTCGGCATTTTTGTCGAAATCCTCCACAAACTTCTCGTCGCGGACGCCCTTGTCCTCTTTGTGGTCCTTATGTTTCTTGTCCTTCTTCTTGTTCTTGTTCTTCTTCTGCTTCGGCATGCGATCATCTGGTCCTTCTACCCCAGCCTCGGCCGCCTGGCGCTTCCAAAGGCCCGATGCTCGAACCCCTCTTCTCTGATCACGCTTTTGATGCTCCTGCTGCTGGTCCTGCTGCAAGCCGTTGGTCTGGGCCGAGATACTCCTCTGAATCGTATGGTTCTCATCCAGGTGCATCATACCCTTCCAAATTTCGGCGAGGTACTCGTTCATATGGAGCTTCTTCTTTTCGTCCTCGTTCTCCATCTCGTCGTCGTCGTCGTCGTCGTCACTATCGTCATTGTTGTTATTCTGGTCCTTGACCTTGGAATTCTCCGCGTTCTTGTCACCATCGTGCTGATCCTTCTCTTTGTCTTCGACTTGACTATGATCCTTTAACTCTTCCACCTTTTTGTCTCGGCCTTTTTTATCTCCGTCCCTTTTACCGTTCCCCTTGTGAGATTTGGATGCCCCTGCTACTGATGCTGCTGCTGCTACTGCTACCGATGATGCATTTTTAGGATCGTTCTTCTTGTCTCCAGCAACGGCCGAAGGTACGAGACGCTGATTCTTGTCTTGCTTTGGTGGTGCCTGGTGTACGGTAATGGATGCGCTTTGCTTCAGATCTGTCTTGACATCCGCGACTCCCTGTGTGACCTTGTTGTTCTCCGCAGAAGCGATCAAGACGGTCTGGAGAAGGACCGTAGCTGTGCCTAGAAGAAGGATCAGCCTTGGTCGACGACGCGTCGTTGATGAGACCATGATAAAAAAAATAAAAAATAAAGAGTTGGGATGTGGCCAGGAGTGTAGAATTTGAAAGTCGAGGGGAGAGGGGAGGAGAGGGGGGGGGGAGGGGGAAGGGGGGAGGGGGGGTTGTCTGAGGAGAGTAGAGAATAAAGAAAATAGAGGGTAGGGGAGGAAACTCAAGAACGCGTAGGATTATGATATAAGAGCAAAAAGATAGGCGATACGCGGTTCCAAATTGCGTTTTGGCCTAGCCTAGACATCAATCTCGGTCAGGAATGCGCACAGACTAAATTGTTATAGAGACCGGACCAACAGAATGTATAATTGAATACCAAAAGTCCTCCTGCTTTTTTTTATTTGCTGTCTTTTGGATTATGGGAGGACTAGGTGAGGATATACTTTAAGACAAGATGATATATGGCAAACGAAATTACAAAAATGGCCGTGCTCAGGGTTAGAATGAGCTCGAAAGAATGAAATGGTGTGATACATGCAGCAAAAAAGTCTTTCCTGAGCTCTTATTATTGCTGCTGCTGCTCCGTCGACGAGTTGTTCAAGTTGTTCCTGGAAGCACCGGCCGCCATCATCAGCATCGGCGATGGTGCCCTGGTATCAATCGAGCTCAGGCGTGGTCCGCCGGGAGGAGGAGGAGGTGGAGTGTAACTCGAGTTCGCCAAATTACTGCTTAGCTTAGGCGACGACGTGAACTGGCGCTGCGGCGGCATGAACGTCGACATGCGATCGGGTGGGCTTCCACTAGAGTATGGGTTATACTGCGACACACGCTGGCGTCCAATGGTGCCTCCGGGTGCTGGCGCATGCATGTTCAACAATGGGATCGCATCAATGCCTGCTGCAGGCGGCGTGCCAGGGAAGCCAGGATCTGTCAACTGGTAACCAGACCCCGAAGAGCCCTGAGTCATATGCCGGCTACCCGCAAATGGTCTGGCACTCTCGCGAGAGTTGGAGCTTCCATCCGACAGCTCTTCCTCGCGGATCTGGGCCTGACCGACCCAATCCTCGCCCGAATCCGAAACCTGGAACTGTGGAGTAGGCAGTCCTGCCAAGATAGCCGCCTTTTGCCGACGCTCGCGCTCCCACTCTCCCCAGCGCTTCATCGTGATGTGTGAGCTGTCGAACTGACCCTCCTTGCCACCATGGTCAGCACCAGCCACCTCTCCGGCAACCATACGTGTTTGTCCCCAAGAGAAGTCGTCGAAATGCCAGTAGGCGTATGCGGGCAGGACAAAATTCCAGACAAAGATCGAACACAGGTACACCATCATCCAGCCGACGTACACCATCTTGCGAGAGGTCATCACAATCAGCACAGCGGGCAAGCCCAGAATGGCGGCCAGCAAGAGCAGTGGTACTGTCGTGTCGGGAATCTTTTGGTCATGCGAAATGGCGCGGTAGATCGAGATCGTCACCAGGTAAATCGTGAACGAGATAGCAGCAGGCAACACGACTGTTCCGACCAACTCCATGAAAATAACAAACTGCATAGAGAAGCAGAAGGTACCGCAAAGATCACGGACAAGGACTAATTCCATCAAGTTGTGGATTGTCGAGTTGATCCAGCGACGACGCTGCGACAGCAAAATCTTGAACGTATCCGGCACAACCGTCTTACAGATCGCCTGGGGCACAAACATCATCTTGCGCTTCGGGAAAGTTCTCAACATGAGTGTACTGAGGTATCGGTCCTCTCCCAGCAGCAATAGATTCTTCTTGTGAAGTGTGTCGACAACGTTCTCAGAATAATGCTCGACAATATCCGGGTTTGCCAGAATGGGCACCCAGTAGCCATTGGGACCCTTGGGTGCCTTGATGCGGTACATGCAGAAACATCCGGGTAAACAGGTCACACCTCCGAACATGGACTCAAAAGCCTTGGACATATGATGCGAAATATAGTATTCAAAGACCTGAATCATCGTCACCCACGAGTCCGTCTTGTTCGCAATCTTAGTCTCTCCACAGAGACCCATGATCTCATGGTCGTGAGCCATGGCAGCAATCATGCGGGACAAAGAGTCGGGATAGACCTTGGTATCAGCATCCACCTATCGTTGAATAATTCCACATTTCCGTTAATATGTCTTTTTCTTTCATCAAATATGTTGTAGCACATATCTCTACAGTCCTCCAGATCTTACCATGAGCACAATCTCGTATCGATCAGGAGCGACACCGGTGACGCGCCAGATCGTGTTGAAGAGCTCGTACTCGAACGAAGTCATGCGCTCGTCAAACATAACATGCTGCAAGAAGCCCATCAAGATAATCTGGGAATCGCGTTTGCCACGGTTTCCGGGCTTAGGCAGGTTTTGTTCCGTGGGACCTCCAACCTTGACAATCAGACACATGGGCACGCGCTTCTGCAGCTTCTTGTCTGGCACGGTCTCGTCGTCGTACTTATAGAATCCGGCATACACCTTGGCCATATTGTGGCGCTTGGTACCGTCCGCAATCGCGACGTACGAATGCGCAATCACATCATCGCGTGGAACCAGGTCATCCTGCATCATGGACAGACAGATTTCGGGAGTCGACATGTTGTTACCGGCTCCAATAATCATACCATCGCAGATAACAACAATCAGCTTGTGCGAGTTGGGGTAGTCTGTCGTCGCGATCGAATCGAGAGTCGTACGCAGTCCATCAATACCCTCAGAATAACAGGTGACCAAGGCCATGGTGTGAATCAACGGGAAATTGAAAGGCTGATACGACACAGGGGGCTGTTGAACGGTGAATGGTGAGACAGGAAGGGGGCAGTTCGAGGGCTGGGTTGCAGTGGAGGATGAGGTAGACGAGCGACGTGACATCTGACGCATATGGCCAAAGCTCGCCACACTGGAGGGCCTCATGGCGCTTGGAAGTGGTGGCGGCGATGGTGGAGGTGTACCGTTAGGACCCATGGGATTGAAATACGAGTTTCTGTTCAATGACGAGCTCGAGGCTGACAAGAACGCTGGATTGACTCCAGGAGAACCTGGTGGGGTGTATGGCTTGAACACACTAGTAGGACGGTTGAAGGTCGACAATGGACGCGAGCTAGGCTGGCCAAGAGAAGTGTTCGCCAACACAGGGGAAGACCCCGTAGGTGTAGAAGGCGTGAAGCGGGATGTTGTCGGAAAGAAAGTCTGTCGTTTCGTGTTAAACGCTGGTCGATTGATGTCAGAACTCCAGGCTTCAATCTGCTCCGCTCGCTTCATGCGATCTTGGTAGGTCTCGTTATCGAATCCGCCCAGACGATGACTCAGGAACCAACCAAAGAAAACCGCCAAGAAAAACTTGATGAAGACGACGCCCAAGATAATGACCAGCGAAACATAGGTGATAACATCCGATGTCATGCAGCCAATGGTCTTGGAGTCCATCGCTCCAACCCTGGCAATCTGCTTTAGACAGCCACCGAGCTTGGTCATCTTTCTCTGCACAAACAAGAATGAGAGATCTCTCTGCAAGGCAACCGATCCGTTGCGGAGCGCAGAAATACCGTCGGCCACGGAATACTCAGGCTTGATCCATTTCAGAATGTCTGCGTCGATTACATCGCCATCGTAAGCAAAGAAGTTGCGGTCGGGGTTGGTAATGTTGTCCCAGGTATAGTAAGCAGGCGAGTTGTATTTGCTCTTCAAGCTCCTCCAGGCGTTACGGTCTGCTTGGGATGCGTGGCAACCGAGCCCACTTTTATCCACTGTTGCATTTACTGGAGTGATGCCGTCAATGCTGCGCATAACACATGGGAAGTAGTAGTTCGCCTGGTTGTCATTGGCGGCAGCTGGGGTATTTCTGACGATGAAATCTTGGCAAGCACCACCAGCGGCCTCCTGAAACAAGAACGAAGCATCCATGCCCTTGGCTCCATACGTTGGGACGTTCATAATGTCGACGGACTCGAGCGAGATATCCTTGTCGATAGGCGGATGCATGAAATCTGCTGGTTGAAGGTAGTAGCCCATGCCTTGGACAATGACATCCGTGTCCCGAGACCCAGCAACGAACTTTCCTGACTGATCGTCCTGGCACAACGCCTGTTGCAATCCGAACGTCAAGAAGGCCACAGCCAAGACCATCATGACAATGAGTGACACCAACGCAATCTTCTCGCGCCATGCCCTCTGGATCTCGAGGGTGTGCATGCCTAATGGTATTCCCAGCCACACATTTCTGTCAGTCAATATGCTCGCGTATTGGTCCGTCTACAGATCCTTCGAGTACACAGGAAACTGATGTCGAGAAATAAAGAATGATCACCCACCACAAGACTTGAGAAGCGCTGCTGGGAAGCAGCAGGTAAGGGCGTTGTAGTAAATGACCCACTTGGAGGGCCATTCCCGCTCTTGTTTCAAACTTTTGAGCCCCTCGAACCCTTTGCGCTTGCTCGTGCTAGGTTTTGCCTTGAGGCGTGGTTGACCGGGTTTCTCTGGCTCACGGCCAAGGACGCTCTTACCGCGACGCACGCCCCCCGTCCGATTCACCGGGGCACCCGTGGGATCAGCGCCAGTGGTCGATGCCTGGATTCGAATATTAGATCCATCCAGGTTTTGTGTGGCGTTGCGGTAGTGATACTGGGGATGGTTGCGGTCAACACGTTCGCGCTCGGGTCTGACGAGCGACTTTTGCCGCTTAAAGTTGGTCGGCCGCCTTGTGGTGGTGGCCGCAGTGGTGGTTGTGTCTGCGTTCGGAGATGCGCCTACAGCATGAGCTGACTGCCGCTTACCCTGGGGCTCTTCGTACGATAACGCGTGAGCTTCCACATCCTGATGAGGTGGGTTCATTTCGTCTGTGCGCATGTTGTATGGACTATAGTTAGATGATAATAAAATGGGTGCAGATCACTTAGTTACTACTGCAAAACCACTCTTTTTAAAGAGGGATGTGCATGGCATAGGTGGCATAAACATATGCATGCTCCTGAGGCGGAAAAAACCCTTCGGATAATCACAGATGCGGGTGGGGAGTAAGAGGATAAAAAGAAAAGATGTGCATGATCAACCTACTTGGAAAATCTTCCTGGGTATTACTTGAGAATAGGGTAAATGTAGAGTTCGGGCACTAGTGCCTTATCGGTGCTACAAGTCAGATATATAAGCGAACGTTAAAAACAAAGACAAAAAAAAATAGTAACAGACTGGAAGGGATGATGGATCCCGATATGGATCAGTCAGTTCGCGATCGATCCTTTTTCCTGGGGCCACATTCCAATTGCGGAGACCAATGTAGATACGAATGCTTGATCACTGACATCGCGTGGCCGGGAATAAGCAGTAAAAATAATTCAGGGGATAAAGAGTGGAAAAGGGAGGGATACTGCGCAGGACGAAACACAGAAACTTTCGCTGTTCTTAGCGATTTAAAAATAGGTTTTGGAGTCTAAGACGCATTTGGCACAACGGTGCGTTCGTTCGTCAGGGCCCCTGCCCACGCAAGGACGATGATGAAATTAGGGGAAGAAAATACCAAGGATGCACGATGCACGATGCACGATGCAGCATCTTAGTGTCGCCTTTTTCTCTTCTTTCTTCTCTTTCTTTTTTTTTTTCTTTTTTTGTATGTGTGAGAGAGCGAGGGAGGAGGAAAACATGCAGTGGAGAGGGTCTAATTCTTGTGCTGGTTGTTTGTTTGGGAGTCCAGAGAGCATTGATATTTAAGCATTCTGTCAGAATGACATTATCGTGCTCCTCATCCTTTGAATTTAGCTCAATACCCAACGATGAGCAGCAGGGAAAAAGATAGAATACAAATAAAATGAAAACCTGTTCATCACAACTGTACTTGTATTGAAAAGGGAAGAGTGGGACCGAGTGGGCTTAACTGAGTTCTGGTGTCGGGAGGAGAGGTCTTTGAAAGACAATGGCTCGGGTATGTGTCACGTAAAGGTGCCAGAAAAGTAGATAGGACGAGAGCAAGGTGGGGAAGCCGCCACGTGCGCTTGTTGGAACACAGCACCATACCTTTGAGACGTCGGACTAAACTACAGGTGAAGGAGACAGAAGAAACGGAAAACCTGTCCGCGAGGAGATGTATGCAGACGTGTAAGAAAGATATGGGATTAGATGACACAGATAATGTATAGATGCAAGGAGGATGCTGATCCAAGAGAACAGATCAAGAGCGGAAAGAATGATCGCAGCGGTGGTGGTTGAGAGCGGAGAGGAGGAGGAGGGAGGAGGAGGGAGGAAGAGTGCGGCAGTAAAGGGAATGGGTTGCTGTGAAAGATCACAAAGAGCCAAGTGAACAAAAAAAAAAAAGTAGAGTAGTGCGAGATAAGGCAAATATCGAGAGCGGTGCATATACCGCTGAGCTGAAACTATATATTTTTTCCTTCTAGTCAGCAAACAGGCGAACAGACAAACAAGCAGCACTAAGCAGCAAAAAAGGTAAGAAAAGGCAGAACAAGAACAGGGGCAATTGACACAAGGATACAGTCAATATCTTCGGTTTGAGGAGGTATCTTCATGCTATGGCCCCCGACCCATCCACAAATCCTTAAGTAATATAGCACAGATGTAACCAGTGTATGTCCTACATGCAAAACTGTATGTACCGCACAAGGTGCGTGTGTCGCATTACAGAGTAGAGAAGAGAAGTATAACACCAACACTTGAGAAGAGGAATTGATAGATCGTCGGCCAGGTTGTCTTCGATAACTCTTTGTAGCAGTTTTATGAAGAAAAGAGTTTGCTCCACATGGCTGCTGTTATCCCTGTAGGTACATAGCCGACGATATTGAACACTGCCACTATTTCCCTTTTTCAAAAAAGCCCTCCCCTTCACTCACCTCTCCTAACCTCCCCAAGGCTTTTCGAAACTCTCCAGCATATACAGAATACTATTAAGAAAGACAGACACTCAATACCCATGCACAAGCGCACATACAGGGCATTTAACTCAGATGGAGAGGCGAAACGCGCGTATAACACCCACTCGGAGTTCAGAGAGGAGGACAGGGCAGGCATGTGGTTGGTCGGTTGATGATCAAGGCGGTGTAAATATAGCCATCAAAAAAGTCCGTAAAAACATGCAAACACTTCAACCACATACCAGTGCGACAAAAGAAAGAGAGGTGTAAAGTGGATAGAAGCGCCGACCTCTCAGAGAGCGTAGAAGGCGAGAGAAAGTTTTTTACCGGGAGTAGTGTGCGTGTAGTGGCCAGGCGTGTCTCTTATAGTCGAAGTCAAAGAGCAAAGCAATTGTAGGTAGAAGAGGAGTCCAGTACAGGCTCGAGGTGCAAGAGTAGGCTGGTAAAGCTTACTCTCAGGGAAAGGTCCGAGAAGGGGAATGGATGGAGGAGGTGTAGGGGAATGGATGGAGGAAGTGTAGGGGAATGGATGGAGGAGGTGTGTGAGGGTGGAATGGAGAAGTAGGTAGGAGTCCTTTGAGGACGTGCATTTACCTGCACCCGTTGGTCGAAGGGGTTGTCGGATAGATGATGAAAAGGACCCAGAGGTGGATGTATGATGGAGCAATGGAACAGATTCCCCCCAGCCAGCCTAAACCGGGATGACAGTGTGTCCAACACGGGTAAGAGAGAAGGGGAGGGTATCCGAGAAGGGAAGCGGGACTAGAGTTGGTTCAGGAACAAGAACGCTGCTCCGCACCGGTTCGATGGTGGAGTGGAAGAAGAGTGTGAGTGAGTGCAAGGGCTGGTGTCCAGAGGGCCAAAAGTAGCGAGTATAATCGATGGACTCAACAGAGCCCCCACCAGCCAGCAAACCCAGCAGAGGCAACAGAGCATGGGATAGCAAACAAATTGGATCCAATTTGTTTTGACAATACCGAATCGAATGAATCGATTGTATATTCGTGTACCCCTGTCTGTGTTCAAAAAAAAAATGAGGAAACGATGGTCTATCGTGCCTTGTCCAAGTAGGCTATTGCTGTATCCCCCCTCCCCTCCCTCCATCCCCCGCGGTCCCCCGGTCTTTCATGCCTGCCTCTCAATTGACCAGGATGTATCTCGTCGCACTGTCTGTCGGCTCCGTATATGCTCACACTGCCACAGAGAAACTTTTTTTGTTCCCGGTAGGCTGTTGTGGACTGATCCGTTTTCTGCCCTCGGTTTGTTTATGCTGGGAAGAAAAATTATTGGACCCGTCTTTGGTTTTTCGGTTTGGTCTGAAGCTGGACTCGCGAGGACACCATGCGTAAGCAGATCCCTGTGCTCTAACTTTACAAGGACCCTCAAGTGCAATAGATGCCGTGCCCGCCCCTGGAAGTCCGTGAGCGCTTATGAAATCTAACGCCTGAGAGATGTATCGCCACCAAAGTGACAGACTCAGCACGTTCTCCTGGATCTAAACTAAGACTATATGCTTGCTGACACACAAAACATCTACTCGTCCTGGACTACCTTGCGTCTTGGAGAGTTCATCCGCTCTGACAGTGCTTGTCGCTTGACCCACCACGTCCAGCACGATTCAGACGACCTCTGTTACTGCTGCCCATTGAGCAATAACTTTCAGCTTGCATTCATGGGTAGCTCCCATGGATATCTCTGGGCTGGAGGTACAGGAGCCGCTGCCGGCTAATCAGATGACCACGGACTGCATTGCTGATGTTGTAGCCGCGATGCATATATGTCTTGCACGTTGAACGATAAAGCCAGCGGATGTCAATCTGACCAACGAAATCCTCGCAGATCGAACATTTTTTTGAGGCGTAATACTACAACAATGTAGTGATGTTCCGCAAGAGACAGCAATCACGGGGTCGCCAAGAGACATCATCGGTCACTTACCTTCTGAACGAAGTACGATTGAAACGACGAGAGTCTGGCCTTTGTAGAAAACATCCAAAGTCTTACGCTGATCACGACCTTGTTGCTGCCTTCTCTCTTGGCGCCAACTGGTCCTTCGACCAGCTTGAGAAGACGGTTGGCAATCTGCTTGTACTCCTCGTCTTGCGCCCCTTTTGCGTCCCACTTGTGTTTCTTGAGGACCATGTTGCTGTTGTAGAAGGAATCGAGATGTATTTCCACATCCTTGAGCTTGTCGACGTAGTCTTTGATGCTTGATCCAGAGCCGCGTAGGGGGGGGGGGGCAAGTTGCTCTCGATGTTGCTGATAAATGTCGAGTCATAGACTGGGCTGATACACCGTCTTCTGCTTGACAGCAAGGTTGAAACACTTGGGGGCCATTATCTCTCCAGATGGTTCCTTGGTCGCAATATTCGTCCCCGTTCCTTTGTCCAGCTTAGGCCTCTCATGACTGGGTAACAAGGCACTCGCTCCTATCACGAATGCTTGCCCAAAGATCCGAGATGTCCTGCTTAGTCTTCACGATATTCCTGATCTCAGTCAAGAAATAGCCCGTGCCGCCGAGAGTAGAAGTGACGCGAGGAAGCTTGGCCAGGAAGTCGTCCGTACTTGACCGCATTGAGTTCGTTCAGCTTGAATGTTAACAATTGGAGCCGAAACCTATCCGTCCGAAGTGAGCCGTGTAGAGCATAGCCACGCTGCTTGTAAGAGCTGGGTTCGGAGTTGTCGTCTTGAATGGCTCCAATATGCTGTCTCACCTTATCCGAAGACAACACAAAAGTCCTCGCCTTGTAGTCTCTGAGCGTTTTCTGTTGCTCTGGCGTATATCCTCCAATGTTAATGATCAGCTTGGTGATAAGATGTCCAGGCGCCTTTTCCGAGAGCCAACACGACATGTCTGTCTGCGCGATGTTTTCGGTGCTTGTGAAATCAGGCTTGGCATAGTCTTGAAGTAGTTTTTGGAAGACCATGTCTTGCCGAAAGACCTTGATCAGCTTCAGCTCCGAAAGAGATACGAAGGCATCTTCAAAGGAGGTTAGCGGAGCCAACCTTCGGCCACTCATGCAGACCCTGTTTAGGAGAATAAAGTTCTCGATTGCTGAAATGCAATGCTATCTAGTGCATCTGCAGGCAGAAGACCTTTTGTCTTATGAGCCTCGATCTATTTTGGAAAGGATGGGCGATGTAAGCAACGTCTTCCTTGACATAATTTGGTCTGTTCACAGACGATAGCGCCGACTGAAGTTACATGTCGGTAGCTTCTTACAAAGATCTTTCGAGCCATTAATGTAATGATTCTTTAGCTCGATCGAAAGATGTTGGACAGTAGATCTCAGAATAATGGATCCAGGATACGGCATCTTTGTCCCTCCTTGGTTATGGATCGCAAGAGGTTCTTGGCTTTCTCGATGAACCAAAGGACATAGAATCCCAACCCTGAATCGGAGGGAAGTTTGGAGTTGTAGATGCACACGAGAAGCGAGAATAGGAAGCCCATTTGTTCATTTCTCAATCTTGTCGTCGTGCATATCAAGTTCTTGGAGTTCTTGAGCAGCCTTATCGGAATCGTTGTTGCTGGCATCATCCTTGGGAATACGGGGGCAGAGTTTGCCGAGCAGGATTCTGTCTGTCTCATCGATGCCGATGGTTGAAAGGCGCTCAATGTACTGACCAATAGCTCTCTGGCAGGTACGTTTGGCTTGGGACGCGTAGCGAACAAAAAAAGGGATGAGACCAACAGGGTTGTGATCAGAGTCGGCCTAGACGAGTTCTCAACGAAGACTGGGCTTTCCTCATTGCACGAGTCCTTCCAGTCCTACTTTGTTCAAAAGGTAACGCATCACCAAACAAGTAGTCTATGCAGATATGTATCATGTTTGGATATTGTGCTGATATTATTGATGCTTTTTTTTTATTAACGCTCACATAGGCCAGGTCACTTGGATACAGCTCTCCAGTCGTCTAACTCCATTACTGTGTTTGCGACTTCCATGACGTCATTTAGGCGAGAAAAGCCACTTTCTAGCATATTAGGCCAGCAGCTGTATTGTTTATTCGGTCCTTCCTTTTCTTCTACCAAGTAAGATCCTAGCGTTGGGATTCTATTGGTTTATTAATTCTTGGACATTATACGGGGACGAGATCGGGCAGGTGGCGAACTTGCTCAGGAATTCAAGGACGAAAGGAATTCACATTCACGATGAATCGAGTCGCCCATAATGTATCAGGGATCCCGCAGAACCGGGACTTGGGCTGGAGCCGTGATGATTCTCTTCATCCAATTCTAACAGATCTCATCATCTTTATTAATAGTCGAGATGCAGATCTTTGTCAAGTCCCTCACCGGCAAGACCTTGGCCGTCAACGCCCAGGCTGGCGAAACCGTCAACAATGTCAAGGCCTTGATCCAGGAGCGCGAGGGTATGTGACAGGGACGAATCACCATGGATCAGTTACTACTGAATCTCGAATGCGATTCCATGGATTCTACGGTAGCTTTTCGACACGCAAAGGAGATGGACGCGAAGACTAAGGTTTCTCTATTTGTTGTCTCGGAATGAATCGTACCAGGTATCGCTGCTGCTGTTCAGCGTCTGTCCTTCGCAGGCAAGACCCTCTCCTCCGAGACCCTCCTTGCTACCATCCCCGCGATGGCCACCTTGGACCTCAACATTGACCTGTTGGGAGGTGCTAAGAAGCGCAAGAAGAAGACCTACACCACCCCCAAGAAGATCAAGCACAAGAAGAGAAAGGTCAAGCTGGCCGTTCTTAAGTTCTACCAGGTCGACAACAACGGCAAGATCACCCGTCTCCGCCGTGAGTGCCCCTCCGAGACCTGCGGTGCTGGTATCTTCATGGCCTGGCACCACGACCGTCAGTACTGCGGTCGCTGCGGTCTGACTTACGTCTTCAAGAAGGAGGGCGAGACTGCCTAAACGCTGCCTCTCTACTCTTTTATTACTCAATAAAACCCCTCTTCCTTATCCAATGTGACCAATTCTCATTATGTCATGTCCATGGTATGGCTGCACGAAGCAGAAGAGGGATAACAACAGCATTTTTCAGTCGACCTCAATTGAATGCCGTTTTTGCCCTAAAAGTGAATGATGTATTGAGGCAGCAATTGATATTGCGTCCAACAGATGTTCCTCGGACAGCGCTGCAGCTTCAATTGCAGCTCCAAAAATGGTGTTTGAAAAAATTGCCAAATAGGAGCACTCTGATAAGCCACGCTCACTCCGTTGCCCAGGGGTCGATTGTGGAGGAGAGGGCAAAAGGGACTCGAAGGTTGCTGCAACGCCGGAAGAACTTTTGTTCGTTATTTTTTTTCTTCCATCAACAATCCCAACACTCCGACTGGAATTCACCAATAGTCTCCAACCCAAGACATCACTCCCATACCGGGCTATGTTCAAGGTGGACTCTTTGAAGTAATCACCTCTGCGCACCTTTCAGGCACACCCCCAATAAGAACCCGTACTAACAGAACGTTCACCATAATAACTCTCTCGGCATCCCAACACAGTTTTTTTCTCGCTCGAACTTGCTATTCTGAAATAATCTGGAAACGAACAGGATCCAGTACTCGATACGCGTAACAGATCGTCAAACATTATAGAGAACCGTACTCGATACCTCCGATTCGACTTCTATCTCCAGTATAAGCCGATCGCGCAATGTCTGCAGTCAAGCTTGGGTTTTTGGCTATCCGAACAATTGCGAAGCCAATTGCCAATTCTATAAAGTCCTACAGTGTTAAGCATCCAAAGTAAGCGCGGTATTCATCATCTACAGGATCGTCATTGATGAACTTGCCGTATCTTCAAAGGACCGACATCCGCCATTTCTGACGAGCCCTTTATATTCTGGATCTCCCTTCACGGCGCTATAAAGATTCAGGGATGCATGTATCAGCGTCGCCCAAGTAGGTCCCTGATGCTATCCATTTGATCGCTCAATTGATCGTCAGGTTTATACGTTTATCAAGGTTAACCAAGAAATGATCTGCCATTTGATAGTTCTCGCACAAGACCGAGATGCAACTCAAGATGAAGTTTTTAGGATATAAGGTTGAGTCGATCCGTCCCTTGAACGACGCAAGGTACGTCTGCTTCTGAAACAGGACTCATCATCAAGGATGTTAGCGTGTTGCTTCGCATATCGTTTCGACAATTACCGACACTTTCTCTATTATTCTATACAACATTAGAGCAGTGGAGATGGGTGCCAATTTCCTGGGCGAGGCAATCATTTTTGGTGTCGCTGGGTCTCTTATCATCTTGGAGAACGCTAGGCAGGTACCATGGCTTTACTTCCAGAGCGCGGCTGACTGTTCTTTTGAGCCATACCCCAGCGTACTGATCGATTTGCAATGTATAAATGCGTGATCCTCACTTTAGAACGCGTATGAATGCGCGAGACAGGAAAAATCACGTTGATGACACGCTCGACAACCTTTTGCTAATCACCTCCGAATTGCGAGAGGAGATCAAGGAGCTTTCTGTCGCTACAGAGCAGCGGGTTGAGGAGCTTCAGAGAGAGAACCAGGTGCTCCGAAAGACCCTGAACGAGATTTTGGATGTTAGTCTTCGCCTAAGGAACCACACTCCATATAGTGGTCAGGAGATTGGAATTGGCAATGCCAAAGGTGGATTTGTCCTTCAAATTGCAGATGAACCCATGGTACGGCCCTTTCCGGTTGACCCTGCGCCCCAGTCATCACCAACAACATTGTCAAATTCCAGTTCAGGACAGGATAATGCCTCGGAAACGAGCGTGTATTCAAGTAAACCATCACTCCAATCCTCATACGATTTTCACCATGAGCACCATCAGCTTGGCCATTCACAGCCCGAGGAGGACTTTATTCTAATTGAGCAGCAAACCTCATTGCCCTCACAGCACGTTAAGAAGAGTCGATGGGAGAGCATGACTGCGCCATGGTTCTCTTCTGGTTCCTCAGGTTCATCCAGTTCATCTAGCTCGTCTTCATCGGCTTGAGATAGGAACCATCTTTATTTTTGACATAGACGTAGTACATGAAGACGAAGCAGCGCACATACGCAGCCTGAAATATAGAGACTATACTGGAGAGTACCTGCTCGCATGTACTACTACTCTTTGTTGACCATGCACTTAAGGATAAAGCAAACCCGAAAAATCTAGGTAACCACGAGTTCTTTTGCTTGCTATGTCGTTTATGTCGTATCTCTCTCTTCACGCAATGCGTTTTGCTTGTTGCAGATGTATCAGGTTCGCATTATGCAACTCTGTTGCGGTCTAGCAAGAAGGAGATATGAAAGGTTATGAGGTTCAATGGAGCAAAGGGGAAATTGAGTTTCCAAGATATGATGGCTGCGACGAGGCTAGGGGACAGGTTTGGTTCATTGTTGTTAACCTTCTTACGTCGGCTGAGAGCTCCTTCGTCTGTGCTCCTGATTGCGGCTCGAGCTCAAAGCCTATGAAAGCATGGAAAACATCAAAACAAGGCCTCATCTAAACAAGCGCAATTGGCCGTTATGCTCTGTTGACTTGAACGAAGGACGACCGAGTCGACCCATGATGCATAAACACGCTGCTAGAGAACGGTTGCATGTATGCAAAGGCACATAAGCTCGCCGAAGGCAACGTGATGCTGCTTTCCTCCTCTAATATACAGTTTGTTCACGTCCATGATATCTTCTCTCAGGCCGGTCATGGCCAACCTTGCCTTTGCTTCCATCCATGACGATACCGGTGGTCATGTCGCAATGATTTTGTTCTCATGGAGGACCTAGACAGATTTGTTGTTTTGTTCTTTGCAGCCTCTAAATTGAAGCCAAGAGCATTGGCAATCCGTGCGGTATAAACACGTTATTACTTGTATGAGTGAATGCGCTAGTGGCATCGGTATCAAACCGATGGAAAAAAATTATTAACTGGCCATGCTTGAAGAGTATTTTCTACTGACAATCAGCTGGCAGCTGGCACCATCATTTCGGAGAGCAACCCGGGGCCTGGTTCTTCACTTTGTCTTGCGCAACCATTGCACAATTGGTACCAAAAGAGCAATTTTTATGGTTCTCACTGTTTACGAGAAAAAAAAATGACACGAGGAACACATAATGTAGGGCTCTTATGAAAGCCCTCATCCGCGACGATGGCGTAAATGAGTACTCTATAATTGCGATAGATTGCACTTGGCGAAAACGTGGATGCTGAACCCACCGCATAAGTACTCGGACACAAGTGGAGCCATGCGCTGGAGTCCATTCCTTAGAATGACGCTAGTGCTCGTTAGGGTTCCGAATCCGCTCTTGTCGGCGAGCGGTGCTCTTCATTTTATCTGGCGCAGATCCCTGACGAACTCTTAGCCCCTCAATCGCACTGAATCAGGTCTTTCAACAAGAACAACATCTGCGGACCGTTCAATCAGGCAGGCAGGGGTTCTATTGTCCTTGATTTCATTTCGTTCCCGTTAAGGTTTGCTATATTTACCATTCCTTCCATCTACCACAGTCGGCACCTACGCTTTGAGGTCATCGTCTATCCAGTTCCAGCTCTCTTTGACGCAGCTGCTGACCCTCGCTACTCCATTTGGCGCGCTTTGAGTGTGTAGGCCACCGATACCTGTCCATTGTATCGCGAGCACCCGATTCGGACGGACAGTCGCTGGCGCAAGGGAAAATCCTAAAAAATAGAAAATAGCCCCAATCCATTGAGAATAGGATCCATTTTATCAACGGGAGCCGTGCATTTTTCTTTCTGTTAAACAGCATCAACAAAGATGTGTGTGTGTAGACTACTGTACTGCAAGTGCGGACAAACATACATCCATCCATCTCGCGCGAAACACAAAAACATACACACACAAACATACATCTCTCTTGCCTGCTTGCTCTCTCTCACTCTCTCTCACTCTCTCTCACTCTCTCTCAAAGGGTACGCACACCACATACTACAGCTGACGGCCACACACATTTCCTTCCTCCCCTCCCCCGCCTTGGCTCTTTTCTGCTCTCTTTTTCTTTCACTTCAGAACATATTCATCCCATTGACATTCCACTCGTCCTCCATCACTCACTCAGATTCTGCAAGGGTCGACTTTGTTCTCGCGTGCTCAAAGGGTCACTATTCGTCTTTTCTTTTCATTTTTTTAACACCCCGCAACACTCACACTCACACTCACACCCTGCTTTTCCCCAGACCAACCGCCCGTCGGTTCTTCGATTCAAACCCTGGTTGCCTTTGCTACCTTCTCCATTGCTTCTCCCATCCCTCTTCCTCCATCCGTCTGTCTTACCTCAAATCAGTCTGGTTTCCTCCTCTTTATTCCGTCACCTGCCGTTACAGCCCTCCCTCTTTTCCTCAGCACAATTGACACTGCCACTTTCCCCTTTTTATTTATCCACATTTGAACCAACAGCATCGGCCGGCGATTCCCACACTTACACCGGCCTACCCTTACCCTTCTTCACTCCTGCCCCCTGCCTCCCTCGGTCCCTGAACGACTGCCATCTTCATCCATCTCAATAAAAGACTAGAAACGGCTACCAATTGCATACTGCCGCCGCTTTCCCCCTGGACATTCTTGACAACAAGGGGATATGTATGATAACGCCAACCATGGCCATATGCAGGTCAAAGCCTTTTGGTAAGTGGCCCTCCCCTTCCTCTTTTGCCAGACCAAACCCTGTTGTATGAGCTTCAATGGATGGCTCCCTTTGTCTTGCTAGCGCCCATCTGCAATTATTTTTTTTGATCTGCTCTCTCTCTCTCTCTCTCTTTCTCTTTCTCTCTCTCTCATATCGCATCCTTGGCGCTATCGTTCATGATTATCCGGATTCCCTAGTTACGCCTTGTACCATACACACAGCCTTCACATTCGCACCCACTAAATTTCGACCGCGCAGCTCTTCGATATTTTGGGTGTTCCTGAGAGGACTGAGAATCTCCATTGAACAGTAGATCCTCAACAACTTCATTCTCCCCTTGGCTTTAATCCATTTGTTTTCGTTTACTTATACGATTCCCTTCATTTGCGTTCCCTCCCATAAATGGCCTTGTCCACTCCTCACTCCGACCCCTTTATTCCCGCACAAACTATATCGAAGAAAACATGCTCTGGGGCGGAACACATCTATGAAAAAGAAACACTATAAGATGTATCCCGCAGAAAATGGGTCATTTCTTTCTTTTGGCCGACTTTTGATTAGCTTATTTTCCTTACGCCGCATTCTCAGTACGGCACACGTGTCCTCTTCAATCTATCCCCTTCTTCGTAACACCATCGACTCACCTCCTCTTTAACTCATTTCATGGTTCCCTTTTCTCTTCGCATCTCCAACGACCAACTCATATCCAGGTCCAACCTAACTCAAGAGTCATCTGCAACAATACCAGCTTCACCCGGCCCACCCAAAATCCCCCCAAAGAAACCCACTAAACGCATCCGCATCTCGACAGCCTGCGTCAACTGTCGCCAGAAAAAGATCAAGTGCGATGGTCAGGTGCCGTGCGCACACTGTGAAAAATGCCACACTGAGTGCGTCTATCCGGTCGCGACTAAACCCGCCAATCAAGAATATGTTGAGACGCTCGAGAACAGGCTAAAGAGCGTGGAATCACATCTCCAAGGCCTTCTATCACGCGGTTGGGGAAAGAGCGCCGGTCCTATGGCTCTGGATGGCGATCATGGCGACCTTATGCCAGATGATGGTGATATTCATTCTCCCTATACCCCTTCCTCCATTCCTGCGACGCCTCCTTCTAAACCGTCCCACAACAGCAACGACCCACACCGGCAAACCAACGGCCATTTTATCACTCGCCAACCCTCTGGAGCTATAATGAACACACCGAACTTGACGGGACCCGACTCTGATCTGGAAGACAATACATTCGCCACCGATGACTCCATGCAGCTCCTGGGGCTCCTGATGGGTAGCCTCAAGATCGAACGCGACGGCTCTGCTCAATATATCCCAAGAATTCTTGACCAAAAGGAACGCTCCTATAATGACTCTAGGATCTACGGCTCCTCAGTTTCAAACAACTTCCCCGACCTCTCAACCCTCGATTGGGATTCAGCTGAACCTCCTTTCCCTTATACCCTGCCCAATACTCTCTTGACACCTAAGGCTATCAGCGCCCTCATGGACATCTACTTCAACAGTGTCCACACATTCCTGCCTGTCATCCACAAGACCAGCTTCTTAACGCTCTGCCAGGAGGGCGAATATCGTGTACCTCCCTTTTTACTGATGGCCATCTGTGCAGTTGCAGCGTGCCATGCCACTGATTTTGAACTGCAGGAGATTCCGGAACTCGCGAACGTGAAGAGTCGCCACGCCTTATACGATCATGCACGTTCCTTACTGGATACCTTCATGGACGTGCCCAGACTCAGCACAGTCCAAGGTCTCCTGTTACTCGCGTACTACCAGACTAAAGAGAAGCGCTCTGGCCACTTCTTCCGCATCCGAATGTATGTTAATCTCGCCGTACGGATGGCATTGGATATGGAGCTGCAACGTGCTCTTCTCAGAAGCCCGAACGGGGTGGAGTCTTCGAACACTGGCGACAGTCTCTCGAGCGTGGACAGCACACATGGCCGGCCAATGTCCGCCATCAGTTCTACAGCACAGTTTCCATCTCTCTTGAACGCGCGTCAGAATGCAGCGCAGCCGGGCTTCCATTCCCGCGACAAGATCCAGAACAGCCGACTATCACAACAAAAACGAGCTGTCATCGACCAGGAAAAGCGTCTGGCATGGCTCGGCTGCTTCTTTTTGGACGGTCTGACGAGCAGTTTGATGGGCCAGGACTACTGCATTGCGAATGCCACATTAGACATGCGCAGGCTGATCCAGGAAGCGAGTCAGATGACGGACACGGTCCAAGGCGCAACGCTGATCTTTTGGTACCATCATCTGGAGTTGGTGCAGATTTATCGTCGCATCTGTGTCTTTTACCGGACGGTTCAAAGCGAACGAGTTCTCGCAAGAGCCATCAAGAGTCAAGAAATGCAGGCGATCGAGTCATCCATGACAGAATGGCTGTCGGATTTGCCCGCACATCTGGTATACGTCGACAGCCAGGGAACAGGAGCAGCCCTTCCGTCATACTATACCCTCTACCTTCATCGGTTCTACTACAGCCACAAGCTGCTCCTCTATCGACCCCTCATCTCCAACAAGACGCACCGTGGCGACCCCAAGAACAGTAATTCCGCCATGGCCAGTTGCTCACATGCGGCCACGATGCTGACACAGATCGGAGAGATCATTTTCCAGAACTACAGCTGGCCTTGGCCTGGCTGTGGCCTCTTTGCCTACCATATGCTTCAGGCGGCTGAGATCCATGTCTTCCAGATGATAACGCAGTCGGCCGTAGATTCACAGAGTCTTTACTATCGCACCATGGATCTGATCAAGGGTTACGTCAGTCTGGCCAAGTTGCCGGATCTTGAGAAGGATATCGTGGCCATGGAGGAAATGGTTAACAATTTCCTGTTGACGCCACAAGGGGCAGTAGCCCAGCCTAATGCATCCTCGCAACAGCAGCAGCAGCAGCACTTTGTCGCCACCCCTGCTTCTGAATACAGTTACGCGAGCATGATGTCCCCTGCCTCACCTGCAGAATCTGTGCAGAGGATGTCGATGCCCCACAGTAACCACGGCAGCCACACCGAGGATGCAGACATGTTCTCGCCTTTGCAAGCCCATGCCTACCCATCGTTCGAGACAGCCAGTCGCGCCTTCCGCCAGCCGCAGAACGGCTCAGGCATACCCTCTGCCTCTTCAGCGGCTGCCGCGTCAGGCTTCATGGCCAATTCCATGTCGGACACGGGCGGGTTTTCGATGAACTTTGGCTTCACTAATGTCTCATCAGCAACGTCTAATCAGTCTCAGCCCACGAATTCTGCTGCTCTATACGATCCCTCCAGCTCGCTGCCGTTCTACAGCGCTGCGACCCCATCTGGTCCATCGATGAGCATGTTCGCCTCGAACCACCATGGTAACGGCCTCCCTTACGGACAGTCATCGTTCCTCCAGCCGACACTTACTCCTGTTGGCGACCTGCTCGGTCTTGGCAACATGGCCACCACCCCGTCGTCGAACCCCTTGCAGCAGCAGCAATCATCGTCGGCTGCACCGGCTAATATTCCAATGGATACCAAGAAGAAGCCGGCAGTGGCTCCACCAAAGCCTCCCAAGCGCATCTTTTCCCAGTCTACAGGCAGCTCGAGCTCCTCGGGTATTAGCCAAAGCCTCAAGCCCCCAGTTCCAAAGAAGCCCGCAAGGCTGAATGAGATTACACCTCCTCGATGGATTGCTCCTCGCCCAGATACTACAGCTGCGTCCGCGGCCGTGACGTTGATGCCGTCCACTTCAGAGCCTGGCATGTATTTTGGTGGCAAGCCCTCGGCAGGCGGTAATACTGAGAACAACAACATTGGCAATGGCGGCCACGAGAACCCGTCGTCTGCATACCCTCCTGGCTCAAACGGCGGAGGACCTAATGGGTCTATTCCAACGATTGGTAGCAATGGCCGACAAATCAAGGTGCTGCAGCCGCAAAACGCGCTGTATGGCATGGGTACACTTGTGAACTCCCTGGGCATTGAGCAGCAGGTGCATCCGGCACCAGATCCTCAGGATCATGTGTCAGTAACATCCGAGCGTAGGTACTATGATGGCCACGAGCAGGCCTTAAACTACCTCCAGAGTAAGTCGCCTTTCTTTGCTTTTTTTTTTTTTTTTTCATCTTCTGCGGAGGGCTTCATGGTCTCATGCTGCATCAATGCAAAATACTAAATCTACTTTTCTTTCTCTCTCTTCTAGTGAATCCTCATCTATATGAGCAGCTACCTCCTCACAATCGCCGCCAACTCATCTAAGCAGGCTAGAAAAGCCATGCCCCTTCCATTTGCTTATTTTTTTTAGCTATATCTGTGCTATCTTGTACTATTTAACATATTTATCGTATTTATCATCATCTACCTTTGACCTTTATTCGCTCGATTACTCTTTCACTCTTGTACTTGACATTTTTTAATAATTTCTTCATCTCATGAACCATGATAATGCCACAGCCATGAACTTTTCTTTTTCTTTTTTTTTTTTTTTTTTTTTTCTTTTCTTTTTTTTTTGGAAGTCATGTCATTTGCGACGGAATAAAAGAAACGTCGCTTTCTGGCTCCTTGTATTTATCCTTTCCTCCGTTTTCAGACATGTACGGGTCTAAATTTTTGGAGCCATTGCACTCCTTGCCTTGGTTACAGATCACAAAGAAAATAAACCGCACTTCTTTGCTCATGAGATATCTGTCCTTGAATGTCGTATTGACCTGCGCCTAAGCGGTATTCAGAGCCGACTCTGGCATCCCACAATGCTTCGCTTAATAATGCGAAGCACAGCGTTTGGTGATGTAAAAAAAAAATCTATTTTCAGTGCATGCATGTACGCCCTATATTCGGGAATCTATGTGTGTGTATGTGTGTGTTCAAAGGCGATCTTGAGGGGAACTGGGGACGCGTGTAAATCCTTAAGCAGAGCTAATACAGTAATACAGTAATACAGTAATACAGAAGAAAGAGAAAGACAAAAAAAGGAGTTATGTCAGTACTTCCAGGTTAAGTGTCGCTTAAGTTTTTTTTGGGACATTCCAGGAACCAAAGGCAGATCGCAAAAGCATACGCGTTTCTGGTGATGGCTGGGAGTTTGGCCACGATGCCGTCGAGCTCCTTGTTCATCAGCACTTGACATCCAAGGCGCGAGCTTAATAAGCATTAATTAAAATGAAGAGATCGATAAGATCGTCGTTGTGATTTTAGTACAGCTGCGGACGAAACTCGGTTGCAACGTTTTTTTTTTCTCCTGCATAACTTACGTATCAGTTAACCCGAAGGCGAGATCCAGCATATCATTCTCCTCATCCGTGGGCTCCTCCAGCTTTGAGTAGGATTCTGTGTCCAAGATCAAATGACATGTTGAGCAAGCCAACGATGCCTCGCATGCTCCTATATGAATAAAAAAATCATCACCATCATCATCATCATCATCATCATCAGTCGGGAAGCAAACGTTAGTATTTCGGCTAAGGGTCGTTTGTTGAATATTTCAAAACACCGATCTACGTTATCTCTAGCGGCTTTTTAGGCGTTCAAATAGTTTGCTCCGCACCTTCGATATCAATGTCGTTAGCCCAAGCAGCATCGAGCAGACTCTCGCCCTCGTGCGCTTGCACAGTAATCTCTTCGCCGTCCTGCATGATAAAGTTGACTGTGAAGCCTTCTCCCGGGCCAGGACGGCCCCTCTTTGCGTACTGGATGCCTACACAGAAGGAAGAAGTCGGAACCGAAAAATGGAGTATTCAATCACCGTTAGCTGCTTGTGCTTCGCCGCAAAAAAAAAAAAAAAAAAAAGGTGGAGTGTATGACATTGGATCCACCTTGATCGTTCCTAAGAGGCATTGCAAACATCCTAGGAGAGTACGATCATGCTCGGCTCGGTGATTAACAAAGAATCTGATGTCCCCCTCCCCCCTATTTTTCCTGCGTTGATTCACCATGCGAGAGATGATCTACTGTACTGCGCACTGTTCCTGTGGTATCTTCGCCGTTATCAGATCCTGCGATCCGTCCTTTGTTCAGTAGTGATATTGCGCCATATGCTTTACCTGAGGCCGTTGTGAATTGTGCGAACCGGCTATTGGATGCCTTATAACCTCCCACTACTCCCGTCCTTGAAGATGTTGTTTGAATATGACCAAAAGTGTGTGTAGATCTCGCAATCGATGTTCCTGATCCTGTCCTTCCTGCATGAATTACAAGAGGGAATGCCCTCCGGAGTGTAGCTGCGAGAATGGATGACATTGTCTTTGAGTGAATGAATCCGTGTGGATGGAGCTGTGTAGAGGTGTTGAAGTGGGCTGAGAATAAAAGATGGATGAGTCGAGATTCCGGAGCTGGGAGTCGGACTGATCTTCTACTTCTCGGGTCTGCGCAAAAACATGGCAGAATAAGGTTCGAGCACTTCGCTTGTGGTTTGTCGCGAGCATAGTCTATCAAGACGACAGCCAGTGAAGGATGATCACCTCCTCTGTTCTTTTGCGCGATCGATAGTTGGTATCGGATAGGATACTCGTTGCGTTCGTGGAGTGGCCATGAGATTCAATCGCGCTCAAGGTGGGAACCGCATATCATGCAGGCAGTGCTTGGCCTATACAAGAGGTCAAATAAAAACAAGCAACGACTCCATAAAAGTGTAGCGTTTAATCGAGATGGCCGATGGCTGTAAACTTTCTGGACTTACTCTTATTGCCAAAATACACTATGTGCCCGCTGCTTTGAAAATTCAAGTGTCTGCAAACGTTTTCATCACTCTGAATCGCTTACTCCTAACGGTCTTGGCGACTTAACGAAGGACGCAGCTGTCTGCATAGATCTCGCCAGGGTGTCGGCGAACTAGGATATTCACAATGATAGAAGGCAGCCTATTGGGATTGAAAAGAAGAAGCCCTCAAAAATATAATCCCGCTCTATATCCGCCTGTATTTCGTTCCTCTTGGCGGGCGACCTGGCATCCCTGGATTGATTCTCTTCCGCATTTGCTTGCTAGCCCTTCACTTTCTTGCTTGTATCGGACAATGAACAGCGAGCAATAAAAAGGTCATAATTCAAATAAAATTGGAGAAGGCGCAATGACAGCATTGCACAAAGAGCGACAGCGACAATTACTGCCGGAATATTGTTAGTGTCACTCAAGTACGCTGCGTGCAGTCGTCCTCATCCTCTACAACCTCACGTATCTGTATTCTTCTCCTGCCAGGCCGCTACAGTGCGGTTTGTGTCTAATAATCATAAGAACTAGAACATTTAGTCCCGTAGAGTTTTGCCTTTCGACTAATACGCGTTCTTTCAACCGAAAAGACGCGTGCTGCATGCAACTCATTCCCGGAATATAAGGAACTGTAGTGGCCCACCTACTGCATTCGGCTTTCTCCCTCCATGCCTGTAAAAGTTGTAAGGCCAGTCCATAACATAAAACATGCGTGCAATATGGCAGAGGTGTAGAGTGCGGAGAGTGCATGGGCGACTGAGCGATGTTGGCTGAAACGTTGCAAAGTATTTTCTAGCGTGTCCTCCCTACTTTGTAATTTAAAAATGCAAACACTGCAAGTAAATACAAAGTAGATACAACAGAGCAACTTGTTGATTACTTTGAGACAGAAATGCATTTCAGAGTAATTATTTCGGCCCGCAATGCATGAACAGACATCGCCTATTTACGGCAGACGTGTCTCCACAAATGTACACGCACTCGTGGGTGAACGTGAAAGCCTAAGAGCAGCAATCGAGATCGCGTGGCACAAAATAAATAAGTTAAAGACATGTAAGAACACAGTTTGTTTGAAAGATACCATTTCTATTCCGCAACTGCATGGATATGAGCTTCTCTCTTGCAGCGAAGCATCGAACAACGCGCTCAATTTAACAAGCGCTGGTACATTGCAAGGGTATAAGCGTGTAAAGTTCAATCGGCGTTTAACAAACACGGTGAGGGGCCAGACACCACTGCAATGGTTATATCCTGCTCCCGTCGCTGCTTTATAAACTGGAAATATTTTATTCGGGCTATTTGGCTATTTATGGAGTAGGATCACTCTGGTGCCAACGCAGTGGACCACAGGGACTACGCTACTGAACTCATGTACGCTGAGTAAGGTATGCATATGCTTGTACCGCGTGAGCAGCATGCATGTTGCGGGTAGATGAATCACGGAATAACTGGCTGTTTGATGACGTACCTAAAGTAATACACAATGGATGTTGGAACTGGAATGCGAAACAGCGTGCTCAGTATGTGAAAATGTGCTGGCTCACATCGAACTTTGAACGGCTTTCTGTAAAGTCCAAAAAAGCATGTAACGAGATATCAGGCAACGAGCCGAAAGTGTTAGTCCGAGCTTAATTACCCAGTGCTTCCATGCAGCGGTGATCTTTTTCAAGAACACGAAGAACACGAACAGCAAGGGTGCTTGCATATATGTCTGTCCGCATATGTTGAGCGCGGTGAAATCCAAGAATGAGGGTATGTTATAGATCTAGTAACTTTGATGACTCTTGCTAAAGGCAAGGGCATTTGCAATGAAGCCTGTTCGGTTCGAGGTAGGCAGTGCAAACTGGTGATATCATCAGGGGGTTTAAGTCAGGTGACGGACGACTAGCCTTGTTCCTGGCCCAACGCAATTCTGTAATGAACCTTGAAAGATGCCTGACTATATGGGTGAGAAGGAAGATTAGACAACAGGAATCAGTCGCTTGTCCAGTGTTTGGGCAAGAGAGTAGTGAAAGGTTCAAAGAGCCGCAGATGGCGAAACGGATATTAGCGGACGCTAACTTTTTTTTTTTCAGTGCGATAATTAAGCGTCTCATGTAATTCGTGACATATGGCATCCGGATACATCGCGGGAGGCGTTTTTTATACCTTCACCGCCCTAAATGGGGGATATGACCAACTTGGAGGTCCATAAGATATCTTGTAATACAATGCTGCATGTGAGAGCTGCAGATTCTGGGAAGTGACCTTGTCCCTTCCTGTCTGGAAGAAAAAAAAGGTGATGCCGAAGGAACTCAGGAGTACGCATGCAGGAGCACGCAAGTGGTAGCGATGACGCGACAGACTCCGCTATCATTGGTGAATAAAGCGAGGGATTTCGTGTACGCGTGACATCAAAGGACGGGATTACTGTGTGCCTGATACTATTTCTGTGAGTGCGATCAACCTACTCAGCATTTCTCGTGCTGATCCGTTCAACTGCAGTTTTTCTTTTGTCCGAATATTACTGGCCCAAGAATCCAATACTCCACGTGTATAAACCTTTTCCGGCCACTAACTGCGGACGAGAGCAAGGCTAGGGCCACAGCAAAGGTCAAGTAGGTCTCGTTATTTGCCTCCTGCCGTAATCTTCTGGAAACAAAGTAGTGGAAGGCTTGAGGCGCCTTTCCATACACTGCCAGGTATGCAAGTATACAAAATAGTCCCTGTGGTTGTTCAAGGCAAAGCGGAGGGAGGGAGCAAATGGGTGGGGTGAATGAACAAATCCCCACCACAGCAAAAAAAAAAAAAGAATACAGCGGACGTGATTGATGCACCTCCTTCTTTTTTAGTTTAAACTAAGAAAATAAAGAAACAGAAAAGACTCTCTGAAGCTTGCTTCGTTTAACATCCTACTACCGGAGCGACAGGTGACACATGCACAAGGTACAAAGGATATCGATCAATACTCTCTTCGCTAAAATATATACCAGTTCCCGCACGCAAAGTTTGTATGTGTGTGATGTATAGTTAGGTTTATTGTTGATTTAAGGCCGACTGTTTAGACTACGATTGAATTGCAGGGATAGGAGAGCTCATTGGGTGTAATGTGGCTGATTCCATAACTATCGACCTATGCCGAGTTTCTGGGAGGACCTCCTTCGCACGTTGTGCTCCCAACCAAACGAAGTGATCGTCTCAGTCGTACGTCCATAGGAATGCGCCCGTTTCTCTTTACTCTTCGCTCACAGAGCCTGGCACCATCGTTCCAGGGACGATGTGGATGTAGCCGCCACCACTGACTAGCATGCGAACTAACGAGGGCTTTTTTGTAGAGGTCCAGGACCTCTTACTGTGATTCCATTCCATATACGATTGTCAATCATTTATTGACAGAACACACACGTATTCATGGAATAAAAGACTGAAAACCCCTCTCATTGGGGCGGAGAGTTTATTTTCCTTGGCATTCCACCTTACTCAAGGCAGAAAATAAGACACTCTGTCGACATCATTGCTGCCAGTATGAGTCGAAGAACATGAAGTGTTGCTTGGTCCCTGTTGCCGCTTTGTTTGTCTTAATACCCTCCTATGTTTCTCTGCATTATCTCCCTCACTGTCTCGAGTCCATCATCATCATCATGATCACCAGAGAGAGCGATGAGCCTTGTTAGTTATTTTTTTGATTCACGCTTCGGTCTTGCTCACTTTCGAAGCTCCTCCTCCTCTCCCCTCCTGTGTTACAAAACAGCTCTTCCAATGCGCGTACATTATCATCCGCCCACTTGGCGCCTGTAGAACCAACGTAAGTGGTTGACTGATGCCCCAGGACCTGCGAAGTTCCAATCCTCGTTGACCCTCGATTCCATATCGGGGCATCTATACCGAGCCTTAGATCCAGCGGTGTATGTGTATGTGTTTGTTTGAATGAGGTCGCAATCCAATGGCTATCTTTTTCTTTGTTCCTCCTCTCCTCGTTACTTCACTTTTTGCTTTCTTTCTTCCTCTTGGCTTTGGTCACTCACTCGCTCCTCTTTCCACCCTACCCCCTTCACACCGCGCTAGCTTTTGACCACTTTCCCTTTCTGTCCCTTACTCTGCAACATCTCTGTCCTACTCGTACCCACATTATTTACCAACCACAAATCTCCGCACCGTGTCATGAATATAAATTGATAAAGCGCACTCACTCGCGTCCTGCTCATTCCCGAATCTCGCACTTCCTCATTCCACTTCACACAATCACCTCTGCTCATTCCACAGCAGTACCCTCCCGATCTCCTCGTGTATCCCATTCTCTTTAAGCAGTACCTGCATTAAATAACTGGCTTCAACCCCTGCGCTGCCATTCCATTCCCATTCCTTGATTCCTTCGTAACCTCATTTCGCATGACTGTGGTTGTACCTGTCAAGTAAAATAAGAACGTGGAATCGTCGCACAATTTCCTCCGTACATATTTTTTTTTTCTGACCTCTTTACCCATTGACCCGCTCGGGAACCGCACCCTGCCTCGGCTTTGTGCGATCGTCGTATATCAATATTAATCTCGTAAGCAAACACAGCGTCTTCGGTACGACACATACACGGGTTATTTGACATACATCTCATGGCGATAAACGTCGTGAACAAAAAAAGATGCGTGTGTCACATTGTATATATTATGTACTCTATTCAATCTGGTTCCAGCCCAAGAAATGCTTTTGACGATCGGCATTCTTTTACTCGTTATTTTTTTTATTTTATTTTTTTACTTCTTCTTCTCTTCCGTTCTTCCCGCAACTATCTAACACTGAACTCTTCTTCGTCACCTCCGAATTCAGACACCAGGCCTCACTCTCGAGTTCATCTTACCTGTGTAAAACTCATCCGCCAGGGCATTCCTTACGATCATCACTTTGCCTGGATATATCCACTGCTCACAGAGCCGTCTCTTCCCACCAATTACAGGCGTTGGCCATCCGCGGGGCAATTTCTAGTTTCCTCCTCCTCGATCTCATCCTTGAACACAATCTCAAAGCCCCATCAGATCGGGATGGGCAAATCTGATAAATACTACTATCATTCCAGACCTTCAGAAGACGACGACGATCTCGATGTTGATCTCAATGAGCTGTAGGTCCACTCGCAAATATTTCCAGCTAATAATGATTCTGTGCTCCGAATATTGGATCATCAAATAAGTTCTCGTCTAACTTCAACGATATAATTCGTATTTTTTTTTTTTTTTTTTTTTTGCATTTAAAGGACTTACTCATTAGAGATTGTACAACAGCCAATGCGTGCTAGGATGTGTGGTTTTGGGGACAAGGTATGTTTTTATTTGCATAGGCAAAGGACTAGCGATACTTTCGTCGCAAAGGAGGACTCGTCGCCCCAGGCCTGAAGCCCGTTGATCGAGGGGTTTTTCATATTTGAATGCTTGAATATTTGAATGCCTGTATGTTTGTTGCTTGCATGGGCACGGACAAATGATTGTGTGTATGTGTCCGTGTGTGACATTGAAGAGTGTTGACTGATCTGGCTTTTTTACCTTTGCATTGTGGTTTTGAACGGAAAGGACCGAAGGAATGTGACCCCGGCCCCCGTTCTGAAACTGGTGGCCAAAACGCAGGAAGGCAGGGTCGTATCTGCAAGGTACAGTAACGACAGCAATATTGATAACAACATCGTTATTGAAATAGCAATAAAGAAAGGACCTTGGTTACGAAAAGAGCGAGGGACTATGAGATTGCCCTGATGAACCTGCGGATCCCGCCGTCCTGGCCCTGTCTCTCTCACCCCTTCTTTCCCTGTCGGTTGCTTTGCCCCTGCTCATACCCTGCCGCCTTCCTCCCCGCCCCTGTTTCACCTTCTTTGCTCAATGGACATGTGGATCGGGAAATTCTCCACTGCCTTGGTCCACGACTCAGACCGATCTCATCTCGCCTGCTGCTGCTGGGCCAGTCAGATGCCGCCCCTCGACTCCCTCTCGCCCTGCTTCTTTTAGCCAAATCGCCTCTTCATTTCTTCATTTTGGATTCCACCCTAATACCTGGGTCATGAGTATGATCGGCGGATTTGTCGATCGGATGAGATGTCTTAGGCACTCAAGGCTCAAGAGTGGATCCATACAACGGATGACACCCGGTGTTTTGATCCTCTACTCTGCTCGGTGGCACACCCGTCCCCCAGTGGTTGCTGCCGTGGAGGGAGGGAGTGGGAGCACAGCACAATGCATATTCATATGCGGATATTACTAGCTGGTTTTAAACTTTGCTATGCTACAAAAGGGCTGACAAATACTTTCCCCAAAAATACTGCAACTAGCCATCTGAGCAAGCAAGCATTCGTTGTAACAGCCGATCTCTGGCTAGAGGATGAGGTTACAGAGCGCAACCTCGTTCTTATCTCCTCTATTCCCTCGTCAAGAACGGCGGCGTATTCGCAACAGATGTCCGCTGTCCACGAACAGCAAGAAGGTACACACATCAAGCGCAGCACTTTGATATGCTATTAGAAAATAACCATACTGAGAAACTGCTCTAGCGTCTTTAGCGCTATGTTTCTCATACTTCTCGATATTTCCATCGATCTTTTACTAGTTGTAGATCAACTCGACATACAGCAAAGCTCAGCAATATCTTTCAGTAGGGATGCTGCTGAAGAGTCCGATTCGTATGCCTCATCATCTAACGCGTCTAGGATGAGTATCCGCAACGTGATCCACGGCGAGGATATCTCTACACCGCCGCCACACTCATCGTCCGCTTCGTCGCCTGCAACATGGTCACGGCCCGTCCATGCGCTTCCAAGGACAAATCCCTCTCAGCGCAATATGGCAAGGGATGTTTCGGGTGCTGAGAGGCGGTATGACCGTAAAGAAGGGACTGCGGAGACATGTGCAGATACAGAGATGGAGGATGAACAAGAATTCCATCGGAATAATGAGAGATACGTGGATCAGGATCTTCACGAACTGAGAGAGCTGGAGCGCATTGAGGCAGAGTCTGGAAGAAAGGATTTGACGACTCGCAACCTGGTTGGACAGATCGCCGTGAGCGGTCAAGTGGCTCCAGGGTTGGATGACGATATGTCGCACATATGGTTTGCTTTCAGCATCTTATCCATCCGCACGGAGGGTTTTTTCAAAATTCGGTTTTGTTTAACTGATCTTATGCGGATCCCAGAGTAAGCTGGAACTAATGAGCTCGCCTCTGTTCTTGGTCTGGTGTGGACATAATGCACCAAACGCTAACGTCTTCGTCAATCCACTTCGCGTAGGGGAGGAAGATCAGAGACCATTTGCCAAATTTTTACGAATACAATTCATGTTCAGACGCCCAAGAAGTTCGAGGGAACATGCGGTAAGTCGATACCTTTTTTGCGTACTTCTCTTATAGTTCTTTGGTACCAGTCAAGCTCATATTGCTCTTCATCATACCATTTTTTTCATTCGAAAGATAATAACAAGATTGCGGTACATCTAAACAAAAACTGCATCAGGATTCCGGCCAGAAAGGACGAAAAGAAGCTGAGCAAGAACAGGAAAGACAGCTTGACATAAGTGAACGCGTAGCCTCGTTACTTAGTCGTGCATAATTTCTATCGCAGCGATCTTGATACCTTCCTCCGTTATTGGTCCTGGACAGGATCAAAGTTTAGAGATCTTTGTTGAAACGCATTTTTTAAGATCCGGCTGCCTGGAATAAAGTCTTACTGCTCTTCCGCTAACTTGAACATGCGAGTAGACGATTTTTGTTTGCGATGGGGGAATCGAGGATGGCATAGCAAGTACTAGAAAAAGCCTAAGCCAGACAGGAAGAACAGACGACGCTTTTTTTTTTTTTTTTTTTTTTTTTGGGAGGGGGGACACAACGCCCGATTACTACTTAACGATGGAAAGGACAACGAGAAATCTGATGATTTCAGCGTAGATAGCGAACTTGGCTCGTTTCGTATGCTCTCGCGCCTTCTTCATTCAAAGAGTCACTCCCTGTTGGTATCCTCCAGGCCTCACCTATAGCTTTTCTCTGAAACTAAACCATTGATAGCTACATGAAATCAAAAAGCCATGATATAATGCGTTGGAGGCAGAATAAATCCATGGAGCTGAAAGCGGCCCTTATATTATCTCGGTTAATATTTTTCTTATCAGAACGCCATTTAATATCATACGCGTATGAGATGTGGATACCAGTCATATGTTTCGTTCAACAAATGAAGAATATCCCAGTGAAGTGACGACTATGTCCTCTAGAGTACAATCTAGAAGTAGACGGGTGCCACTAAAAAGCATAGAAATGCGCTCTGTATCCCTGCTAAACGCGGAACTGCATAGCAAAGGGTTGTACAAAGTACATGTAGTACAGACGTTTGGCTGGAGGTAGGCTGGCCACATAGATCGTAGATGGGTAATTGCGTCCAAGTGGACCTGACCTGACACACATAGAATTCAAGGGACCGAAAGACGCTCCACTCCGTATATTCTTATATTCTTGAGCTCATTCCTGTCCCCAACGCTTCTCTATCAGGGCTGACCTTCTTGAGTCTCTAGACCTTGAATGTGAACGAGATCTGCTATTGGTACCAATCGTTGTTACAAATGATTACTCCGAGGCTCTTCCCTGGCACGGCCTCAGTGGATGTCAAGATCGTACGGGGGATGAGAATCCAGATCGGAATAAGCGATGAATCGACAACGGACGCGCCAGGACCTAAGATGCTTTTGACATACGACAACGCTAGCAATCATCTGGAACTAAGGGAAGAATCTCTCACAAATGTTCTCGACCAAGGCTTTCAGAGCTGCGATTGTGAGGGAGAAGGGTGGACTTGGGCGACATAGTTCCAGCATTGTTTTATGCGCTGGATCTCTGGAAATCAAAGCAAGTTACGAAATTAGGCTTTGTCCCCAATTTCGTCTTATGTTGGTCTCTACCACATATGCACTCACTTCTTTTCTTCCGATGTCGATTTAATCCTCAATCATTACTCTACAATTTGTCACCATAAACTATCTAGGCGATGATGATCAATGGGGGCGACCTCGCCAGTATTTACATACTCCCGAATCATGCTCTCAAGCTCTGGGTTCGTCTCCGACAAAGGTACGAGCGCGCGATTGAAAGTGGATCCGAAGCCCTTGAGAAAAGTAGGGATGACTCTTTGGACACTAATGGAAGGATCGTTGAGCTCCTGTGATAATGAAGTTGTTTCCTTGCCGACCAGCCCGCAGGCAACGATTTGCTGGAAAAAGTCGAGATTCGTGTTGCAATTGAGCGCTAATCCATGCGAGGTGATGTACCGCTGAACATGAACGCCTATGACAAAAAAAAAAAAGAAAAGGAGGGGGGATTGTCGCATGCGTATATGGGGCAATTAGTATGCATTACGACTATAGAAAATGTCAAATAGAAGATTGGCAGGTTTGCATTTACCAATGGCAGCAATCTTCTTCTGATCGCTGATCCACACTCCTGTATTCTCAGTTGTGATGGCCTGGACACCCCATTCGGCGCACGTCGCAATGATAGCTTTCTCTAAATGTGACACGTAACACCGCACACTTAGCTGTAAAAATAACGGATTGATGAGTATGAGTGGTTAGTAGGCCGTACCTGACTGAGTGGGGGAAAGTAGACTCTTGGTTCGTACCTGAATTGGTTTAAGATCCAAGATCGGATACGCCACCAATTGACCAGGGCCATGAAACGTTATTTCGCCTCCGCGCAGCGACTCCACATAGGTTGCACCCAAATTCTGTAACCGCACTGCTTCTTTATGACTAATAGCCTGTGCACCGCGATTCCTCCGACCGTTTGTGTACGTGGGTGTGTGCTCCACAAGGAGGAGCAAATCGTTGCTTTCGTCCTCTGCAAGCTGGGATGCATGTCCAGCAACGTGACTAATGACTTCTGCAGCGGCCATGTTTCTAGATCGATGATCTTCTCGGTCCTTCCGAAGCCGGATCTGTCTGTCGACAAGTCGTTGCTGTAGATCCGTGGAACGGTTGTATGGAAGATCTCGAAGGTAGATATAAGGTAGCGGGGACAATCGGGGACGGGCGATAGTGGTGGGGCATGCCTTCTCTTGTCCAGTCTGGAAATCTGAGCTCACGGAAGTGGTATTAGGACTTAGTGGGGTAGTAGCTGAAGATGATGCAGATATGTCAGAGTCGCGCTGCTGCCGGAGTGCGCAGGTAGAGAACGTGGAGGAACGAGCGAAGAGAGTAGGGAAAGGAAGCCGACCATTGCGAACCACTCTTTGAAGTAGAGTGGTGGTGTGCAGTTGCATTTCGTTTGTAACTGAGAAAGTGATTGATGAGATTCCTCTTGAAGGATGGAATGTGAAGAAGGTTGGTGCCCGGGGAGCGGGGAATATGTAAGATGTGTTAAGGGGTAAAGGACGATTTGAAGCATAACACCGCGAAGAGAGAATGTTTCACACACGATTGACGCGTCTCCCTGACCCATCTGTTTGTACATTGCACAGCCACAGAAAGATGAACCTCTGCTTGTTCCTATTTCATCCCCGGACGCGTTTGTGCTGTACCGATGGGCCAACCCATCCTTGCCAGCCCAACGGAGACGCAGGTCCACAATAGCAATGGCGCAATAACGCAATAGCACAATGGCCCAACAGACCAAAGCCAATAAGCAACGGTCGAATGGCTCAGTTGCGCAACCCAAAAAAGAGCCCAGACCAGATGCGCGGATTCTGGCACAGGCACAGACGAAGGTAGACGCACGAACGCAGGCCGTCTTCTTCCCTTCCTTTTCCTCTGCACCTTCATTTCATCTAAGGCCTCCTCTTCCTCTCGTCGTCCCAAATCGTCTCTCTGTATCTCTGTATTTGCATTCTTCTCCCTCGCCCCTACACACGTCTGCTGTAGCGTTTACTCTTTGAGGTCTCGCTCTTTCACAGCTTTCACTCCCTGACAATGCAACCCATTGTGCCACAGCATCATGAGCAATTGCATGCAACTCTCTCCTCAGCTCAGCATTCGCATCAGCATCCACATCCACATCTCTTTCATTCACATTCCTCTCATGCCCCTCAGGAGCCCTTGCAGCAGCAGCAGCAGCCATACAATTCCTCTCAGCCAGTAGTCGCTTCCCATATAAGTTTGGAGCGCAACCAGCACCGCGACTCTCCAGCCCACCCACATACACAGCTTCCTACCACTGGCAAGCAAAGATCATCGACACACTATGGCCAACGGTACAACCCCATGTTTGCAGCTATATCCTCTGCACCGCCACCAACGCAGCATTCCTCGGCTGGCTCTGTAGCAACATTCCCTCAGATATCAGTCAGCCAGTCGGCAGCAGTCGCTCAGAACATGACCTATGGATCACAGGCCGAGGCCCACAGTCTGTTTCCACAGGGCCTTACTACGAGTCCAGGATTGCATGGGACCGGCGCGCCGATTGGCCCAGCTATGATCAGCGCAAACCGGCAGTCATTGATTCACCAGCTACCACCTGCTGCCGAGGTTCACGATCAATTAGCGCCTACTTGGTCACCAGCATCAATGCCAGCCTATACATCGACCTATGAGGTATGATCAACAAACCACTCCATCGCGGCCTTTTTTTGTTTCATGATATTCTTATAACAGCCGTCAATTGACAGCGCCTGGGATCTTCGCAGTAAGGGAGGACGCAGGTGTGCTTCCGCTCTGATGGATTTGAATGTTTTGTTTTTAAGGTTTCTTTGGAGATTTGGAGGTTTGGAGTCTTGGAGTGGTCCGTCATGCTGTCCAATGAGTGTGCAGATGCACAACTACGCGCCAATGTCGCTCTGCCATACGTTACTCACAAATTAGACAAATCCATATGATATGCACCGGTACCTCCTGATAGACAAAGTATGCTGCTGGACCAGGTCTCGCCGCCCAACAAGCCACGGGACCGGCTTCCCATCCCAGCTTAATCGCAAACAACATTTATGCACGATCGCTTCACACGCCCTTCTACCAAATGGGCCTTCCGTTGTCACAGGAGGCGACATTTGACTATGGGGCTCAAGGGTCAAGGTACGAGCACTACAGACAACGTGCCCCATACAATTTTGATTGCACCGCCTCTCTGTCTTATGTAATCCTATGTCGTATTGATCTGGCCTCGCAAGAAACTAACACATGTGCATTAACCCAATTGTCTCTCTGGTTAGTACAACAACATTGTTGGACACTGCGACGACCGACTCTCTAGAGGGTTCTAGGTTGCCAGCGTTTGATGTCAAGGCCTACACATTCCGCAAGAAATCGAGGCACTATGTCGCTGTTAAGCACAAAAATGCGCTGAGAATCGAGCCCATTATCTATCTTAAGACAAGCGTGCTCGATAATGGCCGCGATGTAGTTCGCAATTGGGACTACCTGCGCTTTTCGATTCACCGCTTCAGAGAGAACGCATACCCAAAAAAGAAACTAAGTGCAGAAGGCAAGACGATCTGGCCGCGATGATCGATGGCACTATGGTAAAACAATTATGACATGCTATAATAACCATATCGCTGTTTCTTTCATCTTGACAGAGATGCGAACAGCAAGGATCCTAGATGTCAACATCTCTCTCGTTTCGCCCAATAATAAGAACCGCCCTATCGAGGACTCTTGTCCTGCTTGTGTTATGCGCATGGCAAGTTATGAAGAGGGAGTCTTTCATGAATAGGTCATAAAATTATCGAATATCCCGTCTAACCACTAGCTGCTTCTGCGATTGGTAAAAAATAGGATGGCGAACGCAGGGTAGGTATTTGCATATCTTTATTTTACATTCACATATCCCCCAGTAATGCCATCGTAAAGCTTACGCTCGCTACGATTATTAACACTGTAGATTATGCAAGTGTTGGCCAAAAACTTCAAGCTCACTCCCGCAGGCGAACCAGTCATCGACATTCGAAAGGGTCATGTCATCGTATGCATCAAGCTGAACTGTTACTGCGATCATCACAACGAGCAGGAGGGTTTTGTGGTCAGGATGCAGACGGAGCCCGAGATCGTTCGAGTGGGTAGCTCGGTCAAGCTTCGCATCTGCTGCGAAGCCCGCTCAAAATCAGGTCCTGCTGAACCAGAAGCCGAGGAGGAAGATGGGCTGACAGACATTGATGCGCCCATATCCACGGGCTCCCGATCCCCAGCGGGACATGAGCGATCCGTCCAAAGTCCTTCGCTGAGCTTTGGGAGTGAAAGTCCTGACCCGGGAAGTCGCCAGCGTCTGCAATCTACGAATTCGAGTTTAATTGCATCGCCCAGATCTATGGATGAGCGTGTTGTAAATTCGCTGTCCGTGGGATATTCCCAGGGTGTCCGTGCGGTCCATCCCCCAGCCTTTCGACAGATCTATCCGCTGACACCAAGCGAAGGAACATGCCTCGGAGGCACTCGAGTGACGATCCACGGTGCGCACTTTGACACCATGCAAAACCCCGTCGTGTACTTTGGGGAGATCCCAGCAGAACTGGTGACCATTTCGCACCATGATGTGATGGAGTGCACGACACCCCCTGCGGAGGGTCTCAAGCCGGGCATTGTTGCAGTCAATATTGCTTCGCTGGCATTCCCGCTGAGTCCCGATGTTGATACCGTGGATTTCATGTATATGGCCCCGCCGGACTATGACTTTTATAATTTGGTGGCACAGTCTCTTTCGTACGCCATGGCCAACGAATATCCTCATGATAACAGTGTGAGTTCTTAAGCCTGGATCAATGACCAATTTTTATATTGTATGCATTCGCAGCTCCTTCACCTTAACATTTTTTGACGACATTTTCAAACTATAGCTGGCATATATTCTAAATGCTCATGGTCCGGGGCTTAACGCTGAACTCAATCATGGAATGGTCCAGGGTAATACCGACACACTATCCGGGGATACACTTGACTTGGGACTTGCATGGGGCGCGAAGGAAGATATAGCTATAGAATTTTTGCGGGTCATTCAGGCACTGGCCCCTGGGAGGGTGTTGCCAGCCTTCAAGGTAAAATGAAACGCCAACTCTTTCTTGTATTCGCAGTCTGCCCGTCATTCGTAAACAACCACTAATTCTCTTACTACGTGAATAGAGTGAAAGTGGGCATACTCTCCTTCATTTGGCATCCCAGAGCGGCATGCATAGCCTAGCCAAGGAATTGCTGGATATGGGCATCGACCACACCGCTGTGGACAGAAACCGTAAAACAGGCAAGTGAGTGTCTTGAGGTACCATCTATCTCGTTTATCATCTCCACATCATTCACTAACACTTCGTACTTCATTTGTCTCAATGACATTCATTTAGCGCTTCACTTTGCTCAAATGGTCTCAGACATCAATATGGTACAGCTGCTTTCAGAAGCCAGGATCCCGCCACGTCCTATGGTGCCCCGATTAGAAACCGGCGCCGCCCATTCGAGCATGAGGAAGACCGTAATAACACTAATTCGGAAGCACGAATCAACACTCCGCAAGGCGCTGGCACAGTTGCAGGAACGCAACGCAAAGGACCTCCAGGGATTGCGCGATCGTTCCTTGCGCGTGATGGAATTGCGAGACCGACGTGGGGTCCCATCTGACCTATCGATCGATGCGGACGATGACGATATTACAGTCTTCTTGGGCGAATCTTCTCCATCTACCAAATCGTCGGATGGAAGCGAGAGCTCATTGACTCTGGACTCGCCAACTCAGGACGTTGATCGGAAGCGCAAGTCGAGAGACGAGCCAACGACATTTGACACTTTCAAGAGAATGTCGACTGGATCAGCACCCATTACCAAACAGAGTGTGGATAATGCAATCGACCTGGCCCAGCTGGAATTTATTCAAAATGGCATAAAGGACTGGGAAGACTGGAGAGATGCTCAACTCTTTGGACACACGTTGGAGCTGACGAGCTCGACAGATATACAGGTCTGGGTTTGCGAATCTGCAACGATTACTCCGCAAAAGGACTCAGCCGATTCGGACGTGACATCTGCACCTACGATTACATCTGCGGACTCGACCCTGACTGCCCTGGCCTTGTCGGCAACTGGACTGCATTTGCTCATCGAACGATCGCTGGCCCTAGACGCAAACGCGAGGAAGCTTGAGCATTGGAGCCTTGCTGAGATAGAGGAGCTGAACTGTGTGGCAGTGAATGGCAAGGACGTCCTTCAGATCGATATGTGCAGCCTAATTCCCAGAGGCCGTGAGCTATCGGGCGAACGGATTCAAGCTGACCCGGTTACTGCTTCTTACGAAATCCTAAATGCCATCAGGGGCGCATGCACACGACTAATGGAGTACCAAAGGCTACTTGCACAGGATACATGGCTCGACTCGCGTCTGAAGATGTGGAGCGCTCTGTACAATGCAGAAGAGCGCGAACTCGAATCTGTCATCAAGGATCAACTGGAAATTCGAGGCGAAACACTGACTTTGAAAGCTGCTCAGGATGATCACCAGGGACACAGTCTCGCGATGATGAGCTCTATTATTTGTACAGCTCGAGACTTGGGCACTGTTTCGCGAGTTCAGTTCGAGGGCGCAGTAGTCGCGGAGGATGGATGGGGTAAACTAGCACTTATCAGGAAACTGGAGAAGACTGTACGTGTGATGAGGCAGGTCATACGATGGGAGTTCAGCGGCTGTGGGTGGACCTCGAAGACGGCTGAAGGGTTCATTAAGGGACTCAAGCCTGATTCGAACCCCAATACTCCAAAAGATCAGAGCCTCCAGCAGTGCAGAGAGATCCGTTTGGCAGGAAATAAGTTTGGTGGCGAGGATGCTATCGGCCACTTACTGGTCGAATGTGCCGGAAATATCAGGGACCTCGAGACTCTCGATCTGACAGACTGTGATCTTGGATTGGCGGGAATGGAGACTCTAGTTCATCATTTATCGGGACTTGGGGAGCTCCGACTACACGGTAACCGTGCAGACAAGCGTTGGTGGCAATGGATGGAGACGGTCCTCACGCGGAACCCTGACATGGAACGGTGTAGTCTCGGTGCTCGAATCACTCCCGCAGATCCGCAAGGAATACTTTTAACACAGGAGCGACTCAAATCTCTCAAGGAGCTTGTGGAACTGGACTTGACTGGGTCTCCGATGACAAAACCGATGCTGGACGTCATTGAGGCGCACGTGAGATATGATGCAAAGCACTTTCAAACGCTGGTTCTCGCACACTGTCAACTGAGCTGGACAGATATATCGTCGATCTTCAAGACCATCTGTGAGGTGAATTTGTCGACCAAATTTACTTTGAACGTCAGCAAGAATCCTCTGTTCGACTCGGAGGAGGCGGTGCAGCTTTGGGAAAGGGATGTATATGCTGCATCCGTCAATGTTCCTTTCGGAATTCAGATTATAGACCTGTTGCTTTCCGATGCTACCCTGCAGCGCATCCTCAGTCCACTCGAAGATGCGACCTGCTTCAACGAACTGAACATCAAGGGACTCTACATCAAGCCCAACAATCAAGTTACCGGACTGGCATCACTGCCATACGATGAGGCACGCGCGGAAGTGGTCCCAGAGCGTGCATCCAAGGAGAGCTGTCTCATTTTGCGTCGGATTCTTACCTCCAACAAGACTTTGGTAATGTTGGATGTATCAGGCAACAATGGCATAGGACCTAGACGGGACGATTCAAAATCCAAAACTGCCATCTTCAGTTCAGGGTCTAGTTTTGGCTCGAAGCCCGGCTCGCATTCCTTTGCTGTGGGTGGATTTGGGCGCGATATCGCCCTGGTTTTCCCCGCTCTAGCCCAGAATTCAACACTGCGAGTCCTGGCGATCGATTATAACCTATTTGGTGAGGATAATATGCTCAAGTTTTGCGAGGCCATGCGATCTAACCGCAGCATCGGTGTTTTGAGCTGTGACGGGAACGATGCATTCACGCCAAAGGGTCTACGAGCTGTCGAGAGTATTTTCCCGCCCGTCTCACTAACGACCTCGGAGGATGTGGTGGTCGAGAGTGAACAGGAGGATTTGCATGGGTACAACAGAACGCTTTCTGTGTGGACGTTAGAGCGGGATGAGATTCTGATGCACATGCAGCTGCTGGCGATGGATGTGCGGCGATTGACGGCGGAGTACAATCGGATCGAGAAGATGCAAACCAGCAACGTGATTGGGGGCGACATTAAATTCCTGGGAACAACACCATTGGCGGACGTACAGCGACGATGGGATGCCGCCGCGAGGAACCGAATCGAGTATGGGGAGACCCACGCACGAATTGTGAAGGCCATTGGCGAGAATAATAGACGGACAAAGAGGGCGTACCAGCAGAAGCAAGGCTGAACTTGAAGTTCGAGTGCCGAGTACCTAAATATATATAGATCCACCAACGGTAGTTAGATTGTATATGACAAAAAAACGTTTCCCCAATATGAATGCTATCCTTCCATCGTTTGTTTTGAAGGATCTACATTGCTGCAAAGTTTTGTCATTTCTTCTTCATCTCGCTGCTGAATCAACTTTTTGCACATCGGAGCACGCCGTTGTCTCTTCAAGCACCAGTTCGCTTACACTAGCCGCGAAGCTTTGGATGCTGTAGAAGATGGCTTCGACGACCATTAAAAAAATTATATCCCTTACTCTGTATACCGGGCAAATTTGCCCGGTTAAAATAAAATGACAGCCTTTTTTCGTTTTGTCTCGAAATTCTGTTAAGCCACCCCTCCCTGGTCTTTAAGCTCGATCGAAAGAGCACAGGTGGAAAAGAGCACCAAGTTGGGTTAGGATACTCGGTCTGGAGTTGTGGTTGGAGGAGTACTGGTCGTTTTCTGGCAGGATAATGGACCGGTGACGATGATGACAACGATTCACGGGATTGCAGGTGCGGAATGGGAGGTCCTTCGAAACGGCGCCGACCATGAGAAACAAGTACAAACGGAGCAAAGGTGCGAGCAATTTTTGGTAACTCTCCCAGGAAGGAACTCAAGATCCTGAAGGTCATCGATGATTACAACTGCAATATGGGTGGAGTTGATATTGCCGACCAATTTCGATCCTACTACAGCACGCAGCAGACAACGCGGTGGAACTGGATGCCAATTTTTTTCTGGCTCTTGGATAAGACTATCATCAACACCTATCTCATAGCCCGAAAAAAAGGACCCCTTCTCACGCACAAAGAGTTTCGCAGCTCTCTTATCTGGGGGTTAATCGATTCGGTCCATACCTCAAGCAAGGCACGGCGCCACAATGCTGTGAAGGAGGAAGACGAGAACGAGGATGGCACTGTCTGGAAACGACCTCGAGTGACAAAGAACTTTGAATTCCCCAGTGATCCGAAAGCATCGAGGGACCTGCATGCTGTGTTCTTGGAAATACCAAACCAAGCAGATCTACATGAGCCAGAAGAACCCCTTCTAAAGTAATATCTGGTGCCAGGTATGCAAGGTTCCCTTGTGTAGCAATGGCGCCAGACCTTGTTTCAAAGAATATCACACACAATCCACAGACCTGGAGTAAAAAACTTTGAATAATTTACATGACTGTAGCACAGGGAAATTTTCATTTTGCCGGGCAAATTTGCCCGTCACGTCGTACAGAGTAACAGTTTGGTAAAATAATTTTATTGTGTGTCGTATGTTCACCAGAGTCAGTGCCATGCCATATATATTACTATGTACGTTCTTTTAGTATACACAGGCGCATATGTATCTGGAATGATGGGCCATTTGTAATCTGCAGTTGTGAGAAGGCAGGTGAATAGAAAAAGAAAGAGAGAGGAAAAGGGAGAGAGGGAAAGAGAGAGAGAGGGAAAGAGAGAGAGAGGGAAAGAGAGAGAGAGGGAAAAGGCGTCTACAGTCTAGAAACCTATGGCGCCATTATTTTCTCGTCGGCCCACTCCTGACGCGAAATACATTATTTTGCAGCAGTTTTTCGCCGCCCCAGTCTAGGTGGTTTATGAGAACAGTGATCAATCACTGTTAGATACGAATGAAATAATCGATAATCAGTGTGAACACTGCAATTTCTATAGCATAGTGCATGAACATACACACATTTTGGACGTAGATTTCGGGGCCTTAAAAGAAATATCATTCCGTACATCCTTGACCCTACTCCTTTCCTCCTATCAGCCCTCAAGCACTGTCGCATATTCTTAACGTGAGTCTTGAATGCTTCTGCAAATGGATACATGTACCAAATTTGATCCTCATTAACTGTCTACTTTGACTTGGCCTTTATTGTACCAGATGGGAGTCACTGGGCTACTCAAAGCTATAAAAGACACCGAAGGAACGCTAGCTTATGATCTGCAGAGCAAGAAAGTTCATGTCGATGTCTTGAGTCAGTACTTTGGATTCTTGCAAACAAGGGCCTTCAAAATGACGTGTAAAAGAGTCGCCAAGGAAGCGAGAGCTGAGGCAACGGCTACGACAACTACTAGCGCATCAGCGGCTTCCATTCTACCAGAAACGACGACATTTCTCGCAGTGCCCACAGCCCCCGCAGTCTCCACAGCCTCAACAGCGCAAGACACGTCTTCTGTTGCAGACGCCGGCACTAGCAGGAGAAGCAACATCAAGAAGTGCGCCTTGAGTTTCTCCGAGGCTCCATCCAAGCGAGGAAAGGCATGCCCTAGTTATGCGAGCGAGGTACAGGCTGCAGGGGCGCAACATCCTGCACTGTTCATTGGCCCTAATGGACGATTGACACCAGACCGACCTGGAATAACAGAGCAGGTAATTAAATGTGCCAATGGTTTCGTATCAGCTTGCGCAGCATAGCAACCAAGTGCTGACACATGTTCTGTTGTTTCATCCTTCGATCCTGCCTCATCTCTAGTCACAGAATTACGGCCATATAGTGCACGACCTCAACAAAATCATGTCAAAGCACTTTAGCAAATCAACCACGGTTCTACACTTTGACGGAAAGGCCTCGATACAAAAGTCCCAGGAGCGACAAGATCGGGCCATATCCCTCAGCAACCGGATCAAGACTCTGGAGGTGCGAGTTGACAACGCCATAGGAAAAAACAACGGTTCTTTGGGCCCCCTGTACAAGCAATGTCGAAACGCGTACAAGACATCCAAGGCAGCGTTGGCAGACATAAGAAATGGGCTGGAGACCTTGGAGTGGCACACTTGCGAATGTCCCTTCCAAGCAGACACGCACATTGCTGAGTTGTATCAAGCTGATAACAACAAAGACGACCTCGCAATCATTACCGCCGACAGTGATATGATGGTATATCAAGGTGTTAGAGAAATCACTATACCCGTCGGAAAGTACCGAGCGCTCACCACGTACAAGAAGCCTGACCTGCTCGAGTCTCTAGACCATGCATGTGACCGTGAGCTGTTGCTGGCATCAATCATTACTAAGAACGACTACTCCAAGGCACTCCCGTGGCACGGCTTCCAAAGAAATATCAAGATCATCCGAGAGATGAGGACCGAGACCAGAGCAGGCGATGGATCGACCATGGACGCGCCAGGATCCAAGACGACTGAGGCTGGCATTATCAAGGAGCTGATCCAGGAGTATTTACAACGGGCGAGAGGAGGACAAAACAAGAGTGTGGACGACTACACCCACGCCATTTCGGCTTTTGTTCAAGTGCGTGAGGACTATCTTGACTCCGCTACGCCATCGTGCACGACCCATGAGAAAATACGGAGCATACTCCAGAAGCTCGAGAAGTGCAAGCTGCAAAGGAGAAATATGACTCGAGCCTCGCGGACAAAGCCTCCAGCCGACACACTCGCCAGCGACACTTCTGCAGGCTTGGCGTTTTCTTCCCCTGTCCAACGCAGCCTGCAGACGCCTGGACAGCAGACGATTCTTCAGGTCCGACGCCGTCGCCGCAGACACAAGAAAGGGAACGCCCAGCAACGGAGAAAGCGACGTCCCAAAGGCAAAGCAAGACGTAAGAAAGTCCGGGAGGCAAAATGGAGACGAAGCAGGTATGATTGTCGTATGACTTTGTTAGCGAGTTCAAATTCATTACGACCTTTTACAGCTTTGTCGCTTTGGTACAATCATCTTATTGATATTTTCTTTTTTTTTTTTTTTTAATTTTTGGGATTGTCCCTTAGGTACAAGAGCAGGAACGGAGATGCCAACTCTCGTTATTCCCCTCATGTTGTCATGGACGTCAGCCACTCATGCTCGGTCGACAAGATCGCATTGGAAAAGATGTCCATCGAGGAACCGCGCCCGCGGAAGAAGAAGGACGGAAGCATGGATGACAATCCTAAGGCCGCGAGTGAAACCAAGACGAAGTTCAAGGAGGACGAGGAGAATGGTGAAAAAGTGGAGAGGCCAGCTGGAGCTAACCTGACTAAGCACCTGTTCGGGGAGGCTTTCAAGACTGCCACAATGACTGAAGGGTCGATCACAGGGTGCCTGCACCGCGCCACGAAGCTGAACGTAGTCCAGACCAAGATCGTCGCGGAACGCATCAGCGAGGCGGTCCGCATCATGAGCCAAGCTCGTATTCTCGTGTTTAAAGCGCTCGAACTTTTTCTCTACAAGGAGGTCAGCACTACCACCATATCTAATTCAGATCAAGCGCGCCCGACACCAGATCAGAACTTGGGCACTGATGTCAATCAAGCGAGTGCTCCGAAAGTCCAGCACAAGGAGGAAAAGGACGCGGACCCACTTGATCTCATTCTGCACAAGGCACATGGAGAAACTATCATCAAAAATCTGATCTCTTTGATTCTGAATGGTCCAGTAGCGCCTCGCGGGAGACCACCTAAAGGCTCGGCGGCAATTCAGGCGAAAACAATTGCGCGCTCGATTTATGACGATTTCCTGAGCGTTCTTTCAGATTGCGCACCGACAAAGGGCTGCCAAGATATACCCCTGAGCGTCATCCAGGCGGAACTGGCGGTGAAGGTCCGGACCGCGGTTCGGGAGCATTTCCAGAGACTGCCCAAGTTCATTGTGAACAAGGTAACATTTCCACTGTCCGGAACAAGATGTATCTCGCGTCGATTTGCTTTTCCACTGTGAACTTACGTTTATTTCTTGTCTCTATTAGCTGAAGCGTGCTCGTTTATTCACGGATGATATTCCTCCAGTTGAGGATGACGAGAGCTCCGATGGCGATAAACAGAAAGACAAGATGTCATGTAAGAAGGGGCACATCCAAACTTGGTGGAGGTTCTTTCTCCGTGTGCCATCGGAGTTGCGTCCTGTTTCCTGTCCAGTGTAGAAGTTGGGAGACTCTTTCATCTTGTGCTCTGAGGCCGCCATTCTTCCACTTCTTTGGGGTAGTCCACATTCAAAGACGCACCCCACGCGGCATATCATGGAATCTCAAGTCTGCTCTTCCGGGAGGGCCCACGAACTTGCATCAGAGAAGTATGGGGAGCTTTTCCGACTACTGTTTATCGGAGGCAAGGTCGAGATCAAGACGAATCCCCTCAAGAACCAGACTTCATGTGGCAAGAAAACAACGACCATGAACCGATTGCTGAAGGACTATCCAAACACATACGGCCAAGCCGCACTCGATGAGTACATGAAGAAGGTCTTTGCATATCACAAGGCTAGGAAGCAAGCAGCTGCCGAAGGCACGGAGCCCCCCGCGCCCCCTGACTCCCCAAGTAATGACAGCGTTAAGGAGCACTATGCCATCAGCAATATGATGAGAACAGACGGAGTCCAGCTCCACCTAATGGCATTTGACATACGGAGATGTTGGCAGTCGTCCAAAATTAAGGCGTGGATCCCGGAGATTACATCGCGATTTCCTAACAAAGGTTCTCTCGCAAAGGCTTTCGATCAAGACCTCCAGAATGTTGTGGTTGTGGGGGTGGACCCCGGTGAAGTAATTCCAGCATCATTTTGTGCGTTGGACCCCCGAAAACCGAACCAAGTCACGAACCTGCCTATCAGACGCTCCGCTCTCTACAGTCCCAACTTGTCATTCAGAGCCGCGCTGGAGGCCAAAAAACGCGAACGGGCCACTGTTACAATCAAAGACGATGCAGGATTGAGTGGGGACACATGCGAGATGCCTAGCATATCGGAATTGAAAGCCTCGCTGCCGTCATCGTCGTTCGTAAGCATGGAAGAAACCGGCATGGCCTCCGACAGTTCAGCTATGTCCTACAACCACTTCGCGATTTTTACGGATCCCGTTCGATGAAAAAAAAGCTGTGGGAGCTCAAAATGGCGAACCGGGCAGAGAAGGATCATGCCGTGCATGGGCATTGCGAACTGTGGACCCACAAGGCGGGATACATACTGGGCCAACGAGACCGGCGATATTTATATACGGGTCAGAAAAGTTCAACACCCATACCAAGCTGGCATCGCTACACGAGAGCTTCAAGGGGTATTTTTTCCACAAGGTATGTTGTTATAAACATATTTATTGCGATTTGCTTGCTTTCAATCCAGTATCGATACTGATGCCATGTTTCAGCATGCCATTGCACTACATAGGCAAACAGCCTCGGGTACACCGTCGTTTGTTCAGATGAGTATCTCACGTCATCGAAATGCCCGAGCTGTGTACGACAAAACAAGGACCGAAGAATGGCAAAGCCAGCGAATCGGGCGTTCGTCTGTCTCGAGGATGGGTGCCAAAGATGGCTAGACAGGGACTGCGTGGGCGCCCAGAATTTGGCTAATATTGGTCTCGAATGGATCAGTAGCCTGTCTCGCCCAGAGCCCCTCCGCCGATCCCAGCAAGAATAACTGTACTGGCCGTGTCAGTTAAAATTTATCCTAGGTGACTGTCTCTCTTTCCAGTTGAGACGGTCTAAGGGATAAAGAATCAGAACGCGTCTTGTCGCACAAGGAGAAGCAAATGCGATTGGCCGAAATAGTGCTGTGTTGATCATACTGCGCTTCATAAAATTTTAAATGAAGGCGACTGGCCAAAACAATGGCAATGGATATTAATATGGCACTCGATCTCCATCTAATGTCGGATTTCATCATAAATGCATACTACCTGTTGAGTAGTAATCATGAATAAGAATAAGGAAAAGAAAGAGAATGAGAGATAGAAGGGGAAGCGTTGAATGCTCTCGCCCACGTGGTCAGCCATGCACAGCGGCCAAATCCAACCCTCCTATTTTATTTATTAACAATTTGTTTTGGAATAATTACTGAGACCTTGTTGTAGCTCTTCCTTTTATTTGAAGCATGATCGATTTACAGCTGCCATAAAGCATATTATTCTTCTCGAGCTTGCGCGACAATTTACATCACCAGTGTGTCAATAGTCAAAGAAAACTGCAAGAAAAGATTTTTTTTTTTTTTTTTATAAAACTGCAAGAGAAGAAATATCCACTTCATTACTTTCATACTTTTCGAGCGACACACCTTCTGCAGTAATTCCAGCAGTGCTCAATTCAAAACACCAGGACCCAGCAGGAGACTTTTTTTTTTTTTTTTTATTAACGAGAACCCTCATAGACATGGGGCTTATTAACTATGGTCTGAAGGAGTCCTACAGGTGGGACAGAAAATAAACAGCGTACTGCCCGTCCCAACTAGCGCCGCGACGGATCCTTGGTTTCATAATCTACAACCGCATGAGTGGCGTGCCAAAGGCTCCTGCTCCCTACGTGGCCTGTTGTGCGCGAAGGTCATCCTTTAGCCACGGTCCTCTGACATTTTATAGAAGCGGCATCCTCCCAGCCGCTCCACCACGTCCAAACGCTGTTGTCCAAAATAATACCGCAGCACCCTCTCATCCGCGGTGTCGTTGATTTCTTTCCCCTCGGGTGCTTATCGTTGCCTCAGGGTAGATCCCATAAAATCATTGCTGCTACGTCTGTGCTCTCCAACACAGTTGCGTCCCCGGGCGCGTTTGCTCGCAGCGGTGATCCCATGTTCACGTTCCCAGTCGACGGTGGCTTTGCATCTTCTGTTCCAGATCTCAGTCCGCCCGATCTCCTCAATGGCCTTCACAAAACGGTGTACCATGTACGTTGCAATTCGTTCCGTAGTGCTGAAAATGCGTTTCCATGTCTGTACCATGCACTTTGGAGTCAGTCCGTGGTACAAATCCTGCACGGCCCACTCAACTCCCTCGAAACCTTCTTCTGCCTCTGTTGCTGCCTCTGCCCTGCGTATCTCCCGCACTTCGCGGAACGTGACCCCGAGTGCTTCCCACATGACGTCTCTTCCGGCCTCCTTAAAAGTCGGTGGGGTGCGTTGACTGACGTCCTTTCCCTTCTCTGCCGCTTTCCTTGTCTCCTGTTCCCATTTTTTCTTTGCACTTCTCCATGCTCTTGCTCCAACCGCATTCATCTTTCTTAACTCGTCAGACCACTGCTCTTGTTGTCTCGCCAGTGTCGCCGGGCAACGCCATAGATGACGAGTGTCCTCTATTTCCTGTTCAAACACTCTACACTCGTCGGTGGGATATAGGACCAGGACCCAGCAGGAGACCAGGGTCGTTTCCTTCGACTTTTTTTTTTTGTATAACAGCTCATCCCTCGAGTCGAGTCGATTGACCCTGCGAGTCTACCAGGCCTAATTAGCAACTATCTACTACAGTCGTCCTTCCACTAAAGCATAAACGGTCCATGGTCGCTAAAAGACAAGTCACATTCCCAGAGCCTGCGCATTGCTACACCTCATCAGTGTGCTAAAAGCTAAAGACTACTTATCACAAAAGGGCATTTCCCTCATTTCCTTCCTGGTTACCAACCGTCCCCCTTCCTTACAAGCAGTCCATAGCGTCCGATTCGCAGCATTAGAACCCAGCACGAGGCTAGGGTATCATCCGTTTGTATGATCAGCGAGCATCGCACTACAAGGGCAGTTCTCAACACTGCAAATGTATGCTTTTTTTTTTTTTCTTTTTTTTTTCTTCTTCTTTGGTAAATAAGGACTCTCAAGGGCATGTGAAGCGTTGCAACTGTGTCCATAGCCCTTGCTTCAGCCCTCGTATTCATATAATTTACCAGAAAACGCACAAAAAACTAGAGTCGCACATGAGAAACCGCTAATTATGGCTCCAAAAAAATTCTAAAATTACGTTGGAGCTCCAGATGATAGCCGTCAGCATTTAAAAGCTGTTTAAACCTTCAAATGGGCAGAAAATGGGGCCCAAGGCCATCAAAGCTCAATGTGGTAAAAGCTGCTGTGCGGAGTTTGCTATGGAAATATATAGTAAAATAAGCTGAAGCTTTCATGATCACGTGGTGGCCTAATGGTCTAGTCGTATGATTCTCGCTTTGGGTGCGAGAGGTCCCGGGTTCAATTCCCGGTTGGGCCCCGATCTATCTTTTATTTTGTTGGCGAGCTGGTGGTTCTCATCATCGTTATTGTCCTATTTGGCAACCCGCCCTGGGATTAGGGACAATCTATTTGACAACCCGGGTTGACACTGCTATTTGGCAATCCCTATACTAACTCCATGTAAGGCCAACATTTTTTAAATGTCGATTATGCCAGTAGTCCTTATGGTACCTGGCCCCGGCTCTTTAAGCTAAATCGTCATCTGTCTCTTAAAGGACTCCTGATTTCCCATTTCGTCATCGCTGAGTCCGTCATCGATAAAATCCTGTTTTCCGTCATGAAGAAGGCTTCTCCCAAGGTCGCAAAAGATTTCATGGGGTGCCAGGTGGAGGACGGAATGGTTCTCAACCTCTCGCCGCGTTGTTTCGACTTGAAATTCGCAAAAGATACGAGCCTTGTTTTACATGGGATTTGTGCAGGGGTTGCCAAATAAGAGTAACAACCCGGGTTGTCAAATAGATTATTCCTGGGATTAGTGCCTCACCCCCCGTAAGATTTTATTCTTACACCCCCCGTGAGATTATCCAAAGCACATTGTGAAATTTTATTCTCACACCCCCCGTAAGAGCTTTAATCTTACACCCTGTTATTCTATAGCGAAACAAAGATAATCTCACGGGCATATAAAAGAGGCTTTATGATCAATACCTGGGTTTCTAAGTGCTTAAGCGCCTGACACCCCGTTATCGTCGCCCAGATGTGTCAAGAGTACAAACTTCAGTACATCTCTCTCTCTCTCTCTCTCTACCAGTGCGCACTTTTGTACACCTCTCTCTCTATACCAGCCCGAACTTTTTTCCTTCTGCCCTGACCACGCGCCATCGTACCCAATACGTAATTGTTAATGGATTGCTCTTGCTTCTATCACACATCTAGTCCCATCACCTCAATTCGTTTAAGGATCCGGATCTTTTTAGCCATCGCTTCCTTAATATAGACTGTAGTTCAGCTCCGTTCTCTGATACCAGGTGTGTTACACTCTTGACACACTCGGGCGACGCACTAAGTTGCTGTTTACCAGTAGTGCGGTGATAACGGGGTGTCATACTAGGTCTACATGTAGATTCACATATCGGTTTCCTTATCGCTGGAGAATCTACCCCTTTGTCCAATCCAATATGAGGCAGGATTGAGCCAGATTTCACTCCGAAGCTGAATGACGAGGTGCCATGGAAAAGAGAAAACAGACAGTCGTTTGTGATCATATTGGAGTAGTACTTTACGATTCAAAATCACTATCGTGGATCTTTGCAAAAGTTTAATGCTAGATTTAGTATGCCATGATGTCGACAGTGCTTCGCCCAGTTTCTACAATATTTCAATGCACTGTTGACACCAGAAACTAGTATATAAACCCTATCTACGCATAGAACTAGATAGCAGCATTCGCCTAACAAAATACCCTTTTCACCCTAGATCCTTCGACACCCCAGATACTCCAATCGTTTGCAAGCATGCCGACGCGTAGGGAGTTACCTCGCTTTCACTGTCATGGAAAATGATAAGTGAGGCGAGACCATGCGCTTTCCCGTCTCTACATCTGCCCAATTTTTATACTGACCTGCACTTGCTCCACCAAACTGCCATTTTTGTTTTACTTATTTTCAGTTGGAGACATACAACTGGGGGACCTGAATGTTCCAAAGTGAGGGGCGTCAGAGCGCGTTCTTTTTCTATTTGTAGAAACCGGACTGGAAGGTCCGGTGTCAGAAGCAGAAGCAGAAGCGGCTTGCACAGCTTGCCCCTGCCCTTGACCTGCTGCAATCTGGGCAATAGAGCTCAGGATCCGTTGTTCTATGGCCGTAATCAGCGTGCGCTGTTCCTCTTGAAGCGCCATGATTTGCATGTGCTGTGCATATTGTTGTTGAGTATTTGCAATGCCCAAGCCCCGCATGAACTCTTGGATAGTTGCACCAACCACTCTTCCTGAATCAAATGCCATTGAAGTAGCCGAAATGTCGTTATTGTTGAATATGAGTGCATTGCTGCCGCTAAACGCCTCATCGCCTTTGTCGTTCTCCTCATCAACCCCGTCACCAGATGTGCCTGGGGCATTGACGATCTCCAAATCATCAGGGAGAACTTGAGCGCTGTCAATAAGTTGAAGCCCTGGAACGTTGGTCGGGATGTTGGAATGGGCGCAGACCCACTTGTAATGCTTGCTCAGACTGTCTCTTGTCAGGAATGGCTTTCTGCAAACGCAGATGAAATCCATGCTTCTATCCTTGCGCCTCTCAAATTGGACGAACACATTTAAAAGGACGTTTTTCACTTGAACTGGCACCGTTGAGTGCAACCGAATCAAGTGATTTTTTTCTGACTTGGTCAATGGCACAGGTCTGTCCCCGTCCCTGACCGGGAGACCCTGATCAATGCGACGCTCCTGTGACTGGATCGCCGCTTTCCCGTCCAGCAGTCCCTGGACACAGTTGCAGAATGTACATCCGTTTCTCTGTACCTTGATCATTGTAGTTAGCGTAGCGTGTAGTGGAATGCTGCCGGGGAAGGTAATTTGCAACAGTGATGTTGGTTATAGAGTGTTAGAGTGTGCACAGAGATGAAAGCTGCGAGAAAGAGTGCATTGCACCATGTTCTCCACCTTGCATAGAATATATGACTCGCCTCATAGTCTACAAGTTCTCTTCTCGACCATATCTCCATGACCAAGCAACCTCGAGCAACGGCCATGTTGTGTCATTCTCTCTCTTCGTCTAATTGCTTTACGCCCATCTGCAGCTCGTCCTCTTTTCTTTTTCGAAATGTGTAAGGCTGTTTGCATGCAATGCTAGACTTTAAGTCAAGACGATTAGGGTTTATCTTATGTAGAAAGAAAAGAAGAGAGAGGTTGCTAAATCGCGATGGATAATCAATGGTCATAGGCATCAGCAGCATCAGTAATACCACATATTCACCAGAGTCCGTTATAAAAGGCTATAGTCTATGGTCTATCCAGACCGGGTATCCGGAGAATGTCCTAAGATACGTCTTACTCATAGACTAAATACTCATAAACAATTGCTCTCAGTAAGCTCTTGATGCTCGCCTTGTGGATTGTCCAAAGCGCCTTTGCAATCGAGGAGCATTTGGAGGTATCGCCACGCGTTTGCTTTTTCAATCTTCTTCCATGATGATCTGAGAAGTGCATCTGGACTTAACTCACATATTTGACGCTCCAAAACTAGGAACTAGGGAGATTCATTCAATTGGGCTGTAACCGTTGGATCATTTTTCGATGCACAGGACAAGCGCGACGCGTATGGCGCTGCACGAAAGGTCGTTTGTAGCAACCGGCTTCTGAATAATACCTCTGATTGACTAGAAGCCTCATTGCCTACCGTGGCAAGAGGCAACGGGGTAATGCGGCGTAGGGAGTCTAATAACGAGTTCTGTAACTTCTATCATTAGTTCTATTTACAATAGGAGACACCACGCGAATAGGACTTCGGCAAGGGCGTGCTTCGGTCACATACTGGTTCGCGATGCAGGGTCCTCCTTTAGATCGGAATGTATGAAGGAAATAAACACGGGATCTGTTTAGCTAAATGGTACGAGCTAGGACTATATTCCTTTGGGAATGACTGGGGTAGTTGCAAAGAGTTCGCACATGTGATACCCGATGAGGCGAGGAGTCGTGACAATGAAGTCCACCCCTCTGGAGTCGTTGTATGCCAATATTCGCTGATAAGGCCTCGGTTGTACCCTTATGATGCCGTTTGACGAGGGTGGGCCGATGATGGATGCTCAATGAGACGATCGGTGATCGGGGAATCGCTGTAGGGCAAGTACAATATCTAAATAAAAGCGATTGACGGTGCAAAGGTGGCGAATGATCAGGATCGGCATTCCCTGTTGACTGTATCTCCTTGCGTGGGTTGCTGACGGTGGTAGTCAGTACTTGTCGTTGATGCGGTGTTATCCAGACAATTTGGACGAATGCAATGTGATACAAATGATTTAGGTGGAAAGAAGACTCTGGTTCAGGAACCAGACCGTTTATTCTTTTATTCTGGGGCGGTGTTCTTTCCCGTGATCCAATATCAACTTTGCGAGGCCAACCGAATGATTCTCATTTACTATACCACAGAGTCCATTTGCATAGGTCGATCGAACTGGGAAAGCCCTCCGCGAGTTTTCTCTGGCATCACTACTCTCAAGACTGGACCCAGCTGAAATCACTGTGGTTTATTCCATCCACAACAAAATCCGTCTCAGTCAACAGGAGTTCGTTGTGGTTATGGTTGGCCATTCATATTTTTGCACCTGCCTCTTGCTGCAAAACACGGAGATTGTGTGCAGGTACTTCTTTTGCGTGATGTAAGGAGACAGCAGGTGCGAGTATTTGATCAGCCTCGTTCTCAAGCGCTGGTTCAAGGAGCAGTGACAGGATCTCGAAGGTTTCGAGACGAAAGTTGGTTCAAAGCTCCTAGTCGCCTACCCGCATCACATCGCCTCCACCAGGATCGAGGGTCACCCCACCAGGACCGAGGACCACCCCACCAGCACCTGTACGAAAATTGTGCACACCTTGTTCTCTACAGGATCCTCGGCACCATAGCTAAGGAAGGAGAAGCGACTGAGGATAAAGCGGGACGCAGATGTTACAGGGATCGTGAGAGAGCTGGCCATCATGGGGACAGCCGATCCAGCAATGCAATGCAAACGCTCAACAACCTCTCAATCCCGCTGAAACGGAGACGGGACTCATAGAGCTACAGGACGCATCTGACAACGAAGCAGGTCTTGGTGTCACCAAAGACCCACTTGTGGTGAAGCCGAAGGGGCGTCCAAGAGCCAAACGTATCAAGAGCAGCAGTGAGATGTCGCGACCATCCAAAAAATTCCATCCTGCTGAAACAGACCTTGAACAATAAACGAGTGCTTTTTTTTTTTCTTTTTTTTTAAACGAGGCCCTACAGACTATCCCCGTGAGAATATGGCGCTCACCTCCCCGTGAAAAAAAAAAGCTCGAATTATTCTTACCGGGGTGTGAGAATAGCCCGCTTACATCCCTGTGAGATGACAAAACGAGGGATAATCTCACGGGGTGGGGAGATTATATTCTTCCGTAATTCTAAGGGACAATCTATTTGGGAATAATCTACTCGGCAACCTGGGTCAGTCCTATTTGACAACCCCTGCAGGCGATCCATGTAAAATACTTGGTACATTTGCTGAAGACAAAGGCAATATGAGCGTTAACAACAGACCCCATCGTGAAGCAGGCGCCCTGAACATGCGAAAGGCGTTACTTGGGTCATAGGTCCGATTTCCAGGGTAAACGATATACTTTTTTTTTTTTTTTTTTTTTTTTTTAACGAGAACCCTCAAAGACATGGGATTTATTAACTGTGGTCTGAAAGAAACCTACAGGTGGGACAGAGAACAAACAGCAAGCTGCCCGCTCCGACTATGTCGCAACGGATCCATATGACATAATCAATGACCGCATGAGTGGTGAGCCGATGGCCCCTGCTCCCTACGTGGCCTGTTGTGCGCGAAAGTCAACCTTTAGCCACGGTCCTCTGACATTTTAAGAAATTGGCATCCTCCCAATCGCTCCATTACATCGAGTCTCAGCTGTCCCAAATAGTGCCCCTGCACTCGGTCATTCGCGGCGTCGTTGATCTCTTTCACATCGGGTGCTTGTCGTTGCCTCAGGGTAGATCCCATAAAATCATTGCTGCTACGTTTGTGCTCTCCAACACAGTTGCGTCCCCGGGCGCGTTTGTTCACAGCAGTGATCCCATGTTCTCGTTTCCAGTCGACGGTGACTTTACATCTTCTGTTCCAGATCTCTGTTCTACCGATCTCCTCGATGGCCTTCACAAAGCGGCTGACCATGTATGTTGCGATCTGTTCTGTAGTGTTAAAAACGCGTCTCCAAGACTGAACCATGCACTTGGGTGTTAGACCGTGATACAGATCCCGCACTGACCACTCAACCCCCTCGAATCTTTCCTCCTGGTGTCTGCTGCTACCTCTGCCCTTCGTATTTCTCCCAAGCCCTGACTGTGACCTCAAGCGTGTCCCAGATTGCGTTCCAGGGTGAACGATATACATGGATTCCCTCACGGGTTATCAAATTACACTACAACCCAGGTTGCCAAGTAGATTATTCCGTCCGTTTAGTCTCTTATGGCATTTTGCTGATTTCGAACAAAAGTCTAGCGCTGTATGATAGTGTTCATCGCATCATGCCGGCGGTGAACATGTCCTGAGCAGTGTAGCAAAAGACCAACACCAGTACCTGTAGTATACTCAAGTATTCGCTAAAGAGATATTGGAAAGTTATCATTAAAGGTGTATCCAATGACGAGGAGCTACGCCATGCATACTTCCTACACTCTCACTGACCCCTGGACGCTAATCAGAGGATAATCTGTAATGGCAACCTGGGTTGCCACTCTTATTGACAACCCATCCGGAAATCTATTTGCCACCTTGAGCATGCAGGTCGATTCTGGGAGGAAATCCATCCAGCTCATTCAGACAGAAAATCGAGCCTATGGCCTTCCTTGTATTCGTACGGCGCCTACGCAGCGCCTTAAGCGAGAATATTTTTTCTAGTTCGCTCCGAGAGAGATGAGTGCTGAATTTCTTAGCATGGAAACAGTGTTACGCCTTGAGCGGAGGAGCAAAAAAGGATTTCCTGCAGGGGGTTGTCAAGTAGACTGTTCCCTAGGAAAAATCTACAGCTCGAGGAGCTGCAAAAACAAGTAGATCAGGGCCCAACCGGGAATTGAACCCGGGACCTCTCGCACCCAAAGCGAGAATCATACGACTAGACCATTAGGCCACCACTTAATCTGGAAGCTTGTAGAATAAAATCTTACATATATCATATATAACTATAGTCCCTATTTGCATACATTCCCTAAATGCAAGTTTTTCTTTAATTGCACGATTTTTCCTATTTGCACGCCTATCAGGCGGGCGAGCCTGTGTGGTACAGTAGTATCACGCGAAGCTTCCAGAGAACAGTGCTGTGGATCCTAGTTTCGGATCCAGCTTGGTGCGGTTGTTTTTCGGCACGGGGGGCTGTGTATAAATTACCTTTCGGATCGCGGGCAGCAGGGGATTGGCTCCCTCCTGAGAGAATGTTCTATTCTGCTCAGGTTCGCACGCCACCGTGGGTTACGAGGAGATTTTTCAGAATTGTCACTCGGATTTGCCAGAGCCGTTCTCCAGCACTAAGGTTACGGGGGGGACTATTGAGAGAGGAGACTAAATAATTTACTTCAGAAATCACTCGAGGGCCGCAGTGACATCGTAAGGAAGCCGTACATATATGCCGGATCGAAACATAAGTTGAATATTTGCCGAATCAAGTCACACAGGAGAGAGCCAGTCCAAAGGATCAAGATATCAAGTTAGCAGGAACAGGACGACCGAGGCAGGCTTGCGGGAAAATACGCGGGATTTATATGGCGCCTCCTACCATTGTTCGGGACAAACAGGAACATCCTGACCAGCGAGAAATAGTAACCCCCATAAAATAACCAATAAACCCTGGCAAAGATTGTCCATTGGAAAAAAAAAAAAAAAAAAAAAAATCCCTATCTGCACGCCAGCATCTATGGCTTCAAGGCCTTTGCGGACCATGCGTCTTGTGCTCATGGGGATTTATGCTAATAAAAAAAAAAAAAAAAAAAAAAAAAAAAAAACCTATTTGCACGCCTATTTCGGCTCAACACAATGTTTGTCTGAGCTGCGCCCAAACCCAACCGGCTTCCTGACGCCTCTCTATTTCTCTTATATTTACGCTCTCCATTTCATATCTATATCTACGACACACTTGAGGATTAGTCAGTACGGCGCCGATCCGGTCCCGCTCCTATATTTAAACGCGACAAAGTCCATGAATAATAAATCGGTTACGAAGACCAAGAGAATGGACATAATACCTTTGCGATTTGACTGTTGACTGTTTAGTTTAACCTCCTTTGCCTCATATTCCTCCCACTCCACCCGTTATCGCCCTATCTAGCTATCCAACCCTCTGCCTATCTATCTTACCCTACCTTGCAGTTACCTTGTCCGCCACCGCTGACTTACCTTACCTACCCTACCCACTCACTGCTTTCCCCTATAAGCCTGCTCTATCTTGCCCTGATCCCGCTCACCTGTAACAGTAAGCCGCTTGTTTACTTAGGTATATACATCCAAAACTATAATAAAGCAAGACCGCTCTCTGGATCTGACCTGGAGCATCAGAGATATATACCGTGGCATCACACCCCTCAGCCTTATTAAGGAGTGGGGTAGCCTTTCCATGCCGCCATCTTCGATTGCACGCCAGGCCATCCACAAGTTCGTCGGCTTTATTGAGAAGCAAGCTACGGAGTTGATCTGGAAACCACGCTGCAAGGCCACCATTGCTCGAGAGCGAGAATGGGGGATCACAGCCAAGATGAAACGAATTCCGTACAAGGGACCGAAAGGGGACTAGAGGGATGGGTATGGATACATTTGCGACGCGAACCGCTGTCCCTGTGGTGCGCTACTCGCCGACCATGCAAACGGGAGCTGCCCTGGCCCCGTGCTTGACCCAGACTCAGAGGATCGGGCGCTGCTGGACTGCCTGCAAGGGAAGAGGCGGTTGACAACCATGGAGGAGATGAGGAAGATACCCTTTTTGTAACAAGGAGTTTTCAGAATTTAACACACTGCTGAGGTGTGGCAATTGTTGCGCAGGCCCTAGGGGCAGGCCCGGGGAATGTGACCTGTCAACTGGCGACTGTGGATCCACTCTGCTTTGGTGAAGAGGACAATTTTGGTAGATCGTTGCTAGTTAGTCTGATACATTCGCAGAGTCAATTGACTCGAGAAACAAATCGACATAAAAAAAAAAAAAAGACCAGCCATACTAAAGCTTTAGTGTGCTGCAATGGTAGCCGGGGCTACGAATAACTCATTGATACCATATATGTATCATTTCAACATTTACAGAGCTGAAAACAAGGAGATGATTGATTTTGTTGTAAAGGTGATGCGGATAGTAGTATGGTTGAACATAGCGTAGCAGCAAAAATTGTTGAGAATATCCAAAAGGCTGCTAGAGGATACTCAAAAAAAAAAAAAAAGCAAAAAGAGAAACGCAGCAAGGGATTACCCACAAATCGCTGCTGTGCATCGCATTAATATTCAGCCAAATAAGCGTGTACACTGTCGATCATATTTGCTCCGTTTTGTGCGGCTATAAAAATAATAAAGAAAAAAAAAAGGCAACGTTCGATCCATTCAGCTCGTAGATCTGGACAACACCATTACCTCGGCTTACAACAAAAAATTACGCCGCGACGGCATGTTTTAAGTGGCGGAAGTGTTATAAATAAGTGCAAATGTCTGCACCAAAACGATGCGCTTTAATGTATGTACACTGATTTTGTTTATGGCACTGAGCTTGGTATACGCGGGTAGGATTGATCGCCTGCAGGAGAGACTCTTTCTCGAGAGCTGGGGCCTAGCCGCGGACTCTTGCCCCCCGCCACGCTTGACGCGCCGTTCACAAGACCGACGGCTGCACCGCCTACAGCACTCCCGACTTTCCTGAGCACAGACATATCTGGCCACCCACGACCCGATAGTAGACCTGATCCTTTATTGGCTGAGCTTGGAACACGGAAAATATCCACATCGAGAAAAGTCCAGTTCTCTGGCTGACCCTGACTAGGTATAGAGGAGTCCGAGTCCCGAGAATGCAATGGTGGTTGTCCTGAATCTGGTTGCGACCGTCGACGGTCTCGTGAGGGATGTGCTGGACGACGCAAGTGTGGGCTGAGCGTCACGGAGGAAGAGACCGAGTTGGTAGTTGCAATGGTAGCACTCGCAGAATCCCCTCGTCCCCGTGGCCGCATGGCATCTGTGGCTTCGATCGTATACATCCCGTCTTCCTCTTCCTGATCCTCATACATGAAGTAATCGTCCTCCAAGCTCTCCAAATTAGCAGCGACTGCGTCCTGAAGATGAAGTCCACCCCAGACCGGCGATTCCTCCTCCCGACGCGAGCGAATCAAAGAGATCAAGTCGTGCAAATTCAGATCGAACGGTTCCTGTCCTGGGCACCAAAGCAGGTGCTCATTGCCCTCCACCACTTTTCTAAAGTCGCTGTCTTCACTTGCCGGTGAAAGTGGTGCAGTGTCGTCCATACCAGTGTCAGTCTCGGTTCCACCTTCAAAGGGCTTTGTCATGATTGAAGCATAGTTGGTATATCGTCCGAGATTGGGTGCCTCACAACAAGCGAGCAAATTTTCCAGCGTATTGGTGGCGTTGGCCAGAGTGATATGGACACCTTGCGAGTGGCAGAGGTAAGCGATGTTATAATTGAGATGTCCCAGTCCTGCTGCAAACGGTACGATGTTGTTTTCGGACAAAAAAAGTGGAGCCCGTTTGGACCCTGCTGTAAATGCTGCTTGAATATAGTACCGAGATTGTCGTGTGAATGTGTCAAATGGTAGCTTGATCCCCAAATAACATGCCACCAAGGTCATCATATGAATGACATTCTCGATCGTCGTATTGATCTCATCCCGGTCGTAGTCTATATGGCAACATATGAATAGACAAAACAAAAGCAGGTGAGTGCGCAACATATATAAACTTGCTGCACCTTTCGGATCCTCTGAAAGCTCTGGGTCTTACTTTCAAAATATCCAGTGGGTAATGGCCGTCCAACGATGAGATACTCATTCCACGAATCCTCCTCCAAATAATCACGAACACGCAGCTTCCTCCGCGACGTTTCTTTCGTACTTGGTGATCCGGTCGTGGGGGTAGTAGCAGTCGAGAGTGTGCTCTGGCCAAGGTCGTAATTTAGAGAACTTCTCCTCCGTTCCGGAACGCATTTGAGGTCAAACAATGTAACGAGTTCCGCCACAAGGACTCGCCGCGAATGACCCAGTTTTTGGTGCACGGAGGCCCATCGCTCCTTGATGCGGCTGATCGAGTTGGCAATCGCAGGCGACCCATTCATTTTTGAGACTTGAAATCGAGCCATGGACAACTTGAGCGTCTCTTTTCGTTGATTCAATGCTGTCCGTAGCCGTGTAAGGTTCTGGCGATCTATATAATACGCAAAACAGCCCTGGTTAAACAGGGATTCCATCGATTCCATTGTCAAACATAGTTCTGTTACCACAGTATAACATACCTTGTTCAAGTTCAGCCTGTAATAATTTGCGCTCCATGGCGATGGCAGCGGCGTGCTCGGAAGCCAGGGCCCGCTGTGCAAGGCACATCTGATATCGCTTGATCCTTGGGCTAAGCACCTGGCTCGCCTGTGCGGCAAGTTGGTCTCTCTCCATGGTAATCCCCTTTAGGATGTCCCAATGTTGACGCAAGCTAGTGATAACACAAACAGTTCAAGTCAACATGCTAGGAAAAGGTATGATGCCTGAAGGATCATGGCAGCGTATCCCTTGGATGATATTCGTACATACTAGGAGCGGACACACTGCACACAGGTGTACGAGGTTGAGCCTTGCAGATGGCAGATACCACACCGCACCGTGTCAGTGGCAGCCGTACTTCGTTCCTCCATTGAGTAAAGTGTATACGAGTTTTTACAAGGGTTCGTATGGTTATTGTTATTGAAATAATGAGAGAAGAAGTACGTGTGTGTGCGTGTATGTATGTAGGTTGCGAGGGGCAAATGAGGCAAAGGTACTAGAAAGAAAGAGAGAGGAGAGTAAAGAGAGGTGAGAACGAGAAGAAGAATGCGGTCTCGTGATCAACATGGCATGAACGCTCGTTAAGCAGAGGGAGCTGATTTGGATGCCTTCCGTCCTTGCCGCCTCCACTTTCTACATCGACTGCCAAGCCGTCCTCGCCAAGACAGACAACAATAAAACAATAACAGCAGCGGCAATGCATACCGTGGAACTGTAGACAGGAAATCAATGAACAGAACACATGCACCTCGCTGCGCCGTTGTCAAAGGGGGGTGACTGCAATTGACAACTTTATACTCCCAGCACTCGCTCTTCCTGATCTCTTTATTCGATCACCACGACCGACTCAACCCTGGTCCGACAACAACATGCACGTCGCCCAGATTCCACTCCCGACCTACAACCAGGTGACAAAGCACAACCTGGCGCTGATGCAGCCCATGATCATCCAGCTGATCAAGCAGGCCACCTTCATTGCCCTCGACGCAGAGTTCACAGGATTGGGGCCAAAAGTAGCTGCCACGCGGACAGCGGATATCCAGGAGCGATACCAGCATATGTGTGCACTTGCCAAGAGTCATGCGCTGGTCGCATTTGGCCTGTCCATCTTTATCAAGACTGAACCCGCTTCCGAATCCAAAAGTATGGATGGTACTGCGGCAACGGGTGGTGAAGTGAACGATCGAGAACGTGGTTACAAGGTCCACAACTTCAACTTTTCCATGCTGAGCGAGGTAAGCATCGGCTTTACGTTTGGTTGTTTAGTGTCAATGGTATGTTCACAACCATCGCGACATTGACATATATCTTTCTGCATTTTCCTAATAGACGGACTACGCTGTCAGTCCCAGAAGCATGATCTTCCTAGCTGAGAACGGACTGGATCTGAACCAATGGATCATGGAAGGGATACCTTACACAGGAGGTGATCGGCTGGTCAATGAGGGCGGACGTGGCAACCCGAACGGCATCATGAGATCCATCTTCAAGCGCATCATGTCACGGCAGGTCCCAGTCGCGGTGCATAACGGATTTCTGGACCTGGTTTTCCTCTACCATAGGTATGCAAGTATTTCAAGACTGGTCATATTGGCGCAGTATTGTAATGGGTTATAAACTGACCCGTATACCGTCTTGCTTTTATGCATTTGTGTTTGATTAGTTTTTATGCGAGTCTTCCACCAAAGTTGTCGACATTTGTCGCTGATCTCTCAGATATGTTTCCAGGAGGACTATTTGACACAAAGTATGTTTCCGACTACATGACGAGGGAACGGTCGAGCTTTTTGGCATATCTTTTCCGAAAGTATGAGAGAGACGATAGCCGCGCAAGGGAAGAGACAGACCCATCATCAACGCAGGTTTACTCGACATTTCACATTCAACCGCGACTCGGATTACCGGCGATCCAGCAAAAGCCCATTTCAGAGACATCATCGAGCGACCCCCAACTCGCGTATTGTGAGGACTATGCTGTAAGCGGTTCGCCTCTATTATATTTGCCACGTAGGATTTCTGATCTACTATTGCGTGGACCTTGAGACGTGTTTAGTATTCTAACGATCTATATGGCTTTCTGTACCGCGTATAGTTTCATGGAGTATGCAAAAAGAACATGTGGTGTGGGAAATCGCATGATCTGGATCTCATTCTGGATGCGGAGGAACAGCGGCGGGATTCCAAAAGAAGGAAGACGCAAAAGAGAAGTCAAGATGCGCAGGACGCAGAAAAGGTCGCGGAACCAGGCAATGCTCAAAACAATGTCTCCGATAACGTCTCAGAAACAAAAATGCCTACGCCATCATTGTCAACTGAAGAAACGACGGAGCTGTCAATGCAATCGAGTGTGGGAACAACCAAGGCAACTGCGAGGGCAGCGAAGGCGCCTGAGAATGTGGTCCAACCTGGCGAAAAGTTTCATTCTGCTTACTTTGACGCCTTCATGACCGGAACGATTTTTTCTCACCAGCTGAACCAGCACACGCCCGAGGAGGTCGAATCGCAGGCCAAAAATAAGGTCTATCTCATCGGTAAGAGTATTCCGCTTATTATCGAGAAGAGTGCCTTTGCAAAGTTTAGCCTTGAACACGAACGCTCGCGAGCATTATGATCCGCGTGCTAAATAAATGAGAGCAGTCCCGCCTCCGCATTGTTTCCCGGGCCGTATAAAAAACTGATCTCTTTGAATCGCCCACCAGTTAAAGCATCAGCATCTCCATCTTTCACATCGCCTCATCAACCCCATCACAGCACTCGCGCCATGTCCACAAAAGCAAAAATGACCCTGGGTATCACCACCCTCTGCACTATCGCCACAGTATACGGAGTTCATTACCAGCAAATGTCTGAGAAAGAGGTACCCTGCCCTTGACACGGTTTTGGCTTGATTAGGTTCTGGGTATCCGACCGCTGGAAACGAATAAGAACATCAAAATTGACATATCCATGAATCTCCAATGATAGACAATGCGCATGGGTATTACCAAGGACGAGGAAAGGATGGCAAAAAAGAAGCGCCAGGACGATAATGTGATCGAGCTCGCCGTCCAGCAGGAGCTGCAGCGAAGAATGTTGGAGGAACAGACAATCCGGAAAGAAGCGTAGCAAAGCGCCATTACACATTAAAAATGAGCGCTGCACGGACATATTTTTACTTGAACCATAAAACGGATTTACAGTGCATTTGACGACTTTTATTAGATAGCAATAGGCGATGAGGCGATATTGTTTTTTTAGAAGAAGTTGGGTTTACTGCCTTGCGATGATCGTCGCTCCATCTTTGCCTATATGAATATAAGAAGAGGAAAGTCAGTTGAATTCATCATGCACCACCCAGCCGAGAATTGACGAAAAAAAACCGTACCGTGAAAAAGGCCTGGATATCATCCGCGGTGACAGTCTTGCCCTGTTCAGAGAACGGCATCAGGAAGCTGCGGATCTCGTCCCTCATTTTACTGTATGCCAGCATACCGTCCATCATCTTAACGCGGTCCATCTCGTTCAGCTTTTTCATGCCGCTCTCCAAAATTGATGTTTCTGCATCATCGTCCTCCTCGTCCTCGTACACGGGCTCTTCACCCAGGATGAACTGGACGTTTCCCTTGGTGTACATAGCCATGCACGCAACGCACTGGCAGAGGAGTTCTCGCCAGCCCTCTGTGGCAAAGAGATTCATCTCCTGGTCTGAATAGGCGTCCTCAGGCTGGTTCTCCAGTTTGCACGTCCCCGCCTCCATTTTGATTCGTTTGTTCTGGCTTGACGAACTACCCGCATCATGCTCCTCCGCAGCATCCTCAACAGTCGTCTCCAGCGAGCGCTTCACATGGCTGACGGTTTGCAATTCCTGAGTTTGCTCCGATAAATCTGAAATGACTGTAGCCGTTGCCGTCGTCGTCGTGGCTGTCGTCGTTACTGAGGCTGTAGTGGTCATTTCGATCGAAACGACATCAACTTCCTGCTCCTTAATCTCCTCGTTCTTTTCATCCTTCTTGTCAATTTCCTTGCCTTTGCTGTCTTTGCTAGTCTTCTTGGAACAGTCGACCATTACAACCGATTTTGATGCGCTACCCTTTTCGGACAGTCCGATCATGAATAGCGGGTGCTGCGCATATTTACGGAGAAACGGATGGGCTCGGGTGCAAGTCCTACAGATAAAGTCGTCAAAGTCGTCGCCATGAGGCGTCTAACAAAGTCAAGAGACAAAGCCATATTGTCAGCCATCTGTAGCACCATGGCAATAACATTGGTGTCTTTGCGGTAACGCTCATTAAGGTCCACGTACAATTCCAATACATGTATCGTGGAACCAGTCCTCGCAGACAACGCACTGTAACATAGTGCTCTCCTCCTTTGTGGGGTCGTACTGAATATCGCACCTACCGTATTGCATAGCAGTTAGAACCATATATCATTAAGCACTATTTTTTTTTTGTTGCCAGCAGAAAATAAAGTAGATGGAGTATCATACCAACAGAATCTACCCAGATAGTTGTGATTGTACACGTTTAGTTCGTTGACAGATCCCTCGGGTTTCGGGTCCAGCTTGCACTTGGTCTCCCTAAACTTTTTCGTGCCGCAGTCGCATCGAAAGTGTCTTTTCGTAAAAAGCTCCACAAGGTTGTGCTCTCCATGACATGAGATACTGCAGGAGTAACAGAATCCAGCTTCTTCGGAGGGGTTGGGATTGCAGGTTAGGCACGAGTACACAGGTTGGCGAATGTAACCCATGCTGTTTGAGCACTGTGCTGACAAGGAATGTCAATGAAAAGAATAATCAGCAAATTTGCAGCCATTTCCCAAAAGTGCGAATCCTTTGAAAGAGGTAGTGCCCATGCTTACAATGTCAAACTTCTTGGGGAACAGCTCTCGGGCTTCCTAAAGTGATGAGCGAAACAGGGTGGCAATGCAGTAGCAGGTCATTGGTCCAGTCAAGACTCGATCAACATCTTGCTCAGCAATCACCATAGTGGACAAGAGGCATACCTTCTCTAGTCGTTCCTGCTCCGCAATGTACTCTGAGACGGTGATGGTTTCCTGGTCAGCCATGGTGATGTCAGAGTGTGAAAGGAAACAAGCAGCAGCAGCAGAGAAACAGCGCCGTCAAATGTATTTATTTATCCTCGCGTCTTTAACGGACGCGGTATCAAACCTTATCTCGCGTGATAAAACACGTCGTGGAGGGAAAGAGCCCTGCTGATGCATCCATGTGGTGTACCAGCAGGATGTGTGTGCGCCTTATCTCCTCTTACAGCTGTGTCCAAGGTCAATGAATGCACTCCATTATCGCTTTAAGAATAGGCATCCAGAGCTGTAAAGAGTAATCTTTTTGTTATTCGTTTTCAATTGCAAATAGTTTATTGTACGCCAGAATGAAGGCAGCGTGGTGCTTCGCCCAATTAAAGTGAACCCATCTCCCTTTGTGTCTCATAGTAAAATGGCATAAAATTAATCTTGCCGGATTCCCATGCCTATGTGCAAATGGAAAATGAAGAGATGGGTATTCATCAGCATAATGATCAGTGCACAGGTCGCTCTCAAGGCCATCCAGAGCCATGCCAATGTTCCTTACCATCGAAAGCAATGACGTGCCGTTGGAATGCCTCGCAAAGGTTATAGAAGTTGTCTTGGGCTCCCGCCCATCGTGTTCGTCATCATCATCATCTGACTGTTGACTCTCCCATCCTGGTCCCTGAATGAATCCGGTTGGCATGAAAATATCCAGATCTTTCAACAAGGACCCAGTCGGTTTCACAAGTACGACGCCTAACAACTCCGTATCCCTGAATCTGACAACTAATCGCTCTCCATTTGCGTCTATGGCCATTTCTTCAACCGGACCAAATTCCTCAAGCTCTTCTAGTCTCCGGCCCCCAAACCTCTTCCAAAATATGTCTCTTAGCCCTATTTGGTCTCCATCTTTGTCCTCGCTTCGCATGGCGCTCTTGTACGCCTCGATATCAGCATACCGCAGTGACATTTTGACAAAGTTCAAGGGAATCGATGTCAATGCACCCGCTCGCTTCTCGAAATGAGCTGCCCGGATAAGGTCATCGCCTTGCAGCGAGTAAATTAGGTTGTAGCCATCAGGTGTCCAACACGCAGACTGAACTACGCCCTTCATGTCCTTGATATCGACATACTCCCACGTAGCTGTGCAGTATACGCGTGCCACCTCTGACAGATATCCAACCAGTAGGTACTGCCCACAGGGCGACCAGCTAAGGCAGCTGACAGTAGGGCCAAAGTGACCCTTTTCGTGTGTGGGTCGAATGTTTTCGTGCAGGTTTGGTGATGTCGCAGATCTGATTGCCTTCTTGACGTTGGACACGGTCTCCATCAGGGATTCGAAGCTCCGGACAAATCGAGGTGGAGATGGTCGCATGTTTAATCTTAGCTCCGTCAGTGCCTTGGTCGTCCCGTCGCGAATGTAAACCGTTGATGAATGAGCCGATCCGACAGCCAAGAGCTCCCCACGAGGATTCCACGCCATATAATCCACTCCTCTGAGATCCTCAAAGAGATTTAGTCCGATCCACGCAGTGTCTCGTCCATGATTTGTTGCTCTGGAGGGCGTGCTGTACACCTCGCTTATCAGCTCGGAAGGACGATCTTTCAAAGGGTTGGGTTCTGTCAACGCAGCCTCTGTACCTGATGGAGCATGATCCCTAAAGACGTGCCAGAGTGCCACACCCTCTGCACAGCCGACTGCTAAAACGACTCCTGACGTGGGCTTCCACTCTAGACTCATGACTTTAGACTGTGCTGGATGAGACAGGCCACAAGAGTACCACGCTTCGACAGAAAGGTCGTACACCCAGACAGAGTTGTTCCAGAGCGCAATGGCGAGCAAAGGTTGATATGGGTGCCAAGCAATTTTGCGGATCAATAGTTTGGCGAGTTTATCGTGACGGACAATGGTGCCGTATGATCCTGCAAGGCTCTAGAGTGCCCAGTTACGAAAGCGCGTCAATTTAGGACTCAGTACGGCGTTAGCGAAGCTGAGGAATCGATAGTCATTTGCCTTACATTGTAAACATCCCAGGCTTTCTTCCATAGTGCTCCTGCAGTATCTGCAATCGCATCCAGGTCCCTATTGGAAAGAAAAAAGAGAAGTGATCAGCTGGTTGCGAATATCTATGGTTGCGTTTGGAGTGCGAGGCTGTGCGGAATCCTAACCATTGCTTTGAGAGTTCTTCGATCCTGTCTAAAATTGGCTGCGGAATAAGGCCCGTCGACTTGGCATCATCCAGAAGCTCCTCTACTGCTGCATTGGTCTTGTGGTGATGCGGTATATGGGTGTTTCTGGAAGGCAGTGTCAAGGCGGCATTCAACTCTGCCTAAAAACCGTATATTTAAAGAAGCAGGTCAGCAACTGCCAGAGTCTAATCCGACGATGTCCATCGCGTTCCATTTTCTAGAGAATACAATCTAATCGGGCTTACATGCTTCTTGATGAAGCTTCTTAGTGCTGGATCTTGTGGTCCAGAGATGTGAACTGTTGATTGTATGTGATAGAAAGGACGATTAGCCATTGGGTATGCAGATACCTGCTCAAGCAATAGTCCAAATGCATGTCCGACATACCTAGTGTAGCATTAGATTCACCAACAGTAACATATCCTTTTGGAGGTAGACTGAGCGCATCTATATCGATTCCAGGCAGGCAATTGTCAGTCAACTTTTGTCGTCCATCGTTGCTGAGCAAAAGCGAGGAGATCAGGCAGTCGAAACTGACCTGTGTAGTCTATGGTCTGGTGCATGCTGTTGGATCGATCCTGTGTCGTCGTTTTGTCAGCTTATTCTTGTCTGGTGAGAAGACGATGTCGAGTTCTTTGGATCGATCTTTGTCCGCCAGAATGTGGCGTGGCTTTTTTATAGGACCATGCACTGCACCTGGACCCGTTTACCCCTGAAACATGGCTCCCCTCCCTCATTTAGACCGAACCTCATTCCTCTGGAAGCATCATTAACCAATTCACTGCGAACACACTCCCACCATGCCGCCTATCCATCGCATAGCCCAGGTTTCTGCCCACCTTCTCAAGACCACTACGACGAAATATCACGCAACAGCAGCACAGTTCACGTCCTCCGTGACACGCAACTACACTTCGTCTTCGGCTTCTGCTCCATACAAGGTCACTAAAAAAGATCGCGCCTTCTACCCCTACGCCCTCGACATCCAATCGCGCTGGGCCGATAACGATCAGTACGGCCACCTCAACAATGCACACTACTACTCTCTCTTCGATACCGTCATCAACACCTTCCTGATCCAAGAAGCCGGCCTAGATCCACATAATGATATCCAGGGCAATGCCATTGGCGTCGTGGCAGAGTCAGGGTGCCAATATTTCAACTCCATTTCGTTTCCGGACATGATCGAGGCCCGTTTGGCGGTCATCAAGCTTGGCCGGTCCAGTGTCGTATACCAGGTTGGTATTTTTAAGAAATTGTCGGCTGACCATGCTCATAGTGTTCCACAGGCTGCCACGCGTCCAGGCTCGTCTCCATCGTCGGCGGGTGTGTTTTCAAAGGCGGCAACAGCCATCTCGCAACCTGAGGATGAGGCGAATGTCCGCGCGGTGTTCCATCCATCGCAAATCCAGGGTGATGTTGCAGCTACAGGACATTTCTGTCACGTCTTTGTGGACAAGATTAGTCGGCGACCCGTCCCCATCCCTAAGGAGATTAGGGCAGGACTCGAGTTGCTGCAAGTCGTAGCATAAGCACGCCCATAGTTGAGAGATTTCAATCTATTTGCAGTAAGGAAGTTTCATGAACTAGGCGTTCAATGCGGAAATGGATATCCTCATTGCTTCACAATGATAATTTAGTCCCTCGGCCTCTCATTCATCTAACACCAGCTAATGGTGGCATTTTCGATCAATCGGCCTGTACCCCGCACTCTGTTCTTCAAATAATTAGTTCTCGATTATCCTTTCAATAAACATTGTTTTATCAAAACAAAGTGGAGGAACGGATAAGTGGAGGTACTTGAGCTACTTTTGTGATATTCCCATGGGGGGTTTGGCGCGTGATAATTCGAAGAAGTGGTGAATTTGGGGGTTGTCACTTTCGACAGAACTTCTAGCGGCAGCCAGCCACGTGGAGGCGAACATGAGGCGATGTGGAGACAATTGGCATTGAACTCGGTAGCTTTTTTTATGAACAAACCTGAGTGCCATGGTATCTAGAGCAAAGCCATCTGTATATTTTATCATCCATTCATCTATCTGTCGCTCAATCTTGACAAGTCTTCTTGCCTTGAAGTCGATAAGGGCCACCATTTTGGCGGGCTTAGTTTTCCTCGTGCCCCCCCTCCCCTCTTTTGCACATGCAACCTGCAATTGTGGAGATCCCTTTCATATTCCCACCTCCTCATCGTTTTACCCCACTTTTTCTTGTTTCGCTGCACTGCCATTCTGGGTTAACGACACGATCATTTTGACCTTCCCCCTCCTCCACTGCATCATCAAGGGAGTCCAAGTATAGCCCATCGCTCAACCATTCGCGTAGAGGAATGTTCTTCTGCAAGGTACTATTGGTTCGCTGGCAACAAGATGTTCAGATCTGTGGATGAGAGCCAGCTGGACCGTGTGTTCACCTCCGGAGCAAAAAAAAAAAAGAAAAAAAAAAGCTTTGTAACACACAAACGCAACAACATGTGCTTGCAACAAAGTCTTCAATCTTCTTTGTAGCACCAAACAGGCAACCTTCAGTTTCTTCTTTGTTTCTGACGTTCATCATCTTTCTTCAGCCCTTTCACCCTTTTCATTCCCTCTTGGCGCTTGCTGCTTTATTCTGACCTTTTACCGTTCGCCTTCCCAGCCAACAAAGAACAGATCGATCCTCAGCAGCAACGTGTCAAAATGCAGACCTCACAGACACCCTTCGTACCGGATCTCGATTTAAGCCCGCCAACAAGCTGGTCAAAGCCCGCGAGCGCACTCGGTCTCTCGAACTCATTGAACAACCTATCACAGACACAGCAAGTCCAGCGACTGCAGCAACAAATCGAACGGCACCGACAGCTGCAGCGTAATACACTACATGGGTACAGTTCTACTAAGATGATCAACGCCCATGACGGAAATCGAGATAGTAATACCGATCCATCAACCCAGGATTCTGAGCAGCTAAGGCACCATGGGGGGACATCCATACCCTGCCAAGGTGCCAGTGAGCCAAGTCACTGGGACTCTCAACACAGGCATTCGTTCCATCCCGGTAAAGTTGGTTCTGCTAGCGGAGGAGATGTACAGCACATCAACGTCCAAAATATGGACGGTGACAGCGATATGAGCGGCGATGACCGAGACGGTCAGACGAGCCACGAGGATCTGGAACGGAGAAGTAATAGTAGTCGAGGAAGCAGCTATAGCGACAACAAAGGGTTTTACATCAACAGAACGTCGCCCAACAACCATATCTTTCATCACCACCGGAGCCCGTCGAGCCTACACAACACTCATGGCTTTGGGGGTCTCCAGGGGTTCACGCCCATTAGCCCCGGACCCTCTATCTCAGCATCCTCGTATGGCTCTTTTACTTCAGATGGGAATAGCTTTAGTGCCCCGGTGTTCTCGTCTGGACTGCTGGCTCACCACAAACAGGGTGTGGGGCATCATTACGACGGACAGAGTCTTCCATACCAGGGCAATCATCATGCCGGCCTTACTGGTAGTGGCGGTGTGGGCCGCGTCGAATCCATGCCGCTCCACCCACAGAGTCTTCCTGCGATCTTTCAGAATCAGGCCATGACTACCAGCACATTCGTTCCTGGCGGACAGAACGATAGCAGTAGCAACAGTAACGGCAATGGAGTTTCCTTGAGCACGTTCACATCAGCACTTGGGCAGCAGCTTCAACTTGAGCGCTTACAGCAGCAGCAGCAACAGCAGCAACAGCAGGATCAGCAGCAACAGCAGCAGCAACCATCCACTCCACAGGACGAAGGTTCCCTGCATCGCCCAGGCACCATGACAAAACCGATTCTTCCACCGGCTCCACGTTCTCTACCCGCGCGTCCACCACAGGCAAGCGCTCCTCGACGATATCTGGGTCGTCAGGCACGTAAGCCCATCATCAAAACTATCGTCACTGAGACTGCCACACCAGAACGTCGCATGGCGCATATTTTCTCGGAGCAGAAGCGGCGCGAGAAGATCAATGATGGATTCGAGGAGCTCAGGAGCGTCATTCCTGAGTAGGTCGCTTTTTCTTTATTTTCTAATGATTGTTGTGCATTTCGAGACCCTCTTACTCACTCGTATGGTTTCCACATTGTGCTGTATCCAGCTGCGCGGACAACACGGATACCAAGGCGACAATTTTGAGAAAAGGTAACTGCAGGGATCACATCCTTTGAAAACTCTGAAAACTAGACCAGGTCGCGTTCGAAAAAAAATAATTGTTCATTGACGATCGTAAACTTTCTCTTTGCCACCCAAATTTTAGCCGTCGATCGCATCCTGGAGTTGGAAAGAGAAATTCGCAGACACGTCGACCTGTACAACAATGCTCGAGATAGCCACGACGAGAAGGATGACTAATCCAGTTTCAATGTATACTATTCAAACAGCCGCTCTGTTATTTGCACACGCACCTTTTTTAAGCAGATTATAGAATGAAACCAAGTGATTAACATGGCGTTGGTTTACTGTGTGTTCAACATGCTCAAAGGAAATCAAAAAAATGCAATGTAATACGAATGATGACAACAAACACGAAAAAAGGATGCGAATGGATGGTGGTATGAAGCTATGAAACCGAAGTATGGATCTAGAGATTGCGGATAGTGTTGCGTCCTGCACTCCTCCTTTCCCTGTGCTGTGCTCCGCCGCCGCCGCCTTCGCTGTTTCTTGTTGTTGAATTTGATGATTTGCCACCACGGCCTCCTCGTCCACCCCTGCCACCACGGCCGCCACCACGGCCGCCACCAACCTGGAACGACATTTCCATACCGCCCGAAGTGGAGCGAGAGATTGAGTTGGAACTGTTCTTGTCCCTGGCCACGCGCTCCGCAAATGATCTTTGTGCTTGTGACTTGAGGGTAGGGCCTGAGCTGCTGTTCGCTTGTTGCTATTCACACGATAAATAAAAAAATATATATTTAGATCTGAATGCCAGGATACTGTAAAGTCTTGCATAGTCAGCTTTTGTAGCATATGAGGTACCTTGAGCGCCTCCATCTTGGGAATACGCTTGCGATCCTTGACGCCCGAACGGATGGACGTGATCTGCTCTGACTTCTTCTTGTTGTCCCTTCCAGACTTGTAGCTGCTCACACGAACAAGATCCTCGTCCGAGTCCACGTCGCTGCCATCGCTCTGGCTGGCTCCACTGGCTTCTTCGATCTCGTCCTCGTCCACAATGCGGTAGCTGGGCTTCTTAGTTGATTGCACTGGGTTGAGCAACTTGAATTCGTTGGTTTCTTCGTCCACCTGGAAATCCGGGTTCGTGAACAAATCTGCGAAACGGCTGTCCTTGAGTGCTCCGCCCTCTGATGTTGCAGAGACGTCGACACCGGCCTTGCGACGGGCCTTGGCCTCGTCCGACATCATCTTGGCTGCCAGTAGCTTGTTGACCTTGGGCAGCTTCATAGTCGCACGAATGCGAGAACCAGCCTCCTTGGCCAACTTTTCCTTGGCCTCTCTCTCGCGGTAATCGGTGTATGCGAATGGGTTGGCGATCGCCTTGGCCTTTTCGTACAGTCGTAGATCAATAAAGAATCCATGCATGTATGGCTTCAACACTGCACTTCCGACCAAGTGATCCAGTCCCAACCTATGTGATGAGAAGAAAGACCATTTCCCTTAGTATCGAGCTGAATATATGCAGCATACAGAAAGAATAAAATAGGGGATATCCAGCGTTAAAAAAAAAATAACACGTACGAGGCCAGCTCCTTGCGGGAAACAAACTTATAATCGTCGTAAATGCTTTGGACAGGGTTCTCCTCCAATTCCTCTGTAAGGTTGTCCAGGAAAGAGCACCACTTTGGCGCAGGTCCGAGCGCCGGGATGTAATAGCTCTGCATCTGGATGCCCTCGTTCGCCACAAACATCAGTCCAGAATTGTCAACCACACAGACGTCGTTGATGTCGTTGACAGGCTCGATTGACGTGAAGTTGTTGCCATTCTCCCTGTCCCAAATCTTGATAATTTTGCAATCTGCAGAGACGACCTTGCTGCGACCATCCTCGCCCTGGGTGCCCTCATGGAAGGTCAGACTCTTGATAGGGAATCCATATTGATGGTCTTTAACATAGAGTGGGACGCTGCTGCGAAGATCATACATGAGCACATGTCCTGTAGATGTTCCGACAGCCATCGTCAAACCGTCATCCCTGAACTTCATGGCGGAAATACTCAGGGAGGACGAGAGCACACTCTCGGGCAATGAAGGCGCCAAAATACCGACTCTGCCTCGGACGCGAAGATCCCAAAACTCGACCGTTCCTGCATCTGTTCCACATCCGTAAAGTAAATGTGCAGGGTTAATTTCTCCGCAGTTGACTCCGTTTCCTCCTGTAGGGTCCACGTCCGTGACCAAAGAATTCAGGAATCGGCCTTGCTCCAGATTGATTCGATAGATTTCGTTTGAGGATGCAGTGACGAGAAGATCGCATGAAGGATAGTGGTATGTAAGAGATCGTCCAAGCTTTGGGATCCTGGTCCTGAAGTGGAGGCCGCCCTGGGCCTGGAACTCGATGCTGCGATCAGCCTGTAAGTGAACAGTCTTTGTCCAATCGTCCGACAAGATCTGAAAGTCGACATTCTCGGCATCGGTGTGGCGATCGAATTTCATGGACATCTCAGCATACTCGTATACTCTCATCTGAGGTTTGTATACACCTAGAGATGGTACGAATCGAATAGATAAACGGTCAGATCGAAGCGGTCAAAAGACAGACACGCATGGCCACTTATTGCTTTCATGTCGGCTTCCATGTTGCTATTGAAAACTTGCCTGTTGCCATAACGTATTTTCCATCGCGAGTAGTCCTGATCTTGAGGGATGCTTCTGGGAACTCGAAATCCTGGATCAACTCAATACGGTGTCTCCATTCTATTAGGGTGAATATGAGACGAAAAAGTGATTGAATAAGTCAAAGTTTTTCTCAAAGCTGCTCTTTAAGAGAAAAATACTACAGGGCAAAAGAAATCGTACCAAGGTCGTTCTTGAGCGCCTTTTTGTTGCGTCTTGCGAGCCAGTCGGGTATGGACCGCGAGCCCTTCGAGCCCGAGACGGTGTAAATCTTGACATTGTTTGCGTTCTGAACTTTTAAAGACATGGTGACGATTCAGAAGCCTTCCAGAAACAACGAGTGTGAGTGAAATATGTATGTGTTAGAGAGAAGGAGGGAGTGAGTTGAAGGGTCGTAAGGTAGGCGAAGTGAAGTCGTTATATCTGGTCTGTACGAGCTTTAGGGCCTGACTTTTAGCAGCTTAAAAAAAAAAAATGCCAAAATGAAAACAGATGTGACTGTAACTAGCACGTGCCAGGTGGATTGAGGCCAGCAAAAAATAGTCGTTGAACGCGCACAGCATTATTTTTTGTGCGGGGATCCTCCGATCCGGAGCGGCCCCCAAGTCCCATGCCACTTGTCATGGGTATCAGATACCTCACTTACCATGGATATCAGAGATCCACTGTTCTTTTTACATGTGCGTTTTTGCTATCAAGGGGAAGCTGAAAGCATACAGCAACGCATCCTTTCTCTTTTCTAGGGCAACGGTTGATAGAGCTGCTTGTATTCATTTATCTAGAAACACTTTGAGCTCCCTGAGGCAGCGTTTATTCAGAAAAAGGCCCCCTATCTTTTGGCGGGAAAAGGGCAAATTCGCAGTGTATAGCTTATAGTAAAAGATCGAAATTGAATGTGCAGGAACGTGTAGTTGAACGACACCGACTCTCTTTACGCTGCAACTTCCGCTCGGCTATGAGTTGCTTGACTCATCCCTTTCCTCTTGCGCCTCATCAGCCTCCGTAACACATCGTCATTGCCTTCCATCTCATCACACAACCACTCCTTCATCTCTCCCTGTCTCATTCTCTCTCTTTCTCTAACCCTTGTCTACATCTTCACCCTCTTAACCGTTTTTTTTTTTTTTTTTTTTTTTTTTTTAACAAAAATATATAGTAATAATAATCAGAAAGGGCTTCTTCTGCTCGTTACCTCCTCTCCTCTCCTCAATGTCCCAGGCAAACTACATTTCTTTTCATGACTTGAGCCCAGAGGGCCGCTTCCTCTGGCTGTCAAGTTCAGTCTATGATGTCCTAGGCTATACGCCAGAGGAGCTCATCGGACAACCCGTGTATGCAGTTATCAACCCCGAGGACATACCCCTGACCCGAGTGTCGCACAAGGAGAACATCATGAACGACCTCGTTGCTAGCCAGATTCTCGTCCGCTTCAAGCACAAAGATGGGCGACTTGTTCCCTGTATATCCGTCTTCAGTCTCTGCTTCGATTTCATCGTTAATTGCTCTACCTTGGTCGATCCTAATGTCGGCATATGTAAGTGATATCTTCTCGTCTTTCTCGTACTTCCACGTTATTTACTCTGTCTCTTCTTACACGATGCTGGGGACAATGCTTAATTGGATAGAACATTTATGGGTTAGATTCAATTTTCAAAGGAGGGTTAGATCGGATTTTTGTTTAATACATGCAGAGCACGGAGTATGATCCCCACGTTCTCTCTTGCTGTGCGCTGCACAGATGTTGCCCAATGACCCTTCATGGAATAACCACACAGCTGCCACATGGCAGGTTTTTCTCCGCTGCTAGTTACATATGCAGCTGGTATGGTATGGACTGGACTGGATTGAACTAAGGATTATATACAGGGTCTTGATGTTCCCTTGTCTTTTCGCCAACCAATTGCTGGAGCCATCGTCGCTGTTCATTCCTTGGGTTATGGTGCATATATGTGTCGGCATACTAGGTGAGGGAACCTCTTTTGATGAGCACTCTATTAACTGCGTCTACTACATCATAGTTACACAAATACGAGCACATTCAGCGGCCATGACGCGGCTGGTTGGGTCTAGGAAACAGGTAAAGCCGCGCAAGACTAGTCTTTAATCAGAGCGAATATTCCGATGAACAAATCATTTCTGACCAGTGCAATCTCTGTTATAACCAAGGAATTTGAGAGGATAAAGCGCCATCAAAGAGCGTTTGACGCCAACTCATGGAACTATCAAGGATTGGATCCGGAACCGCGCGCTTGCATGATTTTGAACCGATTCTCGCGGAGTCTGCTAGTCATGTATGCATCTCCAGCGTGTGAGCTGATCTTTCACCTCGATCCGGAACAAATTGTCGGCAAACCGATCTTACTCTTTATCCGAGCAGACGATCTAGGATCGTTCGTCGAACAGGTGGACATGGTCAAGTCGTCCTCAGCAATCACGCATATGAGATTCTGGTTCCAATCCCCGAACTGGCCACAGGAGATCCCATGCGAGGCAATGCTCTTTGGAGCAGTTGATGGCATGGTTGCTGTCCTGAGACGATGTAAACCCTTTATTAGGAAACGGATGGTCGAGAGTACAGAGCAATACAACAGCGCTCGCAAAGCCAATAACCCGGCTTCTTGGTCGTCAAGCAGCTCAAGGTCCTTTTCGTCAACTCCCGGTACATCGATGTCCACCTCGCCTCCAATACATGTCCAAACATTCGACACGTACAATCCGACATACCCTACTCGGAATGCATCCATAGCGTCCATAACTGACCTCAGTCACACTAGGATATCGAAACTTGAATGCGAAAGGACTCGACCGCTTACAGATCTCCCAAACAATGCTCCGAGCTTGGCGCCAGAAACGTCGTCATTACCAGAAGCGTTTATCTTCAAAGAGGTCTATGTGCAGGAGTACGAAGAAAGGGATGATGGCGATTACAGCGACGATGAAAGACGTGTCAAGGAATCTGACATTGGTGAGAAAGAGATAGGAATCGAATTGGCCTGATACGATTTTTTTTTGTATGCGTTCTTCTCAAAATAAAGTGAATTCCTACCCTACCATTTCTGCTTTAAAAACATCATCGCTTTTTGCCTTGCTAAATAAGGTTGTGCAATTACAGCAATTACAGCAAACGGTCACCTTTCCGCAAAAAAAAGGACTTTGGCATCACACACAACATACTTTGTCAGCATCGCTCGTCTCAGCATCGCTTGCCTCAACATCACTTGCCTTAACATCAAACCCTTCAACATACACTCCTCGATATAGGACAGAGCTCAGAATCCTGCCATTGGATCTCGTCCTTCCTGGGATGCATCAACCATATAACTACATCTCACTCCACGACATCAGCCCTGAGGGTCGTTTCGTATGGGTATCCGAGTCCATCTTCGATGTTCTTGGATATACGCCAGAGGAAATCGTAGGGCGGCCTGTGTACGAGTTCATCTACTCAGAAGATATAGCTGCGAGCAAAACAGTTCACAAGGAAAATGTCATGAACGATCTGGTAGCGAGCCAGGTTATTCTTCGATACGTTGGCAAAGATGGCCGTCCGGTGGCCTGCACATCCGTTTTCAGTCTCTGCTACGACTTTGTCGTCAATTGCTCGACCATCGTTGACCCGAATGTCGGCACCTGTAGGTAGCAGTGGTCAAATGTCTTTTTAAATTGCCCCTGGTTTCTTTCAGATCAGTAGAGCGCGGTCAAAAATGATAGGCTCGGCAGCCTTGTTGGCTGTCAGCCATGCAATTGAGAGCCATCATCGGTTGCCTAGTTGCAACTGCCGTCAATAAAATGCAAAGTTCAGTCAGTGGCCCGTTTACATGGGAATGTTTTCGACTAGATGTCAGTCAAAATAGTCAAGCCAGTTGGAAAGTGGCTTCTGATTAATGTTTAGCCGCTGTCATTGATCTCTTGTTTGATAATAGTCAGGCAGTTCAGGGCCCACTCAGTCGCGATGACACGCATTGTAGGATCCAGGAAAGAGGTAAAACATGCTACATATGCAATTTGTTTATTATCGACTCGCACAGGCACCCTTGATAGCCCATCTATCACCATGCCTTCGCTTCACTGTTTACTATCCTCTAAGGCTTCAAACTTGTGTGCGCGGCATGTCAGTTGCCTGCTGCTACTTAAGGAGACCAGTCAGCACTAACGACGTGTTTAATGCCTTAATATAGGAGTTCGAGAGGATAAAGCGCCATCAAAGAGCGTTTGACGCCAACTCATGGAACCATCAAGGATTGGATCCGGAACCGCGCGCTTGTATGATTCTAAACCGATTCTCACGGAGTCTGCTGATCATGTATGCATCTCCGGCGTGCGAGCTGATCTTTCACCTCGATCCGGAACAAATTGTCGGCAAACCGATCTTACTCTTTATCCGAGCAGACGATCTAGGATCGTTCGTCGAACAGGTGGACATGGTCAAGTCGTCCTCAGCAATCACGCATATGAGATTCTGGTTCCAATCCCCGAACTGGCCACAGGAGATCCCATGCGAGGCAATGCTCTTTGGAGCAGTTGATGGCATGGTTGCTGTCCTGAGACGATGTAAACCCTTTATTAGGAAACGGATGGTCGAGAGTACAGAGCAATACAACAGCGCTCGCAAAGCCAATAACCCGGCTTCTTGGTCGTCAAGCAGCTCAAGGTCCTTTTCGTCAACTCCCGGTACATCGATGTCCACCTCGCCTCCAATACATGTCCAAACATTCGACACGTACAATCCGACATACCCTACTCGGAATGCATCCATAGCGTCCATAACTGACCTCAGTCACACTAGGATATCGAAACTTGAATGCGAAAGGACTCGACCGCTTACAGATCTCCCAAACAATGCTCCGAGCTTGGCGCCAGAAACGTCGTCATTACCAGAAGCGTTTATCTTCAAAGAGGTCTATGTGCAGGAGTACGAAGAAAGGGATGATGGCGATTACAGCGACGATGAAAGACGTGTCAAGGAATCTGACATTGGTGAGAAAGAGATAGGAATCGAATTGGCCTGATACGATTTTTTTTTGTATGCGTTCTTCTCAAAATAAAGTGAATTCCTACCCTACCATTTCTGCTTTAAAAACATCATCGCTTTTTGCCTTGCTAAATAAGGTTGTGCAATTACAGCAATTACAGCAAACGGTCACCTTTCCGCAAAAAAAAGGACTTTGGCATCACACACAACATACTTTGTCAGCATCGCTCGTCTCAGCATCGCTTGCCTCAACATCACTTGCCTTAACATCAAACCCTTCAACATACACTCCTCGATATAGGACAGAGCTCAGAATCCTGCCATTGGATCTCGTCCTTCCTGGGATGCATCAACCATATAACTACATCTCACTCCACGACATCAGCCCTGAGGGTCGTTTCGTATGGGTATCCGAGTCCATCTTCGATGTTCTTGGATATACGCCAGAGGAAATCGTAGGGCGGCCTGTGTACGAGTTCATCTACTCAGAAGATATAGCTGCGAGCAAAACAGTTCACAAGGAAAATGTCATGAACGATCTGGTAGCGAGCCAGGTTATTCTTCGATACGTTGGCAAAGATGGCCGTCCGGTGGCCTGCACATCCGTTTTCAGTCTCTGCTACGACTTTGTCGTCAATTGCTCGACCATCGTTGACCCGAATGTCGGCACCTGTAGGTAGCAGTGGTCAAATGTCTTTTTAAATTGCCCCTGGTTTCTTTCAGATCAGTAGAGCGCGGTCAAAAATGATAGGCTCGGCAGCCTTGTTGGCTGTCAGCCATGCAATTGAGAGCCATCATCGGTTGCCTAGTTGCAACTGCCGTCAATAAAATGCAAAGTTCAGTCAGTGGCCCGTTTACATGGGAATGTTTTCGACTAGATGTCAGTCAAAATAGTCAAGCCAGTTGGAAAGTGGCTTCTGATTAATGTTTAGCCGCTGTCATTGATCTCTTGTTTGATAATAGTCAGGCAGTTCAGGGCCCACTCAGTCGCGATGACACGCATTGTAGGATCCAGGAAAGAGGTAAAACATGCTACATATGCAATTTGTTTATTATCGACTCGCACAGGCACCCTTGATAGCCCATCTATCACCATGCCTTCGCTTCACTGTTTACTATCCTCTAAGGCTTCAAACTTGTGTGCGCGGCATGTCAGTTGCCTGCTGCTACTTAAGGAGACCAGTCAGCACTAACGACGTGTTTAATGCCTTAATATAGGAGTTCGAGAGGATAAAGCGCCATCAAAGAGCGTTTGACGCCAACTCATGGAACCATCAAGGATTGGATCCGGAACCGCGCGCTTGTATGATTCTAAACCGATTCTCACGGAGTCTGCTGATCATGTATGCATCTCCGGCGTGCGAGCTGATCTTTCACCTCGATCCGGAACAAATTGTCGGCAAACCGATCTTACTCTTTATCCGAGCAGACGATCTAGGATCGTTCGTCGAACAGGTGGACATGGTCAAGTCGTCCTCAGCAATCACGCATATGAGATTCTGGTTCCAATCCCCGAACTGGCCACAGGAGATCCCATGCGAGGCAATGCTCTTTGGAGCAGTTGATGGCATGGTTGCTGTCCTGAGACGATGTAAACCCTTTATTAGGAAACGGATGGTCGGGAGTGCAGAGCAATACAGCAGTAGTCAGGGTTCTTCATGGTCATCTATCAGTTCTCAGTCATACTTGACAACCCCCGCTACATCAGCATCGCCTTCACCGCCTTCGGTCCACGCGGGCGGTCATGTTAGCCAACCCGCAGCCCCTGTTCAGAATTTGCCAATGTCAAGACTCAACCGGATAAGAATTGTGGACCTTGCCAGCGAGAAAATTCGGCCGTTGGCAGATATTCCAAAGAACGACCCGATGCTTTTATCAGAAACGTCAGCGATGCCCAAGGGATTCGGGATCAGAGAGTACCGTATGGATCAGTACGAAGAAGACGACGACGACGACAACGACGACGAGGAGGAGGAAGAGGAAGAGGACAAGGAGAGGGAGGAAGGGAGATTTGAGGTTGCCAAGCACTTCGAGAGCAACGTTGACGTTGACTTGGGTATGGATTAGAGAAGCAGTCTCAACATGATGGTCAGCACTGCCATCTCCGAATGGTCCTTTAACAGAACGGGATTAATGCAAGAGAGCAACAGCAACAGCAACAGCAACAGCAACAGCAACAACTACAGTAAAATATACCCCGGAGATCACCGCAGCAGCATCGAATTTTGCACCATGCAAATTAGTGGCCTTTCCACTCGTGCATTTACATGTTCAAGTATGCAACTCTTCCATCATACTTTCTCTCTGCGCGCTCTTTCTCTTTTTCCTCATCATCATCGCACCTATCAATGCTTATCACCTTCCCTTCCATCGACTCGACTTTGCTTCTTCTCCACCGTCCTCTTCTTCTTTTCCTCGTATTCATTGTCCTATCCGCCGCTATCAAATGTTCCAGTCAGCAAATTACATATCCTTCACCGACCTCACTCCAGAGGGAGTCTTCCTCTGGGTATCGTCGTCCGTCTATGACGTTCTCGGATACAGCCCAGAGGAGCTCGCGGGCCAGCCCTCCTACAGTGTGATCTACCCGGATGATGTGGCCCACGGGAGGGTCGTCCACAAGGAGAACATGATGAATGATCTCGTTGCAAGCCAGATTCTTCTTCGATACCGGGCCAAGGACGGCCGACTTATTCCCTGCGTCCTCGTCTTCAGTCTCTGCTACAACTTCGTTGTAGCCTGTTCCGCCGTTGCCGATCCGAATGCTCATACGTGTTAGTAATGATATCCATCAGTCTTGTCTTCCTTTTGCTCATAACGAAACACATTGCTTCATTTGGCCCGCGTGGTTCTTATATTTTCTTGTTCTTTATTCAGTTCAATGGCTCTCATCTCCATGTAACACAACACAGCGTTGATCCCATTTATTCCATGTAAAGGTAGTGTGATCGCAGTCTACTGAGAATAGGGTTTTCCCGTGGAGATATCTTGGGCAGAGATGGCCAATGGGCTCCTTTCCTTCATATCCCGCTCTGGAAGCTTGGCAGGATCAGCATTGTATGCCTGGAAATCTTCCTGGGCCCCTGTCGCAGGAGACACTTTGGGGATGGGAGCGAGGGGAAGGAGGGGCTGCTGAACAGTTTCCACATGCTAATACGATGGCAAGTATGCCGAGATATGAGGGTAGTATTACTGACTGACTGACAGTTTTTTTTTTTTTTTTTTTTTTTTTTTTTTTATCCGGTAGACACGCAACTAAGAACACATTCTGCAATGATGAGACGCCTTGTAGGAAATCGGAAAGAGGTAAGGCATTATCGCCCCCCACTCCTCTTCACAGTAACGGAAAGGACCAAAAAATTGCGCTAGCTTCGTATCACATCGCATCGGGCGATGCTCCTCTCTCAGTCCTATCGCACACAGCAGCGAGTAGCTTTTTGTTATTATGAGTCCTGCGGGTAAAACTGACTGATAGATCAAGGATGAGATACATCCATATCCCTCGATTCTATGGTCTATGGTCTTGGTCTCCAAGCTCTGTTCTCTTTCTGGAACCCAATTCAGGGCAAACATTAATGCCCCCAATATTGTCGGCCACTCTGCTTATTTATTTGCATTGTTTATAATGTCTATATTTTAGGAATTTGAGAGGATCAGACGCCATCACGAGGCATTTGCCGCCAATTCCTGGAACTTCAAAGGATTGGATCCAGAGCTCCGGGTGTGCATGCTCCTGAATCGGTTCTCACGAGGTTTGCTAGTCATGTACGCTTCACCAGCGGCTGAAATCGCTATTCATATGAGCCCAGAACAGATTATCGGCAAACCAATCCTGCTCTTTATCCGAGCTGATGATCTGGGATCGTTCGTCGAGCAAATGGACATGGTCAAGTCGTCCTCAGCGATCATGCACATGAGATTCTGGTTCCAGTCGCCGAACTGGCCACGAGAGATCCCATGTGAAGCCATGCTCTTTGGAGCGGTGGACGGAATGGTCATGGGGCTGCGGCGGTGTAAGCCGTTTGTCAGGAAACTCTTGGTCTCGGGTACGGATCAGTACGAGGCGCGTGGAGGCATTGCAGGATCATCGTGTTCGTCCAATTGTTCAAACCCACTCTCAGCGGCACCCTACAGCTCAACTTCAATCTCGCCATCAGCACATCCGTCAGGCGCCAAATCACTAAGCCCTGCTCGGGATCTCCCGATGACAAGACTTAGCCGCATCGGTATTCTGGACCTTGAGGATTTTGAGAATACGAAAATGCGACCATTGACAGAGGTTGTAGTGGATGATCCGAACCTGGTGAAGAGCACCTCAACTCTACAGGGGTATGGACTGTGGGAATACCGGACAGCGGAGTGCGAGATCGAAGAGGAGGATGACTCTGGAAGTTTCGGCGACGATTTTGACACTGAATTTGCCGCACGTCAAGAGGATGAAGACGATGTAAAGGCGGATATACATTAAGGGATTATGACCTTTACGTACTGATGAGTACAACGTTGCTGAGCACGAACAAAAAGAACTATGTGCGGGGTTGAAGGAGTAGCAATCTCACCTAGAAAATATCCATAGACCATAATAAAATCATGTGCATGCATCCTATCGCTGTTTCCATTTCCTTTCCGTTCTTTTACTTTCACTACCATCTTCATTACTTTTTTTTTTTGTATGTTGTTTATGCATGCGCTTCAAGCATTTGGACCGCAGCCATCGAAAGAAAGCAGGGAGATCTCTTCTTTCTCGAGATCGCTTGATAATTGGGTAATTGGGTAACTGGGCAAGCAAGGTTTGCTCCGCTCATTTTCTGTATTTTTGCCTTGTCTTCACTAATGTAGCGAACATGCATGACTTACCTATAAACTAAGAAAACCCCCCCTCCCCCTTCCAAACAAAACGCCGATGACCAACAGATCGTTGTGCGCTTTCACAGCTGTCTTTAAGAATGCCAAGGTATAACAACCAACAACTCGCGCACAAACATATCCAGACATCCAGACAATTCGCATGATGAGCGAAAGTACAGAAAGCCAAGCATTGGAATGTGATTGTATGATGGTATGCCAAAGAAAAAAAAGATATATAAATTCCTTCACGTATATATACCATTTAATCCCCTCTTTTTTTTTTCTGACCACCTTGCGACAGTCAAAATTTTATAGGCAACGGTGTATTGCAATGAAAACGACGCTGCGAAGTGAACAGAAGGAGGGTAATAGGGCGTCATCTCTATCATGTAGTTGTCCGTTGTCTGTTTGTCCATCCCTCTACTATCTCCTCTTTAATGAAAAGTAATATACATGTTTGTTCTTGAATGTAATGGTACAATGCACAGAAAAAAATAATCGCTTCTCGGACCTGAACTCGATGTAGCGTGCATGACTAGACTCTCCCGCCTTGGTCCCTCATAGAAGTGAAGGCCCAGCAGTTGATGCGTGTGCTGCAGGGCGTTATGACCGGATGCGCGGTGACACTCGACCCCGGGAGCTTTCCATGTACTCGGCCCATGCCTTGCTCAATTCGGTCCCTCCCTTGCATAGAACCCGATCCACCAACTCAAGTCCCCCTATAATCAACCCTTTGTGTTCGCTCAAGATGCGAACCGTGTTCACGTCCGGACAAAGTGGCGACGACGATGACGACGATACTGGCGACTTGCCTTCTTCGCTGCTGGCCACCTCCGTAGTATTAGGTGAGGTAGTAGAGGTCTCAGCGTCAGCGTTAGCGCTAGGGACAGAGCTGAGAAGGAACCGTTCTACAACATCCTTGGCAGCATCAACGTTCTGGTAGGAAAGCAGGCTTTCGAGGTAGCTGTTAAGCCCATCGATCCCGATCGGAATATGGTGTTCCTGAACCCATTCAAAACTGCTCTTCAGCGTCTCAAATCGGGTGACATCACGACCGCCCGTAGTATCCATAGCCGATGATCCTGTAGACGACGCGCTCTTATCACGGCGCTCCAACAGTGGCTGCAGGAACTCCTGCCGCTTCAAGAGTTGTTGGATCAGCATACGATTGGGGCCCTTAAACTCCAGATGCCTTGATGCTAAAGCCGAAGGGACAGCTTCCGATCCACCATTGCTAGCAGCAACAGCAGGAGAAGCAGCCACCATGGATGCATCACCCATGCCATAACCTGCCCTTAGTCCCAGGCCAAGGCCCCCACTCAAACTGCGACGGATCTGGCCAAAGTCCCATCCGTCCGCGGTCTGATTGTCGTTCGCACCTTGACCTCGGTCTTGCAGTGCGCTGACATGGCCTCGCTCCATGAACTTTGACTTACGCGCGGCCTTGGCGACTTGCTCGAACGCAAGCGCCATCACCTGTTGTTCTTCCAGACTGGTTGTCGAATGACCACTGCTGAGTTGTCGCTCCGTAAAATATTGGGTCATCGCGTTCCAAGACCTCATGACATCATCCCTCAAGGCATCATTCCGTGAACTGGCTTTGGCGCGCATCACTCCAACGTGCGCCATCTGAACCGGTCCTTGCACCATAATTCGATTTGAGTGCACTGTCTTTGGACGTCCAGCAGGTGTCTTTTCGGTGTGAGAATACAACAACTCATACACCCGTTCGGCTGCCTCCGGATGATGGTCCAGCTTCCAGATCAGATCGACGACCTCGCTCTCCCTCGGCTGGTACCTATTCTCGCGAATCATGAGCTCGTAAAGAGTCCTCTCTGCAAGTGAAAGCTTATCGCGCTCGAGAAGATGACGAAACAGCTGATGATATAGCCTTCTCGGCACGGAACCATATGAAATCGGCTGTGTCTCGATAGCTCGTCGCATCTCATTCAGGACCCTCCATGCGGAAGAATGGTCATCTACAGCCAGGTGGTGCTCAAAGAATAGGATCCAGGTCCTTGAAGCCGGAGTATACAGATGAGGGCTGCCTCTCATAATGCGTAAAACATTCTTAGCCTGTAGCAGGTCGCCCTGCGACAAAAGCCCTTCAATCAGCAGTTCGAACGTTGTCGCTGTCGGTGCGATTCCCTGACTTGACATGTACCGGATCACATGTAGCGCCTTGTACATCCACTCTTGAGAGTACGAGTCAGCGTCCACAGCTGCGAACTGGGTGCTGAATCCGCCTTGGTCCCTGATGATCTGTCGGATACAGGTCCTCATAAACGGCTCTAACATCCTGGGTATGACTTCAAAGCCCTGTCGCCCATACTCTGCCAGCCAGTAATGCGCCCTCGGCATATCCAACTCCTTCAACGATGTGTCGATAAGGATTCGGAACGATTGTCGGTCAGCCGCATATCCCAGGCTCAACATATGCTTCACGAATGCCTCAGCGCGACTAATGCCCTCCTGAGTTCCGATCGCCCTCAAGAGATTATTGTATACTGTAGTCGTAGGCTTTGGCCCATGTTTATGCAAATGGTCCAATACAGACTGCATCAATCGTATTTCTCCAGGAGTAGTCAACAGTTGTCCTAGAAAGGCTGTGTAGACATCAAGCGGGATGGGATGTGGAAAGCGACCATGAAGAGATTTGAACCAATATCCAGCCATGCTAGGTCGACCAGATCGGACAAAGATTGAGGCGAGAAGGGCAATCGTCCGTGTGTTGGGCGCAGCGCCGTCCTTAGACTGAAAGTCGAACTTTGGTGCCCGATATCTGCTGAATAAAATTTGGGCGATCTTGAAGCCGTTCACCCAGTCCTCTAGGTCCTCGCATCGCTCCAGAATGGTGTTATAATCCTGGGTAGAGAATCGCTGCAGCCGTGGCGCAATATTTGATGAAGCACGTTGAGACTCGACATAGTGCGCCTCGTCCATCTTGACTAGTCTCAAAAGTTGAGTTCCGTCTGGAAGCCTCGCACCAGACGGTTTCGCCAGCATCAGATACTTGGCCCGCCGGATCGCATGTTGAGCTTTGTCTTGCTCCAGAAACTCATCCAGCTCCTCCAATCGCCTTCGATAGTGCCGCACGAGTGGCCGCCGCCACGAGAACATTGCATTCCTCTCCTTGATCATCGTACGCTGCAACTGTGCTGTCTTTGCCCTCCAAAATGCCCGTTGGCCTCTTGAGGAAAACATCTTGGAGTGTCGTAAAAAGTGCTGGAAGCCTAGAAATCGTATTCGCTGAGGGTATGGTCGTGCCCTGTAGTAGTAGTGCACATGCATGTATCTCTGAGAAGGCGTGTGGATTTTCATTGCTACTGGCGAGGTAGAAGCCCATTTTCTGAGCTTCGAACGCCTCAGCTTCCTCTGTGACTGAATACTGGGTTTGAGCCGTGTCTTTGTATGTCCGTCCAGGCTCAGGAACATTGATGAATGCTGGGGCGCCGATCTCTGCATCAGTTTCAAATGCCGCTGCAGTCTGAATCGATGCATTGCTGCCATATGACGCCTCTTCCGTCCCATGCGAGAAATTTGGCTGGGATCCGCAGCCTTGGCGAGTTTGAACAGGGTCGAGAGTGTGGGATTGCTGGATTTAAGGTATGATGGGATTGGTTTGAAGAATGCGGGGTTCGGTGTGGATATTGATGATGATGCCGATGCTGGTGCTGGTGCTGATGAAGATGATGCTGATGCTGATGCTGATGTTGAAGAAGTATTCAGTGACGATAGTGATGATGAAGGCGATGATGACGAGGGCCGCGGGCGAGACGATAGACGTGCGGTTGATTTGGTTCTAAAGTTGACATTGGTCTCTGTTGCAAACACCCTTGATTCTCCTGCAGGTGCACTCTTTAGATTATGTCGATTCCGCCAGTTCGTTAATGAAGGCCTCAACGTCCGATGATGATTAGGGAAGGAGGGCCGGGTGTGAAGAGTGGATGCCTGTAACCGATCTACGCTGCATCGACGTGTCCGGTATCCTGCCGAAGAAAGCGTTGATCTGTGTCGCGTTTGCTGGTGATCCCAATGGCTGTGCAGTGTATTCAGGGTAAATCCCTGGTATGGATAGGCATGGCTCGTGTGCAGCGCCTGAGTGCTTCCTGTCGCCCGCCTGGATCTGCTGTATCCCTGACTTGCAGCACCTGGATAGGTTGAGGAGGAGCGGTGAATAGCAGAGTTCGCGAGACAATACCCTCTTGCTAAGGGACATGTAGCCTTGAGCAGCCTTCTGATATCCATGATGGAAAAGGAGGTGGACCTTGTGGATCGATCTCGTCCAGGTCGCGTCCTTTATCTCGTACAAGGAGGACTGTTGCTCGGACTATTTGGCAAGGACGTATTCAAACGGCCAGAAAAGATTAGATCACGTCGCTCAGGCGGTTGTTGGCTCCATCCGAAAAGACAAGAAATTCGTCCGCTACCTTTCGTATAACGCAGAGACCGCAGCCGAGAACAAGCTTCAGGCTGACGTTGGAGAGTCGTCCTTGAGGTGGCCGAGGAAGAAGTGGAGGAGCGTGTGTGCATGAGAAGATCCCGAAGACAAAGGACCAAGAAAGGCAATAGTTAACACAAGCCACATTCCAGGGACAGGGAAAATCAATTGCTTTGTTATGCCATGCAATGTCTGATCTTTTTTATTCGTTTTACAATATTTCTAGATATGAAATATGACGCCTCGATGAACTTTTCCTTCTCTTGGTCTTAGTGCAGCTTAGCTGTAGGGCTGATGATGCACATGGCACGAGCACGGCGCACGGCCTTTGCGACCCGGCGCTGGTTCTTGGCTGAGAGTCCTGTTTGTTCCCGCGACATAAGTCGTCCCAATGGTGTGATGTAGTGTGACAGAAGCGTGGCATTCTATATTTCCGGCGAGAAGTACATCATGATTTAATAGTTAGTATGCGGTGCCTAAACACCAAAGATCATGACCTATTTGCGCAAATATTGAATCGAAACGTCTTTGGTACCTTGTACTCGACAACCGGGTTCACCTTCAGGATTTTGAGCTCATCCACAGGCTTGGGAGGGCGGGCATATGTGATTGTCTTGGAGTCGTTCAGATCCGAGGGTTTGTAGATCTATTATGAGTGCATGGGCACAGATCAGCGGACATGTCAATTATCCATTGTGTTCCACTTCCATCCTGTACATTTCCATGACCCTGATAGGACTTCGATCCCTACATCTCCTTTCCTGAAGTTTCCACGAGAGAGTCTAGCCTGGTCGGTAGCAACTGATCCTGCCGTTTCTATTATTGTCGAACGAGAAATTAAGGACAAAAGCGTCAGATACTGATACAGCTGAAATGGAGCCATTGCGAGCAGATACTGCATATTGGAGGGCCACCTACGTGCGTTGATCGATCCTGTGATAATGGACATCAGGGTGTCGAATTCTAGGTGCCAGTAAACGAGTGAACAAGTTGGTAAGGCTAGGACTCAGCGACTTGGTGATCAGATTCGAATCAGGCTGATCCCGTGTCAAAAACGCGGGCAGGTGGTAGTGTCTCGGCCACGATAGCTGCATGGCTTTCAATCCAAGCATCAAGTTTGGCGGCATATATGTTCTCTGATGATTCTTACGGGGACGAGGCTCCTCTTCCTCCACAGCATCGCCCGACTTGAAGCGGCGGGAGACAAGGTTGTGAGCAGCGACGGAGGAAGTGCTGCCGAGCTGTGGGACGAGGGACTTGACTGACTTTGCAGTGGCGGTTCTGTATACTGAGGCGAGCATGGGCGAAGGGATCGACAACTGGGGAGGGAGGGGAGGAGGACTGAAGCAGCTTCCCATGCCCGTGCTGTTGAGTTCCTTCTTCCGTGCAGGAATTGGTTCTGTGGCTTGCAAGCAGAATCATCAACACAAGGTACATGTACAAGAAACCCAGTTGCACCTTATTTTCAAGGACATGGTATCGCAAACGACCCATATACGGGTGGAGAGGCCTTGTGCGCACCTGGGGTTTCTCCTTCGGTTGCAACTAAAGCCTTGGTCGAGGAAAAGGTGCACAGGGTTTCTTTCAGTGCACACGTCTCCCTATAAACAAGTTTTGTTCTTGACACCGGATACGCTCTGCTTTGTTTTGCTTGCACTCTGCTATACGCCCAGGCAAACCTTGTGCTTGCACATCCTACCCTCGTCGTTTTGGCGCTTTGGAAAAAGGCAAGGCACACACGAGGGTTGTGCTCTCTTATCTCTCTTCCCTCGCCAAACCAAAATACACACATCCAAAGCCAGAGTATGACATACAAGAAGCCCACGAAAATCGCCTTTGGTGTCGCTATAGGAGCAACCGCTGTGCTCGCTGCACCAGCTGCCATCACCATCGCAGCCTGGGGCGCTGGATTTGGCCTTGGAGGTATCGGTGCGGGAACCTGGGCCGCAGGTTTCATGGCCTCTTATGGAGGTACAGTCGCTTCGGGTTCTGCCTGTGCGGTCTTGCAGTCAATCGGAACTGGTGCACTCTTCACTGCCGGAACTGCAGCCTGTGCCACGGGTGGTGCGGCTGTTGGAGGAGCTGTGGCCGCAGCTCTTACGCCTGAGGAGGACAAGGATGGCGGGAAAGATAGTGACGAAGAAGGTAGCATCGAGGAAGTCGGCGAACACAAGAATCGCAGCGAGAGCGACCAGCTTATTCGAAAGGCCAAGAACCTGACTTCAGCTGAGCCGGCAAAGATCACCAAGACCAACACATTCAGGGCTGAAGTGGGTGTGAGAGACCTCTCTTTCTCTGTCGAGAGCTCTTTGTCTACAGAAATCATTTGCAAATAACCTGTGTAAATACCCCAGCCGGTGGCCATGTTAGTGCAGAACTGCAGTAATATCAAATAAATCAAACCAATTCTTATACGACTCACAGATTCATGGACGTTCATGGAGTACGGCACTTTATTGCTGCTTCTTCTTCTTGCGCCGATTGACCTTCCTTCAGATAACAGTGCAGCCAAGGCTTACTTTGCCAAGGTCCCTCAAGGCGGTCTTCCAAAAGTGTTGTAACTTGAGGGCGATGCAGGAGAGCTTGTTAAAAGATTATACTGGTGGTACTGCGACTTTCTGGGGAAGGCACTACTTCTATTATCGCGTTGGGACAGGACGAGATTTTAACACTCTTGTTTTCCCTTCCCTCATTCTGCTCGCTCAAACATCAAAATCAAAATGCACACATCCAAAGCCAGAGTATGACACTCAAGTCCGAGAAAATCACCCTTGGTGTCTTTATAGGAGCAACCGCTGTGGTCGCTGTACCAGTTACCGTCACCCTCGCAGCCTGGGGGGCTGGATTTAGCATCGGAGGTATCAGTGCGGGAACCTGGGCCACAGGTTTCATGGCCTCTTACAAAGGTGCAGTCGCTTCGGGTTCTGCCTGTGCGGCCTTACAGTCGATCGGAGCTGGTACACTCCTCGCCGCTGGAACAACTGCTGTCTGTGCCACGGGCGGCGGCGCTGTTGGAGGGATTGTGGCCGCAGCTCTTACGTCTGGGGAGGACGAGAATGGTGGGAAAGGTAGCAGCAAGGAAGCCAGCGGATAAAGAACGACAGCGAGAGCGACCACCTTATTCGAGAGGCCAAGAACCTGACTTCAGCTGAGCCGGCAAGGACCACAAAGACCAAGACGTCTCTCTCTCCGTCGAGTGTGCTTCATTTGCAGATGTGCGATGTAAACACCTTACCTAGTAACCAAATAAATCAACTGGTTCTTTTGCATGATTCGATTTTCATTGCTGAGGTTGTGCTGGATCTTCTTTCCCCAATTGACCTTCAGGGGGCAATCCAGCAGAGGTTCACCTCGCCAAGAACACTTCCAGCAAGAGCGGTATGGCTTGAAGGCGACACAGGACGTGGCTACAACAACACCAGTATGTTTCCCCACTCCTCTGCTGTTTAGATCGCCCGAAATGGTAGTATTCAATCCATCTTAAAATGCTATAAATATAGCTTTTTCAGAGGACCACCATGCTGCTATGCCTCTTTCTCCCAAACCAAGCACATCTCAATACATCTTAAAACACTTTACTGTACACTCCTCAACACACCTTGAATTGGCACAGCACCAAGCCTAATATGGCGCCGACCACCGAAGGATACGCGGGAACAAGCACGACGGAGATAATCGTTACCGGGGCGCTTGCCGTCATTGTAGCCGCTGCCTCCCCTATCATTGCCGCCAGTGTTGTCGGAGCAGTAGGGTTTGGAGCCGGAGGAATCGTAGCTGGAACCCCTGCCGCCGCTATTATGGCGACTTATGGAGGCACGGTTGGCGTAGGTTCTGCATGCGCAGTTCTGCAGTCTGTCGGGGCTGCAGGACTCGGAGTTTTTGGAACAACTTTCGTCAGCGCATTGGGGGCTGCAACAGTTGCCGCTGGAGCTGCAGGCGCTTCAAAACTCACTGCAGCTGGGTCTGGGTTTGCGAGTGTTGCCGACGCTAGTTTCAATGTAACTAAATACGTTTTTTCTCAGAAATGGGAAAAAGTCGCCGTCGGATTCGATATGACTGGAGCCAAGGCGTCATTCCAAGTTGTCAGGACGGGAATCGCGAACGCGCCGGGGATTGCGACCGCTTTCGTTAGGAGCACAGCCCCTACTGGACTCAGTAAGATTGGAGCAGGGCTTTCCCGAGATGCTATTGCCGCAATGGCTACGAAAAAGAGAGCTGGAGCTGGCGTGGACAACAGGGACTTGGGAAACTAGGGTCGTTGCCGGCGCAGGTGCACTAGGCAGCCAGGATGGAGAGCATGAAGACGACAAGTAATGCGGTGAAACACAGAGAGTCCGAGACAATTGGTCCTATGCTTGACACCTTCGCTTGCTATTTCAAGGACACTGCTCCTTTCAGATTCATGCAATCCATACGAGAATACATGAAGAATAAAGCGGCTTCGGCTATCATTGCTGCGAGTGAAGCAGCAACATTTTCTATCTCCAAGCGTCCTCTGAATCGTGCTAATTGTTTCCGTTTGCTATTTGATTCCGCCTGCTATTTGTTTTCGCATTCACCAGCGTGTCCAGTACAATATCTCTGCGAACCCTTGAGTGCAATCGGGTATTTATTTATTTACCGTGCGAAAGATAGTCAAGGCGGGCCAAGGCCACTGTGGTTCATGCAACATGCGACATGCAACATGCGACATGCAGGAGTGAGCATTTACCGGAAAGAGATAGGCTTCGCCATTGTTGGCACTACCTCTTCCCACTTTTTTACCAATCCATCAATCTATCACGCTGCTCTACGACCAGATACTTTCCCACACGTCCTGGATTAGTCCTGCGCGCTCCCAGTAGACCAGTACTTACAGTCCCTGGAATCCCGGGCTAGGGCCTGCAAATCTCACTGCATGATCCTGGACTTTATCGGTCTGACTCTGTCTGCGCGTACTTACAATGGATCATGCTTTACAGTTATAGTCTTCGTGGCGGTTATTCAAACAGCTGTAGCCAATGTTCTTTCGTGGACGACCCCAAGGGCTGACTCTGTAGGCACACTGCTACCAACAATATTGCTTTTAAGCTACCGACCCCAATTTCCCTTCTTCATCCTAGTCTATAGTTAATAAACTTTGGTAATCCAGGGCGATTTCCTGTCAGATTCAGGGATCGTCTTTTATGTGCGTGTACTGGTTCCCTTCCCACCTGCACATAACAAACAATACTGGTGACATTCTTTCCGTGACCAACTGCTGTGCTTTTAGAGCAAAATCTCCTTTTTTATCTTTCGCCCCCCTCTCCCTGCAATCAAACCACCCCTGAACACACCACGCCTCGACTTCACTAAGCATGACACACAGTGCAGCTGAATACTTCGCCATCGGGACCGCCTTTGTTTCTGTCGGCAAGCAATCATCATCAGGACTGTCGGAATGGCAGGATTTGGCGCTGGAGGTATCGTGGCTGGGATTCCTGCTGCCGCTATTATGGCCACTTATGGAGGCACGATTGGTGCAGGCTCTGAATGCACAATTCTGCAGGCTTTTGGGGCTATTGGACTCGGGGCCACTGAGATAACTGCCGCCGCTGAGGCTGCTTTCAGGGATGTGAGACCGAAAAACACGGGAGCGACCGTGAACAGCACAAGAATTCGACGACGACTGCAGTTCCCTCTGTCGGTACTGGCAAATCCGATGGAGCCGAAGCAGGTCTTGTCTATGCGTTGGCAGCTGCGGTCATTCTTGCTGCGATACTTCGGGAAATGAGGGCTAGAAACGGCGACAGCGAATATGGAGAGAGCGAGGACAACGACAAAAAAAGCGAGGATGGCAAGGATTCGATGTCGAACTCAGCAAGCGCCATCGAGACTCATGAATTAAATGTTGCGGATACAGTGTTCGGAGGCACTTTGGGCAGTGCGACCGATAACTCTCGAGCTCCAACTGCAGATGAACTCGGTCCTGCCTTGGATTGTCCAGCCAATGGGCAGGAAGGTGTGGACGGTGCTGGAACTACGTCCGATGTATCGACCGAAACGGGAGTTGGGTACGACGATGACGACGGTGAGGGAAAGCAGAAGAGACAGAAATAGTTGTCAGCTAGCGAGACCCTCAAAGGAGCTGGCACCTTTATTTGGCAGCGCAGTAACAAAAGCTGCACCTCTTCTACTGGGCCTGTGTGGATGCGGTGCTCGAAAGAGAGACGCTTCATTCTCTACTGGGAACCTTCGCCAGGCGGTGCTGTCACCCTGCTCTACTCGGATCCTTGATAGCACGGGCCAGCTATGGTGAATAAAGCAGCAGTCTCTCGTCACGTACAAGTTCACCTTTGCTTAACGCGAAGTGCGCAGAGGAGCCAGCCAAGACAACAGGGGCGGGCACTGGGTAGGTGTCAGAGAACAATGACAAAGGTCAGCTGCGCCATCGCTGGCACTATTTCTTTCCTCTTCTCAGTTCTCATCCTTCACGCATACCTATCTACACTACCACTGCCATATTCAAGATGTCAATATTCTCATTTTTTGGCAGAGGCATTGGGGGAGCAGCCGCTGCAGCACTTGTCGCCACCGCCGTAGCCTGGGTTATTGGATTTGGGCCCACAGGCATCACCGCGGGGAGTTTGGCTACATCAATAATGGCCACTTATGGTGGTGCGGTCCCTTCAGGATCCTTCTGTGCGATCATGCAGTCTATTGGGACTGGGGCGCTCCTTCGCGCCAAGTCAATCATCATCTTTCTCATTGGAGCTGCAGCTGCTGGAGCTGCGAGTGCTATTTAAACGGCTCACTGCCCACCCCGCTCCACCACACCAGATGATCCACAAGCGATCCATCTGCAAGTAAGCAAGCGATCCTCACATGCATTCCAAGCTAGCGGATCCTCACGCACAAGTTTTTTCATTAATAAAAAATCGATTGAGCATTGCTCTATTCAACAACGATCTGAAGAAGCCTGGGGGAATCGTCTTTTATGCTCTGCGATGTTACTGTCCAGAACTCTCTATGTGAAGCCCCCTTTCGTCCTTGTTCTGGACCAGTGATTTCAAAGTATAGTAAATGCGAGACATGCAATGGCCACTGAACTCGCAGCTGTGCTTGAGACTGTGCTGCATCCCACTTTACCGCTGTCGCCCTGGAATGCACGCATGAATCGGTCCAAAAAAGAAAAAAAAAAAAAAAAAAAAAAAAGCTTGGCATGACCGTGCGAGGGGGACAAGCATTGGCCACTTTAGAGAAACGATTCGAGGGACAATCGGCCTCGCTATGGTTTTAGGGTCCACTTTCACTTTCACCTTTTTTTTTTTTTTTTTTTTTTTTGCCTTTTTACACCTTTCGCTAATCCCTCCATTTCTCAGCAAAACCACAAATTTCCGTACGACCCAGATCAAGAACATGTTGCTCCTTGTGTTCGCCATCATGCTCGCCGTGATACTCGCAGCTCCAGTAGCCATCACGCTCACTGTCTGGGGCCTCGGATTTCGCTCTCATGGTATCGCCGCGAGAAGTTGGGCTACGCTGATCATGGCCACCTATGGAGGCACGGTCAGAACTGGATCCATCTGTGCGCTCCTGCAGTGGATCGGAACTGGATCGCTCCTCACGGCCAGGACAATTGCGATCTGTGTCGCGGGAATTGCAACAGTCATAGCAGCTATCTTTTCTTGATCAGCCCTGTATCCATCGTGTGTGTTCAAAGCACGGAGTCACCAGAGAAATCCCACAAGACGACCTGTTAGCGACACCAGCAGCAACCCAGGGCCATCAATTTTTTTTTTTACGTCCTAGTCTGTAGTCTTGCTCTGTAAGGACTATACAGTGACCAATAAATAGAGCAATTGCACCGGAAGAGTCCGAGGTAATAGTCGGTCATGTTCAAGAAACCGCGTCTTTCTTTATTGTACACCTGTTCTCCTCTAGGATATTACGGTCTATAGCAAGCACAATTATGGTCTTTAACTTGCGTTCGAGACCAGTGAGTCAGGAAGCGCATGTAGGACACAATCAAGCCTTCGCCATTTGATGCGTTTTGAGAGCAAAACTCTTTACATTAAACTTCCCCAACAGCCAAACCTTGTTGAGTTGGCGAAGCATGACACGCAATACAGCCGAGAACTTCGCCATCGGGGCCGCCTATTGCTGTCGACCAGTAGTCATCACCAGAGCTGTCGGACTAGCAGGATTAGGCGCTGGAGGTATCGTGACTGGAACTCCTGCTGCCGCTATTAGGGCCACATACGGAGGCATGGTTGGTGCAGGCTGCGCATGCGCAGTTCTGCAGTTTGTTGGGGCTGTTGGGCTCGGGGCTATTGGGTCAGCTGTTTTCAGCGCATTGGGATGCACGACAGCTGCCGCTGGGGCAAATTTAAGGAAAAACCAAGTCCGGAAACAGTGGCTGGCGACAAGAGACACTCGGAAGACAAATGCCGCGATAATGACAAAGACAGGGCGAAGTAGAGTGAGAGCGAGAGCGGCTCTGCGTGGATGGAGGAATCGGAAGAGAAACCGCTCAGGGGATCCATGTCGAAAGACGCTGATTCTGGCCTATAGCATGTTTTATTGCATTTAGTCGACAAGATGGGCGCATGAAGCTATGCATGTTTTCCATTGAATTCCCTTTTTCGAGAAATGAACCTTATTGTGGTTTAGCATAAGTTACGCAAAGTTGTACCATGTAATTTAAGCCGCTTTATTCATCCGTGCGAAACAGGCGAAGCAAGAATGATTATGCACTGTCTACACAGGTCTTTTGAACCAAAGCCTCTAGAATTTAATTTGATATTGGCTCACTCTTGCTTCGCCAGTCATCCAAGGCTCCTCTCCTGAGAGCCTTCTTAATGTGCCCCTCGAACACGAGCAAAGTCTCGATCAATTCCATCGACTATGCTCTGAACATCAGTTCCATTTTTCTAAACTTCGCCATAGTTTTATTAGCCTAATCAAGCTTGTGTTCATCGCCGCGTTCACGTTCATCCAAATTAGTGCTCTCTGCGTCGCGCTCACGTTTATCTAAACTATTGCCTTCCGCATCGCACTCAGGGGATTTTGTGCCCCTGAGCTCTAGTCCGTGCACCTGGTCACGCTCGCCCGCACCTTCGACAGGATGCTCCACATCATGTTCGTCCGTATCCGTATTCGCGCCTTTGTCAGTCCCTGAACCTGCAGTGTTGCTGCTGGTTTTCTTTCCTTTCCGACGTTCTGCAATTTGCTTCCGCCTGTTCTTCATTACCTCCAGCAGACGCATATCGCGCTCGTCTGGCTCTTGAATATTTCGAATTCCATGTATTTCGAGCTCGAGTTCGAGTCCGGAGGTAATTGGGAAAGCTCTCCCGCGCCTTTTCGACTATAAGGCGCGATTTGACAGGGGTGGGGGAGGACAGAATAGTATGCAACATCACACATTAGTTCAACGATCATATTCACAATCCAACATCGCTGTAGAGCCTTTGCTACGTTATCATTACCAATGGCTGTGTCGGAAACTTATAGTCGTTCCTTGACAATCCATCTCCAACAGCAAATTCGAATCGCGACAGTCGATCCTTGAAATATCGTCTTACAACATCATCTATTTGATCCGCGAAGTAAGGTGTCGAGGCCTGGAGCATGGACAGAGGGAATACATTTGGTAGAATGCGCTTCTTCTTTTTCGACATTTCTCTTTTCCTCGTCACTTTTCCATCGTCTGGATTGCTTTCCGTTTGAGAGACATGTGGTCTTGTGTACGGCTGGCGTGGTCCTGGTCCTTGACGCCTTGATACGCTGCTTGAGGATGCAACAGCTCTGACAGAAGACGCTGGTGTTGGTCCTGTCAATGGTTCTCGACTGCTTGATGACGCTTCTGTCATCTCAATATCCGTATTCGAAGTCGCAGTAGCTTCACGCGCATTATCGCCATCCGTATCGACAAAACGTCCAGTTGTAGAGCCGGCTTTGAACTGCGTTGGAGATGGAGATGTCGGAGCGTGCTTTTCACGCAAGAATGCAGGTCTGGGTTTCGCAGTAGCAAGGTCCAGATCTGGAGGTTTGATCCTGCACAAATGGGCCATGACCATCTCACTTGCTCTCTTAGCGAGGGATACATCAATCAGCTCCACTTTGGCATTATGGTACTCTGTCGCTAGCTCGGAAAACTGCTTCAGTGGACCATCGACAGGAACCTATTGCATAAACCTTGTTAATACTCTTGAGAAACGCCATTTGGGATAGATGGTCAACCCAAATATCAATCCTTACCAAGACAGAATTGTTCATTTCCCTTTCCAAGCGAACCAGGGTCCTCTCAGCTCGCTCGCTCAAGTCGTCGTTTTCATTCATCAATGCCTTGCTGATCTTCTCATTCTGTGCAACATACATAAAGGCGCCTCGGTCGCGTAGTTTGTGAATGATAAATATGAGATCGGTGGCACTGTAGTCGAATCCGAGTTTGTATAGCAATTCCAGGTTCTGCCAGGCCGCGATCGTAAGCCGAATAGCGACTTTTTTGAAGTTTTTTGGCTGTGTAAAGTAGAGAAGATAAAGGCCATAGACTGCACCCACCTGGGCTGGTAATGTCTCTGCAGAGGAAAGAACATCTATTCGAAGACGTGTTGGCATTCCAGAGCCGATTAGGGTTACTCATTCCTTCCATCACAGCTTATCCGCGGAGGAGACGCGTAGACATCATTGTGCAGATCAAGACGGCCACATGAAGAAACAAAGTGATAAACCGGCTTACCCAAAAACATGTTGAAAAGCGAGCACATAAATTGCTCGCGTGTATTGCGTTCACCACAGGCGAAATGTATTAAGAAGAACTTTTGTTCTCTCCAGATCGAGGCAAATGTTGGATAGTCGATGCAGTCATTCTATCATACGAAAAAGAGGAAAACGTTGTTGAATGAATGCAAAGTAGGAGGCAAGGAGTATGTCACCCTACTAATGCTGTTTTCGCGTCTACCTCCTCATACGCCCGTATAAGAGCTTGGACATCCACATAAAGTGCTCGGGTGTAGATGCCATTCTTGCCCAATACCACGCAATCGAGCGCATCTGGCGCATTGGGATTTCGAAATAGATGTGAATTTGTCTTTTTGGAGGTGTTCCTTGCTCTTGAGGTTTTAGGATCAGCCGTTGTCCCGAGCTGTGGATTCATCTCCTCATCAAGTCTTACGATTGTTCCATTGTCTGTTCCGCTGCCTGCTTCGTTGTCTGCTCCGGCTCCTGGGGAAAGTACCACTGCAGACATGGTGTGTTGAAGGATTGCTGGTTCAATGATGCAGGCTGGTTTACAGTTGCAAGATGATGGCAAAAATAATGTGTGACTGTTTACCAAAACTCCAAATATTCCGGCTGTTGCGCTTTCGGACCTTCTTTGAGAGGCTGTGGGCATAGCCCCACATTTGCCGTTTTTTCGTTTTGTAAACCCTTGAATATCTCATACAGTCTCCGCGGAGGAAGGAGTTTTAAGATCCGAGGAGCCATTGTCGATAAGCGAGCAACCATATCCTATGTAGGAACCCGGTCGGGCGAAGTGGCAAATTTCTGAAATAGGATAAACCTCTGAAATATAATTTATTAATTGAGCTACACTCCCTTTTGCGAAATAGCACACATTTCATAGGAAATGTGTGCTATTTCCACTGAATCAAAAATATAAGGGGACTATTCAGTCAAGATTTTATATCTGCTTGGATTTACGGATCACCAATCGTGCTGCTTTTCGGTGGCTCGCGACTTCACCCCCAAGCTGATGCAGATATGAGGCAAACTATGCGAGGATATAATGTGCATCTTACGTCACCACTTGATTGAATAACACCCCTTATATATTTCAATTCAGTTGACAAAAGTCGATAAAATGCACCTTTGCTATGAAAAGCGCATTTTATGGCAAAAGGGAGTCTAGAGCTCTGACAATGAGATTTTTTGAATATCCCCCTTTTAGTCAGATTTTGGAAGAGAGGTCAAGGACCTCTTAATTTAATTTTTAATTAAGTACAAGGAGTTGAATGGGCCTAAGGTATTCTAAAATATATTTATTGTCAGGAGCTATTTCCATGGCGAAGCGCCGTGCATAAATACTAGGCCATTACCCTTCCACTCTCCTTCGCCATTAAACAAGAGACCTACCAACACCCTCTCGAAACAATACACCCTCGCACCGCTATACCCACCTCATCTCCCATGATCCCTTCCGCGCCCCAGGTAGCAATGGACCTCGCCAAGGACTGTAGCCTCAAGCGACCATTCGAAGATACCCAACCGCAATCCGCTTATCCAGTATTTCCAGGTGATCCCAGGTGCATGGACCTATCTCAACCCTGGACCCAAGTATCTTGGTCGCTCGCCTACTCCCTGCTACAAACCGATGCCTCCTCCAATCCAGTCAACAAGAAGGCACGCCGGCCCTCTCTAGTGGACTTTCCAAACGAGATTATCCTCAACATCCAGTCCTACCTCCATCATCCGCTGGACCTCCTGCGCTTCTCCCAGACTTGCCGTCTGTTCCGAGCATCTACGAACGAGAGAGCCTGGTGTAGACTGTACACTATCCTGGTTCCCCACTGGTCTGCCGGTACCGAGGTCTCTCATCTTCAGAGGGACACGGACAGCTGGAAGCAAGTAGTCATTGACGATTTCCTAAGAAGAGATCGTTGGTCTGTGCCTGCGGCACCATCCGTAGAAGGCGACCTTACAGATATGGCCGTTCCACCACGTCTGCGGATCAACCTCGATCATGCAATACGTATAAAACCTCCGCACATGTACCTATGTACCCCAGGCCCATCTTCCAAGTCTTCGAGATGGAGGAACGTGGGCTCTCCGGTTTCCAATATTGATCTGGGCACGCAAGCATCGATCTCTGCCTACATGCAGGCGTGCACATTCAGTGACCACACTGATCATCGGATTTCGATCTACGGTCTTCCGGACCATGAGAGGCCCTTAGCAATCATCCCTAGCTACTTTTGGGCCCATCATGATGTCGATCGCCAATTGTATCCGGTTTTCGACGATGGGAGTTTAGGCGTAGCACAGTTAACTGACATCAAACAGTTTCCAGCACAACGAGCCGATCGTCAATTGTATCCGGCTTTCGACGAAGGCAGTTTGGGTGTAGCTCAGCTAATTGACATCAAACAGTTTCCAGCGCAACGAGATGAGCAAGGCAGAATGCGCGTCGTGATTGTGATTGCTTTTGGAGAACAAAGTCGTACTCCTTTCAATGCCTTGGATGGCGAAGTCCAGTACCTTGACGTTTGGTTGCTGATAAAGGTATGTTCGTGTTATATTGTTACTAAATTGTTATTGTTACATGTGGAACCTTAGAAAGAAAACTCATACCTAAACGGTGCTTACTAGGCGATTGAAATCTATATTTGCGACACACCTGTCGTATCCACAAGTGACAACTCGATACAGCCACGTCTTGTGCCCTATCGCCCTGATCCATTCCAAGGAAGGGTCGAAACAATTGTCCCAAGCACCCGCGAAGAGCATGTCCGAGGTCGAGCTGTCAAACTGTATCTGGCTGAAGGTTCCCTAAAGATAGCATTGTTCGGTATCCATCAGGGCACAAGAACACAGGCCGTTGTTATGACCAGTTCGCTATTTGGTCCATCCCAGCCAGTGCACACACAAAGCATGTGCCTTGACTCAATTCCAAGTTCCCCATCCTGGCAATGTCGCGCGCTGGGCGGCATCACAGAAACATCCTGCATGGCTCTCTTCCCTCCCCAAAGCGACTTTGATCATCTAATCGTCCTTTTGGATCGAAATGGCCGAGGCGAAATCTGGAATTGGAAAACCGTTGCTCTAGTCGCAATATTAACAGAAAAAAGCGAATCAGGACAGGACCTTGAGCGCAAGCGACATGAATACAGGAAGGATTTGTATTATTGGGGCGTGCAAATCAACTGGAGCGTGGAAGAGCCTGTAATTAGCAGCCGAGACTCGGTTTCAGCGTTCGGGACAGGGGCTGCCCACAGAAAGCAGGGCGACTTTAGTGTTGTCGCGCTCGCCGATGGAGAAGGCAAGGAGTGGGAAACTTGTTGGTGGAACGTGAGCGATAAGATGCTCAGAATGAGCAAGGAAGCAATGCCGCCCCAGCCCACAGAGATCGGATGGTCCAGCCGCTACTTTCAAGAGCTTACATTGGGCAGAACTAGCCCACCATCGGCTTCTCAGGAAACACGACGGCACGCCGACAAACCTCTCTCATTCATCGCCTACCTGACCTGGAACCATTATCGCATCACACTCACCTCCCAACATGGCCTCTGTATTTTCGACATGGACCGAGAGGTCCAAGACGAGACGATGAGCGGTGGTTCGGAAATTTCCGATACTGGGACCACCATGGAACTTGAGGAACGACAGCAAAAACAGATCCCACAATGGGTGACGATGATCGACGATGCTGAGGATGATCCTTTGGTCGACATTGCAACCATGGGCGACTGTCTTATGCTGACACGTAAATATAGCCATATGATCTTCCCTTTCCGCAGCTCCCACGCAAGACAGCCGTGATGGTTTTGGTACAGACCTGTGGGTAACCTTTGCATTCAATTGAATGCTCGGTCCGCAGAACCCAACGCTAGCCAAGATGCAAAATCTTCCGTAGGATGCCTCCGGTACCGAGGCTCGCAGACGTCCTCTCCGTCTGCCACTCCGTCCTTCCCTTCAACTTCCATCTCACCCTTCTCTCCGCCTAAATCATTGGGTAGTTGCGCTACCGCATCCAGTGGTCAAAGCATCCAAGTCGCGCTCCGTACTAGCGCATCTCCCAAGTCATTAGATACAATAAAAACTACCGTTACAAAAAAAAAATCCCCCCCTCCGGCGCGGTTTAGAGACCCATATTATCACAGCATCCATAGTCAAGCAACCCGTACTGGCAGTTTTTACTATAAATCTGTCAGGTCCCGGTTTTATTGTCCTGGTTTGAAAGGCGATCATCGCGAATCTCGACAATCCGCGTCACCTCCGTTCCTGAATTTCACAAGGATGCACGCGTCCGCTCCAAAACTGAGCCAAGTCCTGGTGTCCTGCTCACCAGAGATGCCACAATACCGAGATGACGGAGGGGTTACTATAATTCTCGATTTTCAAGCAGAGGAGTGCGACCAACGCAGTTGCCGCAGATGAGATGAAACTTTCTGTCAATATCCTGATGTTTAGGTGTTTAGCCTTGAAGACCTGTCTTTAAAAGACACAGGGCGCTTGCAGGAAGCGCGTCCTTTACCATTCCTTCTTTCTTTGTTTTTTTGCCCGCTGTATCACACCTCGCTCGATAATCAGGGTCGACTATCACAGCAAACACAGAAACAACGACACGATGCTGGAGGGGATCTTACGACTCATCGGTGCATGGGGAGCCTTTGGTCTCATGGGCGCTGTAAGGAGATTTCAATATTCATATTCCCCATTCACATTCGGGTTTGCCTGGATAAAATTTTATATGCCCCGATTTGGTTGTTGCTGTGTCTGAGAACGCGACGACACTTAACCCGGCACCGTGAATGGTTGTCCTGATATGTGTAGGGCTTCTTGGGGTTCTCCATCTTCTTCACGCTGTACTACTCGAACTGGCAGGATCGAGAACCCTTCGCGATGCTCGTTACGGTCCTGGCATTGACGCTCTGCCTCACCACCGTGGCATTGTTCCCCGTGGACATCTTCCTTGTCTCGACACTCATGGACCCAGCAACGGGATTGAGATACGAGTGGGCGACAGACAGTGCGATTTCCCAGCTACAGCTCTCGGTCAAGATAATCTACTATGGTAACGAGCTCCCATCCATCCATCTCTTTTTTTTATTATTGTATTTCGAGGTCGTCACCTGGACTCGATACGTTGGATCACGCCTTCCCATTCAATGCATGCACTCTAACACACACCATTTTCTAATGGTCCTCCCCTCCCCCCCTTGCAGTTCATCTCTTTCACGTTTTTGGCCTGCCTTGAATCCTGCAGCTGCAATCGCAGTTGCTCCTGCTGTGAAACTGTGAACGGAGATGTCGATGTCACCCCGTGCTAATCACACTCCTTTTTTTCGCCGTTCTTTATATCCCTATCACACTCTAGTCGCATATGGTCTCATTGCCAGTTTCTGCTTCTTTTGGATCCCACTGGCGTATTTTTACTTTGAAGAGCTCGCCGATGAGAACCAGACGACCGTTCAAAAGGTCTGGTCCTCACTCAAGTACACGATCTTCTTTGTGCTCGTCGCCTGTACCTTGCTCCTGACGGGCCTCCTGATGAAGCCGGACAGACATGAGGGCATCGATCTGGACTGGCTACGCAAAATCCTCAAAGATTTCGGTAAGACCTACCCTGCCCTCCTGTCTGGGATCTTTTTTTTTTTTTTTTTTTTTTTTTTTGCTATCATGCAGGAATCTCTTCCCTTTGATAATCATGTTAGTGCCCTTTATTCATCTTTACTGCCTATATCCCTCTTGCATCATTCTACGTTCCTTGGTGGCCGAACTAACGAAACAGATGGATCAGGATCAATGGCCTTCGTCTCTGGGGTCCTTGCCTTGGTAGGCATGGGCATCTTGGTCTTTTACACCGTAAGTTAATTGAAGCCTTAAACCTCCAGAGAATTCAAATTGGCCCATGCTAAATGCTGACCACTGCATTCTTTTTCCTTCCTGCCTTCCTTCCTTCCTTCTTCTTATTTTAGGCCCCAGGGCTCTCTCTTTTGCCGCTGCACCTGCTCGCAGGATCGAAGCTGATGCAGGGAAAATCGAGCGAAATAAATGTGCAGTTGGCAGTGAACCGTGAACGACAGAATATCATCATGGATCGATATCAGCATCGACCCCTAGGTGGAGGAGGGCGCCCTGTGCTTTCAGATCGTGATCGCCAGGCCATGGCTGAGTTGGCGCAAGAGGAACTAATGCTTGAGAGCCGGTCCAGGCATATGCGGAGCCTGCGGGATAGTCTGTTCCATCGATGCCAGTTTGTTATCCGGCCATTTCAGGTACAGGACAACCCATGGTCCTGTGCGCATGGGGCCAATGTGTATGTGTATGTATGTTTTTACGTGATTATGAAGCAGATTCTCATGGACTTGTCTCCAATAGGTCTTGGTCGGGTTAGCAGGATCGATACTCTCGCTGCTCCTCATCGTTTCGATACTTATAACGAGGTAAGTCTTAACAGCGCTAACAGTATCTTACATGACCTTTCACGATGCGCTGGTTCTAACCATAGATCTGTGAATATGGAAAACATTACTAGTATTGGCCAGACGACGGACGAAATCTGCGGCGCATCATGCGGATATATCTTTATTGGCAAAGATTTGCCCAACTTGCTCAACCTGCTCTTCCTGAAGGCTTCGCCAGTAAGTCACTCGACATCTTTCTATTTCCTCCATGCAGGACATTGGCGAGCAAAATCTGATATCAGTTCTCTCTCTCTCTCTCTATGACTGTTTCTCCTACAATCTAGTATTTCCCTATCGATTATGTCTTGATGGTGATGGTCATCCTGTACATGTTCTGGGCAACGACTAAGGGCATTATCTCGATCGGCATCCGAGTGCTTTGGGTCAATTTATACGAGTTTAAAAGGGCGGCAACCCAACCACAGGGGCTTCTAGCCGCCACCATGCTCTTAATGCTCAGCCTTGCTGGGCTCAGCTACTCACTGACCATGTCCGTAGCGCCGGAGTACTCCATGTTTGGCAGTCAGAGCTACGTAAGATCTATTGACGATATCGTCATGATAACGAACTGGGTAGTTACCGTATTTGCTAACGCGACATCCTGTGTACCCCATTTAATTTCTGTAGTGCAACAACACGATGCCCATCATCGGCAACCGCGACTGCTCCAGCGCACCAGAGCTCATCGTTCCCTGCCACATTGGTGCCCCCCCGGAGTTCTGCGTCACCACCGTCACATCCTCGATAATCCTTACGATCATTTTGGCGACACCCTCTCTCGGGATCGCGTTCTTTTATATGCAATGGCTCTTCCTGGCATCGTTTGCTCTCGCTCTCCTGTTCAACTTTATCCAGGGGTGCAGACAAGGATTTGGTGTCGACCCGTTTGAAACGAACGACGACGATCTAGATGAGATGGAGGCCAGAGGGCTGTTGAGTGGAGAGTTGAATTCAGAGGACGGTCGAAGACGTGTGAGACGGAGGGGACTATTAAACATCCGAGATGATGCCCATGAGCAAGCACAGGATCATCGACAGGCGCCAGGACTTGGACAGGGCCATAAGTATGGATATGGCCAACATCCTGCTCCATCGTACGGCGCTGCAGCTGAGAATACGTATAGATATAGCAGAGGGCGCGGGTAAACAACCAAATATACCAGATCTTTAGCAAGTCCTTGATACGTAGGCAGTTTTGACTAAAAATTACTTCATTTGACCTTTCCATCAACTATGATACCATTGTTCGGTGGTCCAATGAGAAGATCATGCTCCAGAAGCACAGCAATTGAGCTTGAAAATTTGCTCCGCACATTGTGTGGTCCCTGGTTTCTCTCTACTTCTTCATGTATGTCATCAGCTTGACCCGGTCGCGCCGCTCCTTCTCTGCCATACGCCTATAGTCCTCCAAGTTCAACGGCACCCTTCTATTGGACTATACAGATCATTGAATGGAAACATCAGTACTTTAACATGGCAGAAGAAATAACTGACCATAAAAGCAGCTCGCTGTCGGTCTTTTTTACCTTAGGAACGAGTTTTGTCCGGCTCTTCTCGATCTCTTCAAAAGTATGTGTCACGACTTTTTTGCTGGCACCGACGGCTCCTAGGGCTAGTCGATCGTGCTTGAGTCGTGTTGCAACAGGATGTCGCGCGCCTTGACCTTGAGCTCCGAGTCCCTTTTCGTAATCCCACCCGCTATTGACCAACATCCTGAACCCCTTATTGGACTACGATTCGTTAAAGGGAAAAATACATAAAGTCGAAAGGTTTATCTTTTGTTAGTAGTAGCAATGGCAGCTCATAACAAAAAACGATAGAGGACTTTTGCTTTTAGGGCCTTACATGTCCAAGTATCAGGGTATCCAAGGGCTTGATAGGCGATTCTTGTGACATCAGATGGGCAGTTCCACGCTGGTGCCTATCAAGGTCATCCTCGCGGACCTCGATCTGACATGATTCGCAAAGGACATGTCCTTCGGCTACGACTCTAGCGGGTCCATGATTTGTTTGCCAGTTCCTTCGGACGATTTCTTCGGAGGATGAGGGAGTCGTTTCTGGTATTGAGGATGAAGACGTCGTTGCTGAGGGATCTGATGATATCGATGGCGCTAGTGGTGTTGATCCCTCTGTGATACTTGCTACCGAGTCGTCTGGTGACTGTGATGGCATTGGAGTAGGCTTTTGTATGTTGTTTCGTGATAGTTCTTGTGCCCTAGAAGTGCTTCGCTGCTTCCTTTGTGATTTCCGTTTCGTGGGAGCTACCGTCCGTGGCATTGCCAGCACAGCTTTGTAAAACTACCGTATCGAAGAAGAACATGTTAGGGAAAGCATTAGTGAATGATCTATTGCGCAGACAGCATTTGTAGCAGCTACAGTTTACCTCTCGGACATGGACTGCATCCTCTTGCTTGCTATTTTGGGTGGAGGTTGCGGCAGTCTCCTTCATGGCTAATGTGCCACTGGGCACAAAGGCGATATCTCTGTAGAATGTCCCTGAATCATCCTGGCGAGTGATCCTGTTGTTGTTGGTCCGCTTGTGGTCCATGGTTGGCTTGTTCTGGACGGTCGAGGGTGGGTGGAATGAGTAAAAAGAAGGGAATCAAATCAGAGTCGCAGGTCGAAAGTGCTTGGGCCTACCCTGTTCAAGCTGACAGATAGGACTGCTATGCTCTTACCCCACACACCTTTATTTTTGGTGGCGACGGGACTTGCAGTAGAGGTTTGTTACGCCCTTTTGTTCTTTCTCTGTTTGCTGTCTCCTGTCCCCACAAAGGACAGCCTAGAACGACCTGTTCCTTCAGCTGCATTTCGTTTTGAGCTAGCCTTTGACTATGGGGTGACAGGCAGCGGTACTCAGATAACGCAAGCACACGTCGTGGGGGCAATGGTCGAGTAAAGTGGATCCTTTTTTTTTTTTTTTGCGCTGAACATCATTCCCTCCTTTCTTTCTTCATCCTGTCCTCGTTCCTCATCCCTGTTTGATTCCTCCCTGCACATACGTCTCTCAACCGAACCCTCATCAACCAGGCTGATTATCGCACCCCACACATCGCACGCCCTTCCCCACACCAACACACTGAGCACCTCCCGTCGGACGCCATCGACTGCAACCAGAGCCGCGCCTCTGGGTCAGCACCAACTCCGCGAGAACCATCCTTCCTCCTCGTCTGCTTCGGCCTTCCTCTACCAGCCTCGTGTGCACTCCCCTCTCTCGGCACAAGAACGCCAATCCGCGTCTGCAGGTGAACTCTTGGAGGCCTTAGTTAATCGCAGCCACAGTGGAACGGACACCAACATCGACCTCACACCGACATCTGTCCGCGTCCAGCAATTACCTACTCCGAGGACATCTGTCTCCGTAGAGGCGTCTTCTTCGCCAGAAAACCATTCCCCGGCCAACATTCGACAGCCGTAACAGAACCTGCACAGTGAGCTTTACACTTCCTGCTCGTAGTCTCCGTCCTCCCACTCGACTCTTCGAAGCACTATTGCTTCCTCCCACAATAATACTACAAACAGGAGCAGCAGCCCCAGTCATAGTTCGTACGCGAGGCAACCGTTTCAATCATTCCGCTCGGCTTCACCGGTTTTAACCCCAAAACTCGGTTTTGCAGTCTTATGCTCTGACCTTGTCCTCGTCTCTATTGGCAGGCTCATCCACTATCGTATTTAGTTTACACAACAACAACAACAACGAGAAGCAGCAACAGCTGGCATAAAAGGCTCGTCCATGACCACGGCGACCATTGCAGCCCCAAGCACACTGGGTGGGCGCTCTCAGCATCAACATCATGAATTCGATACACAGCACCAGCATCAATTGCAGCAGGAACTCTTGTTGGAGGACGAGAAAGAGTTGCAGAAAAAGAATTCGCGATCTGCTATCAATGGCGTCTCCGTGTATTTACCCCCGGCCCTGAACAAGGTGGTTCAATCAGCTAAGGATGCCGTCAGCTCGCCTATTTCACCCTCGAGCAAGATGTCGTTGCCTTTCAGTCGACTACCTACGATTGCTGAGGGAAGTGGGGGAGCAAGAACGAGTGCATTTGCGCCCCGATCGTCCTTTCGTCTTCGACTCAGCCCAAGCGTGATTCTTCATTCACTCAAACTGCCGATGATCTGTCTATTATGGTATCTTTCCTCGGCAGTGACGAACAACATTGGCAAGCAGATCATGAACCAGTTCCGGTACCCGGTGACATTGACGTTTGTGCAGTTCTGGTTCGTGTCGGTGTTCTGTTTCGTGGCGAGCGCTGGATTCAATGTGGCGAGGATCCGAAGACCGACCAGAGGCATCATCGAGATGACGGCCCCATTGGTCGGATTCCAGGTTGTTGGACATGTGTTCTCGAGTGTCGCGATCAGTCGCGTTCCCCTGAGTGTCGTTCATACTGTCAAGGTAGGCAAAGCTATTGGGATTCGACGATTTTGCTCATATGGCAGCCATTGCAGCCATCATGGCTCCTCCATAAAGACACGGGGCAGGTGGGGGGATGGATTTATGTCGCAGGAAGGCGAGATGCTTACTCAAACATCTTTGGTTGAGGAGAATCTCATCCCCTTGGAACAAGCAATAAGCACGCCTGCCCCAATCGAATCATTTGATTCGTTCATGGTGACACGCGGTGCGGTGTATGCAATTAGATGATTTTTTTTCTTTTCCTTGGGATGAGGCGGACCCTGGAGCCAGAACGAGAGCTAGACTAACTTTACAGTCTGTTGAACTGTTTGATCAACTTGTCGACTCTTCTCTGTCTTCTACAAATCGGGGATGCATGGATTGATGACTTTTAAAAAGGAATTGAAAAGAAGACGCGGACAAGTTCCGCGGTGAATGTGTTTGTGTGTATGCATGCATAATGGATTATTAACGAGGACTCTATTATTATGCTTGAACTTATCCGCGGCACCTAGGCCCTCACCCCTCTGTTCACAGTGTTATTCTATCGCGTTGTCCTCGGAACAACGTATAGCCGTGCAGTATATCTTTCGCTTGTGCCCTTGACTGCAGGAGTAATGCTCGCCTGCCGTATGTCACTCGAGTTCAACAATTTGGTCGGTCTGAGCTGCGCATTACTCTCTACGCTGGTCTTTGTGATGCAGAACGTATTCACAAAGAAGATTCTGTCGAGTAACAAGGCCAAGCAATCTCATTCGCAGGATGAGGTTGGCATGAACGGATTCGGAAACAGGGAATCGATCTCTGGAGGTGCATCAGGAGCGGATCCGATTGATCATGTACTTGGAGGAGGAGGAGGAGGAAGTACTGGTGCTCCTCAGAAGCTGGACAAGATCAACATTCTGTTTTATTCGTCGACATTGGCGGCGGTGTGCATGATCCCGATGTGGTTCTATGCTGAGGGCTGGACACTGATGTTTTCGGAGGATCCGCTGGACAGGGTCGGGGGTTCAACAGGAACGTGGAGCGTGATCAGCTGGCTATTGTTCCTGAACGGAGTGTCACACTTCTTCCAGAACTTTTTGGCGTTCTCGGTGCTGGCGCTCACCTCCCCGGTGACTTATTCGATCGCTTCGCTGATCAAGCGCATTGTGGTGATTGTAGCGAGTATTATTTATTTCCACCAGACGTTGGGAATGACACAGTGGATGGGCGTATGTTTGACGTTCTGGGGCCTGTGGATGTACAATTCTGCGAAGAACGCGGCCAAGGTGGACTTGACGTCGAGCATTTTGGGGAAAACAAAGGTTGGGAGGCGGATGAGTCGTGGGCTAAGTAGGGGGCTGTTGGAGGCGGAGATGGAGGGCGGCGGGTTGGGTAGACCTAGCAAGGCAGGGTTCATAGTCTAGGATGATACACGCCAGGTCGTGTATGTGTGCTAGACCAACTTCACTCGCCAAGGAAAATGGAAGAGCCTATTTTTGTCGTACTTCCACGAGTGTTATGTTGGGCTTTTGTAACCTTTAATGCCTCAAAAAGGATCGAGACAGAGGATGCTTGACGCGGAGCATGTGGTAGATGTATAGGGGGCTATGGGGGATCGGTCTCAGGGGTTGGACCCTGATGGTCCAGGGGCTGTAAAGTGACGTGTGGTATCATATAGATTTTGAGTTTCGTGATCAGGCGAAGACCAGCACCAAATCTTTCTCATCAAATAGATTTTTCTTTCATCAGCTAAAAAAATAAAGCTATAGATCTATGGCCAGCCTGAGGAGGCGAAGAGGGCGACGCTGGATGACGGGTGTAGAAATTACAGAAATTACGCGTCCTGCCAAGAACTCCTTGCTCTGCACACGTCGTACACACACACTCGTAAACTTTATGTCTCTAGGAAGAACGTCTTCCGAGAATTCCGCAGCCCCTGTTAGATGGAGACAGCCCCGCTTTGCGTCTTTGATAACTTCCCAGACATGATATCGACTACTGCGGTAGTCAAAGGAGTAAGCGGGGCAAATTAAAAAGCCGGGCATTCGCCTTAAGGTCGGTGAGAGACGGTCAATTATTTAGCCCCGCTAGAGGAGCGGCTCTTATTGTTTCTACCATGTGCATTTCTCTTAGTCTACTTTGTTTAATTTACAACTGAGCACCGGTTTTTCCTTATGAAATTTGTGCTCAATCAATGGAAGGACAGGAAAACGAATGGTGGGCGAACAGTCTGTTAAACAAGACAGCCCTGTTGGTATATAACAATAGAGCCATGTATACAACTCAACACTGCGGCCCGCTGATATGACCAGACAAAAACCAGCTTCGTTCCTGTTCCTGAAAGAACTGTTGTCGCGGACTGTGTCGTTGCCGTAAGGGGACTAGCTGGCTCGCTGATTAGTCAGAGACCAGGGTTTCTTCTAAATAAGATAGTGCGGCGCTAAAAAAGAATGAGAGAAAGAGCTGAGGACCCTTCGAAGGCGCCACAAAAAAAATAATATCCGCGCTCAAATAAATTGTGCATTAAAATTTTGTGTCTGTTGCAGTAAGCAAGTAGGTTGGATGGGAATGAAGGAAGGAAAGAAACTTGCTTGCCGGCCGTTGCAAGGTGGCGGTGAGAAGATAGAGGACTCTGTCGATGCGGACGTGGATGTGGATCGATCATCGCGGATTGCGGATGCGGATATCAAAGGATGCGAATGCATGCGTAGTCTATAGCGCATTCGGCGTCTCGATGGCACCGTCTGGCTGTAATCCTCAAATGACTTAAAAATAGTGCAGCAATTGGACTACAGCCGCAGTGTTACTCCACGCTCAACCGCGTTGTATGCATACAGACAGATAGAGAGACAAACCCTGTGTGGGCCCCCGTTGCTCTCCCGCTTGCTTGCTCATCCGCAAACTACAGGTTTCTCCCTCTTCCTTCTTTTCATTCACCACTCCGTGATTCCATCCTCGTAATCTCTCTCACTCACTCCCTCTCTTTCCACCCATTGCACTCGCACCCATACCCATACCCACCCAAATGGCGTCTAAAAGAGAATAGATACACCACCTTCTTCACCAACCCGACACCCACAACCCACCCATCCTCACTCCTCTCTCCTCCCTCGCACTGCCTCCTTACTCCCTCTCCTGCTCTTTCACACCCTTTTTCTCACCTAATTTCAACACCCTTCGCTCATTTCCTTCACTCTAATACACACACCGCAATGGTCAATACCCTGCAAAAGATCTATAACAGGACACCCTGGCAGCAGAAGCGACTCTCCCAGCCCCTGAGCGACCCAAACTATATCTCCTCCCCTCTGCAGCACTCTTCCGTCTTCGAGGAGGTCCTCGACCAACCCGCCCAAAACCATCAACACTACTATCAGGAACCATCTTCATCCCTGCCCTCATCGTCCTCCAACCCGCTGCAGCGTCAAGTCTCGATCTCAGAACCAGACCGCTCCCCCCGTCCCCCTCGCCCCAATTCCATTGGTCTCCGTCCTGGTAGCAGCAATATCCAACGCACTAATAGTAATTCTAATCACACCGGCAATGACGACAAAAACCAAGACAAGGGCAAGGCCAATGCTGATCCACAGCCGTTGAAAAGGGGCATAACTCGAGCTGACACAAAGATCTCCCTCCGCAAGTCTGGGAAGGATTCGCGTCGCGTCTTTGTCAACGTCCCGCCACCTCAACAGTACCTCAACAAGAATGGAGCACCCAAGTTCAGCTATGGATCCAATCGCATCAACACCGCCAAGTACACGGCCCTGACCTTCTTGCCCAAGAACTTGTTCGAACAGTTCCGGAGGGTCGCCAACATGTTCTTCTTGTTCATGGCCATCATCCAGCTCACACCCACCTTCACCGTCGGCTCGCCCTTCCTCACAGTCTTTCCCCTCTGCTTCGTTGTCGGTGTCACGGCCATCAAGGACGGATTTGAGGACTATAAACGACATGTTGAGGACCGTAACTTTAACCAGCGACTCTGTCAACAACTCAAAAATGTTGCCAATTATAATTACCCGGCCGACGTTCAAAAGGACAGGAACATTGCTGCAAAAACATGGAGCATACTTTCATACAACATCAGTGAGGGTATTACGAAGATGATGAGGGCACTCAAGCTGTCCAAGGAGCCAAGCCATGACCTCTCTAAGATGGACTTTAATGACGACGACACTAGCCATCCGACTCCACAGCAGCAGACAGCATCCCAGGATGGCTCGACACCTGAAGCAGCCCAGCCAGAGTTTAACAAGGAGCAATGGTGCAACTTGCGCGTCGGCGATATCATCATGCTCAAGAACAACCAGGCTGTACCAGCAGATGCCATCATCCTCTCGACCTCCGAGGCTGAGGGCTCTTGCTTCATTGAGACCAAGGATCTGGACGGCGAGACCAACTTGAAGACACGCATGTCACTTCATGAGACCTCAAAATACAACACGGCGCGTCGATGCAGTCGCCTCAAATGCCATATCGACATAGAACCCATCAATGCCAACTTGTTCTCATTCAATGGATCTCTGACTATGCTGGCGCGGAAGAGACGTGTTACGGAGCAAAGAGCTGGACAGTCAGGAAACAACCGCTACAGTGTGTATGCTCCCTCGATCACGTCCAGCATGATGTCGAGTCATCGCGGATCTTTGGACCAGAATCGCAACTCTCTTGATGATCAGCATGAACGAGGCACCGCACCTGTTGAAGGAGACGATTCGATCGATCCTCAATTGCCTGCGCAAGGTGGAACCAGTGCTTCGGAGTACGCGCGGCTTCACAAGAGCGCCACCTACAAGCGTCGATCTCGGTTCTCAGAATCACAGGATGCGCCCGCTTCACTTACAATATCTAATGACAACCAACCCGGGGATAAGCAAGAATACGAAGAATCCACGGAGACATCGTACCAGGATGGGCGCCAGCGTCTCGAGACATCCTCCTCCCTTCGCCCCACGATCTCGAAGCGGAACAGTCTGCACCGGACAGCAACAGGAGCCAGCGTCAGTGGTGTCAGTGGAATTGCCAAGAGCGTACTCAGGGCCAACCACGAACAGCAGATGTATCAACAGCGACAGCAATCGCCGGACGATGGTCTTGTCCGCGTAAGCAGCCACGGTCAACATAACAGCGGTCAGTACAAAGAAACAACCATTCCTGTGGATATCAACAACATGCTGTTACGTGGACACGTTATTCGAAACACGCACTGGGTTATTGCTGTGATTGTCGCGACTGGAACAGAGACCAAGATCATGTTGAACTCTGGGGAAACTCCCAGCAAGCGCAGTCGTATTGAGAAGACCATGAACATCCAGGTAATATTCCAAGTTATTTCGGACGTATGAGTATGCCCACATTGTCAACTTGCGAAGATACTTTTACTTACGTCTTTTCCTTTCTGCTTACAGGTCGCAATTAACTTTGCTATCCTGCTCGTGCTCTGTATTATCTGCGCTGTGGGATCGACAATCAACGACAGGCGTTGGCGGGATACGACGGCGCAGCAACTCTGGGCTAATTCTACGCGCGGCCTTGTCACAGAGGGCGTTGTAACGTTCTTGTAAGTCTTAAGGTGCAACCGCGCTCGTAGAATGATAAACAATCGTGAACAATACCACTAATCGATACACCTTTTACGGCTCATTTTTCTACGCTACAGTACGAGTTTGATTATTTTCCAGAACATCATTCCCATCTCTTTGTATATCTCTATCGAATTCGTCAAGACCTTCCAAGCATACTTGATCTGGCAAGACAGTGACATGTACGATATGGACCTGGACGAGTTCTGCACGCCTAAGACTGTAAGTTAACTGGGCCCCACGACTGATATCTCACCTGTAATCGAATCAAACTAATATTTATTCTGTACTTTCAGTGGAATTTGACGGATGACCTGGGTCAGATCGAGTACGTCTTCTCAGACAAGACAGGCACCCTGACCAGAAACGTCATGGAGTTCAAGAAGTGCACCATCAACGGCAAGATCTATGGCAACAATGCAGTCTCAGGGCAGACGGATGCTGAAAAAGGATTAGAGATGATGGATAGTGGTCATGGACACGATCAGGAACCTGGTGGGGAAAGCGGCGTAAAATCCGGTCAACAACAGCAGTCTGGTGATCAGGACCAGGAGCGCGAAAAGGAGGCGGTTTTGAAGGATTATGACCAAGTGATCCGGAAGATGTTTGAACCAACATACATGGATCCTCTCGAAACCCTCAGCTTTGCGGACCCAGATCTCCTGCGCGACATGAATGGACAGGGCGGTGGAGCCTCGGAGAACAGGAGTACCATTACAGCCGGTAGTGGCAACGGCGAAGGCAGCTCGACTTCGACTCGGCGAGTGGCAAACCACGCTGGAGCATCGACCCCTCAGCACGGTGGTTCGCCCGCCAGCAACATTCGAGATTTCTTCACTCTCCTGGCTCTTTGCCACACTGTTGTTGTTGAGCAACCTGAAGAAGAAATTCTAGATGACGATGATGATGAATTCGGAATGTACGACGACGACGGATCTCCCAAGAACGGCGTAGACAAAAATGCCAACCCAGTTAATTCGTCCCAGGAACAAAAGGGATTCCACCTGGGAATCCGCGCGAAGCTGAAGCAGAAGGTTGGGGCTGCTGGATTGTCAGTACCCGGAGTGACAGGAAATCAGGCGTCTGGTTCTGGAACGAGAAGCCGCAAGAACTCTAACACTGGACCTGTCATGCCTCTTGGAAATGCATCGAGGGATAACTTGAACCAACAGCAGGGCAGTGGATCGAACGGATCGCTGAATGAGCAGAGCAAGACCAAGCCTACGCTGCAGTATCGTGCCGAGTCGCCTGATGAGGCTGCGCTGGTCTCTGCTGCCAAGAACGTGGGATATGTCTTCGTTTCTCGCGGTGCGGCTGCCAACACTGGCGAGGGCGATGGCAAGAAGGAATCTGGGAACTCGCGACAGAACGTCAACGTCAACTTTTTGGGACAGGACCATACTTATGAGCAGTTGGATGTGATCAAGTTCAACTCGACTCGCAAGCGCATGACCGTGATCGTTCGTGAGCCTCAAGCGCTCGGTGGCAGAATCTTGCTTCTGACTAAAGGTGCAGATAATGTCATTTTTGAACGCCTCAGTCAAAATAACGATGATCAGGCGCTGCGTGATCAGACGGAGCAGGATATCGAAGCGTTCAGTAACATGGGTTTGAGAACATTGACTCTGGCACAAAGGGTGTTGGACCAGGAGACCTATGAAGCCTGGGCAGCCAAGTACGCGGAGGCTGGAAAGGCACTGGATGATCGCAGTAAGAAGTTGGATCAGGTCGCGGAGGAGATCGAGAAGGATCTGACGCTCATTGGTGCGACCGCTATTGAGGACAAGCTGCAGGAGGGAGTTCCCGACAGTATCGCGGCGCTGAGAGAGGCCGGTATCAAGGTCTGGGTATTGACAGGAGACAAGCTTGAGACAGCCATCAACATCGGATTCGCATCTCGCCTGCTCGAGAAGGACATGAAGCTCGAGATCATGAAGATGAGTCGCAATGAGGAGCCTGACCATGTGTTACGGCGTTTTAAGGAGCTGGTTGAGGGTGTTCTAAGTGGTCGCGGCAGTCCTGAGGAGCAGAGTGGAGCCGAATTCACCTCAAAGTCGACAAAGACACAGCAAAGTCAATCTGGAAATGAAAAGTCCACTTCACCTCCAGTATCGCCGCCAGCATCGCAGTCGCATCGACTAGCGCAACAATCGCCAGTTGATGGAAGCCCGTGTGATGAAAAGCACCTCCCCCCAACACCCTCAGATACCTCGCTTCTCTACGAGCCCGATCACTCTATTAAGAACTCTCAGGAACAGCAGCACGCACTTATTGTTGACGGATCTGCACTCAAGATTTTGCTCGATGACCAGAATGCACGCAAGGACTTGATCCGTTTGTCCGACGTCTGTTTCTCTGTCATTTGCTGTCGTGCTTCGCCTCTGCAAAAAGCTCTCGTTGTTGAACTGATTCGTCGAGGCAAGAAGACTGTCTGTCTCGCGATCGGTGACGGTGCCAACGATGTGTCCATGATTCAGGCGGCCAACATCGGTGTCGGTATTGCGGGTCAGGAGGGTATGCAGGCAGCCATGGCGTCGGATTACTCGATCACTCAGTTCCGGTTCATTAGGAAGCTGGTCCTTGTTCACGGCCATTGGGGCTACATGCGTATTGCGGAGATGATCCTTAACTTTTTCTTCAAGAACGTGCTCTGGGTTGCCGCCGTCCTTTGGTTCCAGATCTACTGCGGGTATGGTTTAACCAGCATGGAGCATCGCGATGTTATATCGATTTGATGAAGTGTTATTGACATGTTTGTTTGCATGTGCATTTTCTTAGATTTTCTGCGATGTTGTTCTACGATTACACGTTCGTCTCTCTTTACAACTTGATGCTGACGGCCGTTCCTGTGCTCGTCCTTGGTGCGACGGACCAGGATCTCACTGCACCCTATATCCTTCGCTACCCAGGCGTGTACAAACTGGGCATCCACCAAAAGCGCTATAACCAATTCCGCTTCGTCGTCTACATGCTGGACGGCGTCTGGCAGTCTCTGGTCGTGTTCTGGTTCTGGCGTGGAGTGTATGGCATGAACATTTTGAGCCACTCTGGAATCGATAGTTCACTGCTCGAGTTCTCGACATCGGTGGCGATTACGAACGTGGTGATCGCGTCGTTGTACGTGGGTCTGCATACCTACCACTGGACATGGCTGATGCATGTGGCTGTGTGGGGCTCGATCGCTTTCTTGGTGCTGATGATATTGATCTACGGAGCATTCATGTCCTCGCCGATTTACCATGTCGCGATCCAGCTCTTTAGTCAAGGACCGTTCTGGTTCATGTTAATTCTGTCAGTCGTGACCGCATTCTTGGTTCGTTACACGGTGCTGTTTGTGAGCTTCTGGTGGTTCCCAGATGATGTGCATGTGGCCCGAGGGATTATGATTGCAGAAAAGCGCAACGCGATCGCAAAGGGGGTCAAGTGGACGGGACTGGCGCCCGATGGCATGGCCCCGCAGGAACAGTCGGAGCAGGAGAAGGCGATCTTGAAGAAGGAGGATGAGAAGAAGGCCTTGAAGGAGGCCGAGAAGGCCGAGAAGCAGGCAGCCAAGGACGCGAGGAAAGAAAAGAATCGACATGGCGGCAAAGGCAGAGAGCGATCGTACGATCTGAGTATGGTCCAGATCAATGTCAATGACCATTCTCAGCAGCCCTCGGAGGAGCACAGCTCTGCAGTGCCGTATCGAACCAAGAATGCCTTACCAAACCAGAATCAGGATCAAAACCAGGATCAAAATCAGGGTCAGGGTCAGAGACCTGCTCTGCCACAAACCCCGCTCGAGATTCAACGGCAGCTGCTGCAGGTCCAGCAGCAGCAGCAGGATCGGTTAGCGGCTGTGAAGCCGAACGATCCAGCATTCCAGCATAGTCGGAGAACTTCTTCGTATAATTACGTGAACTCATTGAAGGACAAACCTACTGCATTGCCACCGCTGCCTACACCGTCGATCCCATCGGGCTCTGCGGCCGGGTCGGTAGCTTCACTACATGCACAGTCTGCAGTACCACCACCACTACCACAGCAACAGCAACAGCAACAGCAGCATCAACAGGAACAATAATAACGGGGAGAGGATTTTTGCTACGACAACAAACATATTCACAGCCTTATCAGGATTTTATCAGTCATGATTCACCACACCATTCTCCACTTCGTCACGACCTTACAAGTCTAGAGAGGACTATGCGCATATAATTTTGTTTATGAAAATATAGAAAAGACTCACGCAAAAAGTTATGTAATGATTTTCAATAATAAAAAGAAAGAAATTAAAAAAAAGCGCGTCGTAAAACGCATAGACATCGTTTAAGGAGAATGGACGTCATGATAAAGAAATGGACGTCTAAAGAGGTGTGTAACAGAATATCATAACCCTATTTATTTCTTGGACCATTTTTAAATTCAAGAGATCGCTCATTCAGGATCCTCAGTCTCTTCCACAATGCTGATGAACGGTGCTTTGTGTCTCAGCCTATCCTGCAGCTCCTTCGATGCACTCATAAGCTTGTCCTTCGCTTTGGCACTATTCTCAACAGAGAGCAGCGTCAGTGGGAAGGTAGAACCCTCGTCAAGGGAAATACACTCGATCAAGAGCTCGAGTTGCTCCAGCATGAAATTACTGCACCTCAACACCAGACGCTCGAGTTCAGCAAAATCAAGGGCTCTTAATAATAGGCTCCAGTTCTCGCTCTCGAGATCGAACCCGGTCAGTCGGATCTCCTTAAGAGGTCTATACGCCAGGCGCGCCTCATCAGGGGTGTTGACGAATTCGTGGATAAAGCCTTCTTGAGCAGACGACTCGGCAAATGGTGTGTATGACACGGATGGTTCGAACGGGTTTGATACCAGGGCGGCAATCCATTGTACATACTCGACGGTATCAGTACCCCAGCCCTCGATACAGAATGTCTCCATGCGAGGCAAATCGCGTCTGGATGAACAAATGGGCTGAAGTCTGAGCCTCCATCGATGTATTTCGCCACCTTCCAGGGAGAGGGACGTTAGCATGGTGCTATACCGAGTGAGCAGTCGCTCCGCTTTCTTCAGCTGTATCTCGTCCTCCAGGCTGGTGAGAATCAAGGAAAATTTGCGCAGAGACTTTGACTTCTCGATGACGCGATCTATGGAATCCAGGCCGATAGCTGAAAGGTCTCTGGGACGCAGTTCCAGGGTCGTGATCCTAGAGACCTGACTGTTGGTCAACTTGTCGAGGCGCAGCGCCAGATCGTCTGTGGTGCCCCAAGTCATTTTCAGGCGCTTAATATACCAATTGTCGTAATTATGAGGATCTTTGGAAGTGCCCGTATTGGGAATATTCCTTTGATCCTGCGTGCTGATCCTAATAGATGCAGTTGGCCCGATTATGGTGATCGAGGATGGTATTCCTGTGTCACGGGGATAGAACTTGACCTTGCGCAATGCGGAGGAGCCTTCCCGCAAACCAATTGTTTTCTTGATCAAGGCAATCAATTGCGCAAGTCGGAAGAAATTGTCGCTTAGCTCGCCAATTCGGAGATAAGAAAGTCTGGGGTTGCGCTGCAGGATGAGGAACAGTCGGTTCCATCTCTCCGCCATCGGCTCTCTGTAGATGGTCAGTTTAGAAAGATAGCCCTCCTCAAGGAGTCGCCAGTCATCGTCGAGGATCGAATCCAGAGATGGGACCACCGCCTCAATGAGATTAATCCTGCCTTCGGAAAACGTCGCATTCATGAAGTACTGCTGTCTGTATATCCTTGCTGTCTTGAGATGCTGAAGGGCACTGATCATATCGTCAAAGAAGCCGTCCGCATGGTCTTCACGCCAATCCAAAATTAATGTCATCGTCGCAGGGTCGGATACGTGCAACATAGCTCCCCAATCGAGCGCCTCGCTCTTCTTCTCTTGAATTCCCTCGTCGGACATCGCCTGGACAATTGGATCAAACCAGTGGTGCTTTACAGCGCCTGCCATCACCGCCATATCGGATCCTTCTATGGTTTCAGTTTGTAGAGGGGTTCCACGCAAGGTCAAGTGGAGAATACGCGCCTGGTTAACAGCAGTCGCAAATGCTCGAAGATCTTCGATCCCAACGATCCAATCCAGGGAGATCGACAGGTCCTGAATCCAGCATCCTTTAGAAATGATTAGATAGAACTGCTGCGCAAGCATGGCTGTTGCTAATGAGAGTATAACTTTGCCCATTTCCTCGTAAAGAACACCTCCGTTCGATCGGAGGAAATCCCGAAGTTCCTTCGTCACTGTGCTGAAGTTGCTCTCCCGATAGTGGTCGGCACACACGCACTTGACATGCTCCTCTGGAGTGATGATCCGGTGCAAATTACCAGATATGTAGTTCGTGGAATAGAACTTCAGATACCATTCTAGCTCCCGTAGATCTGCTCCTTTTGGTTCATGTTGTTCATCTGTGTCCGTTTGTTCGGCTCTGTCATCCTTGCCATCACTAGTGCCGCACTGCTGTTTCTGGACAAAGCTGATCGTTGCATCCACCAAAGAACCTAGATTCTCCTTCATAAATTTGAAATGTCCCTGACCCGGAACCGTCTCGTCTGCAAGCTCAAAGCGTTCCACTGCTGGAACTACAACGCCCTCCACCGTGGCTCCATACTTGATCATTTGGGCCATTGTAAGGACGTAGGTCTTGTATCTCTTGAAGAACTCTTCCGGACGCTCCAGGTCATATCCTTCGTGATTCGCAAAGTGTATCTCATGCGGTCTCCTGGTGTTCTCCGACATAGTGTGGGGCCCACACTCACACAGAAAGTAGAGTCGAAATTGACTTGCAGTGAGGCTGAGGCTATGGTCGCGAGGCCTCAAGATCTTTGGTAGCACGATAAAGAGTCTCGGACCTGAATATTCTTGGAAATCAAGAGTCCGTGCGAGGGTTGTTCGGACTCTTTTCTGGATAATGGCCAGTCGATCGAGGGCCTGCTGCTCCATCTGCTGTATCACTTCTTCCATATCCTTCATCGCAAGATGAAGAGGCATGTTCCTTGCTCTCTCATCCGCCAGACTGTCGAAGAGCTGGGTCATGGCACGCTTGGTCTGCTCCGTCTGACGTATGTGGTCGAGCGCGATGGCCTGCGAGAAGGATTTGAAGAGTTGTTTGTAGTTCCGGAAAGATTGGTGTGCTCTAGGATTTATGATATTGACAGAGTGGTGGTCATAGTCGCTAATATCAAGGGTGATCTGGCTGGTATTGTCAGGGTTCGACTGACCGATGTTGACGGCGAGCTCATCATTTTCAGCGCTGGGAGTAGCAATTTCGATAGTAGATGGACTGTCGTTGTTGGGAGGGATAATCTCACTGTAAGGCTGGATGGTTTCGGCTCCAAGTGGACTATTGGCGGGAGGTCGGACACCCTCAGCACCAGCTGCACTTGCGTCGCCTTCAGAGCTGTTACCACCTACTTGGACGTGCCCCGTGACAATTCCGGGCACTCGGATGGCACTAAAAGTAATAGATCTTGAGCCCTTGCTGTACACAGGTGCTGCAGATGTTGTTGTTGTTGCTTGGACATAATCAGGAGGCAATGTGGAAACTCTGGAGATGTTGTTTACGCTCTTGTTGGGCGCAATGTTGGGTACATTGTGAAGTCCTGGAGTAGGGTCTACCAGAGGCACGGCATCCAAGCCAGCTTCGGCGGATTGGTCATCAAGCTGATGACTCGGCTGCGCTAAGACGACCTCAAGAACCACATTGGGATAGTGTCCGATCCTTAAAGGGATGATGCTACAGTGTTATAGAGGTAGATGTCAGTCCTTTTGTTTGGCAGCACAGGCAACCCCCGAGCAATGGCTGCAATACAACGATAGCAGACAGAGAACATACTCTTCGAAACCGTCGTCAACCAAAAACGAGACGGCTGCCGAGTCGTGCTTGATGTATTCGGCATCCTTGAAGACTCGCTGGATATCCTTCCAGAGGATGATGAGTTGACCGGTTTTATCGCGCCGTACTTCGATGGTGAGCACCTCAGGCGATGAGCTTGTGCGAAAGGCTTGCCAGTGCTGTCCTTCAGGGGCGTTGGAGACTTTCATACGGGTAAGTGTAGCAGAGGTAGTCGACGCGGAAGGGTGGAGAACTAAGAAGTAGAGGGGGCGAAAGGCGAGGGGGAGGAATCCTCTCTTTTTCGCATAACTAAAGGGGTGAGAGGGAATGCTTTGTGACATGGCCTTGTACCCCGCCTTTACTTTGACACCCTGAGCTTTTTTAACTTGGTCAATGCAGATGCACATTGACGCATCCTTTACTTGAGTTTGACACTAGCCTTGTCGTACTAACATCTATCGCGTTGTAGAAGATGCTCCTACTTTGAATGGGTGTAGACGATTAAGGAATTTACGCACTGTGCTTCATTGAGACAATACCCTCTTTATGTACCCAGTGCTCCACCTGTTCAGCATTGCTATTATTTTATCTTCTCAGTCAACTATTTGAACGCGTTTCAGAGATCGAAACTGCGACTGGTGTGAACCATATGAGTCTGAGGAGTAGTCCCCCATCCAGCTCTGTGGCGAATTCGAGTGCTTCTCCATATCATGCGCACCAACAATGCCTATAGCCTATCACATTTATGGGTGCAATATATGTACATAGTTTATTAAGAGCGAGACACACTTAAGCGCGGTGGAAAGCATAAATACGATGCGACCTGTGTCAGTCCTTCGAGAAACGCGTGAAAAAGTCGCGTAAAAGAAGCTAGACCATGGGCAAAAACATCACTCCTGTCCGCTGTCGGACCCATCGAGCTGCAGAGTGAGATTTTGGGTGAGCTTTGATCTGGTTTTTAGGGTCTTGATGAACCGTCCTTTGAATGTGGAAAGTACATCGTAGGGTACCGTGTTGTATCGACTTGTTAGGTGTTTCTTGACGACTGAGAAGGATACAATGGGCCATGTCGAAGTACTCGAATACATAATCGTCACTGCCGCAATATCGTAGGTCTCGTCACTTCGTAATAATTCGACCATACGCAACCCCGAAAAGCTCCCTTTAGAGAGAGCCATTTCTCTATATGAGATTATTAGCTGCACGAAGTCAAGCAAGTGTCCGCCATGGCATCCGATCCGTACATGGGAGAGCTTGGGGTTGCTTTCCAAGATAGCGTGCAGTCGACTCTTGTCCTTTAACAGAACTTGCTTGAGGCTTACTCTGGACAGATAGCCCTGCTGAAGGAGCTCCCAATCGTCCTCGAGGATAAAGTCAAAGGATGAAAAATCGGCTTCCATGCGACCGATTCTGCCCTCGGAGAAAGTCGTGCGTATCGAGTAATGCTCCCTACGTATTATTAAGCTTTTAAGAGACCGAAATACCATGGCCACCTTTTCAAATGACCTGTCGAGACGGGTGTTCAGCCATCGAGTTACTGTGCCCTCTAGCTCTCCACCGGTACTGATCACAGCCGACCAAAAGTCAATGTTCTTGCTTTTTTTGACTCGAATGCCCTCGTCAGACATCGCCTGCGCAATCGTGTCAAACCAAAACATCAAAGGCTCAGCATCCCCTATGATGAGAGGACGTCCATGCAAAACCAACTGGAGAATGTTGGCCTTGCTGACGGCTCTCACAAAATTCTCAACATCCCGTTCTCGGACGATCCAGTCTAAGGAGATTTCCAGTTCTTGAATCCGGGATCCAGTAGATATGGCATCATAGAATCGGTTCGCCAAGCTCCTTGTCTCAATAGAAATGATTACCTTATCCAGCTCCTCGATATATGTACCACCGTTGGCCTGGATGAAACCTTCTAGGCCCTTCGTCGGCGATCTCAGAAGGTTTTCGCGATAGTGATCGTCACATACATGCTTGACGTGCTCCTTAGGAGTGATGACTCGGTACAAGTTGCCGAGTACGCGATCTTGGCCATCGACCTTTAGATACGACTCTACTTGTCGCAGATCTGCTCCGTCTAACACTTCCTGCCCAGCAACATCCTTGCCGCCATATGAATCACGCTGCAATTTTTGAATGAAGCTGATTGTCGCATCCACCAAAGAACGCAGATTCTTTTTCACAAATTGAAGGTGACTCCGAACAGATCCCGCGTCCTTCGCGACCTCGAATTGCGCCACAGGCGGAACCATGGCACCGTCGATCATAATTCCGTACTTGACCATCTGTACTACGGTCAAAACGTAGGAGCTGTACTTGTCAAAGAACTCCTCCGAATGCTCCAGATCGTATCCATCGTGCTTCGCGAGATGAATCCTGTGGGGTATCGTGGTATTCTGCGACTTGCTGTGTGAACCGCACTCGCATAGAAAGTAGAGTCGAAATTCGTCTGTCGAGGGCTTAAGCGGTCCATCGCGATATCTCAGGGTCCTTGGCAGTACGATGAATAGTCTCGGGGTCGGGCACTCCTGGAGCTCGAACGTTCGAACCAGAGCTGCCCGGGTCCGTGTCTGGATAGCGGTCAATCGATCGAACGACTCCTGCTCCAGTTGACGCATCTCCAGTTCCATATGACACAGCTTTGCGTGAAGTGGGCTATTGCGCGTCCTCTCCTCATTCAAGCTGTCAGAGAGTTGTGTCATGACACGTTTGATCCGCTCCGCCTCGAGCTTGCAGTCAAGTATGATGGCCTGCGAAAAGGATCTGAAAAGCTGTTGGTAATGCCGAAAAGATTGGCGCGCAATTAGATCTGCAGTACTAACGGGCTCATCATAGCCGTCAATATCAAAGGTCTCGCTGGTGATAGGCTGAACAGTATCGACGACGTGCTGGCTGGTGTCAAAAGCAAGCGAATTGAGTGTAGAGGTTGGTGGAGTTGTTTCTGTAACAGGCTGACTGGTTTCGGCGCTAGAGAGACCATTGGCTGTTGGCCGAACGGCCTCAGCAGCAGATACACTTGTGTTGCCTACAGGGCTGCTGTCGCCAACTTGAACAGACCCCGCGGCGAGTTCGGGTCCCCAAACGGCGCTGAAGATAGGAAAATTGGAATCGTTATCGTGCACGGACAACATATGAGAGGTAGTTGTTGCCTGGACATAATTAGGTGGGAGTGAAGACACTCCAGATTCGTTGGCTGGTTCTGAGATAGGGGTCTCATAAAGCATAGCACTTCGAGCTATATCGACAGGGTATCCATTGGCATGACTCGGCTGCGCTAAGACGACCTCAAGAACCACATTGGGATAGTGTCCGATCCTTAAAGGGATGATGCTACAGTGTTATAGAGGTAGATGTCAGTCCTTTTGTTTGGCAGCACAGGCAACCCCCGAGCAATGGCTGCAATACAACGATAGCAGACAGAGAACATACTCTTCGAAATCGTCGTCAACCAAAAACGAGACGGCTGCCGAGTCGTGCTTGATGTATTCGGCATCCTTGAAGACTCGCTGGATATCCTTCCAGAGGATGATGAGTTGACCGGTTTTATCGCGCCGTACTTCGATGGTGAGCACCTCAGGCGATGAGCTTGTGCGAAAGGCCTGCCAGTGCTGTCCTTCAGGGATGTTGGAGACTTTCATATGGGTGTGTGATTGAGGCTGTCGATGTGGAAATGGCGTGAGAACGAGTAAGCAAGAGTGAGTGCGAAAGGGTCATTGGAAGACAAGAAAAGGCGAAGACAAGAAAAGGCGAAAATCCCAGCTTTTAAGGCACACGCCAATTGTCAAATTATGCAAGACACGGGAAGACGTCTCGAGGATTGACATTACATCGTTCACAGATGTTTTCTTGCGTCCCAGTCGTATTCACGAGATACTCGGTGCTGCTCTTGGGATCTCTCTAGCGATCCCGCAACTGAATAAAGGATTTCGAAGCCCTCCAGTGGTGAAACACCCATGCACTCTTCCTCTCGACGGCCCTCAACAGGAGTAGGCTCGGTTTGGCCTTCAGCTAGATCCTGTTGAGATGTCCGACCAGCCCCTCTACACAAAGATCTGACGCGCGTAGGAAGTGTCGATCTGCCTTTGAGAGTACGAGCTGAAGGCGAAAGGCTTCAAGTACTTTAGCGAGGACAGCACCTTCAATACATCCACGTCTCGTTGACATGGGATCAGTCGAAGCATCGCCAGCATTGGATAGATCCTGATCTAGTGGCATATATAATATACGTCGTAGTAGTTTACTTGATTGTCAATGTCCAGCTTTAGGGTTTGAGGACAGAGGAACAACATAGGAAGAGCTTACGCGACGTAGTGAAGATCCGTGCGTCCCCGGGGTCGATAATGCACCACGATGCTTCGAATGTGGTTTCGTCGGGCTGGGAAAGCAATGGGGACATGTCTTCAATTGGCGAGGTATAGCCGTTGTAGTCGATGTGGAGACATTCTAGGCTTGGTATTGTTGCCGCCATTAGAAATATGATCAGGCTCGCGAGGTGGTTCTGCCACTGCGCAGCGTGAGTGAGATCAGGTTCCTGGCGTCGCGGCGAGAGAGATTTGCGATAGACTCCAGACTCCGGACTCCAGATTCCTTGTTGGCGAGAGTATTATCCCCAGCCTGTTCAGCGTGTCTGATACGAAGGAGTTATGGGTCAATGGGTAATGGGTCGAGGCTGTAAAAGCAAAAGAAGGAGCCCTGGATGGTGCCACTGTGTACTGAAGATAGATATCGCGCAAGGTCTGAATCCGAGAATGTGGATGACAAGAATGAGGAAGCTAATGAGGATCTCGGGGGTATGTTCTCCATTGCAAGCGAAGGTGGAATGAGGAACTGTGACAAGGGGTGTAGAAAGAGGTGTTCTTTGTCCCGCATTTTCTCTCTCTCTCTCCATCATTGAACGCGTTTTGGTACAGATGATCATGAACGCGAGAAGTCGTTTGCAACTGTGCCAGAACTTGCCCAAAAAGATGAAAGAAAAATAAAAATGCATCGCATTGTCGACTATGGGACTCGAACCCATGCACCAATTAAGGTAGAGGGCCTAAACCTCACGGAATAACCACTATCCGAAGTCGACGGATACAGGATAAAGACGTAATAAAACTTGTGGTCCCGACCCTCTATATTTTCGATTTCTCAGCGGAGCTTCAAAGACTCTGGTCGCGTTTTGGGGCCTGCGGCGGGCCTAGGATTGTTAAAAACTCTTCCTTCCGTACACATCGGTTATAGCAACTTCAAAACGTCTTTTACACTTTTGTTCGTTCGTGCGAGGCTACCAGTCCGGTTCCTTGTGATTTTCTCATTCCGCTCTCTGAGGCGGTCATTCCCATCTCTTTTTCTAGAGATTCACTCTCCCATTCGCCATCATCTGAGGCCCATCAGATTTTAGCAACCCTTTTATTTTTTATATTTTTTCTTTTCGCTTTCGCGGTCCAACCTCTTGGATATGCCTCCTCGAGGTTTTACCGATCACGACCCGGACGAGCCTATGGAGGGCACTGAAGGGTCGAGCCCTATTGTGGCCTCTGACGAGGTTTACACCCAGCTCCCAGCATCTTCTGCTGGCACACCTGAACCCACTCAATCCTTGGAGGAGATGACTCCCGCCAAGGATTTCACCATTGTTTCCAGGCGTCGCCGGCACTGGCTGATGATCCCTGCCTCTGCAATCTGTGAAGGCAGGCGTCCCTACCTACCAAATCTCATGATCGACATCAACACGGTCTTGAGTAAAAAGGCAACAATTATTGGACAAGGGGCCATGGAGTATTTCGTGGACGATGACCCCATGGTCCTTATCCCAACCGTCGTCTTTGAGGTCGGCACGAGTGACCAACTACAGGCCGCCCTTCGTTGCGGTTTCACTAACATGGACGAAGACGGCAAACCAGTGAGGACTCATTTCCAGGAGTACACCACAACCAGGCAAAAGGCTAAAGAAAGCCAAGTTGTGCGCCTCAACAACATCGCCTGGAATACCAAGGAGGACCAGGTCTACGCTGCCATGGGCAGATGGGGCGTGGTCCGCTCCGTTGAAATGGGTTTCAACAAAACCCACTCCATGGCTACCGCGCGAGTCACATTCGCCAACCCCACCGCTGTCACTAGGATGATAGAGGAAAAAGTTACGTATGTGATCATCGGCAAGGACTCTGGAGCTGTCACTCACCTGGGCGACCATCCTTGCCCCTTCAATAGCGAGCTTACGATGAAGCTCGCGCACCTTCCAGCGTGGTACACACCTTTGGACGTCCTGGAATTGTTCCAGACCATCCCAGCACCCAACGGAGAGGCTTCGGTGCACTCTATCTCCATGCCACTGAGCACGGCAACCAAACGTCGCCTTCCTGAGGCATTCGTTTATTTCTCTACCGCGGCGCAGCGGGAGCGTGTGATCAACAGGGTGTTCCAAATTGAGGGCAAAGACACCGAATGGACCGAGGCAACCCAGCGCACCTGCCGCACCTGTGGCAGCCCCAACCATGGCCAACCAGCTTGCGAGGTCCTCCAGTTGCGCAAAAAGCTGCAGGCTGCACGCAAGGCAAACACGATGGCCATTCGAGGAATTACCACTAGTCCGTCTAAGGTAACGTCGCCATCCAGGTCGACCAGCCAGACAACCCCCTCTCCACGATCTTCCTCGTCCCAGAGCTCTTCAACCCACCCGGTATCCAAAAAAGCGGCCGCTACCATCCAGGCGAAAGCCATGGACTACAAAGGTGCCCTAACGAACAAAGGCAAGGGTGTGGAGAGAACCAACACGGCTGCAGTCAGTTCGACCTCGGCCAACAAACCTACTACTACCAATAACAGTGCCGGTGCTTCCGTCGCTTCTACTACTGCGACAATGGGCGCCACCAAATCGTGGCGAGAGGAGCACGCCGCTATGCAGCAACTTCAAGCGGTACTCAGCCGCCGTATTGACAAGCAACAGCAGGAATGGGAGGCCATGCAGCAGGGATGGCAGATCATGCAGCAGCGCATTGGGCGACTCGAATCAAAGCTCGATACTGTAATTCAATTGCTACAAAAACAACACGCAATCCCCAATCCTCAGCACACTCACCAGGACAATGAGATGGAGGACGTACCAGCTGTCGTCGCCGCTCAGGTTGTGATCGCACCATATATGGCTCCAACTGCCGAGTCCGCAATCACTGTCGGCAAACGCCATTATCGTTCCCTCAGTGGATCAGATGGGTCTGGTGAATCTATGGCTCCTGCAAAAATGGACAAGGAGCAGGCCATTGCGCAGCTACAGCGCGAGTTGAAGGAGGCCAATGAACGAGTTGAGAGCGCAGAGAATACTGCACGCGGCCACCTTGCTGAAGTAAACCGGATTCTTGGGATCAACAAAGTTCAACAGGAATGCATCCAAGACCAGGGTAATGCCCTACAGCGCCTCCTCCCAGCGGAGTGTAAC